GAGTCAGTTGTCAGCATTTGAAACAAGTCTTTGCTGGCACTAGGCTTTAGCTAAAGCAAATGAAATCAGGGAATTTACTCTTGCACAGGCCGCAACACATTATTAAATGAATGCTTAATTAAATTAATAACTTACTGTTGCTGTGTGTAAAATAAAATTTCACGTTGTTTCTGCCCGGTTTCGAACCGGGGACCTTTCGCGTGTTAGGCGAACGTGATAACCACTACACTACAGAAACTTACACGCCCACTCGCTTTCCTCAATGCTACCTAAACCTAATCGCAGTACTGGTTTTTTGTTTGTTTGTTTTAGGAAAGTTAAGGATTTCACACAGTATTTAGATATGACGATGCTGAAAACTGAGTGCCTCGTGACTTTTAAAAGAAAGTTAAAGTCATTTTGTGGGTACAGAATGCCGTTATCATATAATTTAGAAAATCTAGAAAACTGGGAATTAGATGCTGGGCCACGCAAATACTTCCACGACAGTCACTTTCTTGGCCGGCAGCAACAAACTCCAGCTTTGTACCCAAAAAACTATGTTCAAAACTACGTGCATTTGGTCTTGGTCTTCCTCTTGTTTCATTCAGGGTGCCCAACCCTTGGTTTAAGTGGCGGGAGGGCCCTTCTGAGTTTTTCCCACGGCAATCACAAACTTTCCCCCGTCAAAGACATTACAGAATCCACATCGTAACTTGACCCTTTTCTGCAACGAATGTTTTCTCTCGAAAAAACACATCATCTGCAGCAAACGAAGGTGGTTTGTAACATGCACCACTTATTTTTTTAAAAAGTAAAAAAGACCACATGTGCGTACCCGAAGATATATTTTCGAGAGAAACATACTTTTAAAATTCGCAAATTATAATTGCGTACCAGAAAAAAACGGGCTCGTCCGGGATTTGAACCCGGGACCTCTCGCACCCAAAGCGAGAATCATACCCCTAGACCAACGAGCCACCTCGCATAAAGTTGAGCGCAGTAAAGTATTTGAACCTCGCAGATAACTTTCTGTACTGACTGTACACACACTATTCACTTCCTTGTTTTGCTGTTTTTTAATATTCGCGTTGTGCTACTACCTCTACTTTTTTACTTTCATCTTCCTATATTTATTCCCCCCCCGCTCTTCAAATCAGTTACCGGTAATAAATGGGAGTGCGGAATGGAGGTGCGGTCTGGTATAATATGTCCTCTCTGGAATCTTAAAAGTTCTCGTATTACAGCTTTGCCCAATAAATTAATATATAGTATGTACATCAGTCATAACTGCAAAAATGCTACCTGAGGCTGCACTTCTGCTGACGCTTATATGGAAGTAACATATGAGCAGACTTGCAATGGACTGAACTGTTTAGTCTGGTATCTATAAGCAGCTCCTTACCCCGAATTAATGCAAAAATATAAATATAAATCAGGAAACGCATTTATTTTGATATCTGAGCCGGAAATTTCAGGATATGTTGATTTGAGATTGGGTGGTCACAAAATCCTAAAATCACTAGTTAAGACTTTTTAAAATAATCCACGTAACGTTGTCGATTTAAATAAAACATTTAATGTACGATTGCAAAGGAGATTTCAATGTACCAATGCAGGAAAAGGATTGCCCAGTTCACGGCGATTTATATAAGCGGGAGAAAATGTAAGGCCCCAGCGAGATTTGAACTCGCGACCCCTGGTTTACAAGACCAGTGCTCTAACCCCTGAGCTATGGAGCCTACATGTTAAACATGGTGCTGTTTTCTGTAGACAAAGCTCCTTGCCGCTTGCGTGCTGCTGTTCTTGCCTTAATGAGCAATGCTAATTTATGCTTCCACCAATGCTGAATCGGGCTCGCTAGCTATTACAGGCGAGCTCCGCAGTTGGAATTCCTGGAAACCCTGCAGGCGGCCCTTCTCCTCCTGATCGCTGCAGGCCGCAGCTTCAAAAAGCAGCGAAATAGCAAAACAGGCTCGCCTTCGCGGCGGGGAGGAGGGAAGTGGGGAGATTGTGCAGGAACACTGCCATCTGCCGACCGGAACGTGTAATTACAAGCGTCTGGTTCTGGAGCGCAAGCCGGCGTGTGTGACGTCAGGCAGGCCACACTCTGCTTAAATCTCTTTTTATACAGGGCTCCACTGCCTCCCCCAGTTTGGTCAAACTCATGCTGGTAGCTTCAAGAACACTGTCCAGCCATCTCGTCCTCCTCTGTCGTCCCCTTCTCCTTGTGCCCTCCATCTTTCCCAAAATCAGGGTCTTTTCCAGGGAGTCTTCTCTTCTCATGAGGTGGCCAAAGTATTGGAGCCTTAGCGTCAGGATCTGTCCTTCCAGTGAGCACTCAGGGCTGATTTCCTTCAGAATGGAGAGGTTTGATCTTCTTGCAGTCCACGGGACTCTCAAGAGTCTCCTCCAACACCATAATTCAAAAGCATCAATTCTTCGGCGATCAGCCTTCTTTATGGTCCAGCTCTCACTTCCATACATCACTGCTGGGAAAACCATAGCTTTAACTATACGGACCTTTGTTGGCAAGGTGATGTCTCTGCTTTTTAAGATGCTGTCTAGGTTTGTCATTGATTTTCTCCCAAGGAGCAGGCGTCTTTTAATTTTGTGACTGCCGTCACCATCTGCAGTGATCATGGCGTGCTCTGGTCCATGGGGTCACAAAGAGTTGGACACAACTAAACGACTACAACCTATATTTATATTCAAAGTGTGTAGGGAGGGCGCCAAATTTTGTCCTCGCTCAGGGTTTTCCCGTAGTCAGCAGATACCTCCTGATATAGAAAAATCTATATTTGAGACCTTAGAATTTCTATAACACCTCCCTCCTATACTGATAGTTCCATTCTGGCTACATGCTGATGCGTATGAATCAAGTCTATCAAATATAATCAAAGGATCAATTTACTATGAATATTATTGATTGGTAGCATAGCCTTAGTATTCTCTGCTCTGGTAACCTCCGAGTTAGTCTACTGCCATGCTTTATACAGGGGCTGCTTTTGAAGACAGGTTTGGAAATGGCAGTTTGTGCAAAATACAGCTTCCTTGACTGCCTCAACTTCCCAAAATTGCTTCCTTTGTTAGGATATTTCCGTTCCACCTTAAAAAGGGGACAGGCTGTTGTGAGTCACAGCCTACGTATTTCCTGCTCACAGGAAGTTTCTGTTTGTCTATTGCTTTCGTTTCTCTCTCTGTGCCTGAGACATCGAAGCAGGCAGTCATGTTTTTTTCTTTGTTCTGACCAACGCTGAATAAACTTGTAAATATGCTCTCCTGAGTGCAGCTTTCGTTGTGCAAACTCTGCTGATAGAGCGTGCACGAGCTCTGGAATGTGGCAAGCTATTTCTGAGGCTTTGTGTCGCTAATTGACTGATACTGTATCTACGGGAGATTGATGGATTGTCCGGAGGCGACGTGGAATCATGATGGCCTTTGTCTCCCTGGCAGTATCCCAACACTGCTGGGAACGTCTTTTCTCATCTAGTTCCCAGTCCATTTCCAGGGTAGTTCCAAGTGCTGGTGCTTACCTTTAAACTCCTTCATGGCTTGGGTCCAGAGTCATGGTCAGGTTTCCTATCTCCATAGTTTTCCCTGCACTGAGATCATCTTCAAACGCCCTCCTTGGTTTGACTCTGACTATGCACCATCTCACATGGTACACTATATACCTTTAAAGCACATTCAAAGCACATTTCCCCCCTCAAATACTCCTGGAAACTGTAGTTCTCAGCACCTAATAATAATAATAATTTAGTAAGAAAAAATTTGTTATAGAAAAAAAATGAGAAAAAGAGAGGAAAGTGCAAATAAAAAGAATAAAAATATAAATATAATAAGAAAAACTAAATAATGTGGTCCATTAAATATAATCAGTTATACTACCATACATTATTATATAGATATATAAGTACTATTATTATCCTAATACATATATGATTATTAATAGCCCACTATATTCTGTATAAACTTGTTCCAAACGTCAATGTTCAGTTGCCATCACCCTTAACATATTTCAGTTTCCAAGATTCTTGTGGGGCAAATGTACTTTATGTTGTGCACGCAGCCTTAGTTCCCATGTATCGTAACTAAGACAGAGAGATTTCTCAACTTGGGGAACTTCCTGCTTCTGGAGTAATTGGATATGAAAAGGAGCAATGAAGGAACTGTTATGTACTGAAGTTCTCACCCTGGGCCAGCAGGGGGATACTGTAGATAGTTTTCACTCAAGTCCACATATGCAAATAAGGAATTGAAAGTGATGTTCAGTGATTGGATAGTTACAGAAAGTTGTTACTGTTGCTTTGTAGTTGAACTCTATATAAGCAGGTTGGCTGAACCCTTCAGCTCAGTTCTGTTCTGGCCTGTGAATAAACAAGAGCTGTCTGAAGAATCGCTGTGTCGTCTGATATGTTCGCCCACAACTTAACAGGAACTTAGCATACCAAATCACTGTGTATTTCCACTCAGACCAATTTATGCCCAATGCTTTCTAATGTAGGCCATATTTTAATTAGATGCTGTCCTCGCATCCTAATAGGGCTTTCCCTAGCCTGAAAGGTAGCATTTGTTTGTTCATTTGTTTTAAACTGTTTTTAATGTTGCATTTTGAAATTGCTGCAACCTGAAACCTTATGGTGAAGGTCAGGGTAATAAATCAATTAAATAAATTAAAAAGCAATAATGCGCAGCCAAGTAGGGGCGGGAAGGGGCAGCTCCCCCCCCCCAATCGACAAAAATCAATAAAAATATATTGCTAATGAGGCGTACAAGATTGAATATCAGCCTTTGAGCAACAATCTGTCTTCTTCCGAGGAAGAAGGCATGATATCAGAACCATATGGGTGGGAAATGGCTAATGGCTGACTGTAATGATACCAAATGCATTGATGTCAGTTATTTAAAAGATGTCAGTAATTTTAAAAAATATTACTTCATCCTCCCCCCCCCCCCCCCACAGTCAAGGGGAAAGTCCAGAGACGTTTGCTTCAGAGAAAAGATCAATACACACTTATGGTATCTCTGTACTAACCAATTTATTTACAAATGTACAAATTGAGCAAGGAGGATTACAGAGGCACAGAAGCAAGTACACAGGAGAGCAGTTCTAGGTTCACAGCTACATCAGGGCCATACAACCCCGCTCCCCCCAAAATAAGCTCAACCTCATAGCAAATCTGTCAGTCAAACTGTCTTTCAAGTCTCCTTGCCCTTGCTCAAGCTAAACAAATTAGTTCCATCCTGCAAATGGATGCAATTTGTAGGCACATTCCAAGGTCATATTTAGATAAGGAGCAACTTAAGCACCCATTGAACGCTTCCAACAATGGCTAAGCCTAGGCAGAGAGCTTGAATTGTATGAAGGCAAAGACAGAAAGAAAGAGGGTGGGATTGGGCCATATCCACAGGTACTGTTTGCAAAGGCCTTTCAACAATCAGCAAGTTTCAAAATGCTCGTCATCATGCGGTCAAACTCCGTGCTGCAGAATTTTAAAAAGTAGGTATAGAAAACCAAATGACGTATGTATGATGCAAACCGTTTGAGAGCTGAAAGGAGACTCCGTGACGCAAAAGGGACTCTTCTTCCCAGATGAGACAATTCTCTAGAAACGGTTTTCAGGGTTATGCTGGGTCAATAGTCTGCCTCCAACAAAGAATTCTGGGCGTTCTAGTTTGGTGAGGACATTGATAAATCTCTGGTAGGGACCTTTCACATCCCTCGCAGTGAAGGAGGAATGACTTGGGTCAGTTTAAGTCTGTGCAGTGACTCAGAGTCAAATTTGGGTTCCCAAATGCCTCTGGCTCCTCAACGCCAAAAATCCGGACGTAAATGCTCCAGTTTTTGAACGTTTTTCGGAACCCGAATGTCCAACGCGGATTTCGCTTGAGTCAAGAAACTCTTGCAACCAGTCAGAAGCCACGTCTCAGTTGTCGAACATTTTGGAAGTCAAACAGTCTTCCGGAACGGATTACGTTTGACAACCGAGGTTTGACTGTATGTTGATAGTCAAACCGATCCAGTACAAAGTAAAGAAATGACAAAACCTGACACAAAGTCATAGTGTAAAATTTGAATCCAAACATTAATGTTTCCACGTAATGTCAGGGAGAGAAACAGGAGGATGTTTTGCCCGTTGTAGCCAATACAGTACTCATTCTGCATTAATTAATGGTGATTAAAAGGGTTGTTTGTTAAACCACTCCAGAAACTGTCGCTCTGTGAGGGGAATTAACTAAAGCGCCCTTAACAAAGCGCCTAAAGCGCCCTTAACAAAGTACAGCTCCCAGAATGCTTTGGGGGGAAGCCATGACAGTTTAAAGAGAAAAGTTTTGGATTTGATATCCCGCTTTATCACTACCCGAAGGAGTCTCAAAGCGGCTCACATTCTCCTTTCCCTTCCTCCCCCACAACAAACACTCTGTGAGGTGAGTGGGGCTGAGCGACTTCAGAGAAGTGTGACTGGCCCAAGGTCACCCAGCAGCTGCATGTGGAGGAGCAGGGAAGCGAACCCGGTTCACCAGATTATGAGTCCACCGCTCTTAACCACTACACTACACTGGCTCTCTGAAGGCATTTCCCACCCCCAAGCACTTTTCCTGCAGCCGCCACAAGGTTATGTGACTACGAGGCCCTCCTCGGTGGTGGCCCCCAGGGACAGACGCCTTGGCATCGAAAGCAAGCGGGCTATGGTTTTCATTGCGCACAAATAATGTAGCTGCCCACCCTCTTGGAACGAAGCTGCTCTCAGGAGCAAAGTTTAATGTAGGTGACAGTGGAGCAAACAGAGAATAGGGGGAACACCCTCTCCGTAAAGGCGACGTTGAAGGTGAAAATGTGCTGCATGTTGTCAGCGTTGTAGAAGGACACCTCTTCCCCTTCGTAGTCCAAGTAAACCCTCACTTTGTGGAGCCTCTCGGGCATGAAAATCGGGGTGCGCTTGGGGACTGTGACTGCCCAGTACCGCCCTCCCGTTTGCTGCAGTGCCCAGATACCCTCTTCAGGGCTAAACTGGGTCAAGCCTTTCCTGCGCACCGACTCCTTGGCCACCCCAAAGGCCCAGCCGTCGGCAGACCCCACCTCCACCTCCCAGTAATGCCTCCCCGACTTGAAACCCTCAGTGGACAGGACGCGGGAGTTGGTGTCGAAGCGCTTGGGGTTGTCAGGTAGATCTTGCTTTCGGCAGCCCATCCTCACGCCCTTGAGGTCCGCCGAGAGGATGAGGAGGTGGTTGGCCGTCTCTGGGTCCAGGAGCAGCTCCTCTAGGAGGCAGGATAAGAGCGTTAAGTCAACCCCCCGCGGGAACAGCAGAGAAAATTCACAGGAAGGGCATATACTGGCCTCGGCCCAGGATACCTGAAGGAGCGTCTCCACCCCTATTGTTATGCCCGGACACTGAGGTCCAGCGCCGAGGGCCTTCTGGCGGTTCCCTCCCTGAGACAAGCCAAGTTACAGGGAACCAGGCAGAGGGCCTTCTCGGTAGTGGCGCCCGCCCTGTGGAACGCCCTCCCACCAGATGTCAAGGAAATAAGCAGCTATCCTATTTTTAAAAGACATCTGAAGGCAGTCCTGTTTAGGGAAGTTTTTAATATTTTAATATTTAATGCTGTACTGTTTTTAACACTCGATTGGAAGCTGCCCTGAGTGGCTGGGGAAACTCAGCCAGATGGGCGAGGCATAAATAATAATAATAATAATAATAATTATTATTATTATTATTATTATTATGTATTGAAGTTCTCACTCTGGCCACCAGGAGTATCATGTATGTAGTTTTCACTCAGGTCCATATCAGCTACTTTAGGCGGGAAACCCTGGGGTGTTGTTGCTACAATGTTGACAGCCGGCTGCCTATAAAAGCAGGCCGGCTGAGCTGTTTGCTGTGCAGTTCTGTTCCTTTTTTAAAAAATCTTTTTTTGATTTTAAAATAATTCAGCATTAATACACACATATTGCGAATATACAAGCATACAAACATACATTTCATACAATCCTTAAAAATATTCAAACATACCTACATTCTGTTCCAGCTTACAAATAAAGAGCTGCTTTGGAGAAATCGCTGCGTCGTCTGCTATGTCTACCCACTATTTAACAATTATTATCTGGGCAAACATTAATTATACAAAGGAGGTTGAAAGATATAGGCAGTGCTTTCTTCTGCGGGGATGCAGAGGTAAATTTTGTGAATTTCTGTACTTTTGTCCATTAACTGTATTTATTTTTCCCAGTTTGAGCTATAAAATGGTGATTTTTTTTGAGTCAAAATGAGAGTACCCCTAAACATTTTTTTAAAGAAAAAAAAGGGCACCGGATAAAGGAGAGGAATTCCTTCAGGAACTTCCCCTGGTTGCTATCTGCCTACCAGTTCTCAGGCAAAGGGGATTAAGGAGGCAGAGGAAATATTTAGAGATTTTAGAAGAGCCAAGATGCTTTTGGATTGCTCTCCTGTACTATTTTAGACATGTGGTCTATATATTTATGTATGTTTATCTTATGCAATTATCAACATTTATTCTATATTTGAGACCTTAGAATTCCTATGACAGGTTTCACAATTTGGACATCCAATGCCCTTTTTAAATGTGTTGGAGTCTTTTTTGTTTTTGTTTTAATTATGTATTTTGTGCTTGTATCTTGTGATTTTATCTTGTGAACTGCCCTGAGACCTGCGGGTATAGGGCAGTAGACAAATTTAAATAATAATGTTTTAAATAGGTTGTGCTGGGATGAAACACAGAAACATGAGATAAGTAAATTAGGATCACAGCATACATTGAATGCACATTCAACGTACGTTTAAACCACAGGACTCTCCCTCCCTAAAAATTCAGAGAACTTAAGAGCGCTGAGAATTATAGCTCGGGGGGGGGTGTAAACTGCACTTCTCATGATTCTTTGGGTAAAGCCACACAATTTAAATAGGAGTTGAATGTGCTTTAAATGTATGGTGTGGGCATTTCTGTCCTAGGTTCTTCATACAGCTCAAGCATTCTCACTTTGCTCCTCCCTTAATTAGGCTGGGAAACCAACCGCTATATTACATAATCCCTGACAGGTGGCCATTCAGCTTCTGATTCGAGTGTCCACCACTTTCCCAATACACTTCTGCCCAAAGCCAATGCAGCAACCATGAGCTTTTGAGCTATGACTGTATTCAGTGACATTACTGAAAACAGAGAATACAGGAGACTGGCAGAGTTTTTATTACATGCCTTGAAAAACAACCCTTGAAACTCATTTCTGGATATACGTATTAACACACACAACGTCTGCTTTGAACATTCAGGTGTATGATCTGGTTCTTCAGAAAATCTAGCTAATTACCAGCACTTACCTTTCTCACCTTTCCCCAATTCATCCCGCAGGTGATCTGAAAGAAGAGGAAGCCCATTAATGAAAATCAGGGCTAACTAGGAACAGCAGAAAGAGATTCTGTCCAAACACCATATACGTACATATTATACTATACAGTACCCACTATTTTTCATTGGGTACACAGGTTTTTTTGCAGAGTGTGTGTGTGTGTGTGTGTGTGTGTGTGTGTGTAATTTAACTTCTATTGCAATTACAATCAGCTCCCTGGATATGCATGTACACTGGTACCTCCGGTTGCGAACGGGATCCGTTCCGGAGGCCCGTTCGCAACATGAGCAGAACGCAACCTGCGTCTGTGCGTGCACGGGTAGCGATTCACCGCTTCTGCGCATGCACATGACGTCATTTTGCACGTCTGCGCATGTGCGAGCAGTGAAAACCGGAAGTAACCCTTTCCAGTACTTCCGGGTCGCCGCAGGATGCAACCTGAAAATGCGCAACCTGAAGCAAACATAACATGAGGTATGACTGTACGCAAACACACACACACAGACCCATACAAGAGAATGGAAACTGTTAGTAACCTCTTTGTCATAAACAAATACCGGTCTTTCCCAAGCCGGCGCCTTCCAGTGGCTGATGGGAGTTGTAGTCCAAATTATCTGGAGGGCAGCTTGATGAAGGCTGGCACAGACCAACTTGTTCCATGTTCCAGATCTGCTGGTTACAGCTCTCTGCATCAGCTGATTGTCGGGGCTTGTAAAATCACATGCACAGGGCTTCGTAGGTGCTGCTGAACAGGTTACCTGCAACCTCTCCGCCCCAACCCTGCTGTCTCTTTACCTGCCCCATACCTGATGCCAGGTGTAGGGCAGGTGGGCGTGGCTAGGCCAAAACGACCTCACTGGCTAAATGATGGGACCAGGAAGCCCAATTTAAGACCAGAGGCCAGAGGTTCTCCACCCCTGTTGTACAGCATTCTGATTCCAGCAGTGACCACCCAGAGTCCTCTGGGAAGGCCGCAAGCAGGGCATGGAGGCAGCTGCTCCCCCCCCCCGTTATTGCCCCCTCCCTCTGAATATGGAGGCTGCTCCATCAGAGTGCTCTGATGGTGTTTCCTGCTTGGCAGGGGGTTGGACTCGATGGCCCTTGTGGTCTCTTCCAACTCTATGATTCTATGATTCCTTACGGCCACCATGATTAATAGCCTTTGGTAGAGGCAGCAAATCCCACCCCTGTCCGGTGCAAAAGAAGAATATTCAGCAGGCACCCCACAAACTGCTGGCTACCAGGAGAATTTGTCTAAACCCTTTCGGAAAATCCAGCTAGCACAGAGGCCATCACTGCACTACAACAATGCATCCCATTAGTCCAGGGGTAGTCAACCTTTTTATACCTACCGCCCACTAATGCATCTTTCTTGGTGGTAAAATTTCCTTACCGCCCACCAGTGCTCAATGGAAGGAGGATTCAGCTTGTGCCGCAGAACCCTGAAACGCCCACTAGTGGGCGGTATGGACCAGGCTGACAACCCCTGCGCTAGTCAATTAAGAAAGCAGTTCTTTCAGGCTGTCTTCTGTAAAATCAATAATGCAAATTGTTATCGAGACTGAAAGAGACTGCTCTGTGCTGGGCCATGGCATGCCACAAGCCAACGCTTCCGCTTTCAGATGCTAAAATACCGAGAATGGATTTGAACGGAGAGGTGTTGCTTCTCTTTACCTTTGAATTTCTTTAGCACTCCCTTGAGGACCACGGTCTTCAGAGAAAAATTGCAGGTGTGGCCCTTCATGTCAGAAGAAACGGGAACCGGCCTCTGACATTTAAGGTCATCGCTCCTGACAGGTTGCGAAAATTAGAAGAGTTACTGAACTGAGAGTTACGACAGACAAAAGAGCAAAGCTTTGCCTCCCAGTTTTGTTTGTTTTTTAACATATGAGGCTTCAAGGGTTGAACTTCACCCCAGTGGCTTCGCTGCTACACAAATAAACAAGAAAATAACTCTTCCTTCTCCCTAGCCCTCCCCACATTCCCTATTTCTGTCTGAGAGCTGCCAGTCTGGCTGCCTATGTAGGTGATGGAAAGCTGAGATTGCGAGGGTGGGATCATATTCACACTCAAAGTGGTTATAAGGAGCCTGGGATTTGTAATGACCCGAGAGAGTCATCTAGCCTGCAGCCTGCAGAATATGCCTCAGAGACTCTGCTTCCCTGAATGGCTGACACTGACCTTTCAGCTGGTTCATGAACAAAGAACAAAGAGGGGGTGAAATTGCAGCTCCGTACCTGATCAGGGCACTTGTCACATCCTGGAAGAGAAAGAAGAAGAAGAAGAGTTTGGATTTGATATCCCGCCTTTCATTGCACTTAAGGAGTCTCAAAGCGGCTAACAATCTCCTTTCCCTTCCTCCCCCAAAACAAACACTCTGTGAGGTGAGTGGGGCTGAGAGACTTCAGAGAAGTGTGACTGGCCCAAGGTCACCCAGCAGCTGCATGTGGAGGAGTGGGGAATCGAACCCGGTTCACCAGATTATGAGTCTACCACTCTTAACCACTACACCACACTGGAAACAAGAGAGGGGAGGGAAAGAGGGTTGGGGGAAGAGCAGTCGTCTAACACGTTTCATTCCATTCCATTATTGAATCAGAACCGTCGAGCTGGAAGGGACCCAAAGGGCCATCTAGTCCAACCCCCTGCAATTGCTTCCCCTTTTATTCACATAAATTCCAGAAGCAATGGGTGGGATTCACCTAACCAGTCGCATCAGCAGAACCCCACACAATTTCTGCTCTCGCAAGAGGGCTTCCCCCATCTTCTCACCCCACCCAGCAATCAACTTGAGCGGGGGGGTGGCGGTGTCAGGGCGGGTATCGGTAGCAGGTCAGCAGTAACTCACAAGGTGTCAGTGAATTTAACTTTTTCAAAGAAACAGCAGCTTGGGCCTAGTGAGCCCAGCAATTCTTCCCCGTAGATCTTGCCCCAATGAGGCAGTTGCGAGGATGGAAGCTTCTTGCCTTCTCACAGCTCTCTAAGCCTCCTTCTCCTCCCCTGGGTCTTTCCCAAGCAACCTGAGACTCCGACGCCTTGTCTGTCTTTGCTCCACCCTCTTCATACCTCTTTGGGCTCTGGGAGACCAGGGGAGAGGGGAGCTGGTCACAGCAGGAGGGGGAGACTCCTTGGCACCCTCAGCAGCCTCTTGGTCCCCTCCCACTCCAGCCTCCACCTCCAGGCTGCTCTCTGCCGCAGCCTCTTCTTGCTCACTAAACCCTGGTGTTTTCCCCCCAGTAATTTTTTCCAAATATCTTAAACACAATACAGATTAACAATATTATTCTCCTTTAAGTCTATATCTTATCCGAATTAACTTCCCTCCACCCCTCTTCTGGCTTCTCTACATTGCTCTTACTTAAGCGTGATTGCTATATATGCATTCTATAAATATCTATAATTCCTTAATAAATTTTTGTATTCTACTTTAGACATACATTCCTTATTATATTACAGCATTACGTCTTGTGGTCTAACCAAATGTTTACAATAAACGTGATGAGTTTTATTTCAGTCCTGTGAGTGTCTTTATTTATGTACAGTGGTACCTTGGGTTAAGAACTTAATTTGTTCTGGAGGTCTGTTCTTAACCTGAAACTGTATTTAACCTGAAGCACCACTTTAGCTAATGGGGCCTCCTGCTGCTGCCGCGCCGCCAGAGCACGATTTCTGTTCTCATCCTGAAGCAAAGTTCTTAACCCGAGGTACTATTTCTGGGTTAGTGGAGTCTGTAACCTGAAGCGTATGTAACCCGAGGTGCCACTGTACAGATTTCTCTAAGTATACCATAAATTTGGGCCATTCTTTTTGGAATTTCGCATCGTCCTGCTGTTGGATTCTTCCAGTTAGCCTTGCTATTTCCGCATACTCCAATACTTTCTGTTGCCATTCTTCAATTGTCGGAATATCCCTGCTCACTAAACCCTGTTACCTCTTTAGCTTCCGACACCTCCTCCTCCTCCTCCTCCCGGTCTGCTCCCTCTGGCCACTCATCGTCGTCCCACCACCAATCCCCGGGCTCTGAGCCTTCTTCCCCTGGGGGTTCCCATGAGGGTCCCCCAGCTGCTGCCTCCCACCACTCCTCAGCATCCAGCCAGTCCTTGACACCCTGGAACAGCATGCAGGGGGAAGAGAGGAGGATTGTGTAGAACCAAACGGTGAATATTTGTTCCTTAAGGCCTGTAAAGGCCATCTTGGTAGTCAAGATAACCCAGAGACTAATTAGTATTTGATGCAAGAATGAGCTCACTATGTTTATCCGTTTGCTTTGATATATGCTAATTGGCCTGCTTTGATGCCACGCTTATCTCTGTTGTCTTGGCACGCTTGGCTATTGGCCTAGGAAGAGGAGACAGAGTTTGATGCCTGCCCCCTGTGGACCGATGGGAGATTCTGGCCAAACTGACGTGTGGCGTTTTTGTCAGTTTGCATTTCTTTGTACAGAAAGTATTGATCTGATATGTAGAGATTTTTCCTATTCTGATTAGTTCAAGAGGGCCCTAGAAGGTTTATTCTCTGTGTTATAGAAGGTTTATTTCTATGTGAATGAAACAGGAAGGAGGTTTTTTTTGTTTGGGTTACATTTCTTCCGGGAAGCTGTGTACAGCTGGTAAACTGCTTCTGTTATGTTTCTGTCAGGGTCTCACTCACTTTCTGTTTTTCTGTCTCTTTGTTCTCATGTTCTGTTTCTGTATGCTTAGTGTTAAGGTTGAGCCTTATTATAAGTTCTTTTAAGTGTAAGTTTTATTGTTTTTTGCTGCAACTGGATTTTTATGGACTGTGCCAATCCTGATTACACTGGACTTGTGACCATTATGCTCATTTGCCTTCAGTAGAAAGTAAAGCTCTGCTGGATGAAGTACAATTGCCTCTGGTCTGTTTTTTTGTAAACTCTGCTACATGTTTAAGATATTTCCTGCTCCCCCTTCATGGGCAACAGTTTCCTGTGCAAGTAATGCAAAGAATGTTTGCCCAGGAGTCGAGAGTCATGACAGACACTTGCTGTTTCTGTGTTTGCCCCAGCAGCGTAACTTCTGCAATCGCCAACCAGGGTGTGTGGGGTGAGCTGTGGGGTGGAGCTGCAGCCTGCTCGCAGCACTGGATCCCAGCGTCGGAGAGGGGCATCCCTCTGGCATTTCTGACATCCTTCTTTGGTACCCCTGCATCAAACCACTTGCACAGGTGTTATGTATTCCATGGTCTGTGTTTGCCTGAGCTTGAGTCCGGACCAGGCATCCCCAACCTTCAGCCCTCCAGATGCTTTGGACTACAATTCCCATCATCCCTGACCACTGGTCCTGTTAGCTAGGGATCATGGGAGTTGTAGGCCAAAACATCTGGAGGGCCATAGGTTAGGGGTGCCTGGTCTGGACTAAGGGTTCTGAGCCCCTGTATTCTGATTCGATACATGATATCCAATCACAGTACGTATTCAGTATTTGGGCTTATGCCATTGGCCCTCAAACTCTGAGTCATGATTTGCAGCTTGGAAGTTTAGATAGCCAATCACGTTGGGAGTGGGAGTGGCCCAGGCCTTCAGAAATGTATATAAGAAGTTGCTTTGCCCCTGTTGTCCAGTTCTGTTAGTTCAACAAAGGTTCTTGCTGTTATCACTGTGTCTTGCCTCGTGGGAACCTACCTATACTTCAACAGGCACCTCCTTTGGGCCTGTGGATGGGCAAGGGACATTCCATCTGGCAAACCTAAGCGCTTGTCCTGATGGAAGGATCGCCTTGGTGTAGGACATTCTGGTTTTCTAGTTGCCAATCCATCCTGCTGCATCTACTGCCATATAGATGCAGGGGTCACAAATGCTTTTTCCTGACAGCTGACTTCTGTGTATAGCGGCAGCTGTCTGGAGAAGGGCTGGAAGCCCTCGGAAAGGGTGTTCAAGTGTTTAGTCCACAGCCACCACACTGCCACCAATGCTCATACCAGAATTGCCCACCATTTGTAGAGTGGTGGTTAAAATATAACATGGACGTGGTTCGGATTTGATAGGTAGAAGACAGGGTGCAGCAGCAGGAGAGAAACAGCAACTCTATTGGAAAAGGGGTGGGATGCTGGCAAAAATTAGAGAAAAGACAAAAATGCTTTTTGACTGTATATGTTTAAAATTTTGAAAGTTAATAAAAGTGTGTGTGTGTGTGTGTGTGTGTGTGTGTGTGTGTGTGTAGTGGTCTTTCTCATGTATGTTAAGTCTGCAAGCTGCGCATATTCCATCAGCTTAAGTTGCCATTCTTCTTTGGTTGGGACCTCGCTCGTTTTCCATTTTTGTTTTATTGATTCTAAATGCTGTATTAACCTGTCAATCATATAGTATGACATTTGCTAAAATTGTGATGTTCAGCTATCAGCTTACTTTTTTCATGGCTGATTTGTTACTACAGTAGTGTTATGTAGATTGCAAGTGTTCTACTGATGATCTGTTAATTATTTTACATAATGTTGTTTCATTATGTTTTCCTATGTTACTGTTATTTATTGTTTGCAAGCCACTTTGAGACTCATTTGAATGTAAAGTGACATGGAAATGATGTCCCTAGTACAGTATGCTATGTATAGAAAGAGACCACAGCCCAGATTTCTGGGCTACAGCCATCCTCAGCGAGGAACGCTGCAGCCTTTAAATAGGTCAAAGAAACTGCTTGGCATGGGAACATTAGGTGCAACTTGAGAACGGTGGCAAACAGAAAAATCAAGGCTTAAAAATCAACACCACAGAACACAGCTTTTATGCAAAGCAATTTTAAAGTGAGGGGGTGAGGGGGAGTATTTTTCTCCCCTCCCCCCAACAATACAGAAATCAGAAAATATTGTTTGTGAATTGAAAGAAACTCAGTCCTGTTTTAATTCAAGATGTTGCAGATGTCAGGGCGACCGACATTCTTCCTAACTCCCTGGCTCCTCTGCTTTTGACAGCTGCTCGATCCGCAGATGTTAGCAAGTCATAATGCTTCGGTTTGTGCTGTAAAAAGCTTCACCTGCAACTCTCAGCACCCTTAATGAAGAGTTGTTAGGAGATCCTCGCCTCCATGACCTACAATCTCCAGAGTGGCTTAACAATCAATCCTTCTTCCCAAGAAACTTTGGGAACTGTAGTCTGTGAGGGGAATAGGAGTCTGCTAACGACTCTCAGCACCCTTAACAGACTATAGCTCCCAGAATTCTTTGGGGAAAGCTATGACTGTTTGAGACATGGGTGGCACTGAGACATGTAAACCACTGAGCCTTGGGCTTGCTGATTGGAAGGTCGGCGGTTCGAATCCCCGTGACAGGGTGAGCTCCCGTTGTTCGGTCCCAGCTCCTGCCAACCTAGCAGTGCGAAAGCACACCAGTGGAAGTAGATAAATAGGTACCACTGCGGCGAGAAGGTAAATGGCGTTTCCATGCGCTGCTCTGGGTTCGCCAGAAGCAGCTTAGTCATGCTGGCCACATGATCCGGAAAAACTGTCTGCGGACAAACGTCGGCTCCCTCGGCCAGTAAAGCGAGATGAGCGCCACAACCCGAGTCGTTTGCGACTGGATTTTACTCTCAGGGGTCCTTCACCTTTATACGACTGTTTGAAGTGGTATCATGGTGCTTTAAAGTATGGCATGAATGTGGCCTAGGAGACCACCCTAAATGTCAATATTCTGGTCAAATCCAGCACTGCCAAGGCAGAGATAACATGGCTTTTACTTTCCTTGAGGAAAGCACCTTCCTGAGGCGAGGTTTCTAAGTACTTGATCAAGAAAGTACAACAGGTCATGCAAGTTCTGCAAGTGTGCACACATCCAGACATCTATTGTGGTGCAGTGTGTCAGATAATTTATAGGTGACGCTGGTGATAATAGGCTTGGCTTTGCACAAAGGTTCTGGGATGCATGTGTAATTTTTTTTGGAAAGTTTTACCTTGAGGAAATCAAGCACTGGCTCTTGGATTTTGTCTTCCAGGTCAGCAATGAGTTTGTTGAGGAGAGAAATCTCCTTGGAGAGCTCGGTGATGTTCTCGTTCTGCCTCTTGGTGATGCCCTTCTCCATCTTGTCCAGCTGACCCAGAAGAAGCTGCTCTTGTTCATGCAGAAACTGGCGCATCCCTTCAAATTCAGAGAGGACCTTCTGTCTCTCAGTCTCTATGGTTTTCTTAAAGAAACAAAACCAAGATTGCCAGTTAGCAGAAGGCCTAACACCACCAAACAGTCTCAAAACACAACTTTGGCCAGCTAACGTCAGAATGGTGTCAATAAAAGGGCCCTTCAGAACGGTGGTTTTGGGGTTTTTGGTTTGGCCGCTTGCCTCTTATAGATTCTAACCTCATCTACACAAGATCACAGGTTTGTAAGGGACACCTGGGTGTCATCCAGACTGACCCCCTAAAACCTGTAACCTTACTGTTACTCTGCCTTTAAAAAGAGCTTCTCCTTAAATTACAAGTGAGGACATCTACTGTCGTGTTTTGGGATGACAGCCAGACTTACACTTTCCAATACATGTTGCCATCACTTTCCTTATTGCAAAAAGCATTATGGGATGTAGGCTAGTTGCTTACAAGCTCCAAATCCACTTTAATCGTGTAACCTGAATTTGCCAGTATGTGATTTGAATCCTGCCCCCAAAAAGATCCAGGAAGCATCTTTTCGCTTCCACAAAGGCTGTAGATGGAGAGTAATGATAAATAAGTACAAACAATAGATGGCAGCAGAGGATAAGGAACAGAGTTATAATTTGCAAAAATAACAAGGGACACTCCTAACCTTTCACCTAGTTTGTCATCTGCGCTGTAAATTTGTGCTCTGAGTCTGTTATGAGTTGAAACTGCTTTAACCAGCCACGTAAGCAAGGTGCCTGCCCATGAAGTCAATTGGCACACAGAACAGAGGTCTTTGGCTGTGAACCTGTTGCTGTGGAACTCATCCAGATACCCCTTGTATTCTACTGTCATGTAACCCAAGTGAGAGCTGGACCATAAAGAAGGCTGATTGCCGAAGAATTGATGCTTTTGAATTATGGTGCTGGAGGAGACTCTTGAGAGTCCCATGGACTGCAAGAAGATCAAACCTCTCCATTCTGAAGGAAATCAGCCCTGAGTGCTCACTGGAAGGACAGATCCTGAAGCTGAGGCTCCAATACTTTGGCCACCTCATGAGAAGACTCCCTGGAAAAGACCCTGATGTTGGGAAAGATGGTTGGATAGTGTTCTCGAGGCTACCAGCATGAATTTGACCAAACTGCGGGAGGCAGTGGAAGACAGGAAGGCCCGGCGTGCTCTGGTCCATGGGGTCACGAAGAGTCGGACACGACTAAACGACTAAACAACAACAACCCCGAAGCAATGTTAAAGCACATTTATATTCTCTCTTCTGAGTGAAGATGTGGCCAAAGATATCTGTTCTCTGTGTAGCAATGCTTGACTGCAGGATTTCAAATTCAAATTCAAAATTTTCAAATTCAAATTCTTGTCATGCCCTGCGCCTTCAAGAGCAGCTAGATGGGCAGATATGTGCAGTGCATGATAATGCTTATCTCTGCTTTACCAGCTACACACTTCATCACAATATCAAGCTGTTATGAAAGGCAAAAGAGTAGCCCCCCTCCTCAACCCTTTTCAGCTCTGTTATATTATACCCCCTCATTTGAGTCAATGGTGTACCCATTTGCCAGCTTGTAAGTAACAACTGATACCCACCAAAAGGTCTTGGCTTTTCTTGTCGTCCTGTGTTTTGAATTCCAGAAGCTCCTGTCTCTCTTTCTTCAAGAAATCCAGACGGGCCTGAATTTGTTCCTAAGATCCAAAAAACATAAAATTGTTGGGTTTTTTTTATAAAAAAGTTCCTGCATTTTTCATGTACTTTGGGATCTGTTCTGCAGGAGAAAGTCCACCAGACAGATTTATACTGATAACTGAGAGATAAAGCAAAAGGCAGCCCTGTTTAGGGAAGTTTTATTTAATGCTGTATTGTTTTTAACACTTGATTGGAAGCCGCCCAAAGTGGCTGGGGAAACTCAGCCAGATGGGCAGGGTATAAATAACAAATTATTATTATTATTATTATTAGTCAGTTGGTTCCATCACATATTTTTTGCTGCATCAGGCTGCAGTTCACCATCCGTATAAAACGGCATGCAAAATATTACAAGTTTAACATCCAGCTGGTAGGGGTGGGAAAGACCTGCTCTCTGAGAAAGACTCTGGCTATATATATATATATATGGCCATAAAAACAGTACCAACTGTTATGTTGTGGGTGAACATATCAGACACAGAGATTCTTCAAAGCAGCTCTTTATTTGTAAGCTGGAACAGAACTGAACAGCAAAGAGCTCAGCTGGCCTGCTTTTATAGGCAGCCGGCTGTCAACATTGTAGCAACAACAACCCAGGGTTTCCCGCCTAAAGTAGCTGACGTGGACCTGAGTGAAAACTACATACATGAGACTCCTTTTGGCCAGGGTGAGAACTTCAATACATAACACCAACCTAGATGGACCAATGGTCTGTCTCAGTTTAAGGCAGGGTCCAATGCTACTAATGAGAAGGAGTTGCATTAAGTGGGAATCCAGGCACAGAAATCTTGGCGGGACAGTGATGCAGAAGGCTTAATCTCCGGAATTGCTGCTTCTCAAGCAACTACGTCATTCTGTTTATTTACTGCATTTTTATCCCAGCTTTCTTCCAGGGGGCTCAAGCTGCTCTGCAATAATTACACCCACCTTATCCTTATAAAACAGCCCTGTGAAATAGAGTAGGCTGAGAGATTGTGATGTCACCCATTTGGGCCCCATGGTGAGTGAGGAATTGAACCAGGATCTCTCCAGTCTGATAAAAGTGGGAAATCCTATTGGCAAGAGGAACGCCAGGTTATGCAGAATTCATTGGAACCCTCCCCCAGGACCATGTCATTCCTGACAGCAACTTGTGTTTTTGCAGGGATTTGAGTAGGTGTGTGTGTGTGCTCCAATACTTTGGCCACCTCATGAGAAGAGAAGACTCCCTGGAAAAGACCCTGATGCTGGGAAAGATGGAGGGCACAAGGAGAAGGGGACGACGGAGGAGGAGATGGTTGGACAGTGTTCTCAAAGCTACCAGCATGAGTTTGACCAAATTGCGGGAGGCAGTGGAAGACGAGTGCCTGGCGTGCTCTGGTCCATGGGGTCAAGACGAGTAGGACACGACTAAACGACAACAACAACAAGTGTGTGTGCGCGCACACGTGCACGCAGGGCCAGATTTAGGTTTGATGAGGCCCTAAGCTACTGAAGGTAATGGGGCCCTTTATATGCCCAGCTGTCCTTTGTCAACAACAAATTGTTGCTGTTTTTTGTGTTGAATATATGCTATATGGTAATTTATAGAACTAATAAATATCTAAAGCCATTTGCACATGTTGCCATGCAACCAGTCCGTGCAGAATGTAGGCACCCTATATATAGAAATGAGCGAACCAGTGATATTTTAGGGAGCAGGTTAGCAGGCGGGGCCCATGACTTACATCATAGGAGCCTAAACAACGCAAAACCCTGTTGCTGTTTTATTTTATTTGTTTTTTATCTTATATTTTGGAAACGTACATCCAGTGGTTGTTTTTTTCTTTAAATTTTTTGGGGGAGCCCCAAGAGAGTGGGGCCCTAAGCTATAGCTTGTTTAGCTTATATGTAAATCCGGCAGTGTGTGTGTGTGTGTGTGTGTGTGTGGAGTTGCAAGTGGCAGGTGCCCATAAGGGTTGCCAGGTGTTTCAAGCCAGCGATCCTGCCTCCACTCAGAAGCTGAAAGCAGAGAAAGGCGATGCTTTTGCCTTGCTATTCCACCTGGCAGCACCACATGACAAGGATTTATTACACCTCCAATGTTTAATTTCTAAAATTAGATGCTTCTGGACTCAGATCTGGCTCAGAGCTGCAGTCTCAGACTTGGAGGAAGGGGAAACAATTCTCACGTAGGCCACTGTCACAATGATGATTGACAAGGGAGATGCAGTCCACAGTTGGCTCTGTGTTATTTCACATGCTTACTGCTGATGGATAACGAACACGTCCATGATTGAACCTCATGGTAATAGGTAATAATAAATATTGATAGCCATGCCAGCTGCAGAGAGCAGAAGGGACTTGGGATCCAAAATATCTGGTTGGGGAAGTCTGGTGTATGTAGTGTGGCTTAGCAGGAGAGCCTCATACTTTCACAAGACAGCTATTCTTTTGGCTTGAAGTGTGAGAGAGACAAAAATGGCATTAAGCACCCCTGTATGTATGCACACATCTGGCAGTCTGGATTGGGCTGTGGACCACTAGCCCCCAACACATAACCTGAGAGGTTCAAACCTAGTGATCCCTGGCTTGGATGAAGTCCTGCTTACCACTTTAATGTGCTGACCTACAATAGACATCAAGGAGTATTAAAAGGAGGGTCGTCTTCTCAATGTGCTCAGGCATGGAGAGATGATGACTAATATGCAGCCATGTTTCGGCCAGAGAGGGCGGGATACAAATGAAAGTTTGTTTGTTTTTATTGTTGTTGTTGTTAAGGTTGCCTCCAGACTGACTGCATTTTGCAGGAATAATAATAAATAATAATAATTTATTATTTATACCCCGCCCATCTGGCTGGGTTTCCCCAGCCACTCTGGACGGCTTCCAACAAAATATTAAAATACAATAGTCTATTAAACATTAAAAGCTTCCCTAAACAGGGCTGCCTTCAGATGTCTTCTGAAAGTCTGGTAGTTGTTTTTCTCTTTGACATCTGGTGGGAGGGCGTTCCACAGGGCGGGCGCCACTACCGAGAAGGCCGTCTGCCTGGTTCCCTGTAACTTGACTTCTCGCAGTGAGGGAACTGCCAGAAGGTCCTTGGCGCTGGACCTCAGTGTCCGGGTAGAACGATGAGGGTAGAGACACTCCTTCAGGTATACTGGGCCGAGGCCGTTTAGGGCTTTAAAGGTCAGCACCAACACTTTGAATTGTGCTCAGAAACGTACTGGGAGCCAATGTAGGTCTTTCAAGACCGGTGTTATGTGGTCTCGGCGGCTGCTCCCAGTCACCAGTCTAGCTGCTGCATTCTGGATTAGTTGTAGTTTCCGGGTCACCTTCAAAGGTAGCCCCACATAGAGCACATTGCAGTAGTCCAAGCGAGAGATAACCAGAGCATGCACCACTCTGGCGAGGCAGTCTGCGGGCAGGTAGGGTCTCAGCTTGTGTACCAGATGGAGCTGATAAACAGCTGCTCTGGACACAGAATTGACCTGCGCCTCCATGGACAGCTGTGAGTCCAGAATGACTCCCAGGCTGCGCATCTGGTCCTTCAGGGGCACAGTTACCCCATTCAGGACCAGGGAGGAAATGTAGGTTTGCACAGTTAAAGTGGATTAAAGTGCTCTGCCAGCCTTGTGCCACTAACCTACTTTAAAAAACAAACAAACAGACTTTTTGCAGTTAGGAAAGTGATGGGGAAATGCATTGAAATATGTGGGGTGAACAAACAATGGGAACCTGTGCATGTACACCTGCACAAGCAAATCAAGATGAATTGTCATCATTGGTACCACCTTTCCTGCAAATAAATCAGAACAAATGCTCAGGAAAGATCAGACCTAGTCTAACCTCTATGTAAGCCTCAATAAACAGGTCATTTAGAGGAGCCCTAAATGTCAATTTGCACTGCTATCTGCACGTCCTGACAGATCCCTGTTCCTTAGTACCTCCCAGCTTGGCTCCCATTCAGAGCTGGGCCAGGAGGCTTAGCCTTGGTATGTTTGCATTGCCCGTGCTAAGTGATGGCCCATGTGGACAAGCTCCCTACATTCCTATTAGCAAGCGAAACCTGGAACTAACCAGTGATTCATGCATGGAGCGGTAGCTGTTCTAGCTAAATTAACCTGAAGGCCTAAATATACATTGCCCAGGCGATCTGTGACTTGATCGCCCAATGTTTGTTTCTTCTTTACATGAATGCAGTTAGCCAGGGGACTCCAAAAATGATCAGAGCAATGGCACAGTGGCGTTGGGATTGGCTGTGTTATTCCTGCTTCCACACAGTTTTTCAGTGGTGGCTGTGGAATGTCCTCCCCTAGTGAGCTGCACCTGTCTCCTGTTTTCCCAGGCATCTGATGGCTCAATAATACTGTTCCTGGCAACCCCAAGGTTATTGGACAGAAGAAAGTTTTTTACTGTGACTGCTTGTTGGGGTTTTTTTTAATTTAAATTATTTTTGGAATGTTTTAATCTGTTTTGGAATGTTTTCCTTTGTTTTCCTTTTCTTTCTGTCTTATTTTTTCTTTTTTTAAATTTTATTTTGACAAAGTACTAATCATACATAAATAGGAATGAAAATGTGCACCCCACCCCCGAGACCATTCCATTGTAACTATCCAACCTCCCAAAATTTCAGCACCTCTTATGATGGTTTGACCCCTTTCCGTTTTAACAGTACAAATTCTACAAACACTTTCCATATCTCCTCAAACTCGTTTCTCCTGCATATTCCCCAGCTTACCTTAATGGCACATGTTAATGTATCGTTAATGGCTATATCCCACACCTCTTTATACGATTCTTCCATTTTATTTTCTGCTTGCCCCTTCCACTTCCTAGCTATAATAATTCGTGCAGCTGTCAATAAGGGGTTTGGTGTTTTTTTAATGTGTATCTGCTTGCCACCCTTGGGGAGGAAAGATAGGAAATAAATTCAATTTAAAAAAAAACAAATCACTGATCTATTCTTTGTTTATTACATTTACATCCAACCTTCCTTCAAACAAAACTAAAAGTGGCATAGCTTTAGTTTGTTTCATTTAGGTCTCACTTTCTTCCAAAAAGCTCTTGTTGGCATGTGGTTTGACACAAAAACACATACACACCCTTCAGGTTACAACAGTAATTTGGCAACAACTGCTGCTCCCAGTTCCTGCATGTGGGCTTCCCATAGGCAGAGGGAAAATTCTGGCCGAACAGAATGCAGAACAGACTGACCCACCAAGGTTCCTCTCATGTTTGCTTTAAACTCACAACAATCATGTAAGGTAGGTAAAACTGAATGGGGGGTGTCCCAAGGTCACCCAGTAAACCCCGTGGCCGAGCGGAGATTCGAACCCACAACTCACCAGCCCTATCACAACACCTGGCTTTAACCTAGGGATGGGGAACCTGGTGTCATTGGACTACAACTCCCATCTTCCATGACCACTGGCCATGCTGTCTGGGGCTGATGGGAGTTGTAGGCCATCCCTACTCTAAGCCCCAGATCGCATTAACCCTGGGGTTCCCCTGTAACTTCCCATGACAGAACAACGTAGCTTCAACAAGATTGCTACATAATGTGCAGTCAGACCATAGCCCCGATTTGAATCACTGCCCTTTGCTGAAACTGCTTTCCAACAGCCTTGGGTACCTATGTAAATTGGGAGCCCTTCACGGCAGCTGTATTAAAAATAAAAATAAAAAAGGAGACCCAGCTGCAGATTCCCACAAATGATATAATTATAATAATAATAATTTATTATTTATACCCCGCCCATCTGGCTGAGTCTTCCCAGCCACTCTGGGCGGCTCCCAATCAAGTGTTAAAAACAATACAGCATTAAATATTAAAAACTTCCCTGAACAGGGCCACCTTCAGATGTCTTTTGAAGATAGGATAGCTGCTTATTTCCTTCACATCTGAAGGGAGGGTGTTCCACAGGGCGGGCACCACCACCGAGAAGGCCCTCTGTCTGGTTCCTTGTAATCTCACTTTTCGCAATGAGGGAACCACCAGAAGGCCCTCGGCGCTGGATCTCAGTGTCCGGGCTGAACGATGGGGGTGGAGACGCTTCTTCAGATATACAGGACAGAGGCCGTTTAGGGCTTTAAAGGTCAGCACCAACACTTTGAATTGTGCTCCAAAACGTACTGGGAGCCAATGCAGATCTCTCAGGACCGGTGTTATGTGGTCCCCAGTGCAAAGACCACTTGTGTAAAGGGAAGTTGGTGGAGGACCCGTAGCTCGAGCACAGAACAACTTGCCCCAAAATCTTCCAGGGCCAATGGACCAGCCCTTCTAAGCCTACAGCCATCCCTCCTTCATCAGCTGTAAATTCTATTTTAAGTTGCTATTGGCACTGCACAGCCGAAGAGCAAGCTGGGCTCCTGCTCTCCAGAGAAACAGTGTCAGCCTGTGACCTTATTCCCACTTTGGGAACTCTCCCTCCCAGAAATAGATCGGGAATTTGGTTACTTGCTTAACCTTTTCCTGCCTGACAAGGACAGGCAGCACAGGTGCAACTTACGCCTGCCCTCTAATGGGAAATTCAAGCTGCAATCTATGCACCCGTACCTGGGAGTCAGTCCCATTGAGCTCAATGGGGCTAACTAGGGAGCAGAGATATCTAGGCAGGCACTGCTATGCTTGGCTATTCTAAGAAGCCACTTCCAGACTAGAGATGGGCACACCTGTCCATTTTTCTCTCAGCTTCTCATTTTTTTTCTATTCTCAAGGCCTGCCCTCCACAATTCCACATCAGTTTGTGCATTTTTGTAAACGAAAACCACGTCCTTGTAAAAACTCAGTATTTCAGTGCAAATTTCCCCCCACCGACACAACTTCGTGTGCACTTTTGAATAAAATACACATTTCTGAAAAGCAATTTCTCTTCTACGATGCATTCCTGTATAGTATTTTCACTGATGTATGCACTTGTATGCACACTTTACTCTAGGACGTGCATATCTGCACACATTACGTGACTGGAGAACTGCGCTCCAAAATTTGGAGACATGCAAATTTGGGGAGATTGCTGTGTTTTAGTTGCATACTGCTTTGGAAAGTGCAAATTAGGTTTGCTTGTAAATGCAAACGGAATCAAATTATCTGTGTACATCCTTGAAACCTGCAACTTTCAGCTTTTGAGACCAGTTTCTATCCTGTGCCTTTAACCAAAGTCCCATATGGAACTTTTACAGTTTAAATAATATTTATATCCTGCCCTTCCAGAGGTGTCAGGGGAGAGAGAGGGAATACAGTCTGGGTCCTATCTAGCCATATGGTAATGGGGGCAGGGGGGGATATTTTCTGACTGGAGGGCCCGATCATAAACTCCTGGACCCCTTGTGGGCCAAATCTGACAAGTGGATGGGCTCTTATGTGATGATGACAACATCCTGAGGGGCCTCAGAGAGTGACAGGCACCAGTGCTCTTGCTCTCGTTCTAGGCCTCCTGGAAAAGCGAAAACCAAAGGCAGTCGAACCCTGAGATCCAAGGGTCTGCCATTCCTTCCCCTCTGCTCTCCCCCACTCCCCTTCTACAAAGAACTTTCCTCTCAGCTTTAAGGGTTGTCTTCTTAGCAGCAAACAATGTCCGTCTAAAGGCCTGTGAGCAATCCAGCTAGGGGCCACTCCCACCACACCTGCGCAGAACACCAGCGCATCAGATCTCTTACCTTGTATTCCTGGGCAGCCTCCTCTATGGGCACTACGGTGTGCGGCCTGTGGTCCCGAGACCGGTCGCACACCACGCAGATGGTCTTCTGGTCGTCCTTGCAGTAGAGCTTCAGGGCTTCCTTGTGCTTCTCGCACAGCCCGTCTTCTTCCAGGCCCTTGCCACCATGCATGATGAACTGGCTGATGATCTCCGACATGTTGGCCAACTGTCTGTTGGGCCTGAAGCTCTTCTCCTTGAAAACCTCCCTGCATTGAGGGCAGGGGAAGTCGCTCTCCAGGCTCTTCCAGCTCTTGGCGATGCAGGAGCGGCAGAAGTTGTGGCCGCACTCGATGGAGACGGGGTCCTTGAAGTACTCCAGGCAGACCGAGCAAGTGGCTTCATCCTGAAGGTTGCCTGGCAGGAAGACAGCAGCCATGGCTCCTTCCTGGCCGGCTGGAGTGCCGTCGCCTCTTCCTCCTCCTCCACCGTCTTCTTCTCCTTTAACTGCATACAGGGAACGAATGCTTGGCACGAAACGCAAGGCGGGCCTTCCCGAGCCAGAAACCAGCTGGTGCCCCGAGGTCATCTCAGGAGTTTCTGGTTTCTTAAATTGGCAACAAGTCAGGACCGGGAAGCGAAGTGTTTAGGCCTGTTCGGAGTTTCAAGAGGGGAGAGAAAAGGAGCAGCAGAAGGCCTTGTTTGGGCTGCGGACACAGAAGAGAAGCTTCCCGTGCCCGCGTGACGGGTGGCATTTCGTTTGCCTCATCAGGGTTGGGGATAATGATTCATTTCTAACATTAGAGCTGAGGAGGCTCCACCGTGCCAGAATAGTTATTCCTTTGCATCTGGACTCTGTCCCCGATAGTCTCAGATGTATAAGGGGGTGTTATTGGGTTGTTGTTTCTAATCGCAACTATTTTGTGTTTTTATATTGTGATTTTATCTTGTGAACAGCCCCGGGATCTGTGGGTATAGGACAGTATACAAATTTTATAAATCATCATCATAAACCTGGTTCTAAATAGCCACATGGGAAAGGCATTCTGTAGAAACTTAGGTAGGTAGCCATGTTGGTCTGCCGTAGTCGAAACAAAATAAAAAAATTCCTTCCAGTAGCACCTTAGAGACCAACTAAGTTAGTTATTGGTTTGAGCTTTTGTGTGCATGCACACTTCTTCAGATACACTGAAACAAAAGTCACCAGACCCTTATATATAGTGAGAGGGTGGGCAGGAGTGTTACTCAGAAGGGTGGTGGGAATGGGTGATTGGCTGATAGGTGTGGTAAAACTGTTGACGACTGTTAACGACTGCAATGGTCTTACAGGAAAGAGCAAGGGGTGAGATGGCTAAAAATAGCTTTATCATGTATAATGAGATAAGAATCCAATGTCTCTATTCAGACCAGGTCTCTCCATGGTTTTAAGTTTGGTAGTAAGTTGCAATTCAGCAACTTCTTTTTCCTGTAAGACCAATTGCAGTCGTTAACAGTCGTCAACAGGTCCTCTCACTATATTATAAGGGTCTGGTAACTTTTGTTTCAGTGTATCTGAAGAAGTGTGCATGCACACAAAAGCTCAAACCAATAACTAACTTAGTTGGTCTCTAAGGTGCTACTGGAAGGAATTTTTTTATTTTGTGGAAACTGAGGTGCACAGCTTCTATTACTGCTCCCCATGTTTCGGGGGTGATTTTTGGTACTTGTAAACTGAGTTCAATATTATAACTTAGTGATGCCTTAGAGCAGGCTTGCCCAAGCTTGGACCTTTGGCTGTTTTTGGACAATTCCCATGATCCCGGACCACTGGTCCTGCTAACTAGGGATGACATGAGTTGTAGTCCAAAAACAGCTGGAGACCCAAGTTTGGGAAAGCCTGCCTAGAGGTAGGGAGCCCTGGAGAGGTGGTGTCTGAAAATTGGATACGTTCATTCAGAGAGCATAGAATCACCACAATCCTAATCCCATGGCATCTTGTTTTTTTAAGTGATTCAATGAGTTATGACTAGCCCTCTGCACTGACTGGAAATGAGAGAGGAGGCAAGACTAGCAAGAAAGAATTGCAGCATCTAAAGGGTTACTAGGAATGTGTCAGGATCTACAGTAATCTGGGTGCAGCTGCCCCAGGTGATAAAACTACTGAGCTCACATTTCTGTGTTTACTTTCTAGGATTGGAAAGTATGAGTCAGTCTTATCTCTCTTCCACTGTATTGTACTTTTATACTTTTCTTTCTCTCCCTCTCTTGGAGAAGAAGTGAGAGAACGCCATGATTGCTTTGTCCTGTATACAGTCATACCTCATGTTAAGTTTGCTTCAAGTTATGTTCTTTCAGGTTACGTCCCGCAGCGACCCGGAAGTACCGGAAAGGTTTACTTCTGGGTTTCACCGCTCGCGCATGCGCAGAAGCGCCAAATCGCACCACACACCTGCACAGACACAGCGCTTAAGGTTGCGCTCTTTTCATGCTGCTAACGGGACTCCGGAACGGATCCGGTTCACAGCTAGAGGTACCACTGTATATTGCTTAATAAATCACTTAGAATGCTACACACATGCTCCACAATCGTTTCTGCTATACTCTGCTGGTTGAGGGTGCACGTCTTTTGATATGTGTCGCTGGTGTGCACCAAGACTGATTTGTGAATGTCCCAGTGCTGTGCTTCATCAGGAAGACGCCCAGAGAGGTCTGTTTCATTCCGGGGGCTGAATGTGCCCCCCAGGCATGTTCCGACATCCTATTTCAGTTTAGCATTACTTGAGCAACAAAGGACTTTATCCCTCAAGCTCTGACATGCTCCTACCTGGGAGCAAACCTTATTAAATTGGGGGGGGGGGCTTACTTCTGAGTAGGCATGTGCAGAATCTCCACAAAAGTGCACCTTTCCGGAAAGGGCTTATTAAGAATATGGTGCTGGGGAAAGTGCTGTTTATAGGGTGCCGCAGGGATCCATCTCCATTCCCACACTGTTTAATAATAATAATAATAATAATAATGTTGTTGTTGTTGTTGTTTAGTTGTTTAGTCATGTCCAACTCTTCGTGACCCCATGGACCAGAGCACGCCAGGCACTCCTGTCTTCCACTGCCTCCCGCAGTTTGGTCAAACTCATGCTGGTAGCTTCGAGAACACTGTCCAACCATCTCGTCCTCTGTCGTCCCCTTCTCCTTGTGCCCTCCATCTTTCCCAACATCAGGGTCTTTTCCAGGGAGTCTTCTCTTCTCATGAGGTGGCCCAAGTATTGGAGCCTCAGCTTCAGGATCTGTCCTTCCAGTGAGCACTCAGGGCTGATTTCCATCAGAATGGAGAGGTTTGATCTTCTTGCAGTCCATGGGACTCTCAAGAGTCTCCTCCAGCACCATAATTCAAAAGCATCAATTCTTTGGCGATCAGCCTTCTTTATGGTCCAGCTCTCACTTCCATACATCACTCCTGGGCTTTTACTATACGGACCTTTGTTGGCAAGCTGATAATAATAATAATATTTTTTTTATATCTCGCCCTCCCCGGCCACATCCAGCCATTTCATGCTACCTGGAGAACCGGGCTTGGTTTTTATCAGTAGGTGGATGACACCCAGCCAGCTCTACCTATTTTCATCTCTTATTTCGAAGAACGCTTTGGAACTCCTTCAGCAGTACCATGTGCAAGTATGGCACTGAATGCAGGCCCAAAAGCTGGAGGGAGGGAGGCCTGAGAAGTTAGAATTGTGTGCACATTCCCTGTTAAGAAGCAAATTCACATCTTGGCTGCACCTTTCACCAGCTGCAGCTCGTACTCAGTCGCTCCCATTCCTATGAATTACATTTGGAAAGGTCCGTGAGGATCTAGTCCAAGCCCTTGCAATGCTGGGATCTTTTGCCCAATGTGGGGCTCGAACCCTGAGGTTAAAAGCCTCACGGCCCACCAACTGACCTATCCCTCAACCCTTAGTAACATCTACATTGGATGACCGTAAAATGTTTTACAAGGAGCTCCCCTTGAACCAGGTGATTTCCAGTACAACTACCAGATCAGTGTCTGAGGTTAGCAGAATGAGTATTACAGTCATACCTCGGGTTGAAGTTGCTTCAGGTTGAGAATTTTTGGGTTGCGCACCGTGGCAACCTGGAAGTAACAAAACGCGTTACTTCCGGGTTTCGCCGCTCGCGCATGCACAGCTCAAAATGACATCACGCGCATGCGCAGAAGCGGAGAATCGCAACCCACGCACATGCGGGTTGCGTTCTGTTCTGGATGCGAACGGAGCTCAGGAACGGATCCCGTTCGCATCCAGAGGTACCACTGTATTCCTATGCTAAGTCATCTCCACTGGTCACACGTTTGTTTCCAAGTGCAATTCAAAGCACTGAACTTTGAAGCCCACCATGTTGTGTGTCCCTCTCCCATCCAGATGGCCCAATGAGAAGGCGCCACAGCTAGAAGTGGCAGAGCGACAGGAGTCTGCACAAGGGGTTGAGACAGAGGAGAGAGAAGTGAACGAGTGACAAGAGCACCTCCATGTTCAGGTATATCCTCTGAAGAAACAACTGCTATTACACTGGCCAGCAAGGCAGGAATCAAGGGCCAGTGTGGAAGTATCAGCACCAGCAGGGGACGCAGGTGGCGCTGTGGTCTAAACCACCGAGTCTCTTGGGCTTGCCGATCCAAAGGCCGGCAGTTTGAATCCCCATGACAGGGTGAGCTCCCGTTGCTCTGTCCCAGCTCCTGTCAACCCAGCAGTTCAAAAGCATGCCAGTGCGAGTAGATAAATAGGTACCGCTGTGGTGGGAAGGTTAACGGCATTTCTGTGCACTCTAATTTCCGTCACGGTGTCCCGTTGCGCCAGAAGCGGTTTACTCATGCTGGCCACAGCTGCCTGTGGACAAACACCTGCTCCCTTGGCCTGAAAGCGAGATGAGCAATGCAACCCCATAGTCGCCTTTGATTGGACTTAACTGTCCAGGGGTCCTTTACCTTTACCAGCAGCAATGGACACACATTGAGGTAGGAGGTCATGTTACAGATGAGTCCCCTGTTGTCTGAGGGCACTACAGCCTGGCAGAGGTGGTTTATTTTGGAAGGCTACACCAGAGCCTTTCTGAACTCCAGGGACATTAGAATTGCTGAGGAAAAGCTAGGGAGATAGTGCCTGGGGTGCTCAGACCAGGCAGAGATTTGTAGTGTTACCCACAGAACCAACAGCAGGGTGGGTGGGCAGGCAAGCAAAGCAAATAGCACCCCTAACCTGACGTTGAGGTGTAAATGCAGATTTTTCACAATGGAACTTAGCTCCTTGGGTTACTTATCACATACAGATGAGACACAAACGTTTCTGGAATGGAACTAGTTTAACTGCAAAGAGAGCATCACACATCTTAATGCTTCCCCATCCCCCCCCAACTCTACCTACTGTTGGATCCCTGCTCATTAGAGGAAGAAGACGTATGAAGGAGCAATGTAATTTGTGAAAACTAGGCCTTTCACCACAGGGGAAATCTGGGTTTATAAACATGGGCGCTGCTTTGCTGTAAGAAGCAGGCTGGGAAAGCCTACGGAGAAAGGAAGTCCAACAGACTGTGATTTCTTTCCAACTCTTAAACGTCACAGAAGTCATTACAGTGGTACCTTGGTTCTCGAACTTAATCCGTTCCGGGAGTCCATTCATCTCCCGAAACTGTTCGAAAACCAAGGTGCGGCTTCCGATTGGCTACAGGAGCTTCCTGCACTCAATTGGAAGCCGTGTCGGACGTTCGGCTTCCGAAAAACATTCACAAACCAGAACACTCATTTCCGGGTTTGCGGTGTTTGTTCGACAACTAAGCCATTCGAGAACCAAGGTACCACCGAGGAACTTTTACCTCAGTATATGTAGAATGGAAGTTTTACAGTGCCTAATTTTGCCCTCTACTCTCCTGATGCTCAGCAGGGGTAGGATGGAATAAGGATTGCTGAAATGCTTTTTTTTTTTTTTTAGAGCCACATATACACATCAAGCTACTTTGGATCATTTTCACACCGTTTTCCTGTTACTGGGAAGGCAACTTTATTAAAACAGGCTTATTTTTTCCTGTGGTATACAAAAAAAAGCATGGCACTCCTTTCAAATTGGATCTCATTCACTCTAAAATCATGCTGTGTCCAATAGTGCCATGTTCACAAAGGGAAACACCCATTCAGAAAAGAGAGATATTCCAAAAGCAGAGTGTGTGAAATGCTTTGAAGAACACTACATGTTTGGTGTGTTTTTTTAAAAAAATGTAGCCACCTCAACTACTGTCCTAAGATTCTTTGCACAATGTTTAGATGCTATGTATTTGTCACCTTCAGGAAAATTGGAACACCCAGTTTAGCATTGTTGTGTGGAGGATTTGTACCAACTGAGTAAAGCAGGAGTGAAACTGGGCTTCAGAATGAACCAGGGGGAGGAAAGAGATCAATCTGCCCTAGAGAATGGATTAAAGGCTATCCACAAACAGATCTGCCACATCTGAAGATGCCCCATTCAGGATCATCACCTCTGTGCTAGGGTCACCCGCAGAGGAAGCAAAAAATTTCTGGATGAAGTGTTCCATTTTGAGCAAACCCTTTCAGTGGAATATAAATCAGCTGCTAAGTATTAAAGCTAAGATGCAGTTGCTTTTAAATGAAAATAAATAAATAAAAAATGTGTTAAATACGAACCAACTGAAAATGCAGTTAAAATTTCCATTTTTAATATCTGTAAGTTCCCCCCCACAAACTGAACAAGCTCGAACCTACCACTAGGAAGAGGAGTCTTGACAATCCTTTGTATAATGAAGGATGTCCTAACAGCGATACTATTTTTTCAAGGCCTACAGTCTTCTTCATTCACAGTCCTTGTGCTATTCCATAGGGCAACATCGTAAGGCCTTGGTGCAAGGAGAACAGTTCCGCCACCTCCTCCTATTCTCCCAAAGATCACACAGAGGTAAAACACACAAACTTTCTTGCTCCCAAAGAGCTTGGTTCTCTGCTTTGGCCAGTTAGACATCTTTCCCCCCCCGCCTCTTACACCGGGTCCATGGAAAGGAGTTAAAATCATGGACTCAGGATATCCATCTCATGGACCCCGGCTGGGTATTTCACTCCCATGTGCCTCAGAAATACAGAATGAGCGGGGAACCCCACCACCCACAGCAAGGGGTGGGTACGCGCCCCATTAAAAGAGGCCGGTGGGAACGTGAATATGGGGCTGTCGGTGTCCGCATCCGTAAAGGTCACACACTCCCCCACGTAGTCCAGGGACACTCGGATCCTCCTTGGGGGCTTGCTCAAGGACAGGGCGGTCACAGGGGACGTGAGAGCCCAGTGTTGGCCCTTCCACAACCCCACGGCCCAGATCCCCTCCTCTGGGCTGAACCCCATCATGCCCTTCTTCTTTGACGGGTCTCGGGTGACCCCGACTGCCCAGAATTCCCCATCGCCCACTTCCAACTCCCAGAAGTATCTCCCAGAGGTAAACCCGTCACAGCCCAGAACCAAAGCTCTGGAATCTAATCTTTTGGGTGCGTCGGGGACGTAGTCTAAGGCGGGAAGCCTCTCCTGGAGTTCTTCGCATCCTGCGTTCCTTCGGTCCAATGGTAGAAAAGAACTTGGTACATCCGGATAGAGAGCAGCATCTGCTGAAGGCATAAGGCAAGCCATTTTCAGTCTGAGGAATTGAGGGGTGGGCCCATCCCACAAACAACATTTGTTCCACAATGCAGAGGTGGCCTTCGCCTCCCACTTGGTGTACATTTCTCCATTTTTACTACATCTCTATTGCTATAATGGCTAGATCTGATGGGAGCTGAAGTCCTAAACATCTGGCGGGCAGACAAAGAGTACAGGGTTCAGGCCCACCACTATGACTGTTGTTAGCCACGCTGAGCCCGGCTTCGGCTGGGGAGGGCGGGATATAAATAAAAAATTTTTGATGATGATGATGAAAACTCACCTTTATCGTTCAGTGTTTTCACAGTCTCTCCTTTCTCCACGACAGATGTCACGTTATCTAGAGAAAGAAAAGGTAGTTTTTCCTCCCGGCAAAATATCTCTTAAAGAAATCACTTAGCCCCCCACAATTCAGAAAGTAACTTGCCCGAGGCCACTGAGTGGTCTTCTTAGACGACTATTTCATCCTGGGTTTCTCGTGTTAGAAGTCAGTGTGCTTAAACATCATTTCCAGATGATAGTTACTAATGTGGGTGCAGCTTGCTTTAAGGCAGCCTTTCTCAACATCTGTGGGTCCCCAGATGTTGTTGAACTACAACTCCCATCACCCCCTAGCTAGCAAGACCAGAGCTCAGGGATGATGGGAGTTGTAGTCCAACAACATCTGGGGACCCACAGGTTGAGAACTGCTGCTTTAAGAGATGGAATGGAATTTAGCGACTAAGTGATTCCCGCATCCTGTTTCTGCGAAACAGTCTGCCATCATTGAACCTTCCCTTTCTCCCTTTTGTTAGCTTCCCATTAAACACAACTTGCAGTCTTTTCCTATCATTTTCTGCCATCACTGCCTTCCAGGACTGAGATCACAACGCCTCAGCAAGAATACAGAGCTCCCATTTTGCCATAATAACATCAGGGTACAAATACTGTAGAGAAGAACCTCAATTTATAAAGCAGTTTGTCTTTGCTGTAAGCAACCCTTACCAAAACCAAGTTAAATGCTAAGCTGCAGTAACTGGAGGGAGTGAGGTCCGAAGGCTGAAAAAGTGGTTCAGCTTAGGGCCACGCAATGAATTCATGACTTTCAGTTCACAGTTAAGTGCCCTTAGACAGCTCCTGGTGAAACCCCATCTTTCCTTGTGCCTCTACACAATCCAGAGCCGCATTCCCTCCCAAAGTTATGTGAGGACTTCTATCTGAACTGGATTTCAATGCACAGTGTCAATTTTTTAAAATGAAAAGCGGAAGACACTAATTAGAATTTAGGTTATTTTCAGATGGTAAAGAGCCAGGCGTTAGAAGTTCCGCATTCTCTTCAGCCTTTTTTTTCTGTACCTTGGAATCTATTTAGAGTTTCCTTCAGAAGCATCCCTTTCCGTGAGAAGTTCTCCAGCCTCTCTTCGAGCTTAGGAGAAGCTTCTTCGGATGGCTGGAAATGCCCTGCTGCACATCTGCATTTTGAAAGCAAAAAGAGAAAACGCCTAGTATAAATAGTCCTGTCAGCCATGACCTACATTCCTCTTCAAAGGCCATAATGGTCTAGCCAAGCCTTCCCCAACTTGGCATCCTCCAAATGTTTTGAACTACAGCTTTCAGCATCCCTGAGCATTGGTCATGCTGGCCGGGGCTGAAGGGAGTTGGAATCCAATGTACAGGATGGTCTTTTCTGGCCACGTGACACTTTTACTGGTTCGAGGAAGCCAAGCAGACATATTATTAAGTAATATATCTCACTAAATCAAATGCTACCAGTGTGAAATTTTGCAATTCCAAATCTCTCTTTTACCACTGTCTTTGGTCTCAACATTTGCAAAGGACCGTTTCAAATTTGCAATGAGGCAAATGCCTCAAGCAGCAGATTTTGGGTGCAGTGAATGCAGCAGAGCAGGGGACAAACCTCCTTCACACCAGAAAGTTCTCCTACGTAAGCTCTGCCACAACTGCCAACTGAATCTGTGAGGCTTGTGCTGGATAATTTTATGGTGGGCTGTAATATATGTGTGTGTCATTTGTATTTCCCACTTCAGGTACCAACATGCCATGAGCTGGTCTGGGGACTGAAGGGATGCAGTTTTATGTGACAACCTACCGCGTGAAGCCGCCCCCGCTTCCCAAGCTTTGTTCCTGCTCCGTCACTTATCGTATAGGGAACCTGTGGCTGCCCAGATGCTGTTGAGCGGCACCTCCCATCATCCCACTGGACACACAAGCAGAGGCAGAGAGAAGCTGGAATCCCACAGCCATGTGGAGGGCCACAGATTCCCTACCTGTGACAAATAGAGCTGCTTCCAGTTGCAAATGTTCCTAGGGTAGGCTGAGTGGCCGTTTTGAGTCCCTGGAAGCAGAGGAATCAAAATGCTGCCTTGAACACTGCTCTACTGCCCTGGTGCTTGTAAGGCTGGAGGAGCAACAGGCGCACAACTTTCCTTGGTCTGCAAGCTAGCAGCAATTTGAGGACTAGGAATGTCATTTTTGAGGTTTTTGGGGGGGGATGGGGAGACACAATAAATCGCCACATACCTGCTCATTGTTTTTTTAATGTCCTAGAGAGAGAGAAAGAGAGAGAGAGAAAGGAGCTAAGTCCCACAACGCTTTGCACTAGGAGTGAGTCATAAGCTAAAAGGGAAGCCTGCCTCTGCACCCCCCATCTCAGGCTGCAGAGGACTTCCGAGAGTGCTATCAAAGGCAGGAGGGGTGGAAGCTTTGTTCTAGCCTCTGCTGCTTCACAAGGCAGGGGGTAAGTAGCCTGCCCCCCCAGTTGCCCTCAGGCTCTTACCTGGGATCCTAGAGGTGGCACATCTGGTGTTAGCTCCAAGACAGGAGAGGTGGGGGGTGCTCTGGTTACACACGGGAGCCTTCGCGGCACGGTGGTCTCCCTGGTGCTGCAACTGTTTCTCTGAGGAGAAGGGCTGCCCTAGTTTTTAGCAGCCTTCTCCTTCCCGAACTGTCCTCCCACCCCGTCCTGCCGGTGAACAGGCTGGCTTCTCGCCCCCACCGGGGCCTGCCCACCGGCTGCCTTTCGCCTGGAGCCGCTGGCTCCTTCCCTCAGCCACGCCACCCACACGACCTCTAAGTGCGCTGCTGCTGTCCCGACAGGCACACCGCGTCGCCGCTGGAGAGGGGGTGCACCTCGGCAGAGGCAACGGCGCCCCGCTCCCAGGAGCACAGGCCCAGGCAGAGCCTCCGCAATCTCCCCAACCCGCAATCACTGCGTCGCACTCTTCACCATCACCTGTAGTGACTCTCTGCACGCCACAGGTTACCTAAAATCGTCTCCTTCTTGCTTGTGATCAGAGAGCTGGTTTCAAAGTAATTAAAGGAGAAAAAAAAAGATTCTGTGCCAAGGGATCAAGTGCGCAGGAGCTGCTGCTCGTTTTTTTTAAAAAAAACAAACCAGCCTCACATCCTTGGAATAGCTACAAATGACGTTCACCGCAGAGTGGACCACAGGAAGACCCTAAGGAGATCCCAGAAAATGCAGGCTTTTTTTGCAGGCACACACACTCCACAAGCCCCTTTTGTTTTCCTCCAAACGAGTCAGTAAATAAACCCCGCTCGCTGGCCGTCAAAACACAAGAGGCGTCCCTCCCCCGGTATCCCCGCGGCATGCAGTCATCAGCATTATTCCAGAGACTGAAAGCTCAGAGTGACGTTTGTTCCAGTCCCACAGCCACAGCAGTGCCCCGAGTCCCCAAAACACCCTTAAGAGAGAGAACCCATATGAACAGGACTGTACGTACTAGAGGTCTGCATGGCAGCCATACCCGATGTGTCCCGACATGAACCTGAAGGAATGAGGTCATCCAGGCCAGCTTCTCAACAGCCTTCAGGTCAGGCTGAGGGACCTGGAAGTACATCTGCCAACAGCAGAGTGCTCTGGTGTCATAGCCTTCCGCAAGGGGAGGAGCTACAGCGTCCCAGCCGTCCTTTGCAAAAGCCAAAGGGCGCTCTAAAAGAAGGCGAGTCGAGATCAGAGGGATGCTCCCCCCCTCCTTCGGAATGGCCGTTTCGCAGCTCTCTGTAAGCTGGAACCATGGAGCTCCTCCTTCCCCCTCCCACCTGGCTTTGGTTCCTAAGGAACAGCCTTGCCACCTGCGCAGGGGAGACAATCGCAGCACTTGGGCATGCGGGACAGCTGATGGGGGTCCACGCAGAGACCCCAAATCCAGTATAACAGCACATATGCCGCTGCCTCCAGGAGGCGCGTGCCCCGCCAGCATCCTGTACACTAAACAGTTTGCTGCCCGTTCCAGCATGGAGAAGGTCTAAGCTCTGCCTGGCCCAAACTCCTGCGGTGGCAAGGAAGCGGCAACTCCCGCTTTCAGGCACTTGCAGGCTCTCTAGAGCTCCAGTGCCGGGGCCCCCCAATGCTTGGGGCCCTTAACCCACTGCTAGTCTCCGCTCCAGGCCAGAGAAAGAGGTCTCTGTTGATTGCAAAATCTCACCTGCAAAAATTCGGCTGCCGGTTGCTTACATTTCACCTCCATCTCGGCGATCACATCGCCGAGACGGGAAAGCTCTTCCGAGAGTTTGGTAACCATTTCGTCCTTCCGCTTCTCTATCTCTTTATCGAGCTCTTCTAGCTGGGCAAGCAGGTGCTGCTCCTCATCTTTGAGAAACTGGTGGAGGCGCTCAAATTCAGATATGATCTCCTGTCTCTCTGCTTGGACGGTTTCCTGTAATGACCACAGGTAAAATGGGAGTTAAGAGAGCCCTTTGTGGGTGCACAAGAAAAAGATCGTCATTACAGCCCTAAGAAGACAGCAGCCAAACAAGACTGTATAACGAACCAGCACAAGGGACAGTGCAGACGCAGAAGATATGAGGCCAAAATAGGCTATGACAAGGAAGGCAAAATAAAAATGACCAGGGAGTAGCGGGGGATAGGGGGACGGGGGCGGGAGGCATTATCTAAAACCAGCAGGCGTCTGCAACACTTCCCTCCCTTCTCCCTACCACTACCCCATCATCCCCTGCAACGGCCTCCATCTCCCTCCAGGTGGACCTGGAGGGGTTGAGAAGCATGTTCTGTTGTATAGCATCTGCAACCCAGCTTCTTCAGTCCCTGGACTTGGCAAAATAGCCAGCCTGGTTGGAGGATAAGGCTGCAAGAGGAGGCTGCAGCAGAAACAGGAAAATGCTCAGCACCCCGCCTGAGGACTGTTATCCAGGACAAACATCCCACTTGTCCACCGTATGGGACCCAACCATGGATAGCTTGCTCTGCAGGATGAAATCAAAATATTTATTTAGGACCATCAGCTAGCTATTACACAACAAGCCACTAAAAGAGACAAACATCAAGAACAAAACAGTGACTGCCTCTTCAGGCAAACACTCAGATATAAAAAGTTTTGGGGTTTTTTTTACAACAGAAACAACTTATCTACATTTTTTTTAATGGGAAGCAAGGTATTGTGTTATTCCTGAGCTTGTGATGTGGGTTTTCTTGAAAAGTTTGTGTTGGGGGGGGAGAAATCCTATGCAAATTAGGCCCGTTTAAACAGCGTAATTTGCTAAAGATAGTTAGCACTGACTTTTATGAACCTGTAGAAAAAAATGGGATTTGGGGGTGGGGCGGGGAGTAATACGGCCAAACAACAACAACCACCCCTCAAGACCCAATGTCTCTGTTCCTGATCACCAATGGCAACAGGTACCTACCATGTAATCCTGAATTTTCCTCTCTCCAGTCAGCTTCTGGCTCCACAGCGTGTTCTTCTCCTGCTTCAGGATCTCTAGTTGTGCCAGAACCCTCTCCTGAGAAAACAGAAGTGGCTTGAGATGGGAGGGAGGGAATCAGAGGTATCAAGAGCACAGGAGTTTGTTTTAGTATAGATGTATAAATATAGTTCAGTTGGGCAAGAGGCTTTTTTGCCTTCAGGTAACTCTGTCATGAGAAAGAGAAGGCAACCTGCACCCAGAAGCCTTTTCCCAATCTGAGGAACAAGAAGGTTTGGTTTCTTCAATAGCCCCATACGGTTGTGTGCACTCCATAGCAAGAAAAAAGAAATCAAATCCATATGCTGAATGCGTTGCATTGTTAACACTTCTGCTAGTCTTAGGAAGAGAAATACTGACACCCTACTCCTTTCCTTACAACTGGGAGTCCTGCCGGGCATCTCTGTGGCGTCCCATACTTTATAACTGGGAATGTATTTTCATACTTATCTTTTAAACCACAAGGCTAAATACTTGGTTCTTTAAAATAACCTCAATACGCTGTTTCTGCAGGTATTAAAACCTAGGTGTGCATTTTGAGACCTAAATCAACACTAACAATATACGTGGGCTCTTAGAAGCTAACAAGTTCTCCTTAGCTGGCCCAGCTATCACTTAAAATTGGGTGGGGCAGTTTTTCGGTATCTGGGACACAGAATGTTCTGTTGGAATTTGGCAGCTGGAGAGCAGGGGCACACGAAGATGAAGCTATTACCTATTGAATAATTTGTGGTGTTAAAATTATTGAGCGTGAAGAAGCCGACAGCAAAAAAGAGTTATCAGAAGCTCACTAATGTGAATTCCCCGAAGCACAAACTAAGAAACTTAACACTGTGGCAAGAACACCACCTTTTCTCAACTCAATATGATAAATGGCACAAGAGGAAATATGAGAAGAGCTCTCAGAAAAGATGGGGGGAAATCAGTAGAATTTATTTTCAAGCAAAAATGCATAGGAAGGAATAAAGTTAGAAATGTTTGTTTTTCTGAGTCCACTTCTTGTAAATGTTACTGTTCCAATTCATAAGTAATCCAAGCTTCTAGGTCTATAAGCAGGGAATATGACACAAAGAGGGGAAAGTTACTATTCAGAAACTTCCATCAGTTGACAGGCCATTGTCACTGCACTGGACCTTAAGAATAAGAAACAAGGAACAGGTACCTTGACACTTTCGTGAATACAAAAGAATCAGGCTGAATGGTCTCTAATCCTCTATTGATAAATGCATTGACATCATTTTGTTTTCAGAGGTTGCTAGGCACCTAGATTTGGAAACCTGTTTTCAACATAAAGCTAAGGATCCACAGTTCTTCCAGCTGATTTGATATCCTGTAGAAACCAGAGATGCCAAAATAAGCTAGAAATCTGATGACTAAAGGGCCCTCCACACACCCTCTAACCCAATTATTTCTCCATCCTACAGCTAAGCATTTTCTCAGAAGATCACAGCTTGGAATGCTACATAGACTCACAACTATGCGATCATTATTGCAAGAAAAGACCCAAGCCAACAATATTTGAACATAATTTTCACTCAAGATACAAAAGTAACCAGAAAGATGGAAGTTTAAAGGTCTGTGTAAGCATAATTCTTTATCCAGAATAAACCTGTCTTATAAGAAGGAAAATTTATTTCCAAACATGGCTTAGTAAGAGATACTTCTGGCGCCAGGTATAAAACAGCCAGAGAACAATGAATACTATTATTTTACTGCTGTTGTTACTTTATTTTACAAAAATGCCCTGCTATTAAAAGATGAGGAAAGATAAAAAAAGAAAGTAGCGAGTACAGAATGTAAATTGGCCATTTTTAAGCATCACTCCAGCGCTCTCTGAACCCATAAGTGATGCAGTCAATCATTAAAAACCTTATGTTCATTACAGCAACAAAAAAACCAAGCGATGTTAAATTATTGCAGCAAAATGTTTTCCTACAGCCAAAGAAGCATAGCTTTCAACCTTCCTTTTGTGGGAAATCCCCTTACTGCAGCACCGTTTCCTGCTGCTTCCCGCTATCCCAGACTGTTAGATATCCCATAGACTGTCCCCGGGACAGGTGAGGCTGCCGGTCCCTTATTTTCAAATCCTAAAGTTGACAGCTATGCTGCTGATCCCTTATTTTCAAATCTGAAAGTTGACTGCTATGCAAAGAAGTCGGAGGTATAAACGTTTTGCTAGGAGAATTCAATAACCCCGTCCCGTGTGCTGTTTTGTTTGTGCTAACCACGGCACTGCCCTAATAACGGATTTTGGAGGGAGCTGAACGGGCCACCAGGACTACCTGCTCCTGCTTGCTTTGCTTGCCACTGATTGCTTGTTTCGGAGAGCTCTCCCCCTCCCTCCCTCCCTCCCTTCCTTCCTTCCCTTACCCTGTAGTCCCGGGCTGCCCTCTCGACGTGGAAGACGGCGTGCGCCCGGTGCTCCTGGGACCGATCGCAGTGCGCGCAGATGGGCGCCTGGTCCTCCTCGCAGAAGAACTGCAGCACGTCCCGGTGCTTCTCGCACAGCTTCCCTCCGGCGCCCTCTCCGCATCCTCCTGCCGACAACCTTCTGGGCAGCGGGGGCGACGTCGCCAAGTCTGCCGCCGGTGCTGCAGGAGCCGCTGGCGCTACGGGAGACGGCGGAGTGGGCGGCGTCAAGGACAGCAGCGGCGGCGGCGCTGCTGCTGCCGGTGGTGGTGGTGTCGGTGCGCATACCGGCGCCGGAGACACTGCGGGGGCCACTGTCATCGGCTGGTGCTGCTGCTGGGGCAGCGGCGGCGGCGGTGCTACCACCACGGGCGCCGGCGGCAGCGCGACTGCCCCTCCGGGCCCGGAATCGAGCCTCTGCCTCTTGGGCCTGTCCGCCACCAGGCTGGCCAGGAGCGGCGGCGGCTTGATGGGCCGCAGGTTCCTCTTGCGGGCGGTGGCGCCGCACTCCAGGCAGGAGATGTTGATCTTGGGCTCGCCCAGGCGCTGCCCGATGCAGGCCGTGCAGAAGTTGTGGCCGCACGGCAGGCACACCGGGTCCGGGCAGTAGACGCGGCACAGCGAGCACCACGTCTCGCTGGGGCAGCGCGGGCCCGCCGGGATCTCGGCCGGGGTCGTGCCGGGCGGAGGCGAGTCCGGCGGCGACGGCGGAGACAGGACGGACGGCAGCGGAGGCAAGAGCGGCGGCGGCGCCAGCGGGCCGCCCACCGCCAGGCCCGGGTGCTGAGCGCCCCTCAGGCGGCTGCGGAGGAGCCGCTGCTGGAGCTGCTGCTCCGCCGACATCCCGCCGCCAACGCCGCCGCCGCCGCTCATGACGCCAGCCCAGCCCAGCTCCAGCCTGCCTGCCTGCCTGCCTGCCCGCGAGGACGCCGACGACGCGCCTGCCCCCCTTCCGGCGGACGCGCCACCCGATTGGCCGAGCCGACAGGCGCTGAGCGGAAGCGAGGGGGAAGCCGGGAGACGTTACGGCCGTAACCCTTCGCGCGCTGGGCTCCAGGCAGCAAAGCGGGAAAAGGCAACGGCCCGCTGGAACAGCGTGCGCGCCGACGTCACGCGGGCCTCCAACTCCCATCAGCCCAGGCCAGGATGGCGAATGCTAAGGGATGATGGGAGTTGTAGTCTTTCTTTTCCCCCAAAATTTTTTTATTGGTTTTCACAACATTATAAACAAACAAACATATAAGACAAACAAACATAAATCATAGTCTTATTGAAAATTACACTTATTAACATTGTTAAGTGGCTTCCTCGCTTCCCCTTGGTTGAATTTCATTGCATATCCTTTTAACGGTTTTCCAAATCACAGTTTTTATAAAATTTAACTTAAACATTAACATCCTTAAATCTTCACATTATGAAATTAAATATATTCATTCATCCCTAACATAAATAAAATCCTAAGCCAATTAAGTATCTGCAAGCTGTTTTCAATTAATTTAACTTAACATATTTAACTAGGTAATCATAAAATTTAATCCACTCTTCCTGATACTCAGGCAGGGGGGTTGTAGTCTTGGAGGGGCGCCGACAGCTGCTGTTATTTTTAAAATAGGGGGAATGTTAAGCAAGCAAGCAAGGAAGCGCTCAAACACTTTCTTGAGTTTCCCTCCCTTCTAAAGAACAACAAAATCATATAACCTAATAAATAAAAAAAACAGAGGCAAAGTAGAGACTGTTTTATGAGAATTAGGCTTCAGAAAATAGCGATTGTCCGTAGCAAATGAGGACACTTGGACCACATGAGATTGGCACACACTGTCAGGAAGCGATCAGGATCAACTCTTAGTATGCACTATCAGCCTCCATTCTTAACTGAACTTTAGCCAGAGGCTTTAATGTTAAGTCAGCAAAACTGGCAGTAGAATTGGACTTGGACCTGGGATACTTAAGGTCAACTCCTTGGCCAGCCACATACTCTCTGGATGCTCCATAGTAGTGCAACTGTTATTGAGCCATTTGCAGTTGCTCAAGCTAGAGTGAAGGTCTACATTCTTAATTCATCCCATATTTTACCAGCAATTCTCAAAGATCAGTATACGGATAAAAGATTTAATGTCTTTTGTTTATTGCATTCACAATTCTCCAGACAATCCTTTCAAATTTGGGTAGTGCTGGTGCTTTGGGGAGTAGGGTTTAGAATCCGAAGCATGACCCAGGACAAAGAAATGGCCAGTCATATCCTTGGGTATGATCTTTCAAAGGACCCATTAATGATCATGGTTGGATTATTTTAGAGGTGTAATACTGGAGGAAGACCTCAAAATTGTAGTTCATTTAATAAAGACAGCTAGGAAACACTGAAAAAATCCCAGATCATGTTCTATTGACATGCTTTTCTTAGGTATGGGAAATGGCTTAAGCAGACAAACAAAAAGGGTAAGAGAAGGCCAGTTGAAGGAGGACGTTGTGAATAGAGCTTGTTTAGGAATGATAAAAGTCAAGAACCGATCAATCCATATGTACAGTCATACCTCGGGTTGAAGTAGCTTCAGGTTAAGCATTTTCGGGTTGTGCTCTGCGGCGACCCGGAAGTAGCGGAGCGTGTTACTTCCGGGTTTCGCCGCTTGCGCAGACGCTCAAATTAACGTCGTGCACATGCGCGGAAGCGGCGAAACGTGACCCACGCAGTTGCGTGTTACATTCTACTCAGGATGCGAACGGGGCTCCAGAACAGATCCCGTTCGCATCCAGAGGTACCACTGTATTATTAGGGAATATATAACAGAACACTCGTGACAAACTTAAATTATATTTTTTTAAAGACAATTATTCTTTATTTTAATTAACTGAAAGGGAAAAAAGAAGAATAATTATGTATTTGTGCAATGTATTTATTCTCACTTTTAGATAATTTACTTCAACACCACTTAAAATGTGTTATTTACCTGTATCATGTCTCCTCTTACTCTCCTTTTCTCTGAATCGAAAAGCCCCAAATGCTGAACCGTTTTTTCATAGGGGAGTGGCCCACATATGATAATCACACATTATGTCCCATACATCAGAACAATTTCACAGCAGAGATCACTGTAGTAAACCTGTGGCCCTCGAGATGTTGCTGAACTACAACTCCCGCAGCCTCAGCCACCATGGCCAATGATCAGGGATGAGGAGAGGAGACACAGGTCCCCCCGCTCTGGTCTAGTTGATAAGCAGACTGAGGAAAGGGGTAGTGAAGTTCTTTAAAAGCTATTACACAGGGCTTTTTTCCAGCTGGAATACACCTATTACACAAGAAACAAACAAAAAACCACAAGAATCTTCTCTGTTCACAAAAGGAATTTTAATGCAATGACACGACAGTTTTCTGGATCAAAATATATGCAAATCTGTTGAACCTTAACAAAAATGAAACACACCTTCCAAAAGTGCAGATGTGTCAGCGTGGGAGCCATTTATAAATCACTTAACAGTGCAATCCTATACATGATTACTAAGAAGCAAGTCTTATGCTCGAGAGGAGTTACTCCCAGGTAAGTGTGTAAGAAGTGGAGCCATAATCCAGCAAATCCCCCTTAATCCTGTTTTGCCGCAGTGAAAACAAAGGACTTAAAAACAACCTAAAAGCAAAGACTCTGGTTTATCTGGTTTATGGATTGAAGCTGTGGCTGCTTTGGTAAACCTCAACTAGGCCAGACTAGCCACTGTGCTGTTCTCACAAGGGATCCCGATGGTGGGAATGGATATTTCCAAATTCTGTTGTGGAAAATCTACAAATTCCAGGGATCCTGGAAAGCCATAACCATTTAACTATGCAGCGAAAATATAGCCAAGGACTACTCCGTACATCCGTCCTTACTTTTCTGGGTTTATCCATCAAGGCAGGGAACTCCTACTGCCTTTTAATCTTTGCATCTTTCAAGTCTTCATTCTATTTCAATGCAGTATGTTATCAATTTTGCACATAACTAAGATGCCAGGATGTCCCGCACACATCCAGACCGAGGGGGGACAAGTGACTGGGATTTCAGTAATTAGCAAAGCACTCATTTACATAAGCTCCTAAGGTGCAAGCGTTATACATACCACTTTCCGCTAACTTGCTGCCAAGAAAGGAGATTCCGACTAAACATTGGGAATAACTTTCTGGCAGGAAGAGTTGTTTGACAGTGGAACAGACTCCCAGAAGAAATGGTGAACTCTCCTTCCCTGGAGGCTATTAAGCAGAGTTTGGGTGGTCATTGTGTCTTGAATGATTGAGTTGACATTCCTGCATTGCAGGGGCTTCGACTAGATTGCAATACTACAATTCTATGATCTCCAGCGTGCCAGTGACATGGAAAAAGGGAAAGCCTTCCTTTTAAAGAAACAAATAACAATAAAATAAATGGGGTAGGATAAGTGCTCATATGCTGAAGTGGTACAGCAGCATCTGTTGCATAAACTCGGAATAAGAAGCATGTGAAAGGTTGTCTGATAGGGTTGACATGGGAGAAGCAAGTGTTGCGTTGGTCACCACTGCTGATGCGAGTGGCCACCCACTGGATGCAGTGCAGGTAAGTCAAACACAGCCACGTTCCTTAGAGCAGGTATCTTCAACCTTTTCAGCCCCAGGACCCAATTTTCACTGCAACATACATTTGGGGACCCACTTCTTAATCTTTAACCGTATATTAGCATGGAGGTAGTGCTCCTTTTACAACCCACCTTAGATAGGGCCGCAACCCACCAGCTGTAGACCAGCGCCACAGAGCACACTTCTGTTAGCCATAAGCTTGCTAAGCAAAGCATCTTGTTTTCCAAGTGACAGAGGTACTGCTGCCTGAGAGTTGGGGGGCAAAGCATTCCTGCAGCACAGACACTGCCCTGAGGGAAGATGTCTGGATTGCAGGGAACAAACAAGTGTGTATTTAATAAACTCCTATACATACGCAAGGTCTGGTTTATGACCGGACTAAACTATCGTTTATTAAACCGTGGCTGAGCATTATGTGTGAACCCTACAGAAAGCCTTAATAGTGTGTTTACTGTCAACAAACCACAATCTAAAAGCAGAGCTTGCTGCTGGCTTATGAAACTTGACTATGGCTTCCTCTTAAATGTGAACCCAGTACACTCTTCCTTAATTGTGAACTGGTTTGGCCATTCCACCCCAGATACTCACCAAGCTTCAAAGGAATGAGGTAAGAGCAACTAGCAAACAAACCAAACTCTGGAGAAACAAGCCATGGTTTGTCTGTCTATGAGGCAACTTGCAATTAACTCATGGCTTGTTAAGCAAACCATAGCTTAAATCCAGAGTGGGAACCTGTGGCCCTCGAGATGTCGGACTTTGACTCCTATCAGCCCCAGCCAACAAGATCAGTGGGGAGGATGGTGAGAATGCAAGTTAAGTAGAAATATGAATGCTAGCTGAGATAATACAATATAAAAGTGTATAGAAATGTATTTATAATATTCAGCCTGCACTTAAATGTTTCTTATGATGCAAAATGCTCTTTCTCCCTCTCTAGAATTATGTGAACTTAGAAGTTGTTTTCTTTTAAATTAAAATGATTTGGGACGGGTTTGCTCCTTTACGTATTTAAAAAACCAGATTTTTAGCCTAACTTTTTAGCTGTGAATAGAAGGAGCTTGCGCTCATGGAAGGTGCAACTCTTCTTCCACAAATGAAGGCTTCCTTCTCTTCATGGAGTTAAAAGTAAAAATCCTTTCAAAATGAAAATTCTTTGCCAATTTCTGTGTTTCTGTACAAAATTATGAATGGAATGGAATTGCAAAAACAAGCTGGACCAACATATTGCAGAGGCTGTTTTCAGGGGCACATTCTAAGCTCTGTAGTTAGGCCCCACAATTTAAAGAAAGGACAAATTCTCTCCCCACAGAAATTAGCTGACTGGAAAATAAAAAGGAGGGACATATAACCAGCGTCAAAAAAGGCCACCCAACCCCTTTCATAATGCACAAATACCTGGATTTTCTCCGGGGCTTCATCTAGGGTCAGACGAGTCTCGGCTAAAGTGAAAGCCCTGTACTCATTCCCACAGAGTCCCAAAGCCCAGACGCCTTCATTGGGGCAAGTGACAACAGGTCCCTTCCTTATCACAGACTCTTTGACCACGCCAAGGGCCCAGTTTTGCCCATTACCCACCTCCACCTCCCAGTAATGTACCCCTGAGGAGAATCTCTCACTGCCCAGGAGAATCAGAGTGGAGTCAAATCTCTCAGGGTTGTTGGGCAGTGGCTGAACCATGTCTCCACGTTTCACGCTTTTCCTGTCTTCGCTCACCACAAGGAGGGGATGAGCCGTGTCGGGGTCGAGAGTAACGCTTACTGAGGAGAAACAGACAAACGGAAAACAATCAGAAGAGCTTGACAAAAAGGAAAGACAGCTTTTTACAATCAGATCCGGGAAAGCCCAATGCAAGCTAGAGCAGGGTCTTCAAAAGAAATAAAAGTAAACAAAAGAATTAAAATTTAGACCACTTGATCTAATTGTTTTGGCTGCTCATTTAACTGTTCTAATGGTTACACTTTTTAATGAGCTTGTTTGATTATGGATGTTTTTAATAAATTTTGAGGGAATTGTTTTAAATGTGCATTTTAATTACAGTGGTACTTCGGGTTACATACGCTTCAGGTTACAGATGCATCAGGTTACAGACCCCGCTAACCCAGAAATAGTACCTCGGGTTAAGAACTTTGCTTCAGGATGAGAACAGAAATTGTGCTCCAGCGGCGCGGCGGCAGGGGGAGGCCCCATTAGCTAAAGTGGTGCTTCAGGTTAAGAACAGTTTCAAGGTTAAGAATGGACCTCCGGAACGAATTATTGCCCTTCAACTCCCAGCATCCCTGGCTGTTGGCCACGCTGGCTGAGACTGATGGGAGCTGGAGTCCAGGAACATCTTGAGGGCAACACATTCCCCTGTCTTGTATTAACCAGTGTTAGATTAGGACTGAGAAGGCTTTGGTTCAAATCCTTGCTCAACCATGAAGCTGAGAGAGCTTGGGCCAGCATATCTAGACCAATATTGTCTACTCTGACTGGTACCAGCAGTCAGGCCAAGAGCTTTTGCAACATTTGCTACCTGATCTTTTAACTGGGCCTTTTCTGTGGTGGCTTTCCAGTTAAAATGTTCCTCCTGGAGAAGCACTCTTGGCACCATCAATGTCTGGTTTTAGACAAGACTTTTGATTTTTAACTGGGAGGGTGGTTGGCATTTTCTGTACTCATCCTTTAAGAAGGGTGGGTATGATTTGTCCCTTGAAATGTATTTCAGCTTTTGTTTATTGCTGTTTTAATGCCTGGTTTGTTACTTCTATTTTTATTGGGCAAGTCGCCTTGAGGCACACTAGTGCAAAAATGTGACAAACGAAGAATAATTAGCAATATTAATAACTGGAGGCGCCTAGGACTGAATTTGACATGTACAGCATCCCGTAAGTGAAGCATTTGTCTGGAAAATGATCTTCTGCCCAGCTGCAGTCTCCTTTAATGGGATTGTGGCAGCAGCAATAGCAATGGGGAAGCCCAAGAATACAAAGCCTCACTTTCTCCTACTCTAAAGTGGAAAGACCACTTATTTGAGGGGGGGGGGGGGGCCTAGGAAAAATCTCAGGGATCCCCAGATACATACTACATCCCCAAACTCCAGGTCCTAAGTCATGGACAAGAGCAACAATTTCTTATGTTTACTTTCCCTCACAATAAGGACTTGGGCTGTGTGTTGTCATGGCGACAGATTCCTTCCACCCTCTGAAGGAAAGGAAATGGGAGGGGAGCAAAGAGGGTGAGGTGACTGAAGCTGTTCAAGGCCCTCCCTTTTCCTGTGAAATTATTGCTGTACAAGATGAAGCCATAAATACCACCATCCCTCACCATGTGAAGCCATTTCTCAGAGTTGGACAAGAGGCCCCAAATCAACATTGCTCTCAGCTTCTTAGAAAGTGACTATCCAGTTTCCCCCCCAAAAAACACAACTTACTCCTTTTAGCTGATGCTTCCATTGTCCTTGCTTTTGCCAATTCAGATATCATTGTCTCTAGAAAGAGAGAAGGGTTTAAGAATCAGGAATATTTACTCTTGCTACTAAATAAAGGTGAAGCATTAGATATGATCTCAGTAAGGAGGGGAGGAAAAGGCGCAAGAGATCGAATTATTTTATGTAATGTCACTTCAGTGGGGAAACTGGGTAGGCTGTGAGAGCTACAGAATGTGGTATTTAAGAGTGGTGCTTAAGCATGCCTATTGCCATAGTTCTTTTTCAAGTTTATAGCCCTCATGGGTGCAAGACAGCTGCTTCAGGGGAAATATGCAGTAGCACTCTGGTGAAAAGTCAGAAAGCACGAAGCAGGTGAATCAGCAGAAGGTGACCTGCCACAGAATGCTGATGGACATGCTCTAGCTACTGAGAGGAAAAAGGTGTATCACCGAATATAAAAGTAAAGGGACCCCTGACCATTAGGTCCAGTCGTGTCTGACTCTGGGGTTGCGGCGCTCATCTCGCTTTATTGGCTGAGGGAGCCGGTGTACAGCTTCCGGGTCATGTGGCCAGCATGACTAAGCCGCTTCTGGCGAACCAGAGCAGCGCACGGAAACGCCGTTGACCTTCCCACCGGAGCGGTACCTATTTATCTACTTGCACTGGCATGCTTTCGAATTGCTAGGTTGGCAGGAGCAGGGACCGAACAACGGGAGCTCACCCCGTCGCGGGGATTCGAACCGCCGACCATCTGATCAGCAAGTCCTAGGCTCTGTGGTTTAACCCACAGCGCCACCCGCATCCGTTAAATAATGTGCATCGGTGTAGCTGCTATAAGCGGAGTGATAGGTGATCTGGCCAGGGGGGAAAGCTTGTGTATGCCCCAAAACAAGAGGTCTCCTGTGTTATATGAGCTGTGAAAGGGGGGAAAGGTGCGAGTAATAAGTTTGGTACTTAGGAGACAATAGACAGTGCTGAAGTGCTCTGAACAGCCCTTTCATGGCCCTTGCCTAAAAACTCCATTTCTGTTCTTCTTCTCCACCCACCTCTCCACTGCTCTTACTCCTACCACATTACTTGCTTTCAACCAATCATATATTTAAAGGTAAAGAGACCTCTGACCATTAGGTCCAGTTGTGACCGACTCTGGGGTTGCGGCGCTCATCTCGCTTTATTGGCCAAGGGAGCCGGCGTACAGCTTCCGAGTCATGTGGCCAGCATGACTAAGCCACTTCTGGCGAACCAGAGCAGCGCATGGAAAGGCCGTTTACCTTCCCGCCGGAGCGGTACCTATTTATCTACTTGCACTTTGACGTGCTTTAGAACTCCTAGGCTGGCAGGAGCAGGGACCGAGCAACAGGAGCTCACCCCATCACGGGGATTCGAACCGCCGACCTTCTGATCAGCAAGTCCTAGGCTCTGTGCTTTAACCCACAACGCCACCCGCGTCCCAATCATATATTTACTGGACATAAAATTGGTACTTTTTTTTCAAGCAGAACCCGCATTGCTCATGTCCACATGTCTGCGCACTGCATTGTTGGATCTGAAGACAAAAGGAAGTTGTATCCCACATAGCACTAAGTTAAAGTCACTTAGAAGTATACTTGCTCCACTGATGAAATATTTCGCACCAGCAGAATGCACAAGCAGGTTGCTGTTAACTGTGTTGGAGAACAGATCATGCAATTTGCACAAGTGGACAGAGAACATTAGATGCAGCCCACAGTACGGAAATTCAGCCCAAAGTATGGAGATTCTTGTGTATTTTACACGGTCCTAAGCTATCATTTGTCCTTCTCGGTACCTCGACATTTCTCCAGTGCCTCCTTGATAACAATATTTTTCAGACTGAAATGCCCAAGTTTCTTTTCCAGCTCAGTCGGAGAGGAAGCAATTTCCGCCATCTGTGAAATCTGTCCTTCTTTACATCTAGAATGGGAAACGTGAAAGCGTTACATTGTGTTCCCAGCATTTTCCATATGTGGTCAGAGCATTTAAGAGCTGCAAGCCCCCTTTCCCAAACTGCAATGTTATGATGTTACAGAATATTCGTAAACATTCTAACTTCTGCTGGGAAAGTTCCACCGCTTAGGGAATATGGAAAGCTTGTTTTGATGTAGGGCCCCTGTGCCACAAAAGGGTAAGCTTTGCACATATGGCCCTGGGACAGGAAGGGGGAGAAAATGTGGAATTACTGTGTTTGGGGGGCCAAAGAGGCAGGAATAAGCTAGGTTTTGATTAGAATGGATTTGAGGAAAGCTTTCTCAGTTTTTCCTATGCCGATAAAGTGAGATCTGCAAAAGTGTTACCTACCTGCTCAAAATGTTCCTGATGTCCTGGAGACAAGGGAAGAAAAGAAAAAGAAGATCATTCCTACATTTATTATGCCATAAATATTAGCTGAAAGGCTTAGAAATTAGGGAGGAAATGGAAAGAGCACGACTCCGAAAATATTTGTTATAGAATAAGTATTTAAAATCCACTTCTGCCACAAGAATCACTGGGTATTTTTGTTAAGACCTCAGAATTTCAGTCTCCTGGCCAAATAAAAAGGGACAACTTGCAAGGTTGTAAAGCTGAATGAGGAACTTGTGGGCATTAAATGAAAATACAGGGCAGGGGAAAGGAAGTGCTTCTTCACACAGCTCATAGAAAACAATGGTACTCCCTTAAGGTTACCAGATTTTTTTTTCAAAGAATCCGGGGACACCTTTTTATAAAAAAAGAGAAAAAAAAGTTATTTTTAAAAGTTATTTTTTTAAAAAAAGAAGTAATATCTTCTCTTTTATATTCTCCTCTGCCGCACGGCCTTCCTCTGGGCTCCGGCCTGCTCTCTTGAAGCGCTAGCTGCCATGGAGTAGGCTCGGGTCAGGCCTTGCCCTACTGATGCTCTCCTACCTCTCCTCAGCGGTGGTGGCGGCAGCAAGGTCAGGGCTCCCCTCTTTTTTCTCCTTCCTCTTTCTCTCTCTTCCTTCTCCTCGCCTCCTTCTCCCTGTGTTGGCTCCGGGGTTTTCCTGGCCCCAGAGCCCCATTGGACAGTCAGCCAGGTGGCAAGGCGCTCTCGCTCCCGGTTCGATTTGGGTTGCGGGGGTGTATGTCAGCGGTTCCCCCAGTTGATGCGCCAGACATCCCCAGTCCCCCCTCGGCAGTGGCAGTCTCAGCAGCCCGGAGCCAGCCTGGTAGCGCAGTTGGCTCTGGCTGGCTTCAGGAGCTGCCCGCTGCCATGGCGCCTGCCATTTTGCCTCACCAGAAGTCCCCATATGATGTGTCTTGTGCCGTTGAACCAATCACACAACATTCATTCCCTACTAATAAATTTACAACACTTAAAATATAAATCTGGGGAAATTAAATTAAACCCGTGGACATTCCAGGGACGGATTTTGTCCGGGGACAGATTTATAAATCCAGGGACTGTCCCCAGGAAACGGGGACGTCCGGTAACCATATACTCCCTCCCATACGGCACAGTGATGGAGTTAAAAGAAGGTTAGACAAATTCACGGAGAACAAGGCTACCAATGCCTACCAGCCAAGATGGCTGTGTTTTACCTTCACTGCCAGAGGCATCATGCCCCTGGGTGCCAATTGCTGGGAGTCGCAGGTGCACAGAGTTGCGCTGATGTCTGGCACCGAAGAACAGCCTCCCATGGCTACTTTCTGGAGGTAGGAGTGGAAACACTTAAGCACATTGCCCAAAATGCTGACCTCCCCGAGACTCAGTGGTTCCCAACCTTTTTTTGGTCATGCCCCACCTAGGCATCTCTAAAATCCTGATTGCCCACCCCCTGCCCCCCGGTAACATATAATTCTTATTATTCAAAAAGTGAACTCCTATTCACATGGAGGAAGCCTAAAAGGACATTAACTTGGTCTAAACAAGTTCCAATTGCCCCCCTTAAAAATCAAATTTCCCCCCTTAAAAATGGAATAAGCACAACTAGCAAAGCTGACCGTGGAAACCCGAAACCAGCGTGATCAAGCTTTCCAAAAAGACGGGAGTAATTTTATACAATATTTGAAAGACAATTGCAAACAATTAACAACACTAGCAGGATTGACTTAAGAAGACTTGTAATGTTTATGATTTATACCTTTTATGTTTATTTAAAATGTAAAAAATGGAAATGGATGAAATGTAAGGAGGAAGAGGTACAAATGCAATGAAATAGATAGGAATTATGGTAGCCACAAGGCGGGGGGGGGGGGAGTTGACCAGCTCAAACGAGCAAAAATTTATTGTGAGCAATATGGATGTTTATATATTATGAAATGGAAACTTAATAAAATATTATTAAAAAATCAAAATGCCCCCTCGTGGGGCGTGTGCCCCACGTTGGGAACCACGGCTCTAGAAGGATATCATGGTCAACAGTGTCCAAAAACCACTGAGTGATCAAGGAAAATGAGCAGGAATTTGTTTCAAAATGGGAGGTTTTCAAAAAATATTTGAAAAATAAATATAGTAGTTTAAATTCTGTTACAGCATTCGAGGAACTTCGGTAATAGTTACAAGGTAGATATAAGAAATTAGATATATTAAGCAAAAGTTTAATTATGATAAAAGTGTGTATTGGCAATAAGTAATATGAAATCGAAATATGGAATAGACAGGAGGTTGGGTCTTTAGTGTTAAGACCAATATATGTTTTATTGTTTGTTAAGAAAATTATGTGCCTATGGTTATTCTTGTGTGTAATTTGGTATTTGTGTTTTTTCTTTTTCTTGCTGTATCAATAAAATTTTTTTTAAAAAAGAAATATATAAAAAAAGGAGAACACGCAGGGCTGCACTCCTCAAATCCCTCTCCTAGCAAATGTCACACACCAAGGAAGTTTCAGTGCATGCAACACAAATGAAACAAGGTATGGCACCTCTTTTCTTTTCAGGTGGCTGTTTCTGCATTTTTGGCTTTAGCGCTGAAACCCAGGAGAGGCAAAAAGCCCTCCACAGAATCTCACCTGCAGGAATTCACTGGCAGGCTGTTGGCACTTGTTCTCAACTTCGCTGATCAAGGCATCGAGGCGATCAATCTCCCCTGAGAACCTGCCGGATTCCACGTCTCTCCTGTGCACAATCTCCTTGTCAAACTTCTTCAGCATGATAACCAGGAAGCGCTCAATTTTTTCCATGAACTCGTGGATCTGATTAAATTCAGACTCCACCTTCTGCTTCTCACTTTGTACATCATCCTGTAAGGAGCAGGAGAAGGGCCAGGTGGGATGGTGAAACAGCACAAGGAAGCGGACGTACAAATATCCCTGATGCTCTCACATTGGTACCCTAACCAGGGTTGGGTACCTGCTCAAAGGAATATAACGTAAGGCAGTTTCCATTGTTTCAGAGAGTCAGACTATTGGTTAGCTCAACATTGTCCACACTGACCAGCAGTTGGGTCTCTGGCATTTCAGCCAGGGGACATACTGGAGATGAAAGACCTTCTGTACCACTGTGCGAAGTGTACCAAGTCACTGGAGATGACAGGTTCAGTCTAACTGAATCATAGGTACAAACAGACTGAACAGATAATGGTTCACAACATGTAAGAGAAATTTGATCCAGTTTATTAAGGCACCTACCTCCTTCAACAACAGAAGAAACAGTCTTCTCTTTCTCCAGTGATGTGGTGCAGAGAAATTTCCCTTGAAATTTCTCCAAAACAGTTTTTCCCCCAGTGCTTTTTTCACCACAGGGGAAAAAAAATCTGTTTCATAAGTTCATTCGTAACAATGAACGCATGCCATTTGCAAATACAAACATTAGGCAACTTAGGAAGTTTCAAAGTTTTCAGCTTTGTTTACTAAACACAGCTGAAATAGACTTCCTAAGTTAGACCACCCTCTTGGGTTTTCCAGTGGACTGAAAATCTTCTGATGCAAATTACCCTAATTTGCAATTCAAAATTTTCTAGAAAACCCTCATCACAATTTCCCGCACCTCCTGGTTCTTCTTGTAGACAAGCTCTCACCTGATCAGCCTGCCTTCTGCACTCCAGGTCTTCTTTTAATTCCTTCAGCTTCTCCCTCCGTTCTGTCAGAACTTTCACATGGGCGGCAACTTGTTTCTGACAAAAGATAAATCTGAAAGTAATGTACATACCCTTTTTCTCATGTATGTTGTGATAAGTCACTTGACTTTCTGCGTAGCCAACTTACTTCCCCCTAGAGCAGAGTATTCCAGCCATTTTTTAAATTATGGGATAGCTTCAGCATACTCAGGAATCAGAAGTCTTGTGTCTCTTGTAGGAAATGTATACTTTTGGGGAGCATTCTGCAATTTCCATTTTAGGAAGATCATTCTAAATGCTATTCAAATTATGGCCTATAAGTCATAAGGCATGTCATGTACAGTTGTGCCTTGCTTTTCAAACAGTTTAGTTCTCAAACTTTTTGGCTCCCAAACATTGCAAACCCGGAAGTGACTGTTCCGGTTCGTGAACTATTTTTGGAAGCCTAATGTCCGACGGGGCTTCTAATTGGCTGCAGGAGCTTCCTGCAGCCAATCAGAACCCACGCTTTGGTTTCCGAACGTTTTGGAAGTCGATAGGACTTTCGGAAATGGATTCCGTTGGACTTCCAAGGTACGATTCTATTTGCTTGTTGTGTTTGATTCTCCAGCTGTCACTGATCTGCCCCAAACTCCACACAAATTTCAGGCTTATCTCTAGTCAATTATTTTCAAAATGGATTAATTTTTGAAAAGAATTCCAGCTCAGCTTTCCACCAGGCAAGGCAGTATAGAAATTTCATAAACAGGGGGTGTAAGAAATCAAACAGTGTAATCAGCTGTTTAAAGCGCCAAAACAACCCATAATAACTGCGCAGTCTCAGAACTGACGTATGTACACCAGACAAAGAAGCAATAGGACAAAACAGCAAGAAACAAACTGGGAAGTGAAGTTGTCTTTGGCCTGAAATGTTCTGTTCCTTGACTCCTTTCAGAGGATCTGTCAAAGACTGGGAAGACTGAACGTTACAGAGGGAGCTGTGCATCCTGTCTAGAAAATCTTCCACCCCCTCCATGTTTTTCAGTTGGAAGGGACCCATGTTAAGGAAATGGTTTGTTATGTGTAAGCTGGACATAAAAGGATTTATCTCTTCCCCTCACCCTCCCCCCCATGAAGCTGCCAGGAGTATGAAGCTGCAGCTGGTGATCTCTCTTATCTTGTACCAGGGTGATTCATCACATCCTTGGATAAGTGAGTCTCCCACTCTCATTCCTCTGAAGACAGAACTGGGAGAAAGGTGATGATTTGCCTTGGCAAATACAAAACACTGAACAAGACTGTTACCAGGGGAAATAGGAGACTGGAAATTGCTTGCTGTGAGAGAGACCTGAGACAGATTTGAGCCACAGAGACTCAAGAGTAAACTGCTAGCCCAGCTGTGCTTCTCAAACCTTTTTCGCTGGGCCACGCTTGCAGAATAAAAATTTCCTTACACCACACCTAATTTTCTATTTGGTAAGAAATATACTGGGAAACAAAAAAGAAACAACTCCTAGCAGTGCTTGATTTGTATCACAGAGCACAACTACTTTATAATATGATCACATGACAGAAGTCAGAAGATAGAAGTCAGCGCTCAGGAAAACATATGCAGAAACGAAGAACGACAAAGAATCTAATAGCACCTTAAAGCAGGTTTTGGGAACCTATGGCCCTCCAGATGTTTGCAGAACTACAGCTCCCATCTCATAGATTGCCATTCCGCAACATCTGGAGAGCCAAAGGTTCCCAAAACCTGCCTTAATTATTTCACAAGCTTTCGTGGACCACGTCACCAGATGGCCAGAGAGAAATTCTCACGTGTCCTGTGTATGGATGAGTGAGGGATTGTGAGGTCAGACCTGACCAAGCAGGCCCAGGCCGTAGTTTTCAAGAAGTCATGAATGTCATTCATTTGGTCATCTTTCAGGCGCCCAAGACCCTTCCTGGTTTTTCTGCAACACATCCAAGCATGCTCCCCACCCCCCACCCCGGAAACTTTACTTCTACCTGCATATCCTTCCCATCTAGCTGTGGCTGGCACAGCTTGGGTGCTCCGGTAAGAACAAAAAAACATGCTAAGCAGAAGCCTCAAGGCTGCCGGCGCCTGGTGTGCATGACTAAGCAGAGGATCGCCATAGAAACCAAGAGTTGGAAGGGACCCTGAGGACAATCTAGCCCAGTGGTGTCCAAACTTTTTTCAAAGAGGGCCAGATTTGATGAAGTGAAGGGCCGTGAGGGCCAACTAAAGTTGTTTACCTTTTTTTTAGGGTTGAAGTTGCTTTTTTAAGGATTTAAGTTGTTGAGGGTTTTTTAGGATTTCACCCCAGGAAATAAACTGCCACGGGGAGGGGGGGCGGATTAAACCAACCAGCAGGCCAGATTAGGCCCCCCGAAATGGACTTTGGACATGCCTGATCTAGCCTAACCCCCTGCCATGCAGGAATAACGGAATAATCATTGAATTTTAATATTTTGTTGGAAGCCGCCCAGAGTGGATGGGAAAACCCAGCCAGATGAGCAGGGTATATTATTATTATTATTATTATTATTATTATATTACAGTGGTACCTCGGGTTACATACGCTTCAGGTTACAGACTCTGCTAACCCAGAAATAGTACCTCCGGTTAAGAACTTTACTTCAGGATGAGAACAGAAATCGCGTGGCGGCGGCAGCAGCAGCAGCGGGAGGCCCCATTAGCTAAAGTGGTACCTTAGGTTAAGCACAGTTTCAGGTTAAGAGGTACCACTGTAAATCCATTCTCATTTGGAAGGTATTTTTGAAAAGTATTGCAAAGTATCAAAAAGCGCATTCTGTGTGCATATATTTTTAGATCCTTTAATAATGATAATAATTTATTATTTATACCCCGCCCATTCTTAACCCGAGGTACCACTGTATTATTATTATTATTATTATTGGGAACAGGGCGGTGGGCTGCTTTTGCCTCCGCATTTCTCCCCATTTTTGCCTCCAATCAAGTTCTTAACCCGAGGTACCACTGTATTATTATTCTGGGGGACAGGGCGGTGGGCTGCTTTTGCCTCCCCATTTCTGCTGCCCCCCATCCACCCACCCAGCCGGCCGTCACCTTGTAGTCCTGCGCCGCCTCTTCGATGGGGAGCATGGGGTGGGCTTTGTGCGCCCGGGACTCCCTGCAGATGACGCAGACGGGCGTCTCGTCCTCCTCGCAGAAGAGCTTGAGGGGCTCCTGGTGCTTCTCGCACAGCCGCTGGCCGGCCAGCGTGGCGGCCGCGTCCAGCCGGAGCCGCTTGGCCACCTCCACCACGTTGCCCAGCTCCCGGTTGGGCCTGAAGCTCCTCTTGCGCGACCAGCGGCGGCACTGCGGGCACGAGGTGGTCTCGGCGTCCGCCTTGCCCCAGCACTGCGCGATGCACGCCTGGCAGAAGTTGTGGCCGCACTCGATGGACACCGGCTCCTTGAAGTAGCTCAGGCAGATGGAGCAGGTGATCTCCCGCTGCAGAGTTTCCAGCGGGCTCTCGGTGGCCATGGCTGCCCAGCGATGGCAGGAGGAGGAGGAGAAGGAGGAGGAGGAGAAAGGGGGCGGCCCGTGGGGGGGAAGGCTGGGGTGGCTCCACGTGGCTTCCTGCGGGAGCCGCATTGGCTGCGCGGGGGCCAGAGACCCGGGCAAAACATTGCGCAAGGATGGAGCGGGGAGGGGGAAAGGACTCCGCCACACTCCCACCCACCGCCGCACTCGGATGCTGGACCACAACTCCCAGCATCCCTGAGCATCGGCCGTGCTGAGCAGGGGCTGATGGGAGCTGGAGTTCAGCAAATGCACTTTGAAAATGCGCAATTTTCCAAAAAGGCGCAAACGCGCGGGTTACGCCTCTGCAGTGCCGGATTTACGTATAAGCTAAACAAGCTATATAGCTTAGGGCCCCACTCCCTTGGGGGACCACAAAAAAGTTAAAGGGGGGAAAAAACTCGATGTACATTTCCAAAATGTAAGATAAAAAACAAAGGAAATAAAACCTGCATACAGCAACAGTGTTTTGTGTTGTGTAGGCTCCTAGGATGTAAGTGATGGGCCCCGCCTGCTCCCTAAAATATCACTGGTTTGCTCATTTCTATATACAGGTGAAACGGAAAATTAGAATATCATGGAAAAGTTCGTTTATTTCAGTAATTCAGCTTAAAAGGTTGTTAATTTGGGGTTTTCATCAGCTGTATGCCATGATCATCACAATTATAACAAATAAAGACTTGACATATCTTGTTTTGCATGTCGTGAGTCTCTCTCATATATTAGTTTCACCTTTTAAGTTGAATTACTGAAATAATTGAACTTTTCCACGATATTCTAATTTTCCGAGTTTCACCTATGCCTTCATTCTGCATGGACTGGTTGCATGGCAACATGTGCAAATGGCTTTAGATACCTATTAGGTCCATAAATTACCACACAGCCTATATCCAACACAAAGAACAGCGACAATTTGTTGTTGACAAAGGACAGCTGGACATATAAAGAGCCCCAATACCTTCATTAGTTTAGGGCCTCATCAAACCTAAATCCAGCCCTGTTCCTCTGCAAAATTGCTTTGAACTGACCCAGGCTGCTCAAGACTCTTATCAAAGCTCGTGTTCTTATAGTCAGTGCTTTTTTTCTGGGGCGACGCATACCCCTAAACGTTTTCTGAAACTTTGTACTTTTGTCCATTTACTGTCTTTATTTCCCCCAATTTGAACTATAACATGGTGATTTCCTTGAGTCAAAAAGAGAGTAGGAAAAAAAACTGCTTATAAATGACAAAGACACGACTTTTAAGTTCTTGACTGCTTCGCAAATCAGTCCGTAGAGCATGGGGCTCTTGGAATCATCACAGAATAGACTCGTAGAATTGTAGAGTTGGAAGGGGTCCCCCTAGGTCATCTAGTCCAACCCCCTGCCATGCAGGGATGGCTTAATCTCTGGGTCGTGGGTTCAAGCCCCAACACTGGACAGAAGATTCCTGCATTTTAGGGGGTTGGACAAGAGCTACAGTTCCCTGTGAAGAGTTCGATTGATAAACCACTTTGAGAATTGTAGCTCAGTAAGGGGAACAGGGGCCTCCGAACAACTCTCAGCACGCTTAACAAACTGCAGCCCCCAGAATGCTTTGGGGGAGGAGCCATGATGGTTTAAAGTGGTATCACATGTGCTTTAAATGTATGGTGTGAATGTGGTCCAAGAACCTGTAACCATGTTGTTCCAGCGCTGTCTGGAGCTGAAGAGCATCACCCTTAGCCCAGGAGCAAGCGATCTATGTTGTTTGAGGAGCTTTGTCTACTCATGAGGCATAGCCCTCTACTCCTCCAGAGACCTTGGCCTTCAGGCAGGCGCTCTGGCATCAGGCAGTGGAATGGGCTTGTGCCCCTAGCAGCTGGTGCTCTTTGGGGCTTGGAAATGGCTCAGCTTCCATCTCTAATTCTGAGCCAGGGCCGTCTCCGTGTAAGAGGCTGCAGCGCAGCAACTCCAGAAGGCCCCCGATCTGTCTCACCGTCCCCAGACCACCTGTTCCTCTGTAATGTTCACTCCTCTGAAGACAATTCCTCCAGCGGGGTCATGACAACAGGATTGTGCCCATTACTTCCTCTTTCCTCTACCTTCCCACTCTTCGCCAAAGAATAATAAAAGATTCAATCTCATTAGCTGCACATGGTATTTTATTGGTGTCCCCGTTTATTTACCTCACAACAATAATGGACGAGAGACCAGTATTTATTCTCATTTTACATAATGACACAAACCATTCAAAATCTGTTCCTGGGGGGCAAAGTAAAGGCATGCTTTGCAGAAGAAAGTGTGGGGCAGAGCGGGGCTTCAGCCAGTAGGAATCGAAAGTAGTCTGTTCTACTTCATTTGACTTTATTATTTTTATCCCGCTCGTCAGTCTGTGGGCATAGGAGGCGGTTTACACAATTAAATACATTGAAACATCAACATCGTCATGAACAACAACAACAACACATCTTTAATGCAGCAACATAGGAAAACCAAGCAGCCAACTATTCTCCACTTAATGTATCTTTGGTGAAGGTAGTTTCAGAGAAGGGCTATATAGTTCATTGGCAAACTCAAGTTCCTGCTACAACAGTGACTTTTGTGATAAGAACTGGCGCTGCGCCGAGTGCTTTGACAAAGAGCCTCTCTGCATCCACACACACAAACGGCGACCTCCTATTTTATTGAAGCCAAGTGTTTTGAACCCACTCTAGCCTGAACATTACTTTGGCACCATCCATCTATAATGCCGCATGCAAAAAAATTGCACCCTTGCGATCTCCGTGAATTAAATCTGGAGTAAGGAGCACCACCAAGTGATGGTGCTGTGCTTGGCAACCAATCGGGTGGATTAATCATAACCGTTCATCAGCATGCATTGGAAGGGCACGTCTACTCCAACTTTTACCCCTCCCGATTTCAAGTACAGTGTAGTGAACTTGAACAGCGGCATTAAGGAGTAACTAATCTGCGTTAAGTGATCTTGAGTGAGGGACCCATCAGCCATCAAGTGTCAGCTGGGCAAGCAGCACCTTAAAAAAGGGGAAAACTCTCTCACCAGAGAATGAAGCCGAAGGGAAAATGAAGAGAGAGTCCTTTGTGTCAGCATTAAGAAATTCCACCTGCCCCCTTTCATAGTCCAGAAATACTCGGATTCTCCTAGGGGTGCAGAGGGGGGACAGAGGTGTCACAGGGGTAGTGAGAGCCTGGTATTGACCAAAATCCCCTTGCAAGGCCCAGATCCCTTCCTCCGGGGTCAGCTTGAGCTCTATCTTCCTCCTCACAGAGGCCCGGGCTACCCCCACAGCCCAAATGCCCCCATCCTCCACGTTGACTTCCCAGTAATGTCTCCCGGAAGTGAATCCTTCGCAGCCCAGCACGCAGCAAGAGGACTTAAATCGCTTAGGGTTATGGGGCACATCTGTCCTGGTGACGTCCCATCTCGCGCTTTTTCGATCCTCAGAGATTATGATTTGCGGGTTTGCTGTGTCTGTGTCAAGGGTTATGTTGACTGCAGAGAGAGAGAGAGAGAGAGAGAGAGAGAGAGAGAGAATATGTGGGATAAAGGAACAGTTTATATTTTTGTCAGCTAATTCCAAATTGGATTTGGATTTGATATCCCGCTTTATCACTACCCTAAGGAGTCTCAAAGCGGCTAACAATCTCCTTTCCCTTCCTTCCCCACAACAAATACTCTGTGAGGTGAGTGGGGCTGAGAGACTTCAGAGAAGTGTGACTGGCCCAAGGTCACCCAGCAGCTGCATGTGGAGGAGCGGGGAATCAAATCCGGTTCACCAGATTACGAGTTCACCACTCTGAACCACTACACCACACTGGCTGTAGTTTAGGAGCCTGTGGTACAGAGCTCATTTGACAAATGAGATGTGTTCTTTCAGAAGCCCCCCACCCCGGCCCATTCCTTTGTTTAAGCTGTTTTTGATACGGAACCTGCTGGTGAAGGGCAGGCAATAAATTTAATGATGTTGACAATGGTGATGATGACAACATTAACAACGGCACCTCAAGATTTAACTGTCGCAATCAAACTGATCCAGTTAAGTTCAGACCTCTCCGTATCAACTATGTCTTTCCAGAACCAAACATGAATGAACTAACTTATCTCGTAAATGTTTTCACCAGTTGCTTACCCCATTCTGTCCCCAGTTCTGATGGCAGAGTGTCTAAGGGATGAGAGGAGACATACGTGATTTTCAAAGAGTGATCAATTTCTAATTTCATTTATATATTCTCAGAAAAGTGGGTTTCATTATCCTCTCTCACTCTCCTTGCTGCAAGTAGGTATATTTTCTGCTGCAAATACTTAGCGGGTAGTTGAAAGGGAATGGACAGGATTGCCAGAAAAAGAGAAATTAAGGGAGACCGAATAATAAACTCAGTCATATCTTCCAAAAGCTCAGAAAGGGAAGCTTTTATTGTTTGACAGATGACTGTATTTTAATATTTTGTTGGAAGCTGCCCAGAGTGGCTGGGGAAACCCAGCCAGATAGGCGGGGTATAAATAATAAATTATTATTATTATTATTAAAGGATCTAAAATATATATGCGCGCAGAATGCACTTTTTGACACTTTGCAATACTTTTCAAGAATACCTTCCAAATGAGAATGGATTTACAGTGGTACCTCTGGTTACGAACTTAATTCGTTCCGGAGGTCCGTTCTTAACCTGAAACTGTTCTTAACCTGAAGTACCACTTTTGCAAATGGGGCCTCCTCCTGCTGCCACGTGATTTCTGTTCTCATCCTGAGGTAAAGTTCTTAACCCGAGGCACTATTTCTGGGTTAGGGGAGTCTGTAACCTGAAGTGTCTGCAACCGGAGGTATATGTAACCCAAGGTACCACTGTATACTTTTCCAGCCATTCGTTCTGGTAGCAAACTCAGCTGACGAGAGCTGTCAGAACTGCAACCAAAATAAGGTGACAAATAATAATAATAATAATAATATATTATTTATTATTTATACCCCGCCCATCTGGCTGGGTTTCCCCAGCCACTCTGGGCGGCTTCCAGCAGAATATTAAAATACAATAATTCATCAAATGTTAAAAGCTTCCCTAAACATAGGGGAGACATCAACAAGCTCAAGAGGAAATCCCACATTTCAGGGGATAGTGAGAGGGGGCAGGTGAACTAATGGGGCACTCCCCCACCAAAACAGAACAGCCCAGGGAGGAATTGTACTCATGAAGGCTGAATGTCTTTTTTTGTGAGGGACAGAAAACGGGGGGGGGGGGCAGCCTGGAGTATTCTGGAAGACAGCGTGGCTGCCAGGAATCCTGAACAGGAGTGGTTCACATTGCACCCTTTAGCCCCAAGCTCTACTTGCAACTTTTAAAGCAGGTCATCAGTACCTTTGAAGTTATTCAGGATATCTGTGAGCACACTGTTTTTCTCAGATAATTCACCGAGTCTTTTTTCCACCTTGGATGGCATCTCTTCAGGGGGCTGAAAGGGCTCCTTGTCAAACCTTGGAAAAAGAAATGCGTCAGTTTCCCACCGTTCTGCAGATGCCTGATTAAGGCTGCGTGACACTTGGTTTTTTACAGGCAAAAGTTGTACTTAAATCTGAGTCGGTGCTGGTCCAAGATTCAGCCCTGGAAGCTGGCGCTGTGATAAAACAGGTGAAATAGTAGTATGTGTTCCTCAGAGGTGGAACTGTACAGTACGAGTACATTTTGCTCTCTGGGAGAAGCAGTGAGATGACTGGAGTTTCTCTGTAAGAGCACCCTATTTTCTGATAAGTGATACTGCAGGATTTTGTAGCTGGGGAAATGTTTTTCTTCAGTGCATTCATTGGTCTTATGACTATTCTGTTAAATGTGATTTTGCAAAAGAGACTAAATCCCACATTTTGTTTGTTATTTTTGCTATGCCAGGAAAAGCATATCCTGGGCTCCTCAGAACAATTTTTTGTGAAGCTGTTAAGAGCACAGTGTCTCTGTCCATTTTTTAAAAAGGCATTCTGGAATAGCTCTCACACAAGGTAAAAAAAGGAAAAGGACCCCTGGACGGTTAGGTCCAGTGAAAGGCGACCATGGGGTTGTGACGCTCATCTCACTTTTAGGCCAAGAGAGCCAGCATTTGTCCACTTTCTAGGTCATGTGGCCAGCAGGATTAAACCGCTTCTGGCGAAACGGGACACTGTTATGGAAACCAGAGCTCACAGAAACGCCGTTTACCTTCCCGCCACAGTGGTACCTATTTATCTACTTGCACTGGCGTGCTTTCTGTTAGGTTGGCAGGAGCTGGGACAGAGCAACGGGAGCTCACCCCGTCGCAGGGATTCGAACCATCAACCTTCCGATCGGCAAGCCCAAGAGGCTCAGTGGTATAGACCACAGCGCCACCCGCGTCACAGTAATACAAACCAAAGTCCAAGAGTATCCAAAGTGTGATTGTATGAATATGGAAGAAGCAGAAAGCCCATCTCAGCTTGGAGACTGGGAGGAGCTGCTAACAAAAGTGGGAAGAGCCAGAGATCCACATGTACAAAAGACCCGGCCCAGCTCATGGCATCTTCACTTATAGGATCACAACTAGCAATTGCAGGAAAGAACTCTGCCTGAGATTCTGGATAATCCTTCACATTCAGAGTTGACAGTGCTGGTTAGATCAGGGATGGTGGAACATGTTGTTCTGCAGATGGTGCTGGACTACAACTCCCATCATCCCTGACAGGTACACAGGCTGGGCCTGATGGGAGCTGGTGTCCAACAACACCTGGTTCCCCATCTCTGGGCAAGACGGTCTGTCACAGTATACCACAGTTTTAGTATTTTGAAAAGCAAACCATCTGCAAACCAGAATGAAGCAGGGCAATCTTAAGGGCATATATTTATGCACATGTATGCCTTCAGTGGGGGTCAGTGCCACATACCTGCCCAAGGTGCTTCTGATATCCTAGAGAGAGAACAGGAGCGTAGGTGGATAGGAAAGAGAAAGACAGGAACTCTGCATCAACATGAGCATAACAGGAGATTCTCATTATAGCCACTTATATCTGAGAAACAGAGACAGCGTAGTTTAGAAACTGCACACCTTCTACTCATTAGGAGAAGAAAGCAGGGCAGGGGGAAATGAGTTAATTGGAATGAAATTATGCATTCATCTGCTGAGACAGGGAGACAGGCATTACTGAGCAAGCCATTTCAACTGCGGTAGAAAGATACATCTAACAATAGTGTTTGCTATTTATATAGCTCTTTTCTGGTCTGCATACACTTAGCTGGACCCTGTGTATTACTTACTGGGCAATAAGTATAAGGATTCAGTTATGTTAAGGACAGCTTTAGGCTTATTCTTCAGTTTGATGTGTCCTTTTTTCAGTTCTACCCCACCCAACAACCACCTCATCTCACCTGCAAGAATTCGCTGTCTGGCTGTGTACACTTCTCTTCTATCTCATCTATCAGGGCACTGAGAGAGACAATCTCATCAGAAAACTTTCCCCCATGTTCTTTCTGATGCTTCATAATCTCCTTCTCCAGCTCATTCAGCTGAAGCAGCAGGAGTTTTTCTTGCTCCTCCAGAAAGTGATGCACCAGCTCAAATTCAGACATCAATTTCTGCCTCTCAGCTTCTGTTTGCTTCTGTAACATAGGGAGGAAAGTGGGAGAAAGATGGGTCAGGGCGTTGGGAAGATCAGCAAACACCCCTCAAATAAGCAGAAATTAATCTGAAATACTGGAACTCGTTTGGAAAACCAAAATATGCTAAGTTTTGATTTTAAAATTCAGCAGCGCGATTTGAAGGCACAATGTGACAGCGCCTTAGATATATGAAGATGGCTATCATATCTCCTCTCAGTCTCCTCTTTTCCAGGCTAAACATACCCAATTCCCTCAACTGTTCCTCATAAGGCCTGGTTTCTAGACCCTTGATCCTCTTGGTTGCCCCTCCTCTGCACATGTTCCAGCTTGTCAACATCCCTCTTAAACTGTGGTACCCAGAACTGGACACTGTATTCCAGGTGTGGTCTGACCAAGGCAGAACAGAGATTACTTCCCTTGATCTGGACACAGTACTTCTGTTGATGCAGCCTAGAAAAGCATTAGCTTTTTTTCTTTTCTTTTTTGCTGTTGCATCACACTGTTGACTCATGTTCAGCTTGTGGTCTACTAAGACTCCTAGATCCTTTTCACATGTACTACGGGCAAGCCAGGTGTCCCCCCATCTTATATTTGTGCAGCTGGTTCTTTCTACCTAAGTGTAAAACCTTAAATTTGTTCGTATTCAAATTCATTGTGTTAGTTTGGACCCAGTTCTGCAATCTGTTAGGGTCATCTTGAACTCTGATTCTGTCTTCCATGGCATTAACTACCTCTCTCAGTTTGGTGTCATCTGCATTTGAGGCAGGGAATTGCACAAATCAAAATGCAAGTATTCAAAGCAACAAAACAAAAAGCTAAAATTCAGAAGCAACTAGAACATCAGAGAACCTGCCTGCGAGAAAGGATGGGTCTTTTGTTCGATCCAGCAAGGCTCTTCTTATATAGTGAAATGTTGCCATGGGGAAAGAGCTGCATTTGGAACTCTACGAGGTCTATATATCCTCCCTGTTCCCAGATGACTCCAACCACTGATAGTCTTACCCTACGTGAATTTTGTTAGCCCACTTTTAAGCCTTCCAAGCTGGCGGCCATCACTGTTTCCTACTTGGTCTGCTGATTAAAGCCCTGGATTATATTTTCAAGATCCAGGATGTAAAAAGCACATATGCTTTTTTAGAAGATAAACTAATGCCCACATTCCTTGCTAGGCTATACCACAGGATTCTATACTGACCAGATATTCCTGGTGCCTATTTTCTCCAGCCAGTTTTAACCCCAGGAGCTTCTCTTTCTCTTCCTTTAAGCTCTGCAGACGGCTCTGGATTTCTTTCTAAACAAAGAGAAACTTATTTTGAAATAGTGTTATCGTTATTAACTAACGCCCCTGCTGCCTCACACACAAGCAACGGGTTACATCCAATTTAACCTATAGTGAGACACAAAAAAATACTGATATTCCATAATCAACACGGGAACAAAAGAAACCCACTCAGATTATGGAGCAGTGGAAATAAAATATTATGGCATTAACCCAGCATTTTATTTCTCCAACTTCAAACATACTTTCAACGTCATACATAGTTTCAAAGGCAAGAAGGGGGGAAAACCAACTAACAAGATTCTTCAGACGAGAAGGAACAATACTACTGCTGCTGCTAAGAGCACTAATAATATTGGTAGGTTGCTCTCAATGTCATCATCATCAACAACATAATGTTGCATTAAATAATAGAAAAATTGTGGGTTTTTTTACTTTTTTTTTAAAAAAAGCACCACACAGTTTGGGAGTCAACAGCTCAGGGTGTCCTGGTTTTTGCTTTTTGAAATATGGCAGCCCTAGGTGAGACTCTTTCCTGCAATCCTGGAGAACCACTGTCATTACCAAGCAAAATGGACCAATGGACTTGGTGGGAGCAGGGCCGGATTTAGGTTTGATGAGGCCCTAAGCTACTGAAGGTAATGGGGCCTTTATATGTCCAGCTGTCCTTTGTCAACAACAAACTGTCGCTGTTTTTTGTGTTGAATATATGCTAAAGGGTAATTGATGGACCTAATAGGTATCTAAAGCCATTTGCCCATGTTGCCATGCAACCAGTCCATGCAGAATGTAGGCACCCCATATCTAGAAATGAGCAAACCAGTGATATTTTAGGGAGCAGGCTAGCAGGCAGGGCCCATGACTGAAGGAGCGTCTCCATCCCCATCGTTTTGCCCAGACACTGAGGTCCAATGCCGAGGGCCTTCTGGCAGTTCCCTCACTGCGAGAAGCAAAGCTACAGGGAAACAGGCAGAGGGCCTTCTCGGACGTGGCGCCCGCCCTGTGGAATGCCCTCCCATCAGATGTCAAGGAGATAAACAACTACCAGACTTTTAGAAGACATCTGAAGGCAGCCCTGTTCAGGGAAGTTTTTAATGTGTGACGTTTTGTTGTATTTTTAATCTTTGTTGGAAGCCGCCCAGAGTAGCTGGGGAAACCCAGCCAGATGGGTGGGGTACAAATAATAAATTATTATTATTATTATTACATCCTAGGAGCCTACACAACACAAAACACTGTTGCTGTATGTAGGTTTTATTTCATTTATTTTTTATCTTATATTTTGGAAATGTACATCCAGTTTTTTCCCCCTTTGAAATTTTTGGGGTCCCAAGAGAGTGGGGCCCTAAACTACAGCTTGTTTAGCTTATACGTAAATCCGGCACTGGGTGTGAGCCACCTTCCTATATTCCACCATTCTGAGGAAGGGGTGCCTCAAGGGCGCCAAATAATAATAATAATAATAATAATAATAATAATAATAATTTATTTGTACCCCGCCCATCTGGCTGGGTTTCCCCAGCCACTCTGGGTGGCTTCCAACAAAGATTAAAAATACATTAAAATGTCAAACATTAAAAACTTCCCTGAACAAGGCTGCCTTCAGATGTCTTCTAAATGTCAGGTAGTTGTTTATCTCTTTGACATCTGATGGGAGGGCGTTCCACAGGGCGGGCGCCACTACCGAGAAGGCCCCTCTGCCTGGTTCCCGGTCAAGTGCGCGCTCGTGTGCCCTCCACTATTCACCTTATAATCCTGGGCCGCTTCCTCCACGGGGAACACAGCGTGGCTCCTGTGCGCTCGGGACTCCCGGCAGATGCAGCAGATGAGGTCTTCCTCCTCGCTGCAGAAGAGCTTCAGCGCCTCGCGGTGCTTCTGGCACAGCTGCCTCCCGCCGCCGCCGCCGCCGCCCGGCTCCTCCTGCTCGGTGCGGGAGCCCAGCCTCTTGGCGATCTCCACCACGTTGCCCAGCTCGCGGTTGGGCCTGAAATTCCTCTGCAGGGACACCACCCGGCACTGAGGACACGAGAAATCGGTGCTGCGCTCCTTCCAGCACTGCGCGATGCACGACCTGCAGAAGCTGTGGCCGCAAGGGATGGAGACCGGGTCGCGGAAGTACTCCAGGCAGATGGAGCAAGTGGCTTCTTTGTGCAGGCTCTCCACCGGGTTCTCCATGGCGGCGGCAGCAATAGCAAGAAACGGCAGCAGTGCCCGCTCCTCCGGGCTCCGTGGCGCTCCGTAGCTCAGGCGGAGAGGCCGAGCCAGGGAGAGGATTAGGACCGAGGGAGCGTAACTCTCTGCGCGCCCAAGAAGCGCAGGAGCATCTGCGCTTCGGCGCTCCGCCAACCTGGTGCCCCGCAGACGTTTCGGACTACAGTACCCATCAGCCCCTGCCAGCGTGCACGCTGGCAGGGGCTGATGGGTATTGTAGTCCGAAACGTCTGCGGGGCACCAGGTTGGGGCAGGCTGCGTTATGGGAAAGAGCTGGTTTCCAGCCCAGTCCTCTCTAGGCATCTCCTGAAAAGTTGGTAGCCCCCCCCCATTTGTGTTTTCTTGATTTTCAGTTTCAAACGAATTAGATCAAACGGAGAGAATGCCAACAATAACAACAAATCTGCGCTTCTGCGCTCCGCCAACTTGGTGTCCTGAAGCTGTTTCGGACTACAATACCCAACAACAAATTGTTGTTATTGCCGGATTTACATATAAGCTGAAGAAGCTATAGCTCCTTAGGGCCCCACTCTCTTGGGGGCCCCCAAAAAAATTAAAGGGGAAAAAACTGGATGTACATTTCCAAAATATAAGATAAAAAACAAATAAAATAAAACCTACATACAGCAACTGTTTTGTGTTGTGTAGGCTCCTATTTGTTATGTGCAAATGGTTTTAGATACCTTTTAGGCCCATCAATTGCCATATAGCGTATATTCAACACAAAAAACAGCAACACTTTGTTGTTGACAAAGGACAACTGGACATATAAAGGGCCCCATTACCTTCAGTAGCTTAGGGCCTCATCAAACCTAAATCCGGCCCTGACAACCATCATTATCTCCCCAACCCTAGGACAATAGTGTCTCATACGAAATGCAAACAAAAAATGAAAAAGACAATGATTTGAAAGTGGGGACGCCATACGTAGATTTCCTTGGTTATTTGTTTGGTTTGTATCACAAAAAATAACTTCAATAAAAACTAATTTTAAAATGCGCACACACACACACACACACACACAAACAAACAAACAAACAAACAATAGCAACAGGTACAGAGGCATCACCAAAAAGGGAAATATTACTGAAGTAATCCCAGTTGTGGGTCATTGGATGTACAGTAGTTGGATGGTTGTGTCATTCCACAATGGCTGTCGATACTTCCTAGCCATGGTGGCTGCTTTCTGCCTCTACAGCTGAAGGCAGCAATGGCCGCTCTGATCTACCCACAGTACAGCAGACGAAGCAGATCTTAAAGCTCTTTCAAGAAGAGTCCAGGAGACCATCTGGCAGAAAATATGGGGGCGGGGAGAGGGTTGCCATATTTCAAAAAGTGAAAATCTGGACACAAGAGTTGGCAAAGCTGTTCAGATTCTTTTGCAAAATCTTAACACACAAATTTTGTGGTATGGGGGATGCCATAGCCCTGGCCCTGAATTTTTTTGGAGGGGGGCAACCCCAGTGCAGTGCAGCCCATCACTCATCTCGGGGCAGAAGTTTTTTCATTTCCTTTATCTCTTTTCTTCTAGTTTAAAAAGTTTTTGGTGTGCGCTTGTGTCTGCAAGCTATTTCTATTTATTTTAATTGAAGCTTGAAAACATACACAAAGAAAACACAGTATACGGAAATAAACATAAAATAGCAAGCATGTTTATTTCTGTATACTGTCTTTTCTTTGTGTTTTCAAGCTTTAATTAAAACAAATAAAAATAGCTTGCAGACACAAGCGCAAACCAAAAATGTTGATCGGAAAGCTCTGGAAGCTCCTTACTGAAACATTAAAAGCGGACTCCACTGCTGTTTGGGGCCTGCCTTCGGTATTAAGCCTTAATTTGTTTTGGCAGAAGAAAACTTGGACTCAACGTCAATCTGACTTCCTCATTACAGTTCGCAGGAATTTACTGTCTCCAAGGCAGCCTGGTGTCATCTCAGCCAATCCGGGAGCTGGAGCCAGTTAATGACACATCCAAGCGAGGAGAGGAAAGTGAAACTTAACTTCTGACTAGAGAATCATGGATGCAAGCTCTCTCTTAGGAAACCTGAGCAAGGAAGCTTCCTGCTCCATCTGCCTGGAGTATTTCAAAGAGCCGGTGTCTGTACATTGTGGGCACAACTTTTGCCAGGCCTGCATCACTCAGTGCTGGTGGGGGCAGGAGACTGGTGTGTCCTGCCCCCAGTGTGGGGAAAGCAGCCACCAGAAGAACTTCAGAGAGAACCAGCATCTGGCGAGAATCGTAGAAATCGTCAAATGCTTGAATCTGGAAGCTGCCAAAGCACTGGAAGAGGGGAGAGTGTGTGAGAAGCATTTGGAACGCCTCAAGGTCTTCTGCAAAGACGACAAGATGCCCATCTGCTTGGTGTGCACTATTTCCAACGAGCATCAACATCACGCTGTCGTTCCGATAGAAGAAGCTGTTCAGGATTACAAGGTACAGTGGGACCTCGGGTTACAGACGCTTCAGGTTACAGACTCCGCTAACCCAGAAATAGTACCTCGGGTTAAGAGCTTTACCTCAGGATGAGAACAGAAATCGTGTGCTGGCAGCGGGAGGCCCCATTAGCTAAAGTGATACCTCAGGTTAAGAATAGTTTCAGGTTAAGAACGGACCTCCAGAACGAATTAAGTTCTTAACCCGAGGTACCACTGTAGTTTAGGGGAAAGGGGCGTAGCTCAGGCGGGGTGGAGTATCTGCATTGCTTGCAGAACATCCATGGATCAATCCCTGGTATCTCTAGGGGAGACAGGGAATGTTTCCTGCTTTTGGGGAGCTGCTACGGGTTGGTTGGTGTAAACCAGCCTTTCTCTACCTTGTTGTTGGACTAAAACTCCCATCATCCCTGATTACTGGTCCTGCTAGCTAGGGATGATGGGAGTTATAGTCCAACAACATATGAAGGGCCTAAGGTTGAGGAACGCTCGTGTGAACAATACAGTGGTACCTCGGGTTACAGACGCTTCAGGTTACAGACTCTGCTAACCCAGAAATAGTACCTTGGGTTAAGATCTTTGATTCAGGATGAGAACAGAAATCGTGCTCTGGCGGCACGGCAGCAGCGGGAGGCCCCATTAGCTAAAGTACCTCAGGTTAAGAACAGTTTCAGGTTAATAACGGACCTCCAGAATGAATTAAATTCTTAATCAGAGGTACCATTGTACAGAGGTAGATGGGCTTGGTATAAGGTAGCTTCTTACACGTGGTATTCAACTCAGTTTTACTCAGGGTAGATCCCTTGAAATTAATGAGCATGACTATGGTCACATTCATAAAAGGTAAAGTAACGGACCCCTGACAGTTATGTCCAGTCGCGAACGACTCTGGGGTTGGGGCGCTCATCTCGCTTTACTGGCCGATGGAGCTGACATTTGTCCGCAGACAGTTTTTCCGAGTCATGTGGCCAGCATGACTAAGCCGCTTCTGGCGATATCACAGCAGCGCACGGAAACACCATTTACCTTCCTGCTGGAGCGGTACCTATTTATCTACTTGCACTGGTGTGCTTTCAAACTGCTAGGTTGGCAGGAGCAGGGACCGAGCAACGGGAGCTCACCCCGTTGCGGGGATTCGAACCGCTGACCTTCCGATCGGCAAGCCCTGGCTCAGTGGTTTAGACCACAGTGCCACCCGCACATTCATACCACACATTTAAAGTGCTATGACACCGCTTTAAGCAGTCACACCTTCCCCCGAAGAATTCTAGGAGACATAGTTTATTGAGGGTACTGAGAAGTGTTAGGAGAACCCCCATTTCCCTCACAGAGCTACAGTCCCCAGAGCACTCTGTGAAGGGGGACTGATTCTTCAGCTGCTCCGGGAAGTGTAGTTCTGCAAGGGGAGCTCTCAGTGCCTTTAACAAACTACAGCTCCCATAATTCTTTCAGCGAAGCCTTGACTGTTTAAAGTGATAACAGCAATTTAAATACAAGCCATGAATGTGGTCTTAGTTATTTAAGTGAGTTGACTCTTGCCATATGTAGAACTGGCGGCAAGCACATTATCCCTTTTGCTGATTATTTCAAGTGAGAATTATGTGACTTATACCCCACACAGGTTGCTCAGACTCTCATAAGTTACCTCCCTGTTGTTGTTAATTAAATTTGTATAGCGCCCTTCATCCATAGATCTCAGGGCAGTTCACAACATTAAAAACACAAAATACATATTAATAATAATAATAATAATAATAAAGCACTTTCCCCTTCCTATCTTACTACAGTGGTACCTCGGGTTACATACGCTTCAGGTTACATACGCTTCAGGTTACAGACTCCGCTAACCCAGAAATAGTGCTTCAGGTTAAGAACTTTGCTTCAGGATGAGAACAGAAATCATGCTCCGGCGGCGTGGCATCAGCAGGAGGCCCCATTAGCTAAAGTGGTGCTTCAGGTTAAGAACTATTTCAGGTTAAGAACGGACCTCCGGAACAAATTAAGTACTTAACCTGAGGTACCACTGTATAGGTAAGGTTCCCCACCCCATCCCCATGCCCCACAAGCCTGCTAATAATTTCTCTGTTGAAAAGGAACACTTTCAGATGCAACTGAAGATCTGGAAGCAAAAGACCGAGGAACTCCAGGCCCTGAAATTAGCTGAAGCGAGAAGACGCTTGAAACGTCTGGTAAGTCAGCAGTTCTCAGACGTAACACCTGATTGGAGTTTAAAACATGTGGAGGGCTGCCAGGTGGATGAAAACAGTCCAAATTGCCCGTTTCCCCCCTATATCAGGCTTCTGTGCCTTTAACAGGTGCATAACAAACAAAATCTCAGCGAGTGGTGCTTTTCCACTGTGAATGCTGAGTGATGGGGGAAAGTCGGTTGTTCAGGTGTTAATGCCACAACTCTATACCGTGACATTTTCTGTTGACCTTCCCTGCCTTCCTTTTGACCTGCTCTTTGCAGGAAAGGTTAGACTCCGAAGGGAAGAAGATTGTGTCTGAATTTGAGCAGCTATATCAGTTTCTAGAGGATCAGGAAGAATTCCTGCTGGCCAAGCTAGAACAGCTGCAGAAGGAAGTGATAATGGAGGAGAAGACCACCACATCAGAGATTTCCAACCTTCGTGACCTCGTCCGCGATGTGGAAGAGAGATGTAAGCAGCCTGTGAGTGAATTCCTCCAGGTAAGGAGAGCAGGGATCCTTCCTCTGGGGCCTTGGGGCTGCTAAATCTAGACAAGCATGGGGTAATCTAGATCTAGCATGGGGTGAATTGTCCTCCCACGTGTTTATTTGGAGGATGGCTCCTGCTTGTATTCAGGACCTGACTCACTGCCATGTACAGGGCTGGAAGAGGTCTGATGATCTAGAATGGAGCAGTGAACCTGGCTTTTTTTTGGTCTTCACATGTGGCTTAGTGTTCTCGCTTGAATTTCCTGGAAGAAGCCAATTCAAGGACTAGTCACACAACACTGGCAAATCAGCGGTGTAGCAGCAAAACTGCCAGCACATCTGCAAAGCTAAGCAGGGTCCGGTATGGTTTCAAATTGGATGGGGAACCAAATGTTGAGATTTCCGACATTGCAGGGAGTTGGATTAGGTGACCCTAGGGGTTCCTTCCAATTCTACAATTCTATGATTCTAAGAGTTTCAATTGAGGGACCGAAAGCATGTTGCGGTTGCAGGATCTCTCTCTGCAGATTTGATGTGTAGCAGCAGCAGCACCTTTGGGCTCTTCCTGTACATTTGTAAGAAAAGCAAATATTACAAAAACACCATAAGAGCAGGAATAGGGGATCTGTCCAGTGGGCCAGATCATTATTTTCCCCACACCCCTGGAGGCTGCATGAAAAGGGGGTGGGGCTGCCCACTTGTCAATCACCTTGCATCAGAGTGATGTCAGAGTTTGGCCAGCTGATGAACGTGCAAAAGAGAGAGAGATGGTTAGGACCTGTTGTTATTTCTTTTATCTCTTTATTGTTTGAACAGAAGAAAACCTCTTATTTATTTACTTTTCAAAATAAAAAAAAGCCTTTGGGGGAAATAGCAAAAGGAAGATGGGAGGAAAAGGACTGACAGGGCAGAAGGAACGACTGCAGACAAATGACCTTACAAGTATTTAAAGTGTGTTTTCACCTGGGAATAAATATTAAGACGTTTAAGCAGAGAAAAGATACAAGCGTTGCCCCTCTGCTTCAGGCAAAGTATCCTGAGAGACTCTGCAACGAGAGAAGTTAAGAGTAAAAACACTTAAAATCAGAGAATTGTAAAGCTGGAAGGGACCATGCGGGTCATATTTGTTAGAAGTCCTGCTCCATGTTTGCAGTCATGGGATTGTTGTCTATCACATGATGGTGTATGCTTTGACTCCACAGAGTGGGAAGTGACAGAGACAGGATGTTTGTGTTACTGTGTTCCGTGAAGTGGGACTATTGTCCTTTGTTCTTTTTCTCTTTGCTGTCTGATGCTAGAGAGAGAGGGAACCGTGTTGCAGTGCTTCGTGTGTGTTTATATGTAAATAAAGTAGATTAGCCAAAATGCTGAGTTGCTGAGGTCTGTCACGCAAGCTGCAAAGACTCTGCGGATCCCTAAGTGTGCCGGTGTCGGTTGGCATCGGTCGCTGTGATGTTCGGGCTGAAGAAAGCTTTTGAAGCTCCCGAACAATCAACCAGGAGGGAGGGAACATGCCAGTCAGGCATGTGTCTCTGCCAGGGTCCTACTCGAGTGTAGGATGAGCTCCTGACAATATTGCCCAACCCCCTGCAATGTAGGAATATGAAACTTTAACAATGTGGAACAATGAGCAATGTATGATCTCACTTTGTGTTCTCTCTCCCATCTCTAGGATCTCCAAAACACCTTGAGCAGGTACGGTTCTCTCATGCGTTCAGACCAGTACTAGAGACAGGCCTGAGGGTTGCGGGATCTGTGCTGGGGTGCAAGTGTCTCATTGATGCTGCTTCCTTCTCCAAGGGTGTACCTTTTCTCTGGTTGGTGGGATGTGACACAGTAGATAGGATGGAGGGAGGAGAGGAGCAAAGAGACACCTTACCGGAAGGAACGTCTCCACCCCCATCGCTCAGCCCAGACACTGAGGTCCAGCTCTGAGGGCCCTCTGGCGGTTCCCTCACTGCGAGAAGCCAAGTTACAGGGAACCAGGCAGAGGGCCTTCTTGGTGGTGGCGCCCGCCCTGTGGAATGCCCTCCCATCAGATGTCAAGGAAATAAACAACTACCTGACTTTTAGAAGACATCTGAAGGCAGCCCTGTTTAGGGAAGTTTTTAATATTTGATGTTTTATTCTGTTTTTATTCTGTTGGGAGCCACCCAGAGTGGCTGGGGAAACCCAGCTGAGGAGATACTGGGCATGGGGAAGGGTGAGCCAAACAGAGAATTTCCTTCACTCCCTTTCTCTGCTCTCCCCTTCATCCACCATGCTGGCTTTATAAATCGCCACTTGCTTATTTAAATTTATGCCCATCCACAACATTCTCTAGGTGGCTGTAATGGTTCTAGGGGTTGCTCGTGTGTAAGCTTGTCCCAACCTCTGGCTGGGTTGCCTGAGTGAACCTTTCCTGTCCGGGCAGCCACTCGCCCGTGACTGTCTCAGTCGCTGGCAGAATCCGTCAGTGGGCGTTTCTTAAACTTCTTCCAGCAAAGAAGCTCTTTGACACCAAGTCTCCTCCTACTCTCCCTGCGCGGAAGCCTTCTGCGCAAGGAGGGCGTAGGCAGCGGAGGACCCTTCCTCTCCCCGCTGGTCCACGGCAAGGGGTCATGGGACCACCTCGCCGATTCCCCCATCTGCCCCCCTTCTCCATTGGAGCTACGTTGATGCTCTTCCCCAGAAGACGGGCTGCCTCTCCCACTCCCGGGACGCTCTCTGGGATCCCTTTGGAGCTTGCTCTCTCCCTCGGACACTGATGGCAGTTCCCTGACAGTGGCTTATCACATAACTTTCATTATGAACACACTACCTGTCAAACCGCTATGGGTGGCCTTGATCCACTTTACACACAATCAGTGGTTCGGGGGGGGGGAGGATACGCTTATTCTGAAAATCACTAACTCCCAAGCTGGAGGCAGAGGCAAAGAACATGGGTTTGAGAATTCCCAAGCCCTTGGTTAAGGAGAGCCTTTTCCCCTTCCAGATGCGAGGATCAGAAGACCCAGAAACCAGTGGGTTGCTCTCAAGATCTGGAGAAGAGGCTGGATGCATTTTCCGAGAAAAGGATGCATCTGGAAGAGATCTTAAAGAAATTCAAAGGTGCCAAGGTGGGGGTGGGAGGGAAGGGAGGAATTATTATTACTAGAAATAGTAAAATAGTAATTTTTAACTTTCGCTTGTCACTATATATATACATATATATATACATATATATACACATATATATAGGTAAAGGGACCCCTGACCATTAGGTCCAGTCGTGGCTGACTCTGAGGTTGCGGCGCTCATCTCACTTTATTGGCCGAGGGAGCCGGCGTACAGCTTCCGGGCCTCGTGGCCAGCATGACTAAGCCGCTTCTGGCAAAGCAGAGCAGCGCGCGGAAATGCCGTTTACCTTCCCTCCTGAGCGGTACCTATTTATCTACTTGCACTTTGACGTGCTTTCAAATTGCTAGGTTGGAGCAGGGACCGAGCAACGGGAGCTCGCCCCGTCGCGGGGATTCGAACTGCCAACCATCTGATCGACAAACCCTAGGCTCTGTGGTTTAACCCACAGCGCCACCCACGTTCCATATATATGTGTGTGTGTGTGTGTGTGTGTGTGTATAGTCTCAAAGCAACTTAATGACAAGATAAGTTGTGCTCCCGGATTATTGCAGAGGGCGATTTAAAGGACTGTGACTGGTTCACCTGCCCTGGGTGCCAAGCCAAGAGGGTGTTGCAGGAGGCGCCACAACAAGGAAGCAGGGAGGGAGGGGATTTTGGTGCCGCACAGGGTGCGCTGAAATTTGAAAGCCCAAAGTGCGCCACTGACTTTGGGTTCCCAGCTGGTGATCAGTAGTGGCCAGCATGGTGGAGCAATGCCATAGTACCACCCTTTTGACAGCAGTATTGCTGCTTCATACCTGGACAGTGCAGTGATGAGTCAGGGGAGTGGAGAGGTTGGAGATATGTGGGCACGCTGGCAGAGTATTTGTCCATCCCATACTTCTCTATGTGTTTGCCCATTACAGTGGTACCTCTAGATGCGAATTGGATCCGTTCCGGAGCCCCGTTTGCATCTAGAAGCAACTGTAACTAGCGACGGCACGTCTGCACACGTGCGCGTCGCTTTTCACCGCTTCTGCACATGCGCATGGCATCATTTTGAGCGTCTGCTCATGCGCAAGCGGCGAAACCTGGAAGTAACGCGCTACATTACTTCCGGGTTGCCGCGGAGCGCAGAGCACAACTCAAATGCGCTCATCCTGAAGCATATTCAACCTGAGGTATGACTGTACTTTCCTAACTGCAAAAAGTCTTTTCTTTTTAAAAAAAAAGTGAATTTGGAGCACCAGGGCAACAGATCCACATGTATTTTGTGTTTTTCATGTTATAATTTAATGTGAAGAGCCCTGAGGTCTACGGGGTATACGACAGCATGCAAATTTAATAAATAATAATAAATAAATAAATTATTTTGTAAAGCTAAATTTTCAGGTATGTTCTTGAATCCCTCCTGCAAAATATGGACAACCTGCAGTCATTAAACAACTCTTGCTGATCTACTTCAAAATACGCTGAGCTCTACCAGTGCCCTGTCTACCTGCTGCCCACCCCTGCTCTAGATCATGTTTCTCTTCGGCAGACACACCAGAGCTCCTCATTATATAAATTGAAGGGGGAAGAGTTCCTTGAATGTATAATTCTGAAAACCACTGGCCCAAGCGCATCAGCTTTGTGGAATCTAATCTCCATTTTTCTCCTGTCTTCCTTTAGCCGCTGTGTCAGTTGAACTGGAGAGTATATCTTTGTCAAAAGAGGAACTAGGAGTCCGGAAAGGCAGGACAAGATTATTTGAGTTGCCTTATGCTGAAGTGAAGAAAAGAGGCACAAGAGGTCAGTAGTTTTTGTGCTCAGTAGCGGTTGCACACTTTCTGGATATGTTGAGCAGTAGGGACAGGGGAGATTTTTAATTCAGTTACCAGGAAAAGGCAAATCTACTTAATTAGCACTTTCTGGAATTCTTCTTCTTTGGCGATCGCTCCTAGCCGAGTAAGATTGTCTTCCATAAACACGGTTTTAACAATGAGTCTGTAAGTGACTGTGGAGGCCAATTCTGGATCCACACGTCCTTCCACAGTGGGGACATTGGTTTCCGGGTGGGAGTTGATCACGGCATGGATTTGCCAAGTGTGCCTTCCTCTAAGCACGTTCCTACCTTTTGTCCTGAGTTCCAGTGTCTTCAAAGCCCATGACACCTTTGGTAAAGGCTGCTCTCCAACTGGAGTGCTCTCAGGCCAGTGTTTCCCAGTTGTTGGTGTTTATACTACATTTTTAAAGATTTGCCTTGAGACAGTCTTTAAACCTCTTTTGTTGACCACCAGCATGACGCTTTCCATTTTAAAGTTTGGAATAGAGTAGTTGCTTTGGAAGATGATAATCAGGCATCTGCACAACAAGACCAGTTCAACGAAGTTGATGTTGAAGAATCACTGGTGATCTTTGCTTCTTCCAGTACACTGGGATTAGTTTGTCTGTCTTCTCAAGTGATGTGTACATTTTTTCAGATAAATCAAAACAGCCACCCTTTGAAACTCGTTCTTCTTTTAATTTTGCAGTGCGGTTCTCCATAGCAGCAAATAATGTGTCACAAAAATACGTATATCAAGGGAAAGCATGCATCAAAATACAGTATTAGAGAAAATAACATACACAGATGTATTGTAATAGGGAACCAGTTCTGTCTGTAACATGTTGTTGTTGTTTAGTCGTTTAGTCGTGTCCAACTCTTCATGAGCCCATGGACCAGAGCACACCAGGCACTTCTGTCTTCCACTGCCTCCCACAGTTTGGTCAAACTCATGCTGGTAGCTTCGAGAACACTGTCCAACCATCTCGTCCTCGGTCGTCCCCTTCTCCTTGTGCCCTCCATCTTTCCCAACATCAGGGTCTTTTCCAGGGAGTCTTCTCTTCTCCTGAGGTGGCCAAAGTATTGGAGCCTCAGCTTCACGATCTTTTCCTTCCAGTGAGCACTCAGGGCTGATTTCCTTAAGAATGGATAGGTTGTCTGTAACATACACTCTCTCTTTTTCCTCCTTCCCTTCCAAGTGAACGTGACGCTGGATGGAGACACCGCAAACCCCTTCCTTGTCCTCTCGGCGGATCAGAAGAGTGTGAGACTCGGAGATGCATGGCAGGATGTCGCTGACAACCCCGAGAGATTTGATCCTTACCCCTGTGTGCTGGGCTGCGAGGGACTCACGTCGGGGAGGCATTATTGGGAAGTTGAAGTGGCCAGTGGGAAGCACTGGGCCGTGGGCTTTGCAAAAGAATCTGTTAAAAGGAAAGGGCAGATCACCCCTAGCCCCGAGGAGCAGATATGGGCTCTACAACAAAGTGGGGATCTCCTTGAAGCTCTGACCTATCCTCCGACTATCTTACCGTCGGGCAACTGTCCCAGGAGAGTCTGGGTATTTCTGGACTATGAAGAGGAACGAGTGGCGTTCTTTGATGCCGATACATCAGTGTTAATCTACGTTTTCTCACCAGCGATGTTCAGTCAGGAGAGAATCTTTCCTTGGCTCTGGGTCTGGCCTGGAACCGAGCTGAGGATTTAGCAGCGAGTTTTGATGTTAGTGTATTGGCTAACTGCAGCGAGGCTGAGTAACACACACACAAAAATATCACTTATCTAGGTTTGGGTAGCTATCTTCTCTACGGCATAGGAAGAGTGGCTTTACAGGCCATGTCCCACTTGCGAGGCAAGGATCCTGTTGTGAAACAAATCCCAAATTTCCTTCAGTAAAAACCCACATTTTGTGCCAATAAAAAACAAAACACTAGCAAATTGTATTGTGCGTATCAGTTCTAAATTACACAAACTTTGTGCTGATTTCAGCTCTTTTAAACACAGCCAATGTTAGAAGAATACATACATCATATCAGGTCAAGATAGCCAACATGGTGCCCTCTAGATGTTGCTAGACTACAACTCCCATCACCCCTGACCTCTGGCAGAGGTTGATGGGAGATGAAGTACCATAATGTCTGGAGGTTTCATATTAAAGGAGCAGCACCGTTAGGCCTGGACTGCTGGGCACATCCTCTGCCCCTCGCTGCATCCGGCAGCCGTCAGGCAGCACCCACAAAACCTTCCTTTAAAAAACTACAACAGTCCTTCACCCTGAGCACAATGCAGCCAGAGCAAAGCTCTCTACCCATTTAATTCTGCAGGGTGCCTCTGGGCCCCACATGAAGAAGACTGGCAGGTGCCTGCAAAAAGTTGCTTCTTTACAAAATGAGGATGTCACAGAGACTGCTGCTGATGGCTGACTAGGTGGCAGGCTGGCAAGGAGAGAAATGAGGGAGGACCAAGCAAGCAGGCAGTGTGAGAAATAAACGACCTCCTCTTTCTAACTTTTCTGGGGTGGGGAGGACCCCATATCTCCGCTCCCCTACTTTTTACCAGGGTTCATTCCCTTACACATGGCCTGCTAACTGGGTGGATGGAGGAAAGAGTGAGCAAATTGGACTGTGGCTGTGTGTAGAATTTAGTGGTGGAACAGACTGACTCCCTCAAGAACTTGGAAATGGATGCTATTGAAGCGCAAGATTTTTTCACGTCGTTCTGATTTTATTCAGAATAAACAATATGAATCAATGCAATACGTGCAAAGATAACTCTGCTCAACATACAAATAGAGAAAGGCAGAGTGACACCTGTTTTCATTCAAGTTTGGGTGCATTTAATCTTAATTTAGTTTGCCTTCCTGCACAATGAACAGCTTGATCTGAAGCTTTTCATAGCATGGAGGTGAGCAGAAGCCGATCATTTTCTTATGCCTGCAGGTTAAGCTGCTTTTAAAACCCTTCCTGAAAGGTAGAGATTGACTGATGGACTGGCCAGTTAGGAAATGGAAAAATAAAATGATCTGCTGCCAGGCTGATCGTGGGAAAATGAAAAATTGGGGCTGATCCACATTAACTCTGGACCTAGTTCCATTTTTAGTTTGGTCCAGCGTTGGCCATTCCCACGGGTACTTTTTGCCTTTGGTTTTTACTTGGGGAAAGACCCCTGAAAACCTGTGTTTTCCCATTCATTCTTCCTAGTTCTTTTCGGGTTGTCTCCATCTCCACCCACCTTTGGCAATGGGGTTGAGCAGGCACACTTATTCCACACACAGACACACCCCACACTGGCTACCCTTGCATTACATTCAAACTTCTTGTCCTGCGCACAAAACACTCTACTCTCAGTGATGCAGTGGGGGCCGAGGCTGTGGACTGATTACGTTTTTGCGCAAAAACTTGGTTTTGGGCAACCCTGCTACTTCGAGTTCTACAGGTCTCACAGCATTAACGCCCCATAAAGTCATAACCACAGGCTTGGATTCCAGCAGAAATCAAGCATGTCTCTCCCTCACGGGCTTCAGCCTGCCTCCTCCTAGCTTCTAACTCATACAAAAGTGTCTTTAGTCCTTCTAAAATATCAGACAGGTGAGGAGGGGGGCCCACCATTTGTCCTCTGGCACAGAGCCACTTCCTTTGTTATTTTAAGGACTCGTACTTAAGCCACTACCACACCAGGAAGTTAGCCTGGCTATGCCAGCAATGTAATCCTCGCTGGATCCCATTGGATCCAGGAATTGGAGGGGACTCAGGCCCCATACAGCCTAACACACACACACCTAACTCACATAGTATTTATATATACCAGACATAGGCAAACTCTGGCCCTCCAGATGTTTGGGACTACTATTCCCATCATCCCCAGCTAACAGGCCCAGTGGTCAGGGATGATGGGAATTGTAGTCCCAAACATCTGGATGGCCAAAGTTTGCCTATGCCTGATATATACCCTGCCTTTTTCCTGATGGGACTCATGGTGGGTTACATATAAAAATGAGAACCACTAAAACCTCTATTGAACTTGTGTTACCCTACAAAGGATGGTGGGATAAGAACGATGACCCTTCAGCCAAAAGAAGACAAACTAAGCGCGTGGAAAGAGTTCAAATTTATTGCTGAAGAGTAAATCTAGAGACCACAGTGGATATCTCCGAAAAGCTGGAACCCCCAAACAAAGGGTTGTTGTTGTTGTTTAGCCGTTTAGTCGTGTCTGACTCTTCGTGACCCCATGGAGCAGAGCACGCCAGGCACCCCTATCTTCCACTGCCTCCCGCAGTTTGGTCAAACTCATGTTTGTAGCTTCGAGAACACTGTCCAACCATCTCGTCCTCTGTCGCCCCCTTCTCCTTGTGCCCTCCATCTTTCCCAACATCAGGGTCTTTTCCAGGGAGTCTTCTCTTCTCATGAGGTGACCAAAGTATTGGAGCCTCAGCTTCACGATCTGTCCTTCCAGTGAGCACTCAGGGCTGATTTCCTTCAGAATGGAGAGGTTTGATCTTCTTGCAGTCCATGGGACTCTCAAGAGTCTCCTCCAGCACCATAATTCAAAAGCATCAATTCTTCGGCGATCAGCTTTCTTTATAGTCCAGCTCTCACTTCCATACATCACTACTGTACTGGGAAAACCATGGCTTTAACTATATGGATCTTTGTTGGCAAGGTGATGTCTCTGCTTTTTAAGATGCTGTCTAGGTACACACAGCCTTAATAATATGTATTACAGGAAGGAATGCAATTGTGACAGAAACTTAAACCATCCTCACTGGCTGCCTCTATGCATTCTCAAAACATGCTCCTATGTACTGTGCAAAGCCATAGCAACAGATATCTTTAAGCAAAGTTATCAATTTGTCCCATGCGGAATATCACACTTCTCTGCCAGTGTTATCTTGCTACATGAAGAATGTCTGAGCGTACAATGAAATTATTGTTCTGATGGCTTTGAAACCAGCCCCCAGTCTTCTGATGAAGGTCAGTCTGCCCTTGGCACGCTTTACTTAAGCTGATTAGAAAACGAGAGGCAACAAGACAGAAATGCATTTTCAGTGGTATACTATCTTGACATTCACTGGTGGTCCTGAATAGTGTGCTACGGGGATTGTTGCCTAATAATAACGGTGAGGTGTTGCAGGTCCCTTTACAAGTGCCTCTGCCTCTTCCAGGACGGTGGTTGTGAGCTGCTTGGAGCAGAATTTGGAAAGGCACCATAGAAATAAACTAGAGCTACACCATAAATACTTTTGTCCAGGCTTGCACTCTCTGTCTTTGACCTAGCTCAAGAGCAGCAAACACTGTGCTATTCTCATATTAATAACTTGCAGAAGTCCAGATGTCCATAAACATAAGACAAACTTTATGAAACTGTTTAAAAATAAATAAATAATAATAAATGGGTCATCTCTGTTTAAAGGAAGTCATAGCTTCTCTATTGCTGAATCATTCTCCCACCCCCCAAGGCCCCAAGAATCATCTGATTCACTTAAAGTGATAGTACCCTCACAGGCGTGGGGGAAATTGGTTTCTTAATGAGCTGGGAGCTCACCTTAATTTATTTCCTTACATTTATACCCCACCTTTCATCCATCATAAAGCCCAAGGTGACATATGTCCAGCAGATCTCCCATCCAAGCTCTTAATAGGCTCAGGTCTGATTGCTAAAGCAAATAAAATAAATAAAAAATAAAATAAAATAAGTTTTCCTGCATAGAGAAAACAGCCTGGTGTTCTTCCTGATATATTAGAGAAATGTTGGGGTTTTTTTCTCCTGAACCAGTGCATGGGTGTAGCCGGGGGGGGGCAGCTGCGCCCCCCTCCCAGATTAAGAAAACAATAAAAATACTTAACTAGCTGACCAATCGCATCGGTTCTGCCCCCCCAACAAAAAAACCTTGCTACGCCTATGAACCAGTGTGGTGTAGTGGTTAGAGTGTTGGACTAGGACCTAGAGAGATCAGGGTTCAAATCCCTACTCGGCCAGTCACTGACTCGCAGCCTAACCTACCTCACAGGGTTGCTGTGGGAATTAAATAAGGACGGGGGAAAGCATGTCAGCCCCCTTCAGCTCTTTGGAGGAAAAAAAGATGATATATTTAAAAATGGAATAGATAAATAAAATAATTCATTTGGCAGGGCTAGAGGAATAATACAGTGATCATGTTGCTGTCGATGTGCAAATCCATACATGAGCTTGGGTAGAAGCGGCCAAGTGTTGGAGGTAATTTGCATGTTCTGTTACTCTTAACTGTTTGCGCTCCTCTCTGCGCAGCAGTAAATAAAAATCTCCATTCTCTAGAGAAGCAATCAAGTGCACCAAAGAAAATTCAAGAGTCGTGCAAACTACCCTTGCAACCATTTCAGATGTTCTGTTACAGACACATACAGAATTGTCTGCACTAGAATTGCACGCTGCTTTTGATTTTCTGACCTGCCTCCTCACAAAAACTATTGCAAGCTGGTGAGTTCCTGCGAGTTACAGCCCCGCAATGTGCCCTTTGCAATGTAATGAACAAATAGAAAAAGAGCCTACCCAGTTGGCGCTGACACAAAACCCCACACGTAAGCCCCAAAACGAGCAAGGTCCCAACCAAAGAAGAAAGGCAACTTAAGTTGACAGACTGTGCAAAACTTGCAGACTTAGCATACAGAATAAGAGAACAAGAAGAACATAGTTCTATTTACAGGCAGGTAGCCGTGTCAGTCTGCCATAGTCAAAACAAAATAAAAAAATTCCTTCCAGTAACACCTTAGAGACCAACTAAGTTTGTTATTGGTATGAGCTTTCGTGTGCATGCACACTTCTTCAGATACCTTCAGATATCTCACACCAATAACAAACTTAGTTGGTCTCTAAGGTGCTACTGGAAGGAATTTTTTTTATTTTGTTTCAAGAAGAACATAGGTTTAAAGAAGATTGGAAAGTGTTTATTGAATATATGGGAAATAACTGTGTACAGCTGAAAACGCTGGCAGCATTCAGATAAATTCAACAGCGTAAACAAGTTTTGATGGATGCAATAATGGAATGCTGAATGGTATAGCTTTTGTAAAATGTGGAGGGATTTGTAAAATGAACCACGGAAAGAGAAAAAGGGAAGCCACTGATATCTTAAGGATGCAAAATGAGTATTTTACATTGGAAAACAGAAAATTTAATAAAAATTATTTATATACACACACACTATAGACAGATAGATAATTTATGCAAATTGATTTTCTCTGGAGTTAAAGATCTGACTGGGACAAACCTTGTTATGTTGAGCTCGTAATTTGCACAATTTGTATACGATGTCTGTTTGATAATGTGTGGTTTGCTATGCCTAATAAAGGATATATTTGATTTGATAGATAGATGATAGATAGACACAGACACACACATAAAACAAAACCCCACACCTACACTATATAAAAATATAAGCCTCACCACCCCACCCCACCCCTCCTCTCCTCCCTCTTTTCCCCCAACTTTAAACTGTACTCAACACTAAGGTCTCATAACAAATGTAACCGATTTGTAAGAAGGACTGCACAACCTGAAAAAAGAGACAAGGCATGGACTTTTGTAAACCAAGAAAATCTTTAATGAAAATATATATTTTTTTAAAAAAAGAAATGCTGCCCCTTTGCACAACAGCCAATCGGATTGGAGAAGGAAGTTGCTCCCTTTGATCCTGCAGGCAGGGGCCCCGGCAAAGACTCACAACTTGGCTCCCACCTCCCTGCACGGCATGGATGCAGAGGAGGAGGAGGACCCCATGCGAGGCCTGCAAAAGGCTGCCCTTTGCTCCATCTGCCTGGAGTATTTCCAAGACCCGGTGTCCATAGACTGCGGGCACAACTTCTGCCAGGCTTGCATCGCCCAGTGCTGCGACGACGCCCGGACCCGCTTCTCCTGCCCTCACTGCCGCAGGAGGTCTTGCAAGAAAGATTTCAGGCCTAACCGGGAACTGGCGGAGATGGTGGAGATCGCCAAGCGGTTCAAGAGCCAGGTGGAAGAAGCGCCGGGAGAGAGGATGGGCAGGTGCCAGAAGCACCGGGAGCCTCTGAAACTCTTCTGCCAAGATGACCAGAGCCTGATCTGCGTGGTCTGCGACAGGTCCAAGGAGCACAAAACTCACGCAGTGCTCCCTGCCAAAGAGGCTGCCCTGGACTATAAGGTAAGAAGGCAGTTGACCCAGGTATCTTGCCTATATATATATATATATATTTAAATCTTTTCCAAGATTTTTTTAAATCAACATTTTTTTCATTCATCTTAACACCAAATTCATCTTGTCTGACTCCCCACCCCCCACCCCCACGTTTCCAAGTTTCACATTTATTTTCCCTTTCATAAACAACAAAGAAATAAACAACTACCTGACATTTAGAAGACATCTGAATGCAGCCCTGTTCAGGGAAGTTTTTAATGTATTTTTTAATCTTGGTTGGAAACCGCCCAGAGTGGCTGGGGAAGCCCAGCCAGATGGGCGGGGTACAAATAATAAATTATTACTATTATCGCATATAATTACTTTTGTCCAATTCATTTCCAGTTCTTCTTTTTAGCTAAATTATCAAAATACTTCATGAATGCTCCCGGCCGGATTTAGGTTTGATGAGGCCCTAAGCTACTGAAGGGAATGGGGCCCTTTATATGTCCAGCTGCCCTTTGTCAACAACAAATGGTGGTACCTCTGGTTACGTACTTAATTTGTTCTGGAGGTCTGTTCTTAACCTGAAACTGTTCTTAACCTGAAGCACCACTTTAGCTAATGGGGCCTCCCGCTGCCACTGCATGGTTTCTGTTCTCATCCTAAAGCAAAGTTCTTAACCCGAGGTACTATTTCTGGGTTAGCGGAGTCTGTAACCTGAAGCGTATGTAACCTGAAGTGTATGTAACCCAAGGTACCACTGTATGCTATCTGGTAATTTATGGACCTAATATGTATCTAAAGCCATTTGCACAAGTTACCATGCAACCAGTCCGTGCAGAATGTAGGCACCCTATACATAGAAATGAGCAACCCAGTGATATTTTAGGGAGCAGGCTAGCAGGCCATTACATCCTAGGAGCCTACACAACACAAAACACTGTTGCCGTATGTAGGTTTTATTTTATTTATTTTTCATCTTACATTTTGGAAATGTACATCCAGGTTTTTCTTTAATTTTTTGGGGGGGGCCCCAAGAGAGTGGGGTCCTAAGCTATAGGTTGTTTAGCTTATACGTAAATCCGGCACAAAATGCTACATCAATCCTGCTAATGTTTTAACACATTTACAGTGTTCCTTAACATACTTCCCCCCCCCCAATCTTGCTTACATTTCTTCTCGTCTTGATGCCTGATCTTCACAGTAAGTTTTGCCATTTTGGCATGCTCTTATCATCTTGATTATCCATTCTTCCTTTGTTGGTACGCCTTCTTCTTTCCACTTTTGGGCAAATAACGTTCTAGCAGCCATGGTAGTGTACATAAACAGTCTCTTTAGATTCCTTGGTGTTTATTCCCCTGTCCGTGACCCAGGATTCATTTAGATTTGTACAGTGGTGCCTCGCAAGACGAAATGAATCCGTTCCGCGAGTCTCTTTGTCTTGCGGTTTTTTCGTCTTGTGAAGCACGGCTATTAGCGGCTTAGCGGCTATTAACGGCTTAGCGGCTTTAAGAAAAGAGGAAACAAACTCGCAAGAACTCGCAAGACGTTTCGTCTTGCGAAGCAAGCCCATAGGGAAATTCGTCTTGCGGAACGACTCAAAAAACGGAAAACTCTTTCGTCTTGCGGGGCACCACTGTACTGGCAGCTAACGTCTCTGACTGTGACAGTGTTGGTGGCAAACTGGATTGTGCACATGCTATATATTTAAACCATACCCACCCACACCCAAATCCTGGGGACTGTGGTTTGCACTTTAAGGAGCTACAAACCACTGTCCTTAAGGTCTAGGGACAGGATGTGCTGTAAATGCATGGTTTGTAAACAGTTACTGCTGGAAAATGCATGCAGCAGAAATACCATGGGATTTAGTATGAAAAGAGTCGATTCCACAGAGAGAGTCCAAAACCATACGCTCATTTTCATGTCGCTTTTAATTTGTATACCATTTTTCTATGTTACTGTACACAAGGTGGTTTGCAACAACAAACTGCACAACAAAGAACACACCTTACAATAATCTGATCCCATGCAAAAAAAAAATAATCATAATAAAGCATAACTTTAAAATGGAACGACATTCAATGCCCGTTTTCAGTGTGTCGCAGGGGGGCAGTTAACTGGGTTTTTGTTTTCATCTTGTGATTTTACGTTGTAACTGCCCTGAGAGCTGTGGGTATAGGGCGGTATACAAATTTAATGATAATAATACCAAATAAAGTAATATTCAATAATCTATTAGAATATAATGGCACACAATAACATTTAAAACATCAGCAAGTGATAATTAAGCAGAAATTCCTTCTTAACAATTGCAATAAATAATGAGCAAACGATGATCAATGAAAATAACTGCAAGGCACAACGCAGAAAACACCGCAATACATCCAAAACCATGCAAATTGAGAAACAAAGACACACAACTTTAAAAACTAATTTTTAAAAATCCCTAGACCCCTCTTCTCCCTTCCCAGCTGTTTCTGGGAGAGGCTAATTAATTGCTCAGCTGGGTTTAAATGAGCTTGGAGTTGGTGAGGCTTTTCCCCTCTGCTTTGCATTTCCTCACTGAGAAAGCTGACTTCTGCCGAATTATTTTAGAGTCTCTCTGTAGGTTTTCTTTTGGTGGGACTTTTCCAAGCAACTTCCTTTTTTTTTTTTTAAATGATATTTATTAAAATTTCACAAGAAAAGGATCACATTAATAAAAAAATTAACAATAAAAAGAAAAATACAAAATACAAAAAGGAAAAAGAAAAAACAGTTAAAAACAATTCCGTCTTTTCATCACTTCTTTTACGTTTACTTGTTTCCCGGACCTCCTCATACCTCCCTCTTTTGTATTCCAATTCAATTTGTTAGTCCAGCAATTCCTTTCCCTCCTTTTAATCCTGATCTTTAATCTTGATATATTATAACATTAAATTTTTACGTATTAAAAACCAATTTTTCCATATTCTTTTATACCATTACAGCTAGAAACCACTTAACTTCAATCCAACATCATTCTAACATTCATTAATTTTACAATATTTCTGTAAGTAGTCTTTAAATTTCTTCCAATCTTCTTCCACCGACTCTTCTCCTTTTCCAAGCAACTTCCAGCCAGGAGCACTGTGGACATAAGCCAGTTCGCCTGTCCTTTTAGTGAAGCAGTTCCTCGTGAAGAATTCGGCAATAACTTTGGGCGTGTGCCTTTAAAGCATGCATGCTCCCTCTAAAATCTCTTGACCATTGTACAGTGGTACCTCGGGTTACATACGCTTCAGGTTACAGATGCTTCAGGTTACAGACGCTTCAGGTTACAGACTCCGCTAACCCAGAAATAGTGCTTCAGGTTAAGAACTTTGCTTCAGGATGAGAACAGAAATCATGCTCCAGCAGCATGGCGGCAGTGGGAGGCCCCATTAGCTAAAGTGGTGCTTCAGGTTCAGAACAGTTTCAGGTTAAGTACAGACCTCCGGAATGAATTAAGTACTTAACCCAAGGTACCACTGTAGTTTATTAAGAGCTGAAGCTCTGAAGGAAGGAGTGTGTTTCAAATGTACAGCGTCTGCATCCTTTCCCTCAAAGAATTCTGGGTAGTGTAGTTTACCAATCACAGAGTTACAATTTCCAGCAGCCTTAAACAAACTACAGAACCCAGAATTTTGAAGGAATGAATATGCTTTGAATGTGCTTTAAAGGGGAATACAGTCAGCAGATGCATCAGGTCTGTAGACTGCAAGTGCAAAAGCAGCTTACCACTAATAGTAATATAGATGGGCGGGGGATTTACTTTTTAAAATAAAACATTCATACCGTTGTTAATTGTATGAATAGCATCTGATTTGTCTGTCCTAGCAAAAATAAGTATTTTTCCCTCCCCAGGAACAAATTCAGACTGAATCACAGAGTCTTAAGCAAGAGAGAGAGAAACTGGAGGAGCTTAAACAGGCCGGTAAAAGGACAACTGAAGAAAATCTTGTAAGTCCCTCTTTTAATTAGCGCTAACCCAAACTTTGTGGGGCGGGGGTTGTAAGAACAATCTTGAAAGTTATTTGTGGAATGAATAATATCCACTGGGAGGATTGATGATGATTTTCATTATCTTCCTGCGTTCGTTCACAAACTGCTCTGGGACTAAGTGATTTTTTAATTATGGTACTTCAGTTCTGACCCTGCAGTCTCTTGTGATGTGTAGGAGTCCTTATTTACCAGTGCGGCCTATTCTGACTGCTGTTGCAACATACAAATGGTCACATCTTATAGCAACTCTCCGCGAGCAGCGGCAGCGCTGCCGCTGCTCGCGGAGAGGTCCGCGAAGCCTGGGCGCGCTGATCTCAGCGCGCGCAGGCTTCGGCATGCCGGCAACTCTCCGCGAGCAGCGGCAGCGCTGCCGCTGCTCGCGGAGAGGTCCGCTGAAGCCTGGGCGCGCTGATCTCAGCGCGCGCAGGCTTCGGCATGCCGGCAACTCCTCCGCGAGCAGCGGCAGCGCTAGCCGCTGCTCGCGGAGAGGTCCGCGAAGCCTGGGCGCGCTGATCTCAGCGCGCGCAGGCTTCGGCATGCCGGCAACTCTCCGCGAGCAGCGGCAGCGCTGCCGCTGCTCGCGGAGAGGTCCGCGAAGCCTGGGCGCGCTGATCTCAGCGCGCGCAGGCTCTCGGCATGCCGGCAACTCTCCGCGAGCAGCGGCAGCGCTGCCGCTGCTCGCGGAGAGGTCCGCTGAAGCCCTGGGCGCGCTGATCTCAGCGCGCGCAGGCTTCGGCATGCCGGCAACTCCTCACACAAGTATTTGGTGCAAAAAACCCCACCCCATCCCTCATTCTGTACCTTGAACAACATTAGAAATATATAAGAAAATCTGGCATTTATGTAGCATTTTTCCTAAATGGCTCACATACGTTATTACAGTATTTCTAGCCACATAGCAATACAGTGGTCCCTTGGTTCTCAAACTTAATCTGTTCTGGAAGTTCATGCCAAAACCAAAGCGTTCCAAAACCAAGGCACTCTTTCCCATAGAAAGTAATGCAAAACGGATTAATCCGTTCCAGACTTTTTTTAAAAAACCCCACCTAAAACAGCAATTTAACATGAATTTTACTATTTAAGGAGACCATTGATCCATAAAATGAAAGCAGTAATCAATGTACTGTACAGTGGTACCTCGGGTTACATACGCTTCAGGTTACAGACTCTGCTAACCCAGAAATATTACCTCGGGTTAAGAACTTTGCTTCAGGATGAGAACAGAAATTGTGCAGCAGCAGCGGGAGGCCCCATTAGCTAAAGTGGTGCTTCAGGTTAAGAACAGTTTCAGGTTAAGTTCTTAACCCGAGGTACCACTGTACGTGTATGTGACATGAAGTATTTTATATAGGGGCACATTCAAAAGTCCATATACGGTCCATTCTATCCAGGCCTAAGTGTTTACAGGATTGCATTGTTCGTACTTTACCCTTCTTACTTTACCCTTTAATTACAGGAAAAGTTGGGTGCTGAAAGGAGTAAAGTTGCATCTGCATTTGAGCTGCTGCATCAATTTCTTGAAGAACTGGAACAGCCCATTCTGGATCAACTGAATGAGCTGGAGCTGGAGATTAAGAACGGGCAGGAGGAAAACGTTGCCAAATACTCTAAGGCAGTTTCTGTCCTTGAGGACCTGATCAATGAGATGGAGGAGAAGTGTAGGCAGCCGGATAAGGAATTCCTGCAGGTGAGAACATGAATTTGTCAAGAGGTTTTGACTGAAGACTAAAATATGTGGAGTCCTGCAAGTCCCGGATTTGGCGGCGATAATAGAATCCGTGGGTTATTTTATAGGCAGAGAATTTTGTGAAGCCTTAATGGCTGAACAAATATATTGGGGCATAAGCTTTTGCAGACTTCATGAACTTTGCACTTTGCAGAGGTGTGAAGTGAAATCTTAGTTAGCAGGTATATAAATGAGAAAATTGGAAGTGAAATGGCAGTGAGGTGCAAAATTTACAGTCAGTGATAATGAGAGCTTAAATACAGAGGTACCTCAGGTTACAGACGCTTCAGGTTACAGACTCCGCTAACCCAGAAATAGTAGCTCAGGTTAAGAACTTTGCTTCAGGATGAGAACAGAAATCGTGCACCGGCAGCGCAGTGGCAGCTGGAAGCCCCATTAGCTAAAGTAGTACCTCAGGTTAAGAACAGTTTCAGGTTAAGAACGGACCTCCAGAACGAATTACGTTCTTAACCCGAGGTACCACTGTATGTTAAATGGGCACAGTTTAAAACTTTTACAACAGCAGATTGGTGATAATTGTTGAATTACTGTTTTGCCGCCTGTAGTTAGGGAGCCATTCACAAGAAAGTCACGGATAGCACAGATACAGGTTAGCACTGGAAAGCTAATAACACATACTGTGTGATAGCAAACCTTTGTCTTGATTAAATCCACAAGTGACGGTATTAAACTTCTTGAAGAATCCTAATTAAACTGTTTCACGTTGTCTTTAAGATGCTGCAAGATACTGTTTCAGTTCAAAATTTGGTTCTTTTAGAATTAGTGTTATATGGCAGCATTGCCAAGTATATGCTAGCCACTGCTGCTAACATGGCTCTGGTTAATAGATTGCTAGGTTCTCTGTTTCAAGAGAATGGAAAAAGTAAACATAGCCATATTGGTCCATAAAAAAACCTGACAAAATGAATTTCCTTCCCGGAGGGCCTTGGTATAACCCTAAACCCATTTAGCACTTATCAGAGAGCCTCATTTGCACGTCTCCAACTACCTTCTGGGTGGCGACGCGGGTGGCGCTGTGGGTTAAACCACAGAGCCTAGGACTTGCTGATCAGAAGGTCGGTGGTTCGAATCCCCGCGATGGGGTGAGCTCCCGTTGCTCGGTCCCTGCTCCTGCCAACCTAGCAGTTTGAAAGCACGTCAAAGTGCAAGTAGATCAATAGGTACTGCTCCGGCGGGAAGGTAAACGGCATTTCTGTGTGCTGCTCTGGTTCGCCAGAAACGGCTTAGTCATGCTGGCCACATGACCCAGAAGCTGTATGCCGGCTCCCTCGGCCAGTAAAGCGAGATGAGCGCCGCAACCCCAGAGTCGGTCACAACTGGACCTAATGGTCAGGGGTCCCTTTACTTTTACCTTTAACTACCTTCCACGTTTCATCTTGGAAGGTTTCTTCCATATTCATGGCTTCACCACCGGCCATTCCCTTCTCACGCTTCCCCCTTGCTATGTTTTGCCATCTAGCCCGATGAAGAGTTCTGGAGACCTGAAAGCTTGCATGCTACCATGTGATGTTTGGGTTAGCCTGATAAAGGGGTTGCTTAAATAATGGATTTGGCGATCCTCAACATGTCTGCTCTTAAGATTAGCTGAAGGAAGCAGAATGGCCTCGGAAAGGATTGTATGTCCATAATGTGAATTTCATTTTCCTCTACTTTTTCACCCTTCTAGAATGTCAAGGACACCTTGAGCAGGTATGTATGCGGTCCTTTCCATCTCCTCCTTCTGTAAAGGGTCTGAGGACTGACTTCATATGTGCATGTCCTGGGATAGCTCAGTTGGTAGAAGAGCATGAGACTCTTCATCTCTGGGTTCAAGCCCCGCCTCGGGCAGAAAGATTCCTGCATTGCGGGGATGACCCTCCCTTCCAGCTCTGCAATGCTATAATTCTAGGTCCATCTTCTGAGCACTGAATGCATGATAACTTACAGCTAAATGTGTGCATTGGCTCCGCTGAAAACCAAAGCAGCTGGTTGGATGTTGGTCGGTAAAGACTTGAAATGGTGGCGAATCAGCGAAGATCAGGCTGGAGTTGGGGCACAGCGTGAAATGATCCTAAAGGTTGCTTACAATAGATGGTGATACTTATGCACAAACCCACAGAATCTAGCAGTCCTGAGTCCCCTGGCTGATGGATGGTGGAAGAATAGGCTCCTCTTTGGCTCTGCAGTCCCAGAGCTGAGTAGATTTCCAGCAGGACGGGAAGTAAGCTCCCTGCAACAACTTCTTCTGTGACCAGTGATTGGAGCCAGGCTGGTCATCTCTTTGCTCTGGTGTTCCTCAGCTTTCAGTTCCGCAGTGCCAGAAGAAGTTTAAATAAACCGGATGTGTGAAGTAAGGGCTTACCCACACTTTCCAGGCTCAGGTCTCTGCTTAAAAGCTCTGGGTCCAAGCATTTTTCCTTTTTTGTCCTGGAGTTTCCTTTATGAAAACCGCTCTTTAGCTCTCAGTTGGAGCAAATGTCAATTTGGGCTTTCCGTGGATTGCTATTTGTTCCAAGTGAACTTTAAAGAGTGGGTTTTCTTTTTTCCAAATAGATTTTTATTAAGGTTTAAAAATAAAAATACAAAGATTACTATCGAATATCGTTTTTGTCCCAACTGAAACATTAATCTAAAGGCAAAAAAGAGAAAGGAAATAGGAGAAAGGAAATAAGAGCGAGAGAGAGAGAGAAAGGATGATATAGAGAAAAAAGAATAGGAAATGATTTAAAAGAGTGAAAGAGAGAGTTGTTGAGAAGCTAAAAAACCTTTTTAATGATTTTATTGAAGGTTTTAAACACACTGAGCTCTGAATCCAAACATGTTTATAAAAAGATAATAAAACGCATTATATCGAAGAAGAATAAAGAGAAAGAAAATATAAAATAAAATACAGTGGTACCTCGGGTTACATACGCTTCAGGTTACAGACTCTGCTAACCCAGAAATAGTACCTCAGGTTAAGAACTTTGCTTCAGGATGAGAACAGAAAATCGTGCTCCGGCGGCACGGCAGCAGCAGGAGGCCCCATTAGCTAAAGGCGTGCTTCAGGTTAAGAAGTTTCAGGTTAAGAACAGACCTCCGGAACGAATTAAGTACTTAACCCGAGGTACCACTGTACTCATGATCCTTACAAAACACAATTATTAAAAAATATAAAGAGAAAAAAATAACAAAGGAGACATAATTAAGATAATAGAAAATAATAGAAAAATAATTAAAAAGAAACACTAAAGAGCAGTTTTTTGTGGGGAAAGCCCTGGAACAAAAAAGATAAAAGGTTGTTCAGACATGGAGCTTTAAAGCTCAGACTGTGCCTGGAAAGAGCAGAGGAAAGTTAAGTGTGGATGAGCCCTAAGAGTCAATGCAGAGAGCAGAAAAGGGAAGAAATGTGGGAGATGACAAGAACAGATCAGAGGAACCGATCAAGACAGTGGAAACGGGATTGATGGTAAGAAGTCCGATCAAAAGAGCATTGGATGCCAGAAAGCATTTTGATAAGGTGCAACAAGGGAAGCCTATAGAAAACCTAGTTCCTAGGCTGTGTCTGCTCCTTAATCCAAAGTTATCTTGCCACAGAATGCCTTCCAGAATAATTTCAGTGAGTTTTCCTCTTGCCTAGGTCTAAGAAGAGACCATTTCCTTTGGAGGAGGTTCCTCCAGATGTAAGAGAGAAACTCAGTGCATTTTCTCAGAAAAACATTTCCCTAGCAGAAACCCTGAAAAGAGTCAAAGGTAAAGGACAATTGGCCAAAGTCCTGTTTCTCCATCATTTCTTGCTGTGGGCTTTCCAACTTTCTTACTGGGTTTTTCTCCTGACGGTCCTACACTTTTCCTCCTTCAGTGTATTCGGAATGTATCTGGTTTTGTCAGTGGGGAGATTAAAGAGCTGAGAGAAGTATGCAGAAAAGACTCTCCTAAACCTATACTTGAGTATCAATATTAAACAGTACAGATAAATCTGTTTTACATCAGGAACCTTAGGCAAAGGGAGAATAATGATTTTGCACATTGATTCTGCCCCTCAGTCCCTGGTATTTAACACGTAGGATTCTAGACTCTCCTGTCTCTGAACTTCAGTTTCTTTCTCCAATATTTAGTATGAAATTGGAAGCCTTATGTCATATTATTTCCCCCCTTTTTTTCTAGAGTCTTTGTTACTTGAACTCCAAGAGAAAGAAGACGATAAGAAGTCTTTAGAAATAGGTGTGTAGAAAAACAATTCAGAAAACGATAATATGAATGATCCGATTATATAAAAATAAAATACAGTGGTACCTCGGGTTACATACGCTTCAGGTTACATACGCTTCAGGTTGCAGACTCCGCTAACCCAGAAATATTACCTCGGGTTAAGAACTTTGCTTCAGGATGAGAACAGAAATCGCGTGGCGGCAGTGGGAGGCCCCATTAGCTAAAGTGGTGCTTCAGGTTAAGAACAGTTTCAGGTTAATAACAGACCTCCAGAACGAATTAAGTTCTTAACCCAAGGTACCACTGTATAATCTGTGTGGTGGCCCGTGGAATAAAAAACCAGTAAAACCAAAGCAAAATGGTATAAAAATACTTGGTTTAAAGAAAGAAGAGCTTCCCCCATGTAATCTGTTCTCTGGCCGAAAAATAGGTTATGGGGTTGCATGCAGCTAGCTTTTGTTCAGTCACACAGTCATTAATTTCAATGGATCAACTCTGAGTAAAAGTAAGTTGGATGCAGCCCTACAGCAGCACACATTTGGGGCTCTGAATTTGCTAAGCAAGGATAAATTTCTGCGGCATGGAAGCAACTTTGCAGGAAATACAAGTACACTCTTGTGGCATGTGCTGTTGTGTTTTCACACTGTGGGAGGAGGGCCAGGCCAGAGGAGTCCCTGAACAAGCTGCCCTCTGGCCCTGTGTGCCACCTTGGTAGATCTTCCATCAAGGACATTAAGATAGTGGCTGCATCTATTTTGTCTGGTCCTTCTCCAATGGGTGTTGCTGCCTTTCCCTGTTGCTGCATATGGATGCCTCCCTTCCCCCCAGAAGCTTACAGGTCCTCCAAGTACCCCTGTTTTCCAGGGACAGTCCTGGATTTACAGAAGCCATCCTGGTTTCTGATTTGATCCCGAAATGTCCCACTTTCCCCTGCTTTTATTGGAGAAATGTTGGAGGGTTATCCAACCCCCGAGCCATCTGAAGACAGCCCTGTATAGGGAGGGTTTTAAATTTTTTAAAAAATGTTTTCTTGTGTTTTTATATATGTTGGAAACCACCCAGAGTGGCTGGGGCAACCCAGTCAGATGGGCGGGGAATAATAATAATAATAATAATAATAATAATAGAGTCATACCTCAGGTTACAGACGCTTCAGGTTGCGTTTTTTCGGGTTATGGACCGCCGAAACCCAGAAGTACCGGAACGGGTTACCTTCGGGTTTCTGCGGTCGCGCATGCGCAGAAGCGCCAAATCGCGCTTTGTGCATGCGGAGATGCGCAGCTGCAGGTTGCGAACGCTGCGGGTTGCAAATGTGCATCCCGCACGGATCACGTTCGCAACCCGAGCGTCCACTGTGATAGGATAGGACGTCCCTATTTTCATCAGAGAAACGTTGGCGGGTATGAGCAGGGGCACTCGACAAAGCTCAAGTACAAGATGTTAGGGCCCCGTGGCATTAAAAACAAGATGGCTGCCACCCCAGCTACTTTGCTCGCCACTCGCACTGATATATTTTCAAAGTATAAACACAAATCAAGGCCAGGGGCTTGGGGAAGAGTCACAAAGGCCAGGCAGAGAGGTTTGTAGGCCTGCATTTGGGGCCTGGGCCTGAGGTTCCCCACTCCTGCCATGCTGGTTCCTAGCTTTGAATGGCCAATGGGTGCAGTCAGATTAAATGTGGCTCCTGTCAGTCTTGTGTCTGCCAGGCCCAAAAGACTGCAGGGTTCAGTGAACCCCAGGATGAGCTGCGATGGGTGACGGAAGCAGAAAGCATTGTGAAATCTTGGCTGTACAGAGAAGGCTGCGCAGGTGCGCGAGGCCTTGGCTGATAAGGCATTGTTTCCTGGCCCGGCGAGTGCTGACGCCACAAGACTGGGAGAGGTGCCAAAGTGACGTTTGTTTTGACATTTATTGTGGGTAAACAAAGAGTTCTGGGTCAGGAATCTTTTAGGTTTAAAGTAGGTGAGCTGCAGGGAGCATTGCAAGATGTCATTTGTAACATACTGTGATGTGCGACTAGTTTTTCTGCTTGTAGCCAACTAAATCATTGCATATACAGAACAGTTGCCACAAGCGCAGCAGAGCTTCCCTTTGACACATACCCCAACTTGCTCTGCGTTTTCACCAACGCTACAGAGCAGATTTTGGGGTGCTGTGAGGGGTGGAGAGAGACAGGAAGTTCTGCTGCACCCACAGAAGTCATTCTGTGCACACAGTGATAACAGCTGCATGGAAGGAACCCTTCTGGCTTCCCTAGTTGCCTTGATTCTTTATCCGCAGTCCATTTACTGAGCCTTCAGTTCATTCCAGTTGCAATATTGAGCTGGTCTCTCTTACCTGTTCAGCCTCACCCACTGCAGTTCTGAATCCCGATTCTTTTCCCCCCAATGGTGGATTGGCCAGGGAGGTTAGCTGAGACTGGAAGCCACTGTGTTGAACCCAAAGGGGAACTGTTCCGGAATTTGCTTACACCATCTTGGTAGCCAAGATAATCCATAACTAATCTGTAGTCGCTAAAGCAATGAGCCCATATATTCACTCGCTTTGATATGAGCTAATAGACTTGCTTTGATTCGTTACCCTCATCCAGGAAGCTTGGGGTGCTGGGCTCTGAGCCCAGAACAGGGGAACAATCTGTAAAACCTGGGTATTTGCCACGTATGCCCTCATCTGGGCAGGCGAAGTGTTGAGAAGTCCTAGACAAAGTGTATAAAGAATGTATGCGTGTTTGCTTGGGTGCAGACAAGCCATCTCCTTGCTCTGGTGTCCACCCCAAATGTCTAACGGCTAGGAGACCTGGCAGACTTTAAGTTTACACCTTTTTTTAATAAAAGGTGGCACTGAACTGGGACTGAACATACAGAGGGATAGCTCAGTTGGCAGAGCATGAGACTCTTAATCTCAGGGTCATAGTCGAGCCTCACATTGGGCAAAAAATTACTGCATTGCAGGGGGTTGGACTAGGTGACCCTCGTGATCCCTTCCAACTCTGTAAATCGTAATTGTATTTTCTCACTCTGGTGTTTTTGGCATCCTTCAGTATACCTCAAGTGTCAGCAAACTTTTTCAGCAGAGGGCTGGTCCACTGTCCCTCAGACCTTGTGGGGAGCCAGACTATATTTTGGAGGGAAAAAAAATGAACGAATTCCTATGCCCCACAAATAACCCAGAGGTGCATTTTAAATAAAAGGGCACATTCTACTCAGGTAAAAACACCAGGCAGGCCCCACAAATAACCCAGAGGTGCATTTTAAATAAAAGGGCACATTCTACTCATGTAAAAACACGCTGATTCCCGGACCGTCTGGGGGCCGGATTTAGAAGGCGATTGGGCCGGATCCAGCCCCTGGGCCTTAGTTTGCCTCCCCATGGTATACCTGTACCCAGCCGCTCCCATGAGCATTCCTTTGGGCAAGTGGTTCAGAACAGTCACCGTAAGGCTCATGTGCCGCCTTTAGGTAAACAGGAGATGTTAGTGGCAAGCCTTAACCCTCTGTTCCTCCTCTATTTACAGCCAGTGTGACCCTGGATCCAGGCACAGCGGGCCCCTACCTCATCCTTTCGGACGACGGAAAAAGTGTGTGGTTGGGCGACACCCGTCAGAAACGCCCCAGCTCTCGGGGCCGGTTTAACTTGTACCCCTGTGTGCTGGGCTGCGAAGGGTTTGCCTCGGGGAAGCACTCCTGGGTGGTTGAGGTGGAGTCAGGCGGAAGTTGGGCTGTAGGTGTAGCTCAAGAGTCTGTGAAAAGGAAGAAGAAAATCAACTTCCGGCCTGAACAGGGGGTCTGGGCTTTGGAGCATTTGGGAGCCAATCATTACAGAGCTTTGACATCCCCTCCCACCCCGCTGCCCCTAAGAAAGGCCTACAGAAGAATCCAAGTGCATCTAGACTACGAAGCAGGTCAGGTGACCTTTTTTGATGCAGAGAATGAAGACTTGATCTTCGCCTTCCCATCCAGCCGCTTTGCAGGGGATATAATTCATCCCTGGATGTGGGTAGGGCTCCGGTCCCGGCTCAGACTGTGTCCCTAACTTTACATGCACTTTGGAGTAATGGAAGTTGATGTCGTTTGGCCTGCGAGCGGAGAAAAAGCATATTAGGCTCATTCACTTCCGTGCCCCCTCCCAATGAAATGTATTGCAAATCTGTATTTTTCCAGACACTGGTGAGAGACTCCAGTTTCAGTGTGAACACAGCTTGTGTTTCAACTACTGGGAAAATTGCACGAGAATTTACTGGCCATCTGAAAAGCTATAAAATTATTGGAAGTTTCTGTTAGGCGTAGAATAGGATAATGTTACCCACACAGGAAGGGAACAGGGTGGTGGCGGGTGTGGTTTTTTGTGTGGATTATACTACACATTCCCATGTGTTCTGGGCCAGCCTTTGCCAGCATGAAACCCTCCATATATCAGCTCCCTGGGGCTTATGGGAATTGTAGTCCAAAGCGTATGGAGGGAGCCAGGTTGATGGAGGCTGCTTCGAATACTTAGTATTGCTAGCTTGGCTGGGAACAGTGGACTTCTTGCAACTAGCCTGCACCAGAGGGACAGCTTTTGTACTTTAACGCAGCCCCAGACTAAAGTAGATCTTCTTGCTGTTAAAAAATAGTGCATACAAAATTTGGGGGAGAGCAAATGGGAAAGGGGCAGCACCACATCCCATCTAGGAAATAAGTTACTAGATGTAAGATACTGAGCCATGAGGATGAAATAGCTCACTAAGGCCTGTACTCCCAGTTTGCTTCTGTGTGAGATTCGGCGAAGAGTTTAAACCTCAGCTGTAATGCAGTGACAGCAACGTAGCATGGACCTTCTGAAAGATGTTCTGTTTGGTTGGATTTAGCACGTTAAGGGAGATTTGTAGGGTTCCTTACAATTGAGGGGTTAGAGGAGAACGAAAGCAGGGCAGCCGGGTAGGGTTTCTGCAACCAAATCATTACCGTGTCCTGTTAAGGTGAATTAACAATTCATAACCGAAAATAAATGGTTATAATGTTCTTGTCAGTAGCGTGTATGTGTCCATAGAAGGTATTAAGAGAAAAGTGTGGGTTATGGTCAAGTGGAAAAGGGAGCCGGGATTTATTATAATGGGAGGGGCTTATTTCAGTGTTGGAACTGGTGGGAATTTTGGCTTCTCCAGCATTCACGTACATTGCAAGGAAGCATGAAGTTGGCTTTACTCAGAGTAGGCACGTGAGAATCCAAGCCCATGTCCCATTTCAGACTTCTCTTGCTGTTCAGACTTCTTGTTGAATGCAGTTGCAAATTGGTCCTCAAGTGTGCAGCTTATAAAACCATACAGTTGTGAACCATACCCAGCTGTATGTGCGGTGGCACATGGATTTCAATGGGTCTGTTCTTAGCTGTTTCAATGGGTCTGTTCTGAGCTCAAAAGTTCAGAGAGCTCAGGCCAGGAGCTTGGTCCTTCCGCAAGCTGCTATCCCTCGACCTTTCTAAAAGAGGAATACTGAATTACTGAAAGAATGTAGATGAAGCACCTTCACCCTAGAAAGGTACCCTAGAACAGGCACCCCTAAACTCGGCCCTCCAGCTGTTTTGGGACTACAACTCCCATCATCCCTAGCTAACAGGACCAGTGGTCAGGGATGATGGGAATTGTAGTCCCAAAACAGCTGGAGGGCCGAGTTTTGGGATGGCTGCCCTAGAAATAGTAACTGCTAGCAGGGGGGCATTGTTAGGGTTGGGCAAGAGGCTCTGAGCCTCATGTAAATTGTGCCAAGCCTTTGATCTGTCCCTGCCCCCTTTTTTTGTAGAATAAAAGCCTTGCTTCCAACGCAGCGAGATGCTTTGAGAAGCTCTCAGCAATATTTCTGTTCACGGTTTTTTTAAAAAGCCACTTAAACGCAGAAATCACAGCTAAAGAATCCCTCACAGATGGCCATCCAACCTCTGCTTAAAAACCTCGAAGGCGACTCCTCAACCTTCCAAGGGAGCCCGCTCCACTTTTGAACAACTGTTACTGTTAGAAAGCTTATTCCTAATGATTGGTCGGAATTCCTTTCTTGCCACATGGACCCATTGCTTTGGGTCCTAACCTCTGGAGCAGGAGAAGGCTTGCTTCATCATCAACGTGACTGCCCTTCAGATATTTGACAATCACATACCATGTTGTTGGACTCCCAACTTACATCGGCCCTAGCCGCTGTGGCAAATGAGCAGGGATAATGAAAGTTAACAGTCCTGCGAATGTATGAGGGCCACAATTTTCCCATCCCTGCTTTAGAAAGCTTGCTGTACCCCAATACCGTATCTCTAAACGTGTGCTTTTGTAAGGACGCAACTCTGTGTTTTAAAACTGACTGATAGGGTCGCTGTAGTCCAGTTCTTAAGAGCAAGGAAAGGTGTACGAAAATATTTTAAACTATTTTAAAAAATTTATTAAGCAGAGTAGTACAAGAACAAAAAGTTTGGCTTACTTTATTAACTGTGCCAGAGAAGATTTTTTAAAAACCTTGCACGCTGGAGCGGTACCTATTTATCTACTTGCATTTTGACGTGCTTTCGAACTGCTAGGTTGGCAGGAGCAGGGACCGAGCAACGGGAGCTCACCCCGTCGCGGGGATTCCAACTGCCGACCTTCTGATCGGCAAGCCCTAGGCTCTGTGGTTTAACCCACAGTACCACCCACATCCCATGGCTGTATATATAGATATAGATATAGATAAAGAGACACACACACACACACACATTCTACAGGAATTATTAAGCGATGGCCATGGTCTCTTGGGGCGGGTGAGTGATTATTTGTTTCCTACTTTCCAAGTCATAGAACCAGAGTTGGAAAGGACCCAGGGGTCATCTAGTCATCCATTGGTTTTATTTCATGACCGAGTAACAAAACATAGCCATTCATTTCTTTTGTTTAAAAGTACAGTTCCTCTTCCTTGTTAGACTTACTGTACTCCTCTCTTCAAATACAAGACAACAGAAGGTGGCAATTAGATGCTGGTTGGAGCATGTCCCGTCTCATAAGCAACTGCCTAGCACTGCCAACATCAAACAGAGGAACCACAGAGGAAAGGAGCTCATTGCAGTGTAAAAACAGCTCTTTTGGTTTCTGTGTACCTCCTGGGGTCTGAAGGTCAACCTTCCCTTTTCTCCCACACCACCAAGAAATTTCAAAGGCTGAGTTGGCATCCAAACTAAGTGATGCCACGGCTAACCTGCCCCATGGACTTCAATGGGACTAAAGCATGGCTAATTTAAGTTTAGTTCCAGTCCCACTGTTCTACTGCAGTTCTCTTGAATTGAGTGGGAACCTCCACATCAATCCTGCCCCATGTACTCCTTGAGTGTCGAGGGTTCAGTGGGTCCCTGAACTGTGAAAATGCCTCTCGTCTGCCTAGCTGGAGGAGGAGATGGGCATGGGCTGCATGTATGTAAAAACCTCTGACTTTTGCATTCCTGCAAGGTAGCCTACTGCACCAATGCCAGAGGGCACACCTGTGGCTCCGCCCACTCTTTCCTCTGGCTCCACCCACCACTAGCATGGGGTTCCTGACAGACTGCACAGGAGGGAGCATAACCCTTGGGCTAAAAGAAAAATAGGATTCCCCACCTCTAGAGTATATTCTGCACTCGCACAAGGACAGGCCAGAGCACCGATTTCAGCCACATTCCATTTTTTTAAAAACCCGCATGCCCAAGTTTCTAGTCCTTAAGACAGCAAAGACAGACACTGCCCACACGTTTCCAGAAGGCAGAAAGGCTGAGCAAGATTTCCAAGGGCCAGAGGGCATAAGCCTCTGCGTCCTGCATCTCTCCCTGCCCTTTTCTATGACCTGCAAAATAGAACAAGTTATACTAGAAGAGTTTGGATTTGATATCCCGCTTTATTCCTACCCTAAGGAGTCTCAAAGCGGCTCACATTCTCCTTTCCCTTCCTCTCCCCACAACAAACACTCTGTGAGGTGAGTGGGGCTGAGAGACTTCAGAGAAGTGTGACTGGCCCAAGGTCACCCAGCAGCTGCATGTGGAGGAGCGGGGAATCGAACCCGGTTCACCAGATTACAAGTCCACCGCTCTTAATCACGTCAGCCATAAGGTACCCAATGCCACAGAACTCTGCTTTCCTCGGTGAAGGATCCCAGCTGCCTCGGTGCAGAAACTTTGGTTTTTCCAGCACACAGAGTTGCTTGAGAGTCCCTCCGTGCAAACCTCTTTCAGAAGAAAGCCAGACGGCGGCCTCCATAACTTACAGAAGCACTTCCTTGCGGCCTTCAGGAAGGCTCGACCTCCTGCTCGGCCGCAGCGCCGACATTCGCGCCCGGGTTTTTGGCGGCGCTTTTGAAGTGGACCCTCCGGTGGCTGACCAGGTGTGAGCTCTGGTTGAACCTCTTCCCGCACTCTGGGCACTCGTAGGGCTTCTCGCCCGTGTGGATCCTCTGGTGCTTGTTCAAGTCCGAGTTGCGGATGAAGCTCCTGCCGCACTCAAGGCACTTGAAGGGCCTGTCTCCCGTGTGCATGCGCTGGTGCGCCAGCAGAGCCGAGCTGTAGCTGAAGGTCTTCCCGCAGAGGAGGCACTTGTAGCGCCGGTCTTCCTGGTGGGACTTGCGGTGGACCAGCAGCTGGTGGGTCATGCGGAAGCTGGCAGGGCAGTCGGGGCAAGCGTGCAGCTTCTCCGTGTGCGTCTTCTGGTGGGAGATGAGGTGGGACTTGTGGCCGAAGCGCCGGTCGCACTCGGCGCAGATGTAGGGCTTCTCGCCCGTGTGCGTCCTCTGGTGGGCCGAGAGGTTGGAGCTGGTGCTGAAGCACTTGCCGCAGTCCCGGCACGCGTAGGGCTTCTCGCCCGTGTGCGTCCTCTCGTGGGCGCGCAGCTGCGAGCTCTGCCGGAAGCCCCTGCCGCAGATGGCGCACTTGTAGGGCTTCTCCCCTGTGTGGATGCGCCAGTGCTTGATGAGCACCGAGCCTTCGCTGAAGCACCTGCCGCAGTCCGAGCAGACGTAGGACTTCTCCCCGGTGTGCGTCCGGCGGTGCACGATGAGCGCCGAGCTGGTGTTGAAGCTCTTCCCGCAGTCGGTGCATTTGTACGGCTTCTCCCCCGTGTGGAGCCTCCGGTGGGTCAGCAGGCTGGAGCTGTGGCGGAAGCTTTTCTCGCACACGTCGCATTTGAACGGCCGGTCGTTGGCGCGCATCCTCGGGGGGCTGTTCTCGTAGTCAAAACAAAGGTCTCCCGCAAACGCGTCCCGGCGGGCTTCCAGGCCCCTCTTATGGGCTTCAGGCTGCTCAGAGTCTGGAAAGTCCTCGCTCCCTTCCGATAACGTCTCATGCAATTGTTCAGCATCCGCTTGCCCGGGAGGTTCCTCCTCATTTTCTCTCTTGATCCAATCTTCGCCAGCTGGAAGAAAGATTGCCATCAGTCATTCCCTCTCCACAATGTGGCCACAAGCTACGGGGAGTGTAGCTGAAGAGCAGGAAAGGGTGTTACATACCGGAAAAGATCATGAACTTTCAAGAAGGACTTGAGAGGTCGAGATTGTGCTGAGGTGCCCAACTCTATGGCCACTAGGAAATACAGTGGTACCTCGGGTTAAGAACTTAATTCGTTCCGGAGGTCCGTTCTTAACCTGAAACTGTTCTTAACCTGAAGCACCACTTTAGCTAATGGGGCCTCCTGCTGCTGCCACTGCACCGCCGCCACACGATTTCTGTTCTCATCCTGAAGCAAAGTTCTTAACCTGAGGTACTATTTCTGGGTTAGCGGAGTCTGTAACCTGAAGTGTATGTAACCTGAAGCATATGTAACCCGAGGTACCACTGTAATCAGATTTGACCTGTACAAAAAACTCTTGCACAGAAACTTTTTTTTTACTCCTTGCACCTCGGTTTCTAGATACACTATTACAGTAAATCTCCCATCTTGCCTTCCCCCCACCACAGCAAATCATCATCCACCACAAGTGGGGTGGGAAACCTCCGGTTTGCAGGCCAAATTTGGCCCGCCAGGCCTTCCCATTAAAAAGTCTGCCAATCCCTGGAAAGCCCAGGCTTGAACTGCCCGCCTACCAGCTGATGGGCAGCCAATGCAAGCCTGCTCGATCCGGCTGTGCGCATGAGCTCCTCGCAGGGAACTCATGCGCACATCCCATCCCTGCAGAAGCCAGACATGAACTTCCCACCTACCAGCTGATGGGCAGGGAGCTCAAGCTTTCAAAGCACCTCACAGAGCTTTCTGCACGCTTTTTGCGGTGATTTGAAGTCACTGTCTCACTGCAACCCCTGAACTGAGTTAAGGGAGTCAACGGTAGGGAAACAAGAAGAGGGCCAGTTGAGAAAGGGGGGGGGGAGGGATGGGGCAGGAGGATACTGAGCTGAAGCAGAGGGTTATACTTTGACCTAACTACACTTTCCAGATGTACAGTCAGCATCACTAGTGTGATGCATATTGTGATTTGCTGTTCATTTTTAAGAGACCCAGATAATATTTTTTTCAAGTGCTTTGAAAGTGGACTCTCTAGTTCCTAATGAGAAGCCTGACAAGTGCCCCGTGCTGATGCTCTAGTGTGAATTCCCAATGAAGTGTCGTCTGCTCTTGAGGCACTCAAAAGGCCTGTCTCCAGCAAGCATCCTCAGATAACCAGCTGCAAGTGCAGCCCTTCTTGACTACAAGGTCATTTTCCTGACAGTCCACTTAAGTACTTAAACGAAAGGCTGGTGCAACTGAATGCGTGTGATATCTCGCCACTTAAGGACCCCAAACAGACTCTCCCCAATGTGCCCTTTTGGATGAAAAAGGGAATCTTAAACACAGTTTACTTACAACCCCCATTTTGGAAACTTCTTACCTGCCGACACATTTAGTTCAGATGCTCACTGTGCCACTTTTTGTTCTGCCTGATGAGGAGCTTTGTGTTACTCAGAAAGCTTGCCCGCTTTTGATTAGTCCAATAGCATCCTTACCTATTTTCTGATTTTAGGCAACAATCCTATACCCACCTGGGAACAAGCCCCAATGAACCAAGTTGGACTTACTTCTGAGCAGACACATCTAAGGCTGTGCTGTCAGAGAAACATCCTCCAAACTGCCTTGTCCCCTGAAAATCACTACTGGGATCAGCATACTTTTTCTAATGTGATGAATAACAAGGTTGGGTATTTGTTATCCTAACACATCTATAGGTGAAGCAAGGATTCCAACCCAGGTACACATCACCAATGGCACAGCCATGGAAGGATCCTTAGTCCAAATTAATTGCAAGCATGGGTTTTGAGATTAGGCAAAGATAAACTCAAAATTAAAGTAAAAACATCTCAACAGCGTGGTCACAGAAGGCGTTCCTGGGGCATCAAAAGGCCAGCAAAGGCTGGGCAAGGAAAGTTGTCAAATGACGTGCATTTTAAGTCTCCCGGTAGAGGTTTTAAGATGCGGGGTTCTGTGTTTGCCCTTGATGTGAAACCTGCAACCCTTGGCCGGCCCTGCTGCCTCAAGAGTCGCCTGCAAAAATACTCCAGCAACAACCGGATTACCATCAGATTTCTTTTTTCTTTTTGGCCGGGGGGGGGGTCACCCACAAACTTGCCTCAGGCACTTACCGGGGTCCATTCCTATATGTATATATGTATATATGCGTCTGCCTGGGTTTTATCCTGGGGAGAAGCAGGGGTGCAGCGCAGCGGAGCAAACACCCAACCCGGAGCCAGACTGTGACCGCATTCCTGTGGCCTTTTGTACGGCCCCCGCTAAGCACCATGGGAAATGTAGTCCTGGTGGCAAAGAGACGCATCGCTCTCGAGGCATTCTGGGAATTGAAGTTCGGCTCGGACTGGACTCTTCCCCCGGCTCGTCGCTTTGCAGACTCGTTGGAAAGTGGTGCTTAATTGAAACGGGTGGGGGAAATGTGGGAAGAAGATCCAACACTTTTGTAGGGCGCAGACCTGCACCTGAACTCACTTTCCCGTGGGCCCTGAGTGTGAGTGCTGCTCGGTGTTCGAGATGCACTCTGCACATGCTTAAAGGGCACTCTTCTCTATTGTCCGCGTGCTCCGAGCCTGCGTACCGGTAGTGTTCCCATCCTGGGCTCGGACAAATAATGCAAAAACCTGGTGGAAACCGACTGAAACAAGAGCTGGAAATACTGAGATGGCATGCAAAAGAAAAATGCAAAAATGAGGGCCAGGGAGAGCGCCCCTCTTTATCACCTCCTCTTCACTTAGCAAAAGACACACAAAAAACCGCGTGCATATGATTTGCAGATGGAAAAACATAGGCACGTGAACTTTCTTGTATGAGCTCCATAGTGAAAAATAATACAATAGCAATTTAAGAGCGGAAAGCTGGGTGTTTTGCGTTTCCTTCCAATTGTAAACTCCACTTGCATGTATAGATTTAAGAAACACGTTTTCGGGGGGGGATGGTGTTTTTGCAGCTGTCACAACTGCCGTGGCCACTGGTCATTTGGGGGATTTGTTCCTCAGAAAATACAGCAAGAATGGAAGAAAAGCAAAAGTCTGCGCCCAACGTGGGGCTCGAACCCACGACCCTGAGATTAAGAGTCTCATGCTCTACCGACTGAGCTAGCCGGGCAGCTGATGCGTTTGGCTGCAAATAGTCTAGTTAATCTGCAATTATTGCCCTCTCGGAACTTTTCCAATATAGAATTAAATATGTCGCTCACTGCGAATCATATAGTCAATACTAGCTTAGCATATTACTCTAGTGCGCAGGAATTGAGCCATGCCTCAAATATGCACATGGCACAGTGCCAACGCGTTGTTTGGTGGTTTAAAAATAAAAATTAAACGAATAGCCTCTCATAGAAAACAGTAAAACCCCTTTTCTCAAATCATCCCAAATTCTTTTCCGTTGTTTTTATCATGTACTCACAATTTATTAACTATTAGCAGTGCTTTTTTTCCTTAAAAAATCTTTAGGGGTACTCTCATTTTGACTCAAGAAAATCATCATTTTACAGTTCAAATCGGGAAAAATAAATACAGTAAATGTGCAAAAGTACAAAGATTCACAAAATGTTTAGGGGTATGCGTCCCCCCAGAAAAAGCACTATTAGATTTCTCACTGCCGCTACAAACGTCGCCTTATTCTGAAGATGTGCACCTTTAAGGATGTGATGTACGCATATTCCCGTTGTGTGTATCCAGATGAATATTTTTGCGGGAAAAGCTATTGATAAAGTGGGCAGTGTTAACAACTGCAAAAAAAAAAAAAAAAAAAGACAAAGAAGAGATCTTTTGGAAAAGAACTGACTGCTGTTTCTGCCCGGTTTCGAACCGGGGACCTTTCGCGTGTGAGGCGAACGTGATAACCACTACACTACAGAAACCAGCTGGCTACCAACTTTTCATATACACTACAATACTCTGAAAATAGAAAGAAAGGCTGCACAAAAACGGTTTTGAAATTTTTGCTGCTGCATATCTTTCCATGGGAACAAAGCTGATCAGTAGAAGGGCTTCATAATGTTCTGAAGAAAAACCCTAAGTGAAAAGCATCAGTACCTGAGATCTTATGTTGCACTGCAATTTTACACATGGAGTAGGGAGGTCATTTTGTCATTAGAGGTAATTTACACACAGAAAAAGTGTTCATAACACAGACATCCAGGAATTTGTAAGTCAATTAACACATGTATCGAAATAAAAACACATTGTGAATTTGCATACTGGGATAATATTTAATCAGATGAAATGGTCTGTAGCTCATGTTTAAGATAATACAAGACTCTTTGTTATTATGTCCCTAAGAACACAGTTATTTTAGGGATGGAGCTCAGCACAAAATCAGAAGCCGTCCAAGAGAATCAATTGCTGGAATTCACTGGACATCACTGGTTTGAAAAAGCCATAGTGGGATTGCATGGTGAATTATATCCATTGGTGGCAGGGTTTAATGGGGTGGGCAGGTAGAAGAAGGAAGGAGAAAGCTGATGCTGGAAGTGATACTATTTTTCTGGTGGAGTCTTAGTCGATGACAGTATAGTTCATAGTGCAGTGTAGTTCTGTCATATTCTGTCCCTATTGCAGGCTGGACTGATGCAGATCAGCTTAAACATTACAAGTCAGGGGTTGGCTTAAATCTGCAGCCACAACTCCCCCAACACAAAGCACTCATCTGGTTGCATGCAACAAAGGCCTACTCTACTCAAGCTGTCCACTTAAAAAGCCTCTCCCATGCTGCATCCTGCATTCTGACAGCCTTGTTTTTGTAAATTTGAAAACTCAGCAAAAATTAACTATTTCACATGAAACAAGAGCCTGCTCTTTCTGGCATGCGACTCCTTTCCTTGCTGGTAAAATCTTTGGCATTTTGCATCTGCTGCCGCGTGATCACCGCTCAGCTACCCTGAAATACTCGATTTTCTTTCCTTCCTTCCTTCCTTGCAACTGTTGCGGCCATAATGCGCTTTTCATCCCTACTCAGGAAATTCCTTCTGGAAATATGCATTCAAGTCCATCCCAGGAGCCCAGCTGGTGCCCAGCCCCAATGTACGGGTCCTTCTGGGCCCAAGCAGCCCAAGCCTTTCCTGGGACCAGAAACCCGCCCGGCGGCTCTTTCACCCACTTCCCCTCCAACGCCGGCTGCAGCCCCGCCTCCCCGCCCATCTCACAGAGGCGGCACCCTCGGCGACCATAGAGACGCAAACAACGTAGAGCGGCCCCCGGTTTCCGGCGCATTTCCTCGAAGGCCTTCCTGTTTAGCGGCCGCGGGGGCTTCGCGGCTCTCTGACCCTGGAGCTCCTTAAGTAAAACAAGTGCTGCGAGCCAGCCGGGCCCCCGCTTGAGCCCAGAGGATTCGGCTGAGGGTAGAAAGGCCCCACTCCCTCCCCCGCCAGCCACCGCCTCCCCGCCCCCTCCCACGCCGCATCATAGAAACCCCCCGCGGGTTGCTAGAGCGGCGCCGTAGCCCCGCCCTTCTCTTCCGGCTCCGAGGCGCACTTAACCGCCATAGAGACGCGGGCGGCGGCGGAGCCTCGGCGTAGCCAGTTGGGCGGCGGGAGTGGAGCGCGTGCCGAGGCGGCTTCTTGTTTAAGGGCTGGGCGGGGGCAGCCCGGAAGGGCCTCGGGCGGTTGTACCTGCGACCAGGTGAGCCGCGGGGGGGGGAGGGGGTTCCCCTCGGGCGGCGCCCCCATAACTGAGGCGCCGTGAGGAGAAGGGCTCAGCAGTGCCGAGGGGAGCGGCCTTGTGAGCGGGAGGAAGGCGCCTCCCTTCAAGGGGGGCGGCGAGGGAAGTGTGTGGGGCGACTGGGAAGCGCTCGGGGTCCCCATGGCGGCGGCGGGGCCCGCAAGTAGCGGCTCCCGGGCCGCCCCCAACCCGGTGGCGACCCTCCACGAGGAGGCGGTGTGCGCCATCTGCCTGGACTACTTCATCGACCCGGTGTCCATCGGCTGCGGCCACAACTTCTGCCGCGTGTGCATCACTCAGCTGTGGGGCTCGGGCTCGGAGGAAGGGGACGACGCGGGCGCCTCCGGCTCGGACGGAGGGTACGGGCCCGGCTCCGACGCGGGCGCGGATGACGGAGGGGTCGACGACCTGGGGCCGGAGGAGGACGCCGACCCCGACGAAGACGACCTGGAGGACAACGAGTACTTGGATGATGGCGGGGACATGGAAGAGGAGGAGGAGGAGGTCGTGTCTCGGGAGGAGGAGTTCGACGACGAAGAGGACGACGTGTGGGATGATGAAGACGAGAGAGCGTACTGGGCCCAGCGCCCCGGGTCCGACGACATGTGGGACGATGACATGGGGAACGACTTGCTGTTCGACAGCTACGACGACGACGAGGTGATGGACGAGGAAGAGGAGCCGGAGGATGAGTATACTGTGCCCCCGACCCCGCCGACCCCCCAGATGCGCCCGGCTTTCAGCTGCCCCCAGTGCCGCAAGGTCTTCCCTCGCCGCAGCTTCCGCCCCAACCTCCAGCTGGCCAATATGGTGCAGATCATCCGCCAGATGCACCCGCAGCCATTCAACTCCGTGGCGGTGTCCACGGAGGCCGTGGAACTGGCGGCGGCAGGGGATTCATCCGGATCGCCGTCCGTGTTAGCGGCGGGACGAGCTCTGAGTGCTGAGCGAACCCTGTGCGAGAAGCACCAGGAGCCCCTCAAGCTTTTCTGTGAGGCAGACGAAGAGCCCATCTGTGTTGTGTGCAGAGAATCGCGGGCCCATAAGCACCACAGCGTCATGCCGCTGGAAGAGGTTGTGCAAGAATACAAGGTATGCAGGAGGCTGGGGGCAATGTGAATGTTAGGACTGAACAAAAGATTACAGTCTGAGCCTCTAGTACAGTGGTACTTAATTCGTTCCAGAGGTCCGTTCTTAACCTGAAACTGTTCTTAACCTGAAGCACCACTTTAGCTAATGGGGCCTCCTGCTGCCACCATGCCAAAGGAGCACAATTTCTGTTCTCATCCTGAAGTAAAGTTCTTAACCCGAGGTAATATTTCTGGGTTAGCGGAGTCTGTAACCTGAAGCGTCTGTAACCTGAGGTACCACTATATGTGTCCTCTTGCTTAGGGGAACATCTGTTGTGTGTATCTTGCCACTGGCAAAGAGGCAACGGGCATAGCCCTGTGCTAGAACTTATACAAAACATCCCAGGTTCAAATCCTAACATTTCTAGTGAAAGCCTTTTATGTAGCAAAGCTAGGATAGTCCACTGACTGAGTTGCTTCTTGTCAGAGTTGACAATCTTGGACTAGATGGACTTAGGGTGTGCCCATTTAAGGCAGCCTTCTATTCATAAAATCTTTTATTTTTGGATTAGGACTTTAGGAGTTTTCTTCTGTAACAATTGCAGTTAGTTGATCTGTAAATTGCTGATATGCAGTAAGAAACAATAGCAAGGGATAAAAGCTCTACTGTTTAACTTCTATTACTCTTCAAAGCATTTCATTTGTATTTTGTGCCTAACATCCAGTTATATAACTAGAAAACCTGTATGAAGAATGCATGAATTTTATGTTTCACTTTATGCACACCAGTGGCACAAACTTCGGTATGCCATTTGTGAGTGGCATGCAGATGTGTGTTGAACTTTTTTTAAAAAATGCTGCATGTAGCTTCTTTTTAGTTTTATTACTACTACTAGAATCTAAATTTTGCACTTTGATTTCCCTCTGTGAACATTGATGTGCAGTACAGAAAGCTCAATCTCCTTCGGGATGATGTATTTGTATGCATTTCTTCATGCAACTAGGTCAGTAAGACCCTGAGGGGCAGAACAGAGGAATGAGAGATAACATTAAGCAAATATTTTCCATTGGACACTATCTGATTTCAAATCCTTTATTAAAAAAACAGGCAATAAACTTTTCTAGTTTAACCCCCACCCCCCCAAATCCTTAAGCTATAGGGACTAGAAACTTGTGCTCCCTTTTCTAAACAATAGCTGAGATTTTCAGGATTTGTGGAAGCGATTGTGTGGAGGCTACAACTGTTTATACCAGTTGCATCCAAGTGTGACAAGTAGGTGGCCAGAAAGCAATGATCTGAAAAGTGGAGGCATGATATACACTTTTTTAAAAAAGGGAAAATGTGTTTGAGTAAAAAGAAGTTTATTCCCGAGCTCTTACTCCAGGCATAGGCAAACTCCGGCCCTCCAGACATTTGGGACTACAATTCCCATCATTCCCAGCTAACAGGACCAGTGGTCAAGGATTATGGGAATTGGTAGTCCCACACATCTGGAAGGCTGTAGTTTGCCTATGCCTGTCCTACTCCTTATGTATGAACATGAAGCTCTGTAAAATGTAATTGCACCATTTATTCTATTTGCAGTGTCTTTAGAATTCAGACACTGAAGCAACTTGAATGGCTGTTTCTCCAAAGTTCTAGTATTTTATTTTTCAGGCCAAACTTCAAGGCCACTTGGATCCACTAAAGAAGAAACTAGAGACTGTTATGAAGCAGAAGTCGGTCGAACAGGAGAAAATAGCAGACCTCAGGGTAAGTGACAAGCTTATTTTATCCTCCTGCAAACCACCTGAAAAGAAGAGAGAGCTTGTTTTTTTTCAGATGATGGATGCACATGTTGCAGCAGGTGGAATCTTGGAAGAGGCATTTTCTTACACGAGAGAAAGGGAAATGTCTAAGATGGTACCTCCCATCCCCATTTTTTCTAAGTTACATTTTGTATTTTTTAAAAAATGTTTCCCATTGATCAATGTTTGTGGATTGGTTGTATTGTTTATATGGATAGTACTGAGACTCCGTGCCTATAATGTGAATTCTGTAGCTTATAAAGGGGCTTAAGTAAAGGGTAAAGGGACTCCTGACCATTAGGTCCAGTCGTGGCTGACTCTGGGGTTGCAGCACTCATCTCGCTTTATTGGCCGAGGGAGCCGACATACAGCTTTCGGGTCATGTGGCCAGCATGACTAAGCCGCTTCTGGCAAACCAGAGCAGCGCACCGAAACGCTGTTTACCTTCCCGCCGTGCTTTCGAACTGCTAGGTTGGCAGGAGCAGGGACCGAGCAACGGGAGCTCACCCCGTCACAGGGATTCAAACCACCGACCTTCCGGGAAGTCCTAGGCTCTGTGGTTTAACCCACAGTGCCACCCGCGTCCCTCATAAAGGGGCATACCTACTAAGAAAAGAGGTGCATAATTTCACTGTGCTTCGCCATGAAACCTTTGCTCCAGCCACCTTCACTCTTGCTTTCCTCACCCTTACCTATCCTCCCGCAGAACAAGATGAAGCTCGATATGAAAGACTTTGAGGCGGACTTTGAGCGGCTGCACCAGTTCCTAATTGGGGAGCAGGCGCTGATGCTGCACCAGCTGGAGGACCGCTACGAGGTGCTTCTTGCCAGCCAGAGTAACAACGTCTCCCACCTCGAGGAGCAAGCCGCTGCCCTCAGCCGCCTCATTGCAGAAGCGGAGGACAAGAGCAAGCAGGATGGCTTGCAGATGATCAAGGTGAATGAATCCCTTTTCTAGTTGCCTGGCTTCAGGGTGATCAGTGGCCAAGAATCTGCCTGGCTGTGGTGCCACAGTGATTTACAAGTGGTACAGTGGTACAAATCCTGGACACAAAGTGTTTAGTGTAGGATTGTGTGAGTTTGCTATATGGAATCTGAGTAGCTCTAATTCAGGGTCAACAAACTTTTTCAGCAGGGGGCCAGTCCACTGTCCCTCAGACCTTGTCGGGGGCCGGACTATATCTTGGGGGGGGAGGGGAATGAACGAATTCCTATGCCCCACAAATAACCCAGAGATGCATTTTAAATCAAAGGACACATTCTACTCATGTAAAAACACGCTGATTCCCGGACCATCCGCAGGCCGGCTTTAGAAGGCGATTGGGCCGGATCTGGCCCCGGGACTTTGTTTGCCTACCCATGCTCTAATTCCATGAGACAGACTTGTCTTCGACGATTCCAATGCAGGGGTGGGGAATCTGTGGCCTTTTATATTTTGCTTGAGTACAACTCCCCTCATTTCTGAACTGTTGGCCATGCTGGCAGACTGATGGAGTCCAGTGATGTCTGGAAGATAACACTAAAGTCTAGAATGTAAGACAACCACCACCAATAAGACCACCCTGTGCAGGAAACAATAATGTTGAAGATTTGGAGATTCTAAGGGTGTTGACTTCATAAATTCCCTGGGCAAATAATCATTATATTCAGTCCTCCTAGGGGTTACGTCTGAACATTCAGCCCTTCCTTGTACTAAGAAGTCACTGCTGCATGCTCAGTAGGACTGGAAGAGATCAAATGTTCATCTTAAGTAGCTACAGACTCTTAAATTTTGTTTCCCCCACATTTGCCTGTCTTCTTGACTTTTTTTTCTCTTCTTTTTTTCTAGGATTTCAAAGGCACTTTAGTCAGGTTGGTTGATCTTGGTTTTTGCTTTCAATTTCTCCTTGACGGTTACCCTGTGTGTATCTGAAAGGCCTTGAGATACTAGGTTGTTTTACATATGCTCATTTGATCAAATTCCATGAATGATAAGAGATCTGCTGCTTCCACAGTCCATAAATCTCTGGCACTGGTGTCTCAAGGCCATCTTAAGGTAGCCTCTGCTTTCTGAGCCGAGGTTCTCCAATTTTTGCCATCAACTGCCCACCCCCAGGGAAAAATACATTTGAGGGAATAATCTAAAGGCACATCATGCATCAACTTTGCTGAAGCAAAGCAGGCTTGGGGCTGGTTAGCCTTTGGAATTGCCGCAGTATTTCGGTGCATGGTGGCATAGTTGCTACTGCTTCATAAAATCCAGATCCGCATAAAACGTTTTTCACAGAGTCTAATTGAAGCAGTGTTCGAAACTCCCATTGTTCTAATTGCATTTGCGATAGGGAATTTCATTAGTTTGAGCAGTTTCTGAGCTGCGGGTGCAGTACTGCACCTAAGATTTCAGATTAAAACTGCAGAGTGGAAGGAAAGGAGGACCTTATTCTGCCTCCCCACTGCCAGGTACTCTCTGAAGACTGGAGAAGAGACCCTCTTAAGAATTTGGGGGGGGGGCAGGGGAAGGACTAGATCATGTGAAAAATGAACATCATATTTTAGCTGCATTTTCAGTTTTGTATTGTTATAAAAAAGCGTGCCTAGACATTCCGTTGTTGCATCCATAACTGAGGTTTAATGTACCATTTAGCTCCTAGCTTTCATATCTCAGTTTCTAACACTGAATTGAAGTCTATAATTGTGTTTGACTCTCCCAAATCAAGGGAAGGCAGAGTAACTTGAAAGGCTAAATGTTTACAGAGTGGGTATTCAGAAGCTTTGTTAAAACACATAGTAACGTCTTAACCAGCAATTTCTCCTTTGAGTCAACAGACAGGTGTTTGTGTAAGCTATCAAAAATGACATTTCCCGGCACCACTAAAAATTTGTTTTATTTATTCGTTTCGTAAAATTTCTTTACTGCTTGTGTTTTTTATTTTAAAAAAACCCTCAAAGGAGTTTACAAAAAGAATAAAACAGTAAGATTATCATTAAAAAAAATTTGTTTACACAGCTATTTAAAATATGTGCTAAACTAAAAACATGAGAAAAATCCATCTGTGGTAGGCTTGTCTGAACAAAAATGTTTCTAGAAGGAGCTGAAAAGAATACACAGGGGAGGCCACCTGCCTGCTATCAAACTGCTGGAAATAAGGCCCTATGAACTGGTGTATGTTTTCAAAGTCACTCAGTACTTTACAGGTGGATGAAAAGAAATCATTACATTTATTAAAAAAAAATCAGTTTTTTTAAAAAATCAGTTTTTTATTTAAATTGGATTTTTAAAATAAACTGCTTTTGGAGGAAAAAATCTTTCTAAAGATAATTTTCTATTTAAGTTACATTATAGTCCAAAGGCCATCAGGAAATAAGGATTTGTTTTAAGTTTTTCCTGTGTGCTGAAACTCAGTCCAAGTTTTTTTAAAAAAATAAAATAAAAATGTTTAACCACATTAGTCAACAAACATGCATACATATGCTATAATGTTATTGCTTTAGTTAAACAACAACAACAATTTATTGTTTATACCCCGCCCATCTAGCTGGGTTAAATTTGTTAAATAAATTTAGTTAAATAAATGATTCTTTTTCTCCTTCCCATAAAGTGCAGCAGAAAAGTCTGAATATAAACAGTTAACTTATTAAACCTCATAATACTTTCATAATTATCTATGTATTTCTAATAGTATAACCGAATCAGTAATTTTTGATATAACTGTAAAAACTACTCTGAAAATGTATTATTCCAAAAATGAAACCTTCATCTCGTTGTAAATATTAAGATTATACCAGCAGGAATGCCTTTCTGTAAAAAAAAGGATTTAGATCAAGTCTTACTGACTAGTGATTTAAATCGTGATTTAAATCAAATCCACCCTGGTACTTTGCCTAACAGTCTGGCTCCCCTAGACCTGAGGTTCACCTCCCCTGACCTCCAAGACAGTGTGCCCCTGAATACCAGTTGCTAGGAGCTTCATTCAGGTTCTGCTTGTGGACCTTCCCGGGACATCTGATGGTCCACTGTTATGTCCAGTGTCAGGGAAGAGTTAGAAGTTTCCAGTTTCTCAGAGGGAGAAAGCATTCCCCAAGAGGGGAATGAGAGCAGTGAATCTAATAGAAGACAACAACAGGGAGGGACCAGCTGTTCCCAGGAAAGGGAAGGGTTCAGTTCTAGCTCAGATTCAGAGGAGGGGAGATACAAGCCAGCTCTAGCCAGGAGGTTAGAAAAAAGAGCAGGAAAGCAAAAGGAAGGGCGCATTCGACATTTTGAGAGTGGCTGGTCACGGGGAAGCAGAGCTCAGAAGGTATCTGAAGTAAGTGACTCTGAGGAATAAGATTTAAGAACCGTTTATAAGATTGTTTTGTTAATACGCAATAAAAGTTATGAAAGAACAAGAAGCGTTTGTGTGGGGATCTGAAGAGGACAACGACCAGTCCTGACATCCAGATGCTGGACTAGATGGGCCTTTGGTCTGATCCAGAAGGGCTGCTCTTATGTTCCCATTTTTTTTACTGCAAAACTGTTAACAAGTTCACGAATCTATGGATCAATATTTGAGCTCGTTACGGAGAGCACAGTGTACGAGAAGTAAGCTTGGAATCTTGGCAGAATTCATTGAACCTTGTTCTTGAAGGTGAGGACCAAAAAGTGTGAAAAGCCACCTTGTCGTCCCACCTCTTTGTTAGCTTAATCTCCTCGCTTCTGTTCCCTCTCAGTGTGCAGTGTTCTTGTGTTAAAAGCAAAGGATTGAAGTGGACTGTTAGGTGCTACTGCAGCAATATGGAGGAGGTTGGATGAGCAGAGCTAGGAATAGCCCCATGTCCCATTGTGGTGTGGGTGGTCGTGTTCCTTTCTTCTGACCCAATGCTTTATCCCCTGGCTGCCAAGCCCACCCTTAACGTATTTGTGCTCTAAATTATCAACTTGCCAGGTGTGAGAACATTACGTTCCAGGATCCAGAGATGGTGCCAGTGGATGCAGGAAAGAAATTTCGAAACTACTTCCTTATAGACGTCTTAATGAAGAAGATGGGGAAGATCTTCTGCCAAGTCCCTCAAGGTAAAAGGCTCCTGCCTGGCTCCTCCTTGCTGCTGTGTCTCTTGCTCCTGTAGTCAATTGAAGCAACTGCTTAAGGGATGTGGATGGACTTTCTTTTGCCTCATGTAGGGCTGCTGTCCATCCCACGCTTTATGGAGGTTAGGAATTGGCTTTTGTGCAGTTGCCTTAGCGAATGGCAGGAAGCAGCTGATTCTGGAGAGATGTCCTTACCTAGAGGGGCTTATAGACTGTTGAGCAGGGAGAAGAGGGAGGCTGGGAATGACCAGCAACCTGTGTGAGTAGGGGAATAACTTTGTGGTGTAAGTGGGAGACTCGGAACAAGGAGGTTCTGGGAAAGATGTACAGTGGTACCTTGGGTTAAGTGCTTAATTCGTTCCGGATTCTGTTCTTAACCTGAAACTGTTCTTAACCTGAAGCACCACTTTAGTTAATGGGGCCTCCTGCTGCTGCCGCGCCGCTGGAGCATGATTTCTGTTCTCAACCTGAAGCAAAGTTCTTAGCCCGAGGTATTATTTCTGGGTTAGCAGAGTCTGTAACCTGAAACGTATGTAACCCGAGGTACCACTGTACTGAAGTACATACTTTAGATCTTTTTAATTGGCATGTTGTCTGGTGAATTCCACTTTGACCGTTTTGGTGTTTGCGCTGAAATTCTGGTTTTGCTGTGCTGACTGTTTGGCCGTAGTGATAATCATTCATTCATTCAGGTTGGGATAGCTGGCTTTTTGGGTTTTGAATGTTTTATTGAGATTTTTCAGTTTCGTTGTTCTGTATGGGACAATGACAATAAAGAGTATCGTATCATATCGTATCATATCGTATCGTATTCAGAGGCACCGAAGAGAGGGGAAAGTTCTGGTGAAAAGGGGTGAAGGTGGCTGTTGCAAGGCATAAAGCTGTGTAATGGGAGTTTGGAAGTGGGAATGGAAGAGGGGGGCAGGATAATAGTGTGGGAGAGAGGTAGAGCAGTGGCAAGCTTCAAAAGAAAAGGCTTTTGCAGTATAGCTCAGTTGGCAGAGCATGGGACTCTTACCCCCAGGGTTGAGCCCCACATTGGGCAAAATATTCCTTCATTGGACTAGATGACCCCCATCCCCTTCAACTCTGCAGTTCTATGAAAAGACAAAAAGCATTGAGATTGTCTTTTGGAGGTAGTGCAGCACAATGGTAAAGAGACTGAACTGAAAACCAGGAAGTTTCACTATGACCATTAGCTCACTGAGTAGTCTGAGACATATGACTATTCCATAAGCTTCTGCCCTGTATCTGCTATCATATCGGTGCTGATTCACCATCTTTATGGTTAAAGCTTTGGGAACACCAATATAGATAGGAGCTTCTTTCCACTCACCATCAGAATTTCATACACTGACATATCAGAGTTGGCCTGAGTGGGAAGCTGACCACTAGGCTGGTGTGCTAGGGCTATGTCTTTATTGATTTCCCCTCCTTCTCATTCTGTATGAACTGGTGAAATTCTAGAGCTTGGAAAACCACTTTTTACGCTGTGATTCTGCTCTCATAATACATCCATTAAGGTAAAAAGGTAGAGGTAAAGGACCCCTGGACAGTTAAGTCGAGTCAAAGGTGACTATGGGGTTGTGGTGCTCATCTCGCTTTCAGGCCAAGGTCCACAGACAGCTTTCCGGGTCATGTGGCCAGCATGACTAAACCGCTTCTGGCGCGGTGGGACACCATGACAGAAACCAGAGCGCACGAAAACGCTGTTTACCTTCTCGTTGCAGCAGTGCCTATTTATCTACTTGCACTGGTGTACTTTCGAACTGCTAGGTTGACAGGAGCTGGGACAGAGCAATGGGAGCTCACCCCGTCATGGGGATTCAAACCGCTGACCTTCTGATCAGGAAGCCCAAGAAGCTCAGTGGTTTAGGCCACAGCGCCACCCGCGTCCCTAAAACATCCATTATGTTGTATGGGAATGAGCAGAGGCCAATCTGTCGTGTAAAATATGCCAAGGCCGAAGTAGCTGTCTTCACGGCCATGCTGCATGTGTGTAATTGAGCAAATGAAAGATTTTAATTTTGTATAGGGTGTAAATCTTGAGCTGCCACTTGACCACGCCTGTATTAAAGACTTCCTGTGTATTTGCATAATAAACTACAATGGTTATTACAATCCCCGTGGGCTAGAAACTGCTGAATTAAAACCAGCTGTGAGAGTTCTCCTGTTCTGTGAGAGGTGGTCACTGCCATGCCAGAGCCCTTCTTAAGAACAAGGTTCCATTCAACTCTTGAGAGTAACTTTGCTATTAACCTGCCCTGAGCCATTTGAATAAGGCAGGCTGTGAATCGGAGGAATTCCATGCTTGGAACCTGCTAAATGTATACGGAACCAAATGCGCAACCTCCTTTTTTTAGCGTTTTGTTTTCTTGATCTCTTTCCCGCTCTCTCTTTCCTGCAGCTGAATTGATTCTGGACCCCGAGACGGCCCACCCGCGCCTCACCGTTTCCTCGGACTGCCTCGGCGTCCGGCTCGGAGAGCGCTGGCGGGACTTGCCCGACAGCCCCAAGCGCTTCGACTCCGACTACTGCGTCCTGGCCTTGCAGGGTTTCACCTACGGCCGCCACTACTGGGAAGTGGAGGTGGGGGGCCGGCGGGGGTGGGCTGTGGGGGTGGCCCGCGAATCGGCCCGGCGCAAAGAGAAGTCTGCCGGCGGCGGCTCCCACCAGAAACGCGAGATCTGGTGCGTGGGGACCAACGGCAAGAAGTACCAGGCTCTGACGACCACTGAGCAGACCTCCCTTTCCCCATCTGAGAAGCTTCGCCGCTTCTGCGTCTTCCTGGACTATGAACGGGGCCAGTTGAGCTTCTACAATGCCGAGAGCATGGGCCATATCCATACCTTCAACGCCTCGTTCCGCGAGCGCATCTTCCCCTTCTTCCGCATTCTTTCTAAGGGGACCCGCATCAAAATCTGCAATTGATACGGTCGCTGCTGTTTCTCTTGCACGTAGCGAAATGCAAACCCCTCCCTAGCGATAAAACCTCCTGTCACAGCTGATTGACCCTGACAAGATCCCTGGTCTGTTTTAGTGTTGGACCTTGGAGGATTCCTTACCTTGCTGTCTTCTTGTGGGTTGGCTCGGAGCAGGGATTCCCACCCCCACTTCCATACATCTATTATTGCACAGATAACCTTTTTTTGGTGCTCGGCCAGATAAATTTTTATTTCTTTCCTGTGGCTCACTTCCATCCTAGCAAGAATCTCTTTCTCTTCCCCCACGGGGTTCTCTTTCCTCCTGTCCTCCAGGATCTCTGGGACCTGGATCTCTCTGATGAGCTGAGGCCCATTTGGCATGTGGTTCTCTGACAGTAGTGGCCGAGTAGTCGGAGGTTCATCTTTGACATTCCAAAGACACTTGAACTGTCTTACGCCAGGCCCTCAGGTCTTGTGGATTGTGTTAACTTTTGGTGCCCAGACAAGATAGCTAGTCCCAACATGTTCTTGGAGCTGTATCCAGTCCATGCTGTGAATCAATTCGTTCTCTCTCTCTCCCCCCACCCCGTCCCCCTGCCTTGCCGTCCCAAGGCACCAGTCACCTCCTGAAACCACCTAATAGTGGTGAGTACATCTAAATTCAACTCTACACAGAATTGTCCAGCCTGGTTTCCTGTTTGGGTATGGTTCCTTCTTCAACTTCCTCAGTGTCTTGTCTCCTGATGATCTCCTGTTTTGCATCTTCCAGTGTTTACACACACATCAGATTTCATTTTATTTTTACGGAACGCATAGGAGCCAGTTTTGCCCCTCTGTTCCAGGTGTGGTTTGGATGCCCCTGTTTGTCCCTCTTTCCTTTTATGTTATCCCCATCTCTTTTACCTGGAGGGAGGTATTCATCAATACTACTAGTGAGATAGAAAGATAGATATAACGGCCATTTGGGAGGTGGGGGTGGAGAAATGACAGGTCCAAGGGTGGTTGTTATTTTCTGGGGCACCATTGGAGTGCTGTGGCTCTTGGGATGAATGTAATCCCACTAGCAGCTTTGGTGATCAAACTTCATCACTGCTGCCTCACACCCCTCACCCTTGTAGGACTTAATTAACTTATTTTTAATTGCTTTTTCCTGTCACGCCCCAGGATCTGCAGTGTGGAGTCTCTTCTCTCCTGACTGCAAGGCACTGGAGGCCTTAGCTGTGCCAGCTGTTGTGTTGGTTCCCCTGCCCCCTCAATTCTTTTTGGCATTACAGAGCTCCTTTTGAACTATTTTTCGCTATATATGTAAAAAAGACTTACAATGGAGATCTAGTTTTTTGGGAAAAGTTGAGTAAATAAATACAATTCTACAAGTGAACTCTTGTTTTTATGGTCTGTTCAAATATTGAAAAATGGATGGGGGGAAATGGCATTGTGTAGTGTGTTCTTTTTCTCTTAGGGCTGCCATACAACCTCTGGGTCTTCCTAAGAAAAGCGCGGGGTATCCTGGTTTTTACTTTTTGAAATATGGCAACACCTCTCTCTCTCTCTCTCTCTCTTTCTCCGACACACAGAGAGAGGGAGGGAGGAAGTGTCTATACAGTGGTACCTCGGTTAAGTACTTAATTCGTTCTGGAGGTCCGTTCTTAACCTGAAACTGTTCTTAACCTGAAGCACCACTTTAGCTAATGGGGCCTCCTGCTGCCGCTGCGCCAATGGAGCACAGTTTCTGTTCTCATCCCAAAGCAAAGTTCTTAACCCGAGGTACTATTTCTGGGTTAGCGGAGTCTGTAACCTGAAGCATCTGTAACATGACGCATATGTAACCCGAGGTACCACTGTATAGGGAAGATGGGAAACTGCCTTATGGTATGTCAGGCTGCTGCACTATATTGTCTCCCAGGGTCTCCCAACCTTAGCTGGAACTGGGACCTGCTTGTATGGAAAACGTGTATTCCTTTCTAGCTGTCAGTAGACACCTGGGCCAAGTGCTTTTAGCCCTAGCCACATCATTGGCCTTGTCGCCATGTATGCAGGAAGGATCTGGGGAAGAGGTCCCTCTGTTTCCTTCTTCCAAGCTAGTGATCTGACAGGCACTGTGTGAGCATAGACCTGGCTGCTGGATTGGGCTAGGAAATCCCCAAACGTATGCCAATAGCCGGAGTGCATTTTTACTTGTCCCCCTCTCAAAAAACAACAACAAAACACCTTTCTAAAGTTTTAAATCACTCTGATGCCACAGTGACTGCAGAACTCTCATGTTAGCAAGGGAGATTTCAGAAAATACAATTGCTGTATTAAAACTTTTACATTCTGCCTGACAAGAACCCTCAAATGCAGCTGACACTGCAGAAATTAATACATAACAGAGACCTGATTCTTTTTTTAAAGGCCCAGTAATGACCACAGAAGCTGAACCCAAAACTCTTCCGCCTTGTGGGATATCTTGGAGAGACACACAAATCTGGAGTGAAGTCCCTAAGGCTGGTGTCTTGTACGCTTCCTTCTGGCAACTGCTGCTGCCAAGCTGGTGCTAAATGTCTTGCTGTGCTTTCCTTTGGAGCACAGCAGCAAGGCCGAGAGAAGGGTCTTGTCTTATCTAGGCAGCCCAGGACTTCCATACACACTGCCCAGGCTTGCACCCCGGGGAGGTCACTTGGTTGCTGCCAAAAACAACACAGGAGGCCACGTCTACAAGTCTCCCTGCACCACCTCCAACAAAACTGCTCTGGGTTTTTCCCAACCCCCAAACCAGATTTGGGGAGGGGGTGCGGGGAATGGAAGTTCCATTGCACAAATGGAGCAACTTCATTGGTGAACGCTCACTAAGCTTTCTTAGTTTGTGTTTGGTCTCGGCAGTGTTCAAAACCATGACAGGATGATTTTTTACATAAGGCAACATGATACTGACCATTTTATATCAGTATGTCATAATCCCAAAGCATGGACTTTGTTTCACTGCAGCTCTGCATTGAATTAATGGTTGCATTGGGTTTTCTGCCACAACTCTGAAGATCTCTTGACAAGTTAGGGTCTCAACCAGCAGTTACTATCAGTGGGAATTTGGGATGTTCCACCCATGTGTGTCCTAACTTAACACTAAACCTCATTTGCTGTTGACCCTCTTTGGCAGGGGTCAGCAAACGTTTCCAGCAGGGGGCCAGTCCACTGTCCCTCAGAACTTGTGGGGGGCCAGACTATTTTTTTTGGGGGGGGGGGAATGAATTCCTATGCCCAACAAATAACCCAGAGATGCATTTTAAATAAAAGCCCACATTCTACTCATGTAAAAACACCAGGCAGGCTCCACAAATAACCCAGAGATGCATTTTAAATCAAAAGACACATTCTACTCATGTAAAAACACGCTGATTCCCAGACCGTTCACAGGCCGGATTTAGAAGGCGATTGAAAGCCCGCAGGCCTTAGTTTGCCTACCCATGCTCTTTGGAAACACAATGGGTGTTTTTTAGCAGCAGGGGGAATAAATCACTGAGCTTCCCTGCAGTCTTCCCAAACTCCTTTAACAGTTTTCCTTTATTCTGATTTCTTGCTTCTGATATATTTGAAGGAGGTTGCTTTGGGTTTTTTTTGTTTTTAAACATACTGGGCAGTAATATACTTCCTTTTTGCAAAGGAAGCTCTCTTATCCTGCATAAGCTGCACATACCAGCATCCGCTTGGGGTTCCAGTTTCCTGATCGCTGCAGAAACCTGAGCTCAGTTTCAAAATAACCTCAAATTTGACTCAATGGAGTCTCCCTTGGAAACCAACTTTTTCTAAGCAACACTACTTTCACAATGTCTATATGCAGTCTCTGTGAAGGTAAAATTGAAATCATCCACCATTTTCTTTCACTTGCCTGTGACCTTTTTCTTAAGTCTCAAAACCACCACCGGCACTTTAAATCATAGGCGCCAGGGTGGGTGGGAGGTTAGCTATTATGCACCTTTCCCTAAATTGCTTCTGTCCTGATATTTGCATCCGGTGATCTTGTGATGCATTTGTCACCGGTTTTTGAATACTGGACCCAGTATGAGCATCATACCCTTCCTTTTAAGATTTTTATATCCAGGGAAAAAGACCCATACAATCCAGCTCCCCTGTTCGAGTGCTGATGCTTCTGTGATTAGCCCCAAAATGTTTAATGCAGTACAGAAGCAGCTGGGTTTGAACAGGACTTTTGTAACAAGCCTTTTTTTAAAAAAAACCCAAACCATGCAAGTTGTCTTGAGTTGCATGGGCTTTCAAAGAAGTTTAGAATCTCTTGTCCAAGACAGGCATGTTGACCTTCAACAGCTGTTACCTTCACAGCAAAGGTAGGTAACCTTTTTCAGTCTGAGGGCGAAATGAACGTGTGGCCAACGTTTGTATACATGCACAACAACACATGCAGCCTCCCTATACATACACACAAAGCAGACCTGCACTTGCAGGCATAGCACACTCAGGCAGGAAGACAGGTCTTACCAAGTCCTCCCCAGTGGTTGGGCTGTGGGGTGGGGAACAGAATGGATAAAAATCAATGATTTATATATTTTTAAAATCGGATTTTTAAAATAAAATGCTTTTGGAGGAAAAATCTTTCTAAAGATAGTTTTCTATTTAAGTTACATTATAGTCCAAAGGCTATTCATCAGGAAATTATTTGTTTTAGTTTTTCATGTGTGCTAAAACTCAGTCTGGGTTTTGGTTTTTTTTTAAAAAAATTGTTTAACCACATCAGTTAACAAACATGGATACATATGCTATAATGTTTAAATTGTTAAGGAAATGATTATTTTTATACTTCCAATAAGGTTCTGCAAATATAAACAGTCAACTTATTAAACCTCACAATAATTTCATAATTATCTGTATTTCCAATAGTTTAACCAAATCAGTAATGTTTGATGTAACTGTAAATACTCTGTAAATTTATTATTCCAAAAATGAAGTATTTCTGTAAAAAAATGATTTAAATCAAGTCTTACTAGTGATTTAAATTGTGATTTAAATCCACCCTGGTGGGGAATATGCTGCTTTTTACTCTTCCTCTCTGAAGAGTTCTGTAGAGCATTTTATCACCCCATCTCAGCACTGAGATTTGCAGGGATCTTTGGTCTACTCCTTGCAGTTTCTGGGTTGCCCCTGGTGCACAGGTTTATCATTCCTGATCTAAAGGGACAAGGTGCTTTATTTATTCCTGGTTGAAGCGATGGCAGCTTCCAGCAGCTGAGTGGGTTGGGAGAGGAGCTTGTAAAAAACAGGTAAGTGAATAGCGATTCTCAGGTATATCTTTGGGGGGGGGGGGAGAAGCAGGACACAGTGATAACGTTCAGCACAAAAAGTTTTATTGTTTCTGTTTTGTACATAATTATAATTCTGTGCCTTGTGGTCAACTGCACTCTCTCATCTAGTCCCGATGGTGACCTGCCAGACCCGAACAAGGTTATCCGTGTAGCCGGCAAACAGAGTCTGATGGAACAGAGAGGGAGAAACAGCGTTAGGAAGCGACTGGGTGACAGCTTTTTGACAAGGGAGCAACAATCACTTTGCATGAACCAACTGTTGGATAGAAAGTCAATGGGAGACTTTGCTGAGAAGCCAGGTTCCTCAGGATGCAGCAGAAAGGGATGGGGTAGAGGCAGGGCTACCCCACATTGGCACAGCAATTTCTGGGACCTCCTCTGCTTGAGCTTCTCTAGACAGCTGTTCACTAGATGCACATGTAACCAAGATCATTTTACCAATCGCATTCTCCTTTAGTGTCCTATCTTTTTAGGTAGCTCCTGCCCCCAGGCTTACAGAGTATTCCTTAGTGATCTGCAAGCTGCTCTGACAGTTGCTTATGGCTGAATAGTAGGGTAAAAATGCCTTGAATGAATGAACGAACAGCAGATTGTGACAAACCCAATGTGTTCACTTTTTATTGTATTGGAGGATGAGAAGTATCCAGCCCACAGGAAGACCAGAAGGGATAAAATTTGATCACTTTCTGCTCTGTAAGTGGAGTTGTAAATATGAAAAATTAGCCAGGGGGAAACTCGCTCCTGAATATTCCCGCCTTGCCAGGTCAGCTATCATTCCCTCAAACTCCACAACTTGCATTCTTTAATCAGGCAGTGCCTAATGTCACTGGGGCAGACTAAGGGAAGACAGCCACCAAAAGCCTGGCCGCAGGGCCATTGCCCTCATCTTCACATCTTAAGACAATACACTGTTTATCTGTCAGTTCAAAAAACGGGCAGTCTTCTTGGGCAGTGTATCTGTATTTTATAGATAACAAACTTGACTGGAAAAAAACTTTTTTTAAACTCAAGACGAGTGTCCGTGTCAAATTTTTAGGAGCCCAGGAAACCAGGATTAGCTGCTAAAACCTCTTCCCTTGGTTGCCCTTCAAGTGCTGATCAGGAGAAATGGTCAGCTGCAGTTGGGGTGAAAAGTTCTGGTTCCTCAAGAAAACCCAAACATGCCACAAGCCCTGTATGGCAAAGGTGGAAGCTCAGAAATGCAGGCTTTAACAAATCCCGCTTTCCCAGTTCTTCCCTGGCTGGAGGAGGCAGCAGCTCTTTTTAACTTCCTGCACGGCCCTCGGCATCTTGCACAGCCTGCTGCGAAATGCTGTTTTATAGCAACATGGACTACTGATTTTAATCTCCTGAATACAGATTTTAGCGGAAGGAGTGATATTTTTAATGTAAATAAGTTTATAGGGGATTTTTAATTACATCCGCTTCTTTATGTGGTTGTGGCATTTGTTGTTGTTAACTTTGCTGTCTGGTCTTTGACCGCAAAGAAGATTGATTGATTGCACAGCCCGGTTCTTACCTGTCCGTCAGCAGACCAGGCCAATGAGGTGCACTGGGGTGGCTCCGCCTTGCTGCTGGTGCTGATCACTTCCTGCTTGAGCTCATCCACAATGATCTTGCCTTCCAGGTCCTGATGTTAAGAAAGCAGGAGTTAGATGGTCAAATGGGAGTTGCAGACTTCGAGGCTGAACATTTTGTTCAATTTCCACCTGCTATTTGCATGCTGTATGTAGTTTGGGCAACAGGCTCAGAAACAGCCTCTGGTTTTCCGCACGGAAGCAAAATCAGACGGCATAGTGTGTTTCATCACAGCACGTCAGTCTCCTTGCTCTCAAGCCCGAAATCACCACTCACAATGTGTTCCCTTCCATTGCCACTGGTAGCTGCTGCTGCTTCTCTGCTTCACAGAATTGTAGACTTGGGTGGATCCTAACAGTCATCTAGTCCAACCCCCTGAATATCATCACTGCTACTATCTGCCTGCTTGCCAAGTACCAGATCTCTTACCAGAAAGGCTACTTCTTCATAAGTAAGAATGTCTGTATCCTCTACCACCATGGCAGTTCAGATTTTAACTTGGAATAAAAGTACGCAAACACATTCAGCCACAATTAGATTTGCATCTTCTGTTCCAAAATGAGAAGGCTGGGTGTTGCAGTTGTAGGGAGCAGGAGACATCCAGGCAACTGAATCTTCTGCACACTGACATTAAGAGAAAGCCCCTTGCTATTTAGACGGCAGAATGAGAAAACCACATTTAGCCCTGAAACAGTAATTATCTTCCAAAGAAAGGCACATTCCGCAGCCCATACAAATTAATTTGTGTACAATGCTTTGCATAACTTAAGTTTGTTTTTACCATATAAGGAGCTATGCCAGCCTGACCCCTGAATATCCTGCTCTGGCCTGCTGAGATCTCAGAAGCTCAAACTATAAATTCAAGGAACTTCAGCTGCAGGAGCCTAACATGACTCTCCCAGGACTGCCAAGGAAGAAATGTCAAGGGAACAGCAACTTAATTCTGACAAGGAAAACAAGACCCAGGCTGGGAGAAGAGTTAATCTCCTCCGTTCTTCCCAAACCTTCAACAGCCAACATTAAGCTCTTAACTTACCCATATCTTGATGCTGGGTCCAGTGGCTGCACACAGCCAGTAGCGGTTGGGGCTGAAGCATAAGGCGTTGATGATGTCTCCACCATCCAGGGTGTACAGGTGCTTGCCTTCGTTCAAGTCCCACAGCATAGCCTGGCCGTCCTGCGGTGGAAGAAAGCAGGCATTAGATTTAAAGCCCCCAAATCCAGAATGATTTTGCAATGGAAAAGGGCAATAGGCTGCGAATCTTCATGCGTCTGAGTCTCCCCATTCCTCCCAGCACCTACTCAAGGCCCCTAAAAAGCTGTAGCATTTAACTTATTAATTCATGCACCCTTGTCCCTTAAACAGAAATTGTCAAAGGGGGAGAGGAACCTTTCTCCAAAGCAACAGATCTCCCACCCAATGTTTGACAGCTCAGAAACAGCCTCTGAGTATCCGCATGGTAGTAAGTCAGATGGCATGTGTAAGTTTCATCACAGCAGTCAGGATTCTCTGACTAGATGGTAAAGTGCTAAATGTAACTAAGCAGGCAAGAGCACTGAGCTAGGCAGAAGAAAAGGGGGCAGCAGCTTATAGGGCATCTTGCTCACATGCTCTGTTTAAAAGCATGATTTCACGTAGATCAAGCATCCTGGAAAACCTCCACCAAAATGAGATATCCTCCTTCCCTGAAGGTTATAAAGCAGAGGTTGAACAGCCATGCGTCATGGATATTTTTGTTGAAGCTTCTGGCATTGCGGGGGGTTGGACTAGATAACCCTTGAGATCCCTTGCAACATTACAATTCTATATTAGCCTGCAAAGCTTCCTCTGCTCCTAGATTGCTTTTAATTAGAAAGTAATTTCTGCAGTCTATTCTGAGGATATGTCCACAATACAAACTCCAGAACTGTTTTTAACAGTTTTGATGCCACAATCCCTGTTATCAGCAGAAGGGACAGTGTTCCTTGGGCTGGGGAAAAGCCCCCCTGAATGATACTTAGAAGAGCTGAGGAAGCTGTGCCTTGTTTCTGTAACTGCCACCTGCTAGGCAGAGACACCCATTTCCTCATCACAAAGAGGACCATGCTTAGCAGATAAATGGCAGTGGCAAGTGTGGCCTGGGGAGGATCCAGAGGACCATATTTGGCCCCTAAACCTGAGGTTCTCCATCGATTCAGGGAAACGGCATAGCCCAGTGGTACAGCACCTGCTCTCATGCAGAAGCTCCTAGGCTCAGTCCCCAGTATCTTCCAGCTAGGCCCGAAAAAGAACCACTGCATGAAGAGCTGCTGCCACTCAGCATACATGACACTGAGCGGGACAGACCAACAGTCTGACTCTGTCTAAGGCAGCTCCCTGTGTTGCTGACGTTGTAGCTATGCAGGTAAGACTGACTGACCCTCAGCTCTAACTCCCCTCTGTCAGCAACTAGAAGGCTGGTGAAAAGGAAGAATGCATTTCATTTTGGAGCTAGAATCCTGGATTTCCTTACTGGAAATGGAAGAGGGCTTCCCCCTCCCTCCATGACAAGCATGGATATGCCGCTAGCAGACTAGTAACTTATTTTTTACAAATCTAGGCTAGATGCTTCTAGCGAGAACACGACACCCGTGAGCTAACTCCCCCTAAGTACCTTGAGCTAAGCAACGTCCGGTTCACAGCGACTGCCCATGTTTCCTTCTGTCTCTCTCTCTCCCTAATAAACAACACACCTGGCCAATTTATAGTGGAAGGCCTCCCAATTTACCAGATATGCAGAAGTGTAGAGAAAGAAGAAAAGTAGTTCCTCTCCACCCCCTCTGGTTTATTATTTATTAACACTGCTTTTTATTAAAAGTATCTAAAGAAATGTATAACACAGAATTGATAAAATGCAATGAAGAAAATAAATCAATGCAAAACCATACTTCATGAATTCATACACAATCCTATTGGATGGTTGTGTGTGGAGGTAACATGACTTACTGGGAAAAGTTTGTCTGAACAAGTAAGCTTTAGGCACACGGCTATACGTTTGCACAGGTTCAACCTCTTGACGGGAGGCTTGCCACAGAGACTTACCTTGCCACCTGAAGCACACAGGGAGCCGTCGGGCGAGACTGTCACTGTGTTCAAGTAGCCAGTGTGCCCAATGTGGTTGGTCTTCAGCTTGCAGTTAGCCAAGTTCCACACCTGCAAGACGGGGAGAGTACAGACTCAAAACTGATTCGCTGATGCTGTTAATCTCAAGGTGAGCTCTTGCTGTGTGATCAAATTCCTGATCCAGTGAATGTTGAAAAGCGTCTCACCCCCTCGCGTAACTTACAGCCTGCCTAACAAAACTGGTGCCTGCCTAATAGAAGTATAACTGAACGTCCAATACATAATAAAACATGATGCAGGCCTATTTAGTGAAAAGAGCAGTCCTCCAATATATCTCCTCTCTTTGCAAGACTGACTAAGCAGAATTCTACTCCTGCTCCAATCGGGGCACCAACAAAGAGACTGTATTGAGTCACCTATGCTAAGAGGACAAGAGAACACCCTACTGTTTACAAGCTGCTGCAAATCTGAAGGACTCCATGGCCCCAATTCTCCCTCCAATCCCCCCTCCTGCACCTCCACAACTCATTGGCTTGGCTTCAGGACTTTTGCTTTGCTAGATGAATAGAGAGGTGGTGAGATTCCAGCGCACCCCAAAGTCCTGCACCTCCTTACCAGAAGATCTGAAGGGCTGGTTCCAGATTATCAAAAAAGACGACAGGAAATAGAATGTTTGTGCATCAGTTAGACACTTCCAGGGGGAGGCCCTAGACAGAGATTTGAGGATTAAGGCTGATACTCGACTCACCTTCACGAGCTTGTCCCAGCCACAGGAGACAATGATGGGGTTGCTGCTGTTGGGGGAGAAGCGCACACAGGAGACCCACTCTGAGTGGCTCTCGTCCTGAGTGGAGAAAAAAGAAGGTATGACAGCTCTCAGTAGAAGCTGGTAACAGGATGTTACAGAGAAACAACCATTCCGAAAATTAACATTTAAGCACATGTGTCACCTCCTAGTTCTAACTCCTTATCAATAAGGAAACCTAAGCACATCTAACTGCATATGCACATGTATTCCTTTGGCTGCATCCTTCCCTGCCTTCTGTTGTCTCCACCTCCTGTCAAAAGAAGCACAGACTTCTTTTTCCCCCTTTATGAACTGCTATAAAGTGTCATGAGCATTGGCAGAGGTTAACTTTTGAGCAATTAAAGCGCTTAACAGCTTGGGATCAGGGTACACCAGAGATCTCCTCACCCAATATATATCCTGGGCTGGCAACTGTGCTCTACAGAAGGATTACTGCTAAGAGGACTGCCTGCCCCACTAGCGTGCTTAGTTTGTACTAGAAATTAGGCTTTTAGTGTTGCAGCTCCAGCCCCCTAGAAGGATGAGGAGCGACTGGAAGGGTAGGATCAAAATGTTACTTCTATGTAAAACGCAGGGTATGCCCTCAGACCCAAGCAGGATCCCACCCTTCCTTTCTCCACAAACATGAATCGAAAAGTGCAAGTTTTCCCTTTTCTGAACACCTGCAGCAACTGTCTGGACGAACAGCCACTAAAGGCACATCAAGGCTTTTGTACATTTGGTGCTTCATTTAAATGATATCATGGTGTTGCTTTTAAAATACTGTTTATTGTGTTTGATTGCGTGATGTAGATTTTAAAAATCTAAAACAAAGGGAGGTGAACTTTAGTGGTATTCAGTGCCCAGATCTGGGAGAGGCTCACCTGTACAGTGTACTTGCAGACTCCCAGAGTGTTCCAGAGCTTGATGGTTTTGTCCCTGGAACCTGAGACAATCTGGCGGTTGTCAGAAGAGAAAGCCACACTCAGCACATCCTTGGTGTGGCCCACAAAACGCCGGGTGGTGGTGCCTCTGAAAGGGAGATGTCATTTCATTACAAACCCAGTGCAACACAGGAAAGAAAAAGCCCCTCAGACCAAATCTCGTTTTTCCCTGCCTTGCCATGCTACCTCCTGTAACCCCCTTCCCCTGCAAAGACCCTCCCCTTCTGGTCTTGATCTCCTCCTAGGGCCCACAAGGTTAATTTTCGAAGAGGATCTCCTGCTTCAATGGAACTTTTCCGGGAGTTGAGACAGGACCACGTCCCTCACTCCAATTTCAGTAGCCAATGAGTCCTAAAGAGAGGGAAGCAGAGCTTCTCCTACCACCTTGTGCAGCTCTCATAGGGTGAGCAACTAACAAACCAGCAACAAGAGGTTTTCCCTTTGATCTACACTGAACCGAGTCCATAACCCTCCCCAAACTTTGGGAAATGAAAGGGGCATGAAGGATCTGAGAATTTCTCAGCACCCTCACTGCGGAACCATGACAAGGGCAACCTGAAATGTCCTGTATGGGGAAATGTGCAATTCCAAAAACCCACCAGAAACAGGTGTCCCCTTCTAACTGATTTCCCCTTCCCTTCCCCTTTCCAATAAAACAAAAAGCTTCCATTTTCTCAGTCTCTCCTGTAGTGTCCCATCATAATTGCAGGACGTATCATCAAACCCCAGTGGAGTCTGTAGATATTGTGTCAGGTCTAATCATCGGGACAGGAGGAAGCAAGCACAAAACCCTGATCCCAAAGCAACCAGCGATAAAAACAGGAAACCGTACTAGGAATAAAAACCTAGAAATGGGAAACCATGGGAGAACTGGGCAGAGTGAAACATATAATCAGTCTGCTGAGGACAATCCTTTTCAATCAACACAGACCCTGTTTCCCCAATCTACACTCACGTGGTAAGATCCCAGAGGCGCAGGGTGCCGTCCCATGAGCCAGAGAGGGCAAACTGCCCATCTGAGGAGATAACCACATCGCTGACGAAGTGGGAGTGGCCCCGAAGGGCTCTCTGGGGGATCCCGTAGTTGGTTTCATCCCGAGTCAGCTTCCACATGATGATCGTCTTGTCTGCAAGAGGAAAAAGATAACAAATGGTTCTTCCACGGATTTTCTCAAAACTGAGATAGATATTACTTGAGGGGCGGGAGGCGTCTCATTCCTTTACTACTCATTCCCTGAATCAGGCTGCTGCACTCCACTGTGACCAAGTTCCTAGTGAGGGAGTAAAGTCATGCCTGGACTGTACCACTTCAGACTGGAGTGGGGACTTGCCTAGTTGAATGTGCCACCTTGCCAAACACTTTCCTGCACACAGAAAGCTAGCATTTCAGGGAGATGGCTAGGTTAGAATACTTCTCCCCAACATCTAGTTTTCCATGTGAAGGGAAGTGTATGGCTGGAGGAGCACTCAAGTTATACCAGCCCCCACTTGCATTCTGAAGTGTTACAATACTCTGCTTTACCATCTCAGTGAGGACCGGACTAGCCAAGGCTTCCTGCAAACTCTTAACATGCCCTCATGTGAAACCACACGAAAAATTCTCCAATTCCCTTGGAGAGAAAAGTCCTCTCAAACCAGAGACTGCCTTCAAATACACACAATTATGACCCAGCTTTTACAGCTTCACCAGAAATTAACTGTAGGTCTCAGCATCTAGATCCAAATACGAGGTATCCTTTGTAACACCCCAGTACTACCCCCTTTTAGACATCCACCTGTACACCAATATCACAGAGAAAGCTATCCTCAATTGCTCACCAGAGCTGTGGACTCCTCCGGCTTCAGCAGTTGCTATAAAAGTTAGTACTGGCTCACATCACCAAATAGGTTGCTTGCTACTTCTCTGGCATAATCGAGGCTCAGAAAGGAACCACCCTATGAACCATGTGCTAAGGATGTAATGCCTGGTATAGCAGTTAGAGCAGAGAATGTCTATGAGGTGCCAACCAACAGGGATCATGGGAGTTGTAGTCCAACAACATCTGGAGAGCACCACTTTGGCTTACCGCCTCCCCCCCCCCCGGTTACCATGTCAGACTAGGACCAGAGAGACCTCAGGGTTCATTCAAATCCCCACTAAGCAACAAAGCTCCCAGGGCCAGTGGCAAAATTGCTTAGCCTCACCTGCCTTGCAAGATATGACACTAAGCTGGATGCCACACACACCAACTTGAGTGTGTTGGGAGTAAAGATGGGGTATAAATTAACAATACAGAAATTAAAGCCTGAAATCAATCCCTCCTAAGCTGGAGCTGCTAATTAATGGAGCAAATTCACTGCCCTTCCCCTCTAACCCACAAGTATGAATGACCAGCTGTAGAGCCTCATTATTCCTGAATTGCAGGCTTGCTCCTGGCCACTTTTGGTTGGCTTCGAAGGCCAACCAAAGAGAACAGATCCTCTCCTGCCCCATCATAATTGCAGGACATGTCTTCAGACCTCATGAAGATCAGCAGACAAATGTCAAATTTAATCATCAGGGCTGGGAAGAAAGAGAAGCAGGTGGGCCTTACTACAAACACCTCATTTTCCGCCTCAATCTGCTGAGAACAGCTTAAGTCAGTACAGCATGACGCTCTTAAATCTCAGGGTTGTGGGTTCGAGCCCCACATTGGACAAAAGATTCTTGCATTGCAGGGGGTTGAACTAGATGACCCTCATGGTCCCTTCCCGCTCATATGATTCTGTGGCTGACCCCTTGCTATTCATTTGGTTTTCTATCCTCTTACCTTAATCGCCCCCCCCCAAAAAACCCTTGGGGCGTGGGAGCCTCCCCAAACCCTCACCCTGTCTAGCACGTGATTGTCTCTCTCCTCATGCCCCATTCCCTATTACACGTAGATGGGGCTGCATGGTCGCGTCCTTCACGCGACAACTGGGCGTTTCTCTCCCCCCCCCCCGCATTACACGGTGGTCTCTCCCATCCCGTTCCACGCTTCCCTCCCCGCGTCCCCCGCGCGAGTTGGTCTCTCCCGGCCCGGCCCTCCGTTACCGCGTGAGGCGGAGAGGATCATGTCCGGGAACTGAGGGGTGGTGGCGATCTGGGTCACCCATCCGTTGTGGCCCTTCAGGGTGCCACGCAGGGTCATCTGCTCCGTCATGGCGGCGGCTGAGAAGGCTCGAGCTCCCGCGGCAGGCGGAGGATGGAGGCGGATTCACCGGCGGCCCTTAGCCCGGACCTGCCAGCTCGCTGAGGCCCAGGGAGAGAAAGGAAGCGGCGGCCTCTTCCGGAAGCGGAAATAGCCTCTCGCGGCGCCCTCTCGCGGCGCCGGCGCAGACGTACAGCAACATGGCGGCCCCCACGTCAACCGTACGAACGACCCGACGGAGCGCCTTGCGCTGGGCCGCGCTTCCTCAGCCTCGCGGAGGCAAATTGCGACGCGCAATGCTGCGAATCCATAAGCACGAAACGCGGCGGCACGCTCCGTAGAAAAGACTCTTTGCCGCAGCCGCTTCCCCACCAGCAGCCAACATGGCGGCGCCCTGGCGTTTCACATCTCGCGATATCTTGCGACGAGACTCCTCCGTCCGCGCGTGCGGCGTGAGCATGGTGGTCTCCTGGAGGGGGTCGCTAATGGGCAGATCTGCTCGTGGGAGACTCATTCCGAGCCCTTCGTTGCTCAGTGAACTGATCCATCTCCAACTGATTTGGGGCCGGCGGTTCTTCCTTGATATGCCGCCTTTCTGCCAAGGCGGGTTACCAGAATATTAATAATAATATTTTATTATTTATACCCCGCCCATCTGGCTGGGTTGCCCCAGTCGCTCTGGGTGGCTTCCAACACAAACGTGCGGTACAAAATTGCGGCACTAGTTCTCTTCCTCTCTTAGGTACGCGCAGATCTTTTTTTCCCCAGGAGGGTTACATGGATCTGTTACATCAAGCAGACTCCTGGACCAAGAAAATAATTACGGTGCCATTAGCTGCAGTCAAAACTTAAGCTAAAGCCCACCTTTTCGGATGCATGAAATATTAACGTGGCTTGTTTCTGAACTTCTTTTTTGCAATTCCACGCCACCCCACCCACAAATGTGCAATAAATCTTTATTCAGACATTTATAAACTGCGCTTCCATAGAAAATATAACAAGGCGGTGTACAACATAACTCAACTTTATTGTCCATATTCTTCTCGTAGAGCTAAAATTTCCACAGTTCCCTGGGAAAAGGGAAGGATTGTTAAGCCACGCTGGGAATTGTAGCACGTTGATGGAGTCTCCTAGCAACTCCTTGGCGCTCTTAACAAACTGAAACTCCCAGGATTCTTTATGTGGTATGATGATGCAGATGGTGCCTCAGTTTGGCATATAATCATGACAAATTTAAAAAAAACAACAGTTACATGTTTTTATCTCTGAAATAAAATACAAGGTTGGAATCCAGAAGTGAGATGTGGGAGTCTTGTGATGTTGGAAACCGCATGGGGAATGCCGCACGTGTATTTTTGCATATGTTCCAGCAATCTTAAGTATACTTATTAGGAAGCATGTCCCAGTTATCTCAGTGGGACTAACTAGGAAGTAAATATGTTTAGGGTCACCCTGGGTATGTCTAGGGTCACACTACTTGCCTGCTGCTTTTGTGGCAAGGAATAGGAACCAACAGCCGAGTCTCAACCAAAGACAATATTCTGCTCATTTAAAGCAGCCTTGTAAATAAGACTACCAAAGTTACGGCAGTACAGTGGTACCTCGGGTTACATACGCTTCAGGTTACATATGCTTCAGGTTACAGACTCCGCTAACCCAGAAATAGTACCTCGGGTTAAGAACTTTGCTTCAGGATGAGGACAGAAATTGTGCAGGGGCACAGCAGCAGGAGGCCCCATTAGCTAAAGTGGTGCTTCAGGTTAAGAACAGTTTCAGGTTAAGAACGGACCTCCAGAACAAATTAAGTTCTTAACCCGAGGTACCACTGTAGTTGTTTTTCCTAACTGGTTATAGGACTAAATAGCCCGACAGCCCCTTCTCCGTGGCTGGTATGAAAACAGGGCAATCAATAAAAATATTCTCTTTTTTAAATCAAATGGACAAGTGGAGAGAGGGAAGGATCCATCCTTCTGTTGCTCTCACTGCCATCCTTCCCACTGTGTTTCCATGCTGGCTGTAGACTTGAGGGCAAAATCAATCTACTAGTCCCCTGCCAACTCCTTCATTCTCCTGCGTGAAAATCCATGTTGCTTATGGCAACCAGGCACGTTGCTAAATACAAGGCTAGTTTAGCATTCCCAGGAGATCCATTAGAATCATAATCATAATCCCACAGAAGTCTTAGGAAGATGACATTCATTTCCATGATAAATGCCTTGATGTACTACAGCCATCACCAACTTTCTACTCTCCAGATGTTTTTGGACCCTTAACTATTGAGAGCTGCAGTCCAAAACATCTGGAATCAGACTTGGAATGGTCCATGAGGATCATCTAGTCCAGCCCCCTGCAGTGCAGGAATTTTTCACCCAACGTGGGGCTCAAAACCCACAACCCTGGGATTAAGTGTCTCATGCTCAAACCAACTGAGCTATCCAGCTGAAGCACCAGGTTTGTGAAAGCTGATGTTGTTGGCATCCAGATATCTCGAGAAGCAATGAAGTGTGCCTTCGGGGGTGAAGTCAAACGGCAGCACAAGCAGCACCAAAGTGACCTTTCCAGGGCGCCAGCCTGAACAGTGTGTATGGAGGTCCTGGGCTGCCCAGATGACAAGACCCCCCTCCCCTTGCTGATGTGGTCCAAAGGAAACCACAGCAATACGTTTGGCACCAGCTTGGCTGCAGGAGTTGCTGGAAGGAGGGGTACAAGATGCCATCCAGCCATCTTAAGGACTCCACTCCAGATTTGTTTTGGGTTTACTCCTTAGCTTTTTCTTCTCCTGAAAATATCCTGCAAGGCAGTGGAGGTTTAGCACCAGAGTTTTCCTTCTCCTAGACGGGCAGCCTTCCCAGGTTGATGAGCCCCATATCTGCTCCTCATGTCTCTGTACAGGGTGTGCAGAAACCACCTTCTTGACCATTGGACCCACTTAATATCCTTTATTGATGGAATCATAGCTCCTTCTTTCAAAGCTAGATACAACAGCCGGTTGACACCCATCTCCCCCTTCTTTTCCACCCTTTCCCCAATTGCTAACTTGCATTTGCTGATTTTTCCATGAAATATTGATGATGGGGATTTAATGGTTATACCCTGTTTTTCTATTAAAACCACCCTCATCGCAGCCTATAGTGAAAAGCAACAGAAATGCAATGTAAAAATGTTGAAATCACATATTAAATATACAGTGGTACCTCGGGTTAAGTACTTAATTCATTCCAGAGGTCCGTACTTAACCTGAAACTGTTCTTAACCTGAAGCACCACTTTAGCTAATGGGACCTCCCGCTGCTGCCGCGCAGCCGGAGCACAATTTCTGTTCTCATCCTGAAGCGAAGTTCTTAACCTGAAGCACTATTTCTGGGTTAGCGGAGTCTGTAACCTGAAGTGTATGTAACCTGAAGCGTATGTAACCCGAGGTACCACTGTAATATCAAGGACAGCAGTAATATTTTCCGGTTGCTAAGTCTCCCGTTGCTTGGTCCCTGCTCCTGCCCACCTAGCAGTTTGAAAGCACGTCAAAGTGCAAGTAGATAAATAGGTACCGCTCCGGCGGGAAGGTAAACGGCATTTCTGTGCGCTGCTCTGGTTCGCCAGAAGCGGCTTAGTCATGCTGGCCACATGACCCGGAAGCTGCACGCAGGCTCCCTTGGCCAATAAAGCGAGATGAGCGCTGCAACCCTAGAGACATCCATGACTGGACCTAACGGTCAGGGGTCCCTTTACCTTTACCCTTAAGTCTCTTGCTACCCTCCTGTACAGAAGAGTTTTGGGAATCTGTCTCAGATTTCCCAAACGATCATCACTCCACAGTGTTGTTTTCCCTTTGGCAACCGGCTGGAGGTTATGACCAGAACCAATACACAGTCCCTGTTCTTGATAACCTAAATGCTCTATAATTTTGCACACAAATCTATGCATGTTGCTGCTGTAGATGCTGTTGAGCTGCTGTGAGAATAAACTCTGCCTGCAATCCTATACACTCAGTAAGTTCAATTTATAGCCTGAAGGTCTTAGCAGTGGCAGTAATTACAGGCAATAACTCCCACTGAGACTAGAGTGACTCAGACCCAAGAATGATGTGTCAGCAGATTCCTTTTGACTGCCATGGCTTTCATACCAGTCATGCTTTCCCAATCAGCCACAGTAGCTCAGAGAAGGCATACAGCTGGGTTTCTGTAGTGTAGTGGTTATCACGTTCGCCTCACACGCGAAAGGTCCCCGGTTCGAAACCGGGCAGAAACAGCCTGACATACATTTTTTGCCTTTACATTAATAGAGACTGCAGATCAAAACTTCAATTGAAGTTGATAAGTTAAAAAGAGTCTGTTTTATCTCCCACCTCCCATTGGTATTTATTTGTAAATTCATTAACCAACAAAATAAGTCTGTTTTGTTTCAAAGTAGGACTTTGTGCTGATACTGAGAAATGAAATGCTTGCAGCTTGCAAGCCCATTAAATTTTGGAGAAGTTCAGCGAAAACTGAATAAAGTGCGTGACTTAATTTTAATTTTTTTTTATTAAAAAGACACATAAAATCATACAAAGTATAACATGTAGGTTTATTGCTTGTTCACAATCAAGTTTGAATATTATATCCAGTCTGGCAGGTATGTCCATTCATTCAAAGTGATCACTCATTGTTTCAGACATCCATATTCTACCAGTACTATTCATATTTTGTAAGTCCCATTTACTCAATGAAGATAAAACTTCATTGAAATCAATAGGATTTACTTCAGAGTAGTTGTAGAGGACTGTGCTGGAAGGCTGCAATCTTATGCACACTTACCTGGGAGTAAGGTCCACTGGATACATGGGGTGTGTGTGTGTGTGTGTGTGTGTGTGTGTGTTTTCTGCACGTTATTCATTAAACTCTGGTCTAGAATGGGGATGGGGAATATGGGATTCTCCAGATGTTGCTGGACACCCCCCCCCCCAATTTCATTTATGAATCAGTAGCTTCAGCTTCTGGGTCACCTGAAGGGCAGCCCTGCATGCAGCACATTGCAGTAATCCAGTCTGGAGATTTCCAGTGCATTGACAACAATAGTCAGACTATCCCTGTTCAGAAACAGCCATAGCTGTCTTACCTACCCAAACTGGTAAAAGATACCCTTAGCCACTGAGGCCACCTTGCAATAAAGATGGGTCTGGGTGAAACCCCAGACTACAACTTTCTTCAATTCCTCAGCGTTGGCCATGCTGGTTGGGGCTGATGGGGATCTATTTTATTTTATTAGATTTATATGCCACCCTTAATCATAAGATTTCAGGGCGGTTCACAGAATAAAATATAGGATAAACAAGTAAATGTTGGAGTCCAACAACATATGGTGGACAACAAGTACCCCATCAGTAATTTCCAAGCTCAAAAAAGGTGGTGTCTCTCTCCTTCCTCCCCTATTTTCTTTCCAGGACACGAAGGCACAAATTATATGTGGTTTAAGCCTCCACATCTCAGTAACCTGCAGAGCTGCTGCCAGCCAGTGTCCATAATATGGAGCTATAAAGACCAGTGGCCCAACTAAGTATAAGGCAGTTTATCTTGCTGGCCTGGAAATGTGATGCTCCTTCTAAATCCTGCCACCAGGCTGGATGCTTTATGGTTCACGTGCGTATTAATATTTTTGATTTCTGGCTATTGCAGACGCATGTTTTCTGGAAGCCACCTTGAGAGACTTGCCACTCTTGCATTATAACATTTGAAATAAACAATAAATCCGTTGCACTCGGTGGGACCTTCAGCGAATATGTGCAGGATAGCACTGTCGGTAGTTTTCATGCAGCATTTGCGCAATAATTAACGTGTGGGGACGGAACGCCAAATACAAAAGGGCTACCAATTAAGTATGCAGGCAGCTCCATCATCGCGGAATCAAATTTCAGGAGCTCTCATACAGCTCGGCGACTACCTGCTCTAAACGTTAGCTTAATGTTACCTTCGTCCATTCCCCATTAGGCGCCTCCTGTGCTTCCTCGCACCTGGAAAGTGGGGGGTGAGTACCCCCCCCAAAAAAGACCCCAACCAACCAGCACATTTAAGAAACAAATGATTAGATACAAGATAGTAAAAAAGAATAAAAACCCGCATCTCTCTCTCTCCTCCCGCCCCCCGCCCGCCCCGCGGTGGTAATGTTGAAGCTAGGCATGTAGTCGGCGAGTTCAAGATCGGACCTGAGTGAAAACTGTCACTAATAAGGTCCTCTCCAACGGTGTGACAGAAGGAAGGCGGGGGTGGGGTGGGGGAGAAGAGACGGCCATATGCAAATTTGTTCTTTTACGTCAGCCTCGCCACACTATATATACCCTGATGGCCGGTTTATTTCTCAGTGGCGCTCCGGACAGCTGGCAGCGCGCTGCTTTCGCGGGAGGGTGGAAGGATGGGTCGCGGAAGGCGGCCGGGATCCCGACAGGGAAGGCGTCAAGGAACTCGGCAGGGGCCAAGGCGTCAAGGAACCCGACAGGGTATCCGGCAGGGAAGCCCCGTACTTCACACCGAGGCAGAAGGCTCGAGCGCCCCTCCGCCTGCACCTATTTCCGAACCGTCCACTTCCGAATCCTCGGGGAGAGGAAAGAAGCGCCTTTCCGGCCCTTTGTCTCAGCTTATCCTGAAGGCTTTCGAAGGCTCCAGCTCGCGGAAAGGCGTGTCGCTGGCAGCCCTGAAGAAATTCCTTAGGGAAGGAGGCTACAACCTGAACAGGAACAAAAATAGCCACCTCAAACGGGAGCTGCATAAACTGGTATCGAATGGGGTCTTGGTCCGCTTAACCGGCAGCGGAGCTTCGGGATCCTTCAAGCATGGCGGGAAAACCCTGCCGAAGAAATCTGCCAAGCCTGAGGCGAGGAAAGTGAAGAAAACGGCGGCTGCCAACAAAAGGCCGGCGTCGGGTAGCAGGGAGCCGAGAAAGAAGATGCCGAAGAAACAGCCGGCCGTTTCTAAACCAAAAGGTGTCCGAAGTAGTAGAAAGACAGCCGTCCCTGGCAGGAGACGGCAGCTCGACAAGCATTCAACGGTGAAAGGTTCTTAAATACAGAGAAAACCCGGCAGTTTACTTTAATATCTTTAAAAAGGCTCTTTTAAGAGCCACTCAAGACTCGCTGAAAGAGCTGCTGCATTTCCAGATTAAAAGCGCGCTGCTTAAAGACCTCTGAAGTGCTTTGCCTATTAGTACTGCTCGTCTCCTGACATCTGGTTTTCTCGCCTTGGTAGTTTTAGATTAGGTGTAATCGAAAGGTTAAATATGATGGTAATAAAAACCGAGAGTGCTGTGGTGTGGAAACTCAGCAGGACCTTCTGGTGGCTTTTCGTGGAAAGTTCAGGTGTTAAAAGAGCCAGGATGGTGTGGCTGATAAGAGCTTATGGTCTGTCTGACCATATAGACCTGTCGTCATCTCAGCCTAGCCCACCAGACAGGGTTGTTGCATGGATAAAACTGAAAGTTCGGGCTAATCCAGTATTAATCCATAAAAATACCTTGTTTATTTCATTACTTATTTTTACACATTCTACCCCCCCCCCAAAAGCAAAGAGCCACAATCCAATTTATGCGTGTTAAACTAAAGACTGGGTTACAGAGATGCTTCAGCTCAATTCAGTTTTAACAAAATATTGATTTGTACATTTAAGTATATATTAATCCAAATCTCAGCACAACATTATAAAATGAAGCATGGGCGCAGCCAGGATTTATGTTGCGGGGAGGCAGGACACTCACTGGTCATCATCCTCTGTCTAGCAGATTCGGAATGAAATGTCTGAACAACAGTTTTAAATTAACGTTCTTTTGACCCCAAGTGCCCAGAAAATTCTGTAAAAATTTTTGCTGCAATATCTACTTTTAGTTAAATATTTTTATTTACTTGCTTGGTTTTTTTTGGGGGGGCAACTGTCCCCCCTGCCCTCCCTGGCTACACCCATGAAATGAAGACCCACTGGCTTTATTTCTGACAACCAAAAAAAATCCACTCCAAACCGCAACCTTCTGAAAATGGTCATTTCCAATATCAGTAGACAAACATAAAAAAAATGTAATTAGAGAAGTGGGGAGGAGACTATGTTATTAGCCCTGTACTTTTGTTCCAAATATTTTATAATTAACTACAAGGTTTAGCTCAGCTGGTACAGCATGAGACTCTTGATTTTAGGGTCATGGGTTCGAGCCCCATGTCGGGGAAAATATTCCTGCATCGCAGGGGGTTGGAATGGATGACCCTCGTGATCCCTTCCAACTACAATATCCATAAAATAAAATCTGAAACATGTGCAGCAGAAGAATCCTATACATACAGGCAAAGATTTCAATGGAACTTCCAAGCAATTGGGGGTACAATTGCAGCCAAAGGGACTTTTCACTCATCAGTTATGGAAAATGAGTCTTCAACACTACTTCTTTTCCAGCTCTTAGAAAGATTTGGATTGGCTCTGAAAAGAACCTCTGCGTTTTCTGACACCATGCAGAAAAATGTCTTCATTGTCCTTTGACAGGGGCATGACTGGATTTTACTGTCGCACTGGAAGATCCAGCAGCTTCACCACTGCTTGTGTTCATCATCTTTTCAGTTTTGCTGACGGTAGCAGAGCTTGAACATCACCCTGCACAATGGCTACTCCTTCTACCAGTTTCTGCAGCTCCTCATCATTCTGCACAACAAGGTGGATGCGGTGTAGGATAATTCACTGCTTTTAGCCAGCCAGCTCCAGGATTTCAGCACTGAGATATTCCAGGACTGCAGCCAGATAGACAGGGGCTCCTGCTTCAATTTGCTTTGCTTACTTCCCTTTCTGAAGCAGCCTGTGTACTCTAACCACTGGAAACTGCAACCTTGCCCTTGTGGACTGAGTCCTTGTCTTGACTCTCATTTCCCCCCTAGTCGTGCCACAAGCAGACACAATTCTGCTTTCCATCCTGCTCTACAGCAAAAGCACCGTGTGAATGTTATGGCTTTAAAGTGCCTCATTCATACACTTTAAAGTGGGGCAGGGAGGGAATAAGCCTTCCTAAATCTGATTGCTCAAGGCCTGTAAACCAATAAGGAACGAGATTCTGATTTATCCAATAAGGAAAAAAGGGCATATTATTCTCAGTGAGAACTATCAAGTCTGTGTTCATATATTTATTTATAAAGTCATTTGCACTGTGTTCTGCTTTTCATTTTAAAAAAACCAAAGCAGATTACAATAACCATGCACATATACAATTAAAAAAAAACAACCCTAGAAATTTTAAAACAAGAGATCTTCAGCTATTGTATACCTGAAGGAGCGTCTCCACCCCCATCATTCAACCCGGACACTGAGGTCCAGCGTCAATGGCCTTCTGACAGTTCCCTCATTGCAAGAAGTGAGGTTACAGGCAACCAGACAGAGGGCCTTCTTGGTAGTGGCACCTGCCCTGTGGAACGCCCTCCCATCAGATGTCAAGGAAATAAGCAGCTATCCTGTTTTTAAAAGACATCTGAAGGCAGCCCTGTTTAGGGAAGTTTTTAATATTTAATGCTGTATTGTTTTTAACATTCGATTGGGAGCTGCCCAGAGTGGCTGGGGAAACTCAGCCAGATGGGTGGGGTATAAATAATAAATTTATATTATATTATATTATATTATATTATATTATATTATATTATATTAATCACTATTGCAGAAATATATTTTCTTAATTGTCTGCAGAAGCTTGGTGGGATAGAAAAGTTTTCAGCATATGTTTAAAGGTTAAATCAGAAGGTGCTTGCTGAATCTCTGTTGGAAGAGTATCCCACAGGAAGGGGCAATGTTTCAAGTCACTCAGTTTCGTGTAACTATGAGGTTAGCCTCGCCAACTTGTTGAATAACCAATGACACTCCAGCAGGTGATCAAGCTGGGATATAAGGTGTCAGTCAGGCGGTGGTGCCTAAGGTATCCCTAGACCTAAGCTGTTCAGGGCTTTGTAAATTGATATAAGGACCCTTAGCCTGGCTTGTAGTGGATGTGTCACATGTTGTCAGATATGTGCCTTCATCATCAGTCTAGCTGCTGCCTTCGGCAACCTGCTGGAGTTTCTGAACCAGGTCCAAGGGCAGCCCAATGTAGAGCATGTTGCAGTAACCCAGCCACAATGTTGTCAACACATGGAATACAGTGGATGGGTGGGGTACAAATATTATTATTGTTGTTGTTGTTATTATTGTTATTTCATTTTTTCAAACAATATTCTTACATTTTCAATTTCTACACTTCTGGGATTACTTAGTCCTTTGGACTCCTCCCCCCACCTCCGGTTTCCAATTTTCCCTATTTTTTTGCATCGCATTACATTTTTCAAATCCATTTTATCTCATTTTTTAACCTTAACTCATATTACATTACAGTGGTACCTTGGGTTACATACGCTTCAGGTTACAGACGCTTCAGGTTACAGACTCCGCTAACCCAGAAATAGTACCTCAGGTTAAGAACTTTGCTTCAGGATGAGAACACAAATCGTGCTCCGACGGCACAGTGGCAGTGGGAGGCCCCATTAGCTAAAGTGGTGCTTCAGGTTAAGAACAGTTTCAGGTTAAGATCGGACCTCCGGAACGAATTAAGTACTTAACCCGAGGTACCACTGTATAAGTGTTACAACAATCCTGCTAACGTTTTTTAATATCTACAGCGGTCTTTAAGATATTCTATAAACTTTTTCCACTCTTGACTAATTTTTTTATCATCTTGGTGCCTGATCTTCACGGTCATCTTTGCCATTTTGGTGTAGTCGAAATCATCATCATCACCATCATCATCATCATCATTTTCTCCATCATCATCATCATCATTCTGTGATCAGGCTAAGAAACACTATTGATAAGAACCAATGCAAGTTCATGTACAAGATACAAGTAGTTTAGCCTACATTTCCAGGCAAAACCTTCTATTTTGGGTTTTGCATACAGATGCATACAGCACAGATTTTCCTCTTTCCACGGTCTCAGATACAGCCTTTTGATCAGAAATTCCAACCACTTAAAATGGCAGAAAGAAAAGAGAAACTGAAATTATCAGGGAGTGAGAACAACTCCCCCTACGAGGAAAAGGTACAGCTTTAGAGCCTTTGTAGTTTGGGGGGCAGGGAAGGGAGCAAAGGGAAACATGAATCATAGAGCAGGGGTTGCCAGCTTTTTTGGACCAATGGACACACTTTAAATTTTGAGTGTGTGCTGGGGGCGTCTGTCGCCAAATAGCTGCCATGAGGAGTATGACATAACACAAAATTAGAGTCACCCACAGCAGCTACCTTAGGCTTACTATGGGAAGTCAGCTATGTCCTAATTGTGACACTCATACAATAGTGATTTTATTGATTTATTTTATTAAATTTATATACCATGCTTTTCTTCCAAGGAGCTCACAGTGGTATATGTGGTCCCCGTCCCCAAATTTCATCCTCCCCACAACCCTGTAAGGTGGGTTTAGCTAAGACAATGACTGGCCCAAGGTCACCCAGTGAGCTTCATGACTGAGTGTTGATCCAAACCATGGTCTCCCAAGTCTTTGTCTGACATGCTAACCCATGGGTAGGCAAACTAAGGCCCGGGGGCCGGATCCGGCCCAATCGCCTTCTAAATCTGGCCTGCAGACTGTCCAGGAATCAGCATGTTTTTACATGAGTAGAATGTGTTCTTTTGTTTAAAATGCATCTCTGGGGTATTTGTGGGGCATAGGAATTAATTCATTTCCCCCCCAAAATATAGTCCGGCCCCCCACAAGGTCTAAGGGACAGTGGACCGGCCCCCTGCTGAAAAAGTTTGCTGACCCTGCTCTAACCATTACGCTACAATGGCAGAAATGTGCACACACTGATAGCAACAAGGAGCGTTCCTCAGTATCAGGGAAAATATTCACCTCTCTCATTTCACCGTGCTCACTTAGAAGTTACCTGTGCTATTGCAACCAGCCAAGAAATTTGCTGGCACCTCCAATACACAGGGCAAGAAGGATGTGTTGGAAGGATTCGCAGCAAATCCCTGAAACTCAGGAACCCTTAAACACCGTTATAACTCATTGTTTTAAAATAAGCAATCTGAGTGGATGTGTTCCCTCCGTTTCCTTTCCGCAAGCAGCTACCATTGTTAAACCTGAGGCATGTTTAACAGTGAGGGGGGGGGGCAGAGGGGCATTCCTTGCAATAATAAAAGCAACGGATACTGAGTACTGATAGATGGTACCTAAATGGCAACCCAGAGACCACCAAGCTTTTAGGGCCAGTGTGCCCATTTGGAATGTCAGGAGAGCGCAACAGGCAGCAGCCACAAAATGGCTGCTGCGGAGCGTGTGGCATAGCACAAAATGGCTGCCACTTCTGAAAGAGGAGGAGGAGGGGAGATAGGACTGCAAAATGGTGTGGGTTAACCTGCCCCTAGAAAAACGTAGTTGTCCTTTGGGGGGGGGGGTGGAGCCGGAAGTGTGAAAGGAAGGGGTTTGCACGGGCCTGGTCTGTGCAGTGGAGAGTTAGGGCGGGGGAGAGGGAGGGATATTTTCATACCCTCCAACATTTCTCTGATGAAAATAGGGACATCCTCCCTTTCTATTATTTTTATATTATTATTATTATTATTATTATTATTATTATTATTATTATTATTATATTCTTCCTGCCCATCTGACTGTTGCTCCAGAAGCTCTGGGCAGCTTCTAACATATATAAAAACAGAATAAAACAATAAACTTTTTTTTTTAAAAAAACCTATCCTACACAGTGCCTCCTTCAGATGTCTTCTAAAGGTTGTATAGTTACTTATCTCCTTGGCTCGGGGGTCACTTAGCTCCATACCGTCCAACATTTCTCCGATGAAAATAGGGATGTCCTTCCATGCCCTCCAATATTTATCAGGCGAAAATAGGGACGTCCTAAGAAAAAGCGGGACATTCTGGGATCAAATCAGAAACCAGGATGGCTTCTGTAAATCCAGGATTGTCCCTGGGAAATAGGGTCTGCAGGCATCTGTGGGGCTGCAGTGAGAACAGGGAGCTGGACTATATATGGACCTTTGGCCTGATCTGGGGGGCTCTTTGGAAGTGCCCATGGCTTTGAATCGAAACCTATGAACAGATAAAATACTCTGGCTGCCTATGAATAGTTATGAATACCTATGAATAGATAAAATACTCTGGCTCATAAGACAGTAAAACTATTCTTGCAGGCTGCTTGTTTGGGCTTATTAGTTATCTTTATTGAATTTTACATAGTTCTGAAAAAAAGACACACATCTATATTAGCAAAATGCAACCTTTCTAAGGCCTTTCCTGCCTTGGGCTTTGGTACTGCTATCTCCTTCGTCTAGCTCTGCGCTTGGGCCTTCGTGGGGGAAACGCAGCTTTCCCCTTGGGGCTTTGTTCTTTGGCAGAGGAAACATCTCTGCTCCTGCAGAATCTTGTTTTCTTTGCACTGGGTGTTTCCTTGCTGTAGGGCTTCCCCACACCTTTCGGAGAGGCTGTGCTGTTGCTCTTAGAAGACCTTGACCTTTCCAAAGTGCTTTTGCTGCTAGCCCATTTCGATTTCTCCGCAGAGGCAGGCCTGCTCCTGAGGTTCCTGGTGGTCTTCAAAGCAGATGCAGCACTTCTGCTGGAACAGCGCTGATCTTCGGCTTTGCTATCCGAGTTGTCAGACGTGCCAGAAGCAGCTTTTTCGGCAAGCCTCTGCGACCTCCGGGCAGAGCCATTTTTCCTGGGGCATCGTCTCCTCCTGTTGGAGATTCGGAGTTTCTGGTGAGCCTCTCCCGTCTTATCGGCAGAGCTCTTGGCTCCCTCCGCTTCTCCTTTCGTTTTTGTGCCAGTGCTTGCGCCATGCCTTCGCCCAACTCGGACTTTCCTCGCCCTGGCAGTCCTTTTGGGGTTTTCAAATATTTTGCTGGCCTTGCTCTGGTGCTTCCTGATGACGAAAAACTTTGAGCCATCGCTGTGAGTCATGCGCACCACAGCGCCTTTCAACACCAAGGCGTGCATTTTCCTCTGAGTTCTGGGGCTTTGCCTCCTCACATTGTAGCCTTTGGCGCTGAGCACTTCTTTCAGCTCTGTGAGGGTGAGGCCGTTCGACGCACTTGCGGCAATCGCTTGGACAACTAGCCCTGAGATATTAGGGAGGGGCTTGATGGTCTTACCAGGATTCAAGCTTCTCCTCCTTTGCATTGACCTCGTAATTATTGACGACTTTTCGGGGAAACGAGTTTCTCCTCTCTTGCCTCGCCCTGGCCTCTTTCTCCCAGGAACTGGGGCCTGTGTTCCTACAGGCGTCATAACCTCAATCATTATCACTTCTTGTGGGGTTGCTGCCCTTCTTTGGGACTCTGTTACTCACTGCATGGAGCCTCTGATGAGACTGACTTGTGTGACTCCTGTCCGAAGTATTTATAGATGGAACGGAATCAATCCCAGCCTGCTTCTGTTCCCAACAGCCAATCACTTTCCTCCGTTTTGTTCTTGAGAACTCACCTTTCATAAACCTGCCTCACCTGCTCCATCCCCCTCGTCCTATTAAAAAAAGTAGAGCTGGCATGGTAATTTAGCAGGTTACACTTTCCCCCACGAGACATCTCCATGTCAGGAAAAGCTTTTTTCTTTTTTCCCCCTCAATACTAGATTGCTACTTCGTAAAACTACAAAAAGCAAGAGCACCTACTTTATTATTAATTTGGCCTAACAGTCGGAGCTGATGGGAGGCAACTCCACACCAGAGAGGCCACCAGAGCATCAAGAAACAGCCCTGCTGGCCTTTTTCCTTAACAATGGCCTCACCTGCCTGCCTGCCGCTCAAAGGAGGTGTGGTGTGAATGGGAAGGGAAGATAAAGAGCCTCCATTTCCCAGCAGCTCACATTCTCCAGAGCAGGTTTTTTACAAATGTTCCATCCCAGTATTGCCTTCTGAAACAGGGCTAGGGAACCAGTAGCACTCCCAAATGTTGTTGGAACTCCATCAGTTCCAGCCGGCAGAGACAATGATTGGAGTGATGGGAGCTTTTGGCCAACAGTGTCTGGAGGGCCACAGTCCCCTCAAGGTGCTGTAAAGGAAATATAAGCCCTGTTAAGTTGGCCAAGACAAGGGGCAGGCATGTGAGAGATACAACATTTTGACCGCTGGTCCTGATGCTGATCTGCATGAGTGGGTCCATCTCTTCTTCATGAGGTCTTTGCATATGCATGTGGTAGACACATTGACTCCGCACAGAAGAGCAGAATCAACTAATGGAGGGCAGGAATGGGACTAGCAGGTACAACCCCACAACCCCTAACCCACATTTACTATTTCGTTTGGTCCATTGATCAGGGTGACAAGACGATGATAATCAAAATAAAAAGGGCGAGGTTGATAATCGTATTTAAAAAGGAGTACACCTATGGGATTTGGGAAACACCTGCCTTATTCCTGTAAGTAACTGTGTCATCACAATGTTGCTCTGTGATGCAACCATGTGACCAGGCTTCCCACAGAACTATCACATGGTTCAGTAACTGGCCAGCTCTGAGCTGCAGAGGCCTTGCTTAGCGGTGTTGCCCAATCTTGGGTCCCCAGCTGTTTTCGGACTACAACTCCCACCATCCCTAGCTCGCAAGACCAGTGGTCAGGGATGTTGGGAATTATAGTCTGAAAACAGCTGGAGACCAAAGGTTGGGAAACTTCTCACTTAGTTAGGCTTTGGGTGTGGTCAGGAGGACTAGATAAGGGTTATGAAAAGGGAGAGGGATTTCTTCCTCAGGGAAAAACAAAAAACTCAGGGTGGAGTTCAGTCTCCGGCAACTCCCCCTTAAAAGAATCATGGCCAGAAGACCACTGGAGAGCTGTCGTGCAGAATATATTGAACTAGTTGGTTAAAAAGTCTGACACAGTAGAAGGCTTCTAATGTCAAAAGAACATAAAAAGAACCTCCCAGATCAGGCTGGAAGCCTAATCTCACTAGTCAAGCATTCTGTTTTCTCTGTGGCCCTTCGGATCCCTGTGGAAGCCCACAAGCAACAGTCCACTCTCAGTTTGTGAATCACAGAAACTAATATTCAGAAGCTTATGTTCTTGTAATGTAGCACAGCCATTGGAGCTAGTAGCCACTCATAGCTTTATCCTGCATGCATGTGTCTAATAGCTTTTGAAACCTATCAGACCCTCCAAGTCCAGACCCGCTATTTCCAGGGATGCCCCTGATTTAGAGAAAAAGTCCCGGTTTCTGACTTGATCCCAGAATGTTCCACTTTTCCTTAGGATGTCCCTATTTTCATTGGAGAAATATTGGAGGGTACAGTGGTATCTCGGGTTAAGTACTTAATTCGTTCCGGAGGTCCGTTCTTAACCTGAAACTGTTCTTAACCTGAAGCACCACTTTAGCTAATGTGGCCTCCTGCTGCTGCCAGGGAGGGGGGATGTTCTGTTTGTTATTTGTTATTTTCAATATTCAACAATTAATAGTTTTATAATAATAAAAACCCCGACAGACTATCAGCCAGGAATCTGACCGCAGCATTTTTGACCAATTGAAGTTTCTGTGAAGATGATGATGATGATGATAAACAGTCTATCTGACTGGGCTGCCCCAGCCACTCTAGGTGGCTTCCAACAAAATGTTCAAACACAAAGAACCTAAAACATTAATAGCCTCCCTGTACAGGGCTGCCTTCAGATGTCTTCTGAAAGTCAGAAATAATAATAATACAGTGGTACCTTGGGTTACATATGCTTCAGGTTACATACGCTTCAGGTTACATACGCTTCAGGTTACAGACTCCACTAACCCAGAAATATTACCTCGGGTTAAGAACTTTGCTTCAGAATGAGAACAGAAATCGTGCTCCGGCGACACGGCGGCAGCAGGAGGACCCATTAGCTAAAGTGGTGCTTCAGGTTAAGAACAGTTTCAGGTTAAGAACAGACCTCCAGAACGAATTAAGTTCTTAACCCGAGGTACCACTGTAATAATAATCTTCAAGGGCAAGCCCATGTACTCTTGGTGGTCTGAAGATCTCTCTGCCCTTTCTGTGCTTGACTGCATAGTGTATGATCATCACTCTAATACCTACTTGGATATATGGACTGCCCATATAATTTTTGTAAGGCTTACATCGTTGATCAATGTAACGCAAAGCAATTAATGTTCACGTCAGGCTCGACGGCATGTTATTCTTGCTAAAAAGTCAGCTGACGACATTTCTCTCTCTTTTATTTGTAAAAAGAAAAGCTACAATGGGTACAACATGTGTTGGAACCTGTTGTACTTCTCATTGTCCATTTTAATTGTTGTACGCCACTTCCCGGGCCCCATGGAGGCGTAAGTGATACTGGCACAAACTGCTTTCGTCGAGCAGCTTGCTGGTTCATTGCCAGGATGCTGGTTTTATCAATGCGACCGAAACTGAAGTTCTCTCTTGTGTTTTAAATATGAAAGCCTTCAGAGGTTGGGAGTGGAAATGATGAGGGAGGCGTCCAACCCTGGCATTTGGGGCACTTTTGGGAACAGACAGTGAGTGAGCAGTTAGACAGACCTAAAGACAGCTTGTGAACAGCTCTCTCTGTCTCTGGGAGTCTGGCGTGAGACAGCAGATCATCTACAAGGTAGGACACCTTATCCTCTCCCGGCACATTTGTATATAAAGTGCCTCAAGTCAACAGCGCTTTCTCTTCTAAAGGAACCCCAACTCCAGGCAGCAGTTTCTGGAACTTCTTACCACCTGAGTGTGCAACAATATCATTTCTCAATATGTGGTAAGGTAAAGGTAAAGGGACCCCTGACCATTAGGTCCAGTCGTGGCTGACTCTGGGGTTGCGGCGCTCATCTTGCCACAGCACCACCCGAGTTCCCAAAATGTGGTATAATGGCTAAAAGAAAGACCTTCTCTTCCTAAATGAAGTCTTTCTGGGGGCTTGCAATGTTTCCTGAACTTGCATCAGCTAAAACTTACAGAATTCAAAAAGAAAGAATAAACTTTTACTTGCTAGCTCCCCTATAAGCCGCTTGGAGAGTGCTATAGAGCAGGCTCAACAGGTTGTTTTGCAATCTAGGAAAGGGTTAGATGTGTCCCCACATCCTTGTTGGAAGACTTGCCACATCCTTGCTAGATCATTTAAAAGCCCTCAGCGAAGTGAGCTCCAGTCATTAACCACAGAGAAGTCCTGCCAGCTTCCTGGAATAGTCTGGGCACAGACAGCGCAAATAAAAATAAGTTTCTTTCTGGAAAACAAGGTAAGCTATTACAATGCGGGTATAAGTGTTGATTGCTGGAACAATTGTTTGTGAAATGCAAAGCATCATCTATTGAACATCTTGTACAGGATCATGTGATGCAAGGAATATTTTGTGTGTTTTATTTCATTGCGGAATGGGTTACACGGCTTCAAAGTCTGTAAATGGTGATGGCTGAAATCCAAAGACTAACAGCATACCAGAATTTGGCTTTTTGAATGTTTTGAACATTTCTCATTCACAAATCTTGTGGCCCAGCACAAATACCTTTACTTTCTGCATAAACATGTCTAAATTTCATCGAAAATAAAAATTAAAGGTTATGCCTTTCAAAACACATGTCAGGACGTGGTGATCTGCCACCTGAATGCTATGCTGATTGAAAATGTGAGACTGGGAACAAGATGGAGATAGACTGAAATTGCAGAGTTTTGAAAAACTAAAAAACAAAGTGCGAGACTGGCTTCATTATTTTCAGATAATGGAGGTATTTAAATTGGACAAGAAAATTGGCTTCCAGGTGGAAAAATCAAAATTAGAAACTGAACTGTTAGAACCCAAAACTAAGAATTTGTCAAGAATGTATAACTTGCTGCTGAAATGGAACACTCAGGATGAAACGGTAAAATCGGCTATGATTAAATGGGCACAAGACGTTGGACATAACATTATGTTCGCTGACTGGGAACAGTTGTGGACCACAGGTCTGAAATTTACGGCATGTAATGCCTTAAGAGAGAATATTATGAAAATGATATACAGGTGGTACATAACTCCAGCCAAGCTTGCAAAAATCTATCATTTGCCCGATAATAAATGTTGGAAATGTAAAGAAACTGAAGGTACATTTTTCACCTTTGGTGGACGTGCCCAAAGATTAAGGCTTTCTGGGAAATGATATATAATGAATTAAAAAGGTATTCAAATATACCTTCCCCAAGAAACCAGAGGCCTTTCTCCTGGGCATAGTCGGCCAAATGGTGTTAAAAAGGGATAGAACTTTCTTTATGTACGCAACAACAGCAGCAAGAATACTCATCGCAAAGTATTGGAAGACACAAGAGCTCCCCACACTGGAGGAATGGCAGATGAAACTGATGGACTATATGGAACTGGCGGAAATGACTGGTAGAATCCGTGACCAGGGAGAAGAGTCAGTGGAGGAAGATTGGAAGAAATTCAAAGACTATCTGCAGAAACATTGCAAAATTAAAGAATGTTAGTGTGATGTTGGATTGAAAATAAGTGGCTTCCAGCTGTACAGGATTTAAGGCTATATATAGATTAAGATTAAGGATTAGGATTAAATAAATTAAAGGAAATGGAAATCTGGCTTTTTAAGAAGTAAAATTTAATGTTATATTATATTAAGACTAAAGATTGGGATTAAAATAGAGGGAAAGAAATTGCTGGACAAACAATTTGAACGGGAATACAAAAGAGGGAGGTATGAGGAGGTCCAGAAAATAAGTAAATTTAAAAATGGAGATGAAAAGGTGATATTGTTTTTAACTGTTTTCTTTTTGTCTTTTGTTTTTTGTTTCTTTTTTCTTTTTGGATTATGTATTGTGTATTTTTGAATTGTGTATTTCTTTTTTATGTTTAATCTTTTATTGATGTGTTTTTTTTTTATTGGAAACCTTAATAAATATCATTTAAAAAAAGAAAAAAGAAAATGTGAGACTGATTCGTCACCTTAAATCGTGATCCCTGATGATTAAAGCAAGTCTCGACTTGCCAAACTGGGTACTTTTGGACTTTTTATTGCCCCCAAATTAAAAGTGTCCACAGCTGGAAATCCTACACCCACCCTAGTTTTTAGCTCCCCCCTTGATCTCCATGAAAGTGCAATACATAAACTGAATAAGTTGTGGAAGTGCTGCAATTCTGTGAGTTGTTGTGCAAGGGCTAGCGGAAAACATGTGGTGTGACCTAGTGCATGTATTCTGTTAGCAAGCTTCATTATGGAAGGCCTTAAAAAGAAAACAAAAAAAAGAGGCTGTGTGTTGGCTTGTGCGCCACTCGGAAACTGAACGCCTTGCGAGTCGAATGTTTTGGCTCTCGAACGCTGCAAACCTGGAAGTGAGTGTTCCGGTTGCGAACGTTCTTTTGGAACCTGAACGTCCAACGTGGCTTACGCGGCTTCCGATTGGCTGCAGGAGCTTCCTGCAGCCAATCAGAAGCTGTGCCTTGGTTTCTGAACGTTTTGGAAGTCGAACGGACTTTCGGAACAGATTCTGTTCGACTTCCGGGGTATGACTGTACAAAATAAAATATCCATATTGAGACATTTCTCCGAATATCTAGACTTCCCACCTTCCCCTCCATGGGTCCTATTATCAGAGTAGTCCTGATCCCAATCTCCCACTCATAGTAGGATTAACAGCTGGACAAAGTATTACTTTTGGTTTTTAATACTGCTTCCCCCCCAAATTCCATGAGTATGAAATATATAATTGCCTTACAAACCTAAGAGATATACAGTTAAATGCATTATATCTAATAGCTCCATAATTACTGCTTTGTTTCTTTTGTGTTGATTCCAATGTAACAAAAACAGTAACAACTTTCCCCCTAAAAGTTTATTTTTTATATAAATTTTTTATTAACAATTTCAACATAACAAAATATCAAAACATATCATATTCATTATTTCCCTCTCCCCCCCCCCCACCTCCCCATCAAACCCTCCCTGCTGAGACTTCCCTCAGCTCCTCTCTCTTATTTCTCAACACATATTATTCTCTGCGTACTGTAAAATTGTATATATCCTTACATTATCTGTCTACTATGTTAACAATGAATAAATTTGTGTATGTTTATTCAAAACCTGCCAAGGAGTCCAATTCATTTTGTTGTCTTTTTGAGTAATTTGTAAAAAGTTCCCATTCTTCTTTGAAGTCACAGTTGTGCTTATCTCGCGGTTTGTATGTCAATTTAGCCAGTTCTGCATAGTTCATCAATTTCTCTTGTCACTCTTCTTTTGTTGGGGTTTCCTCATTCTTCCATCCTTGTGCTATCAAGACTCTTGCCGCTCTTGTAGCATACATAAATAACTTTCCCCCTAAAAGTTTCTATTGATTGTATTTTAAAAAAACAAAAACAAATATTTATTATATTTCATTTGTTTTTATTTCTTTGCGGCCACCCTCAGTGAGAAGGAAGAGGTCCTGGCAGCTATGTCTTTTTCTCTGGTCTCTTGGCTGAGCTTCCGGAACTTTCCAATGAGAAGTGGTGTTCAGCCGACGCTGAAAGGTAATGGCCAGAACTGCTGCTATTCGTTTTATCTCAGAACCTGTTGGATAACATAAGGCAAGACTGAAAGGGTCCAGAGGCTACTTAGCCGGACCTACATTTGTAGATTCGGGCCGCCATCCAAGTCAGTCAGGCTTGGCTTAAACCCAATGTCTTCTTTGGCAGGGCTGGTAATATAGAGGAAATTACCTGTCAAGGATGCTCTGAGGGCAAACACAGCAAAGACCGTAAAGCTCTCTGCAAAATACTGAACATCCTCTATAAAGGACACAGAAGTAAACACCATCACCTCCCCATTGCATCCTAGTTTATTATAATTACCGTATTTTTCGCCCTATAGGACGCACTTTTTCCCCTCCAAAAATGAAGGGGAAATCTGTGTGTGTCCTATGGGGCGAATGCAGGCTTTCGCTGAAGCTTGGAGAGCGAGAGGGGTCGGTGCGCACTGACGCCTCTCGCTCTCCAGGCTTCAGGAAGCTATCAGCAAGCCTGGGGAGCCCACGGGAGTTCCCGCAGGGCTCCCTAGGCTGCGGATAGCAGCCTGCTTCCCAGAGCGCGGGGCGCGCTGGAAGCAGAGCGCCCCCGCTTCAGGCAGACATCGGGCAGCGCCTCCCGGCTGTTCCTCGACCTGGTTTGGAGCCTGGCGCTGGGGAGAAGCGCCCTTCTCCCCAGCGCCAGCCCCACAAGCTCGGGGGACAGTGGGGAAGTGCAGCGCCGCCATCCCGCTGTTCCCCGACCTGGTTTGGATTCCCCGACCTGGTTTTGGGGGGGGAATAAAGGGGAAAAATTTCCTTTATTTCCCCCCCAGAAAACTAGGTGCGTCCTATGGGCCGGTGCGTCCTATGGGACGAAAAATACGGTATTATTACATTTATATCCCACCTTTTCCTCACAGCCGCTCTGTGAGGTGCATTAGGCTGAGTGATAGTGACGGACCCAAGTTCACCCAGTGTGCTTTATGGCCAAGTGGGGATTTGAACCCTGGCCTCCCAGGTCCTAGTCCAAGACCCTAACCACTAGTCCATGCTGGTTCTATTTATGGAAGCATCTTGTTCTTGGTTTTATTTTATTTTCCCCTTTGTGCCTCCCTAGGATTCTATTGTATCCTGTGGCTAATGCTGTGCTTTCTGGCTGAGCAGAAAGGTGGTGGGAAAGTCCTGGCTTCACTACCAAGGGGATGCTACCAAGGTAAACGATGAGTAAAATAAGACTGTGGGGCGAGGGTTGGAATAATAATAATAATAATAATAATAATAATAATAATTCAGCTTTCTAAAAGTCATTCTGGCTGAATTGAGAAATACTGCCAGAAAATCCCAGTGCATTCAAAGCTGGCAATGTTGTAAGGCACTTTGGGGCTTTGTGAGGGTTGCCATATTTCAAAAAGGTGAGAATCTGGGCACAAAAGTTGTTGAGCTTCTTTTGACCAAGTTGAACTTTTGTGTGTGTGCAAAATATTAAAAATAAGAAAAGTGAAGTTTTTGAGCTATTTTAAAGGAAATTCACCATAATATAGGCTTTTGAAATCGGTTGCCATATGTCCGGATTTTCCCAGACATTTCAGTGATTGCTACCTGGACACTGTTCTGACTGCTATGTCCAGGAAATTCCAGATGTATGACAGCCCTAGCTGTGTTAAATTCAGAGGTGGGGATACAGCTACCCTCTAAAGGTTGGACTACAGTACAAGCCCCATCAGCCCCAGCCAGCATGTAGTCCAGCACAACTCGAAGGTCTCAGGTACAGCATCTCTGGTGTAATTGCTGAAGGGACCGTCATAGAAATGCGCTCTTGTGCGTACCCCAACCTCTGAGCGGCAAGAGACTCCAGGGGTGCCTGTGCTTACCCAGGCAGGGTTCAGTTTTCTTGGAATGAGGGTCAAGAGAGAATGTGGTTTCTTTAAGATTTATGGTTTTATTTGCACATATATACACAACCTGAGCATAAGATGGAGGGGCTCAAAGCATCAGCACTCTACTGGTCTTGCCTGTGTATTTGGTTCCCAGGGAGATCCCCAAGCCATAACTCTGGGTCCAGGGCAGAACAAGACAAGCTTCTAGCCAAAACTCTCATGCACAAATTAAGTCCCCATTTCAAAGTGCTGTGTTTGTATGTGTGTGTGCGCACACACACACACACAGACACATACACACACACACACACACACACACACACACACACACTACATCTGCCAAAGAAAGGAAAGATGATGGCTTACCCAGGAAGAGAGATGGACTTGTTGAAACAAAGTTCCATTTTGCTTAGCTTGCATACACACTATGCATTAAAGCACATTTCCCTTTCACCCCCTTAAAGAATAATGAAAAGTGTAATTTGCTGAGGGTGCTGGAAATTATAGTGCTGTGATGGGGCAAACTACCATTCCCAGAATTCCCAGTATACCTGAAGGAGCATCTCCACCCCCATCATTCACCAGACACTGAGGTCCAGATCCAATGGTCTTCTGGCAGTTCCCTCCCTGCGAGAAGTGAGGGTACAGGGAACCAGGCAGAGAGCCTTCTTGGGAGTGGCGCCCGCCCTGTGGAACGCCCTCCCAGCAGATGTCAAAGAAATAAACAACTATCTGACGTTTAGAAGACACCTGAAGGCAGCCCTGTTTTTAGGGAAGTTTTTAATGACTGATGTTTTAAGGTATTTTTAATCTTTTGTTGGAAGCCGCCCAGAGTGGCTGGGGAAACCCAGCCAGATGGGCGGTGTACAAATTATAAATTATTATTATTATTATTATTATTATTAGAGGCAGGATGTGCTTTAAATGTACTTTAAATATATGGTGTGTACACAGCCAGGGGTGGGGGGTGGGGATTAGGCTTGGCCCAACCCTCCTCTGCAAGGACTTGGTTGGGCCCATAACACTTTGATGTTCTGTCTCCCCCCAGTTGCAGCTAAAGTGACCTTTAACCCGGACACTGCCCACCCAGCACTTGTTGTGTCTACAGACCGGAAGACTGTGACATCGGAAGGTGTGGAGCACCCCGTGCCTCCTAACCCCAGGAGGTTCACTAAAAGCCCTGCCGTGTTGGGCTCTCCAGGGTTTAAATCAGGGAAACATTGCTGGGAAGTGGTGTACGGAAACCAGAGGGAATGGGCGGTCGGGGTAGCGCGGGAGTCTGTGAAAAGGGATGTCTACCTCTCCCTTACCCCAGAGGAGGGGATTGTGCAGGAAGGTCTCTGGTGGCTTCGGCGTCGGCAAAGCGACCCCCAACCACCTCCCCAAGGCTCTGGAACCATTGGGGTTCTTCTGGATTGCGATCAAGACACCGTGACTTTTTACATGGCTGGTAAAGTCATTAAGAAAGATGTTCCCCGCAACGGAGAGGTCGTTTATCCTTTCTTCTATGTGGGTGGAGGTGTTTCACTCCGCCTGAACAACTTGAAAGAGTGAGCGGAGAATTGCCCGCCAGCGCCACGCCATGCATTTTTCAGGATTTAAGAGTCTCTGTCTTCATGTGGTAAAGACGCAGGAACAACAATACACATGTGGTGGCGTTGTGAGGAGATTAGGAAATTTTGGAGATTAATACATGAGGAATTAAAGAAAACATTGAAAATCCCAATTGTTAAAAAACCAGAGGCATATCTCCTAGGTCTGATAGGGAAAGATATACCACAAGTGAAAAAAGAATTTTCCTATATGCAACTACAGCAGCTAGGGTAGTGATTGCTTCTAAATGGAAATCTCAAATCTTGCTCTCAAAAGGGATTTGCAAATTAAATGAATATTTAGAACTGACAAAGCTGACATCAATTATAAGATATCAGTCAAATCAAAAATTTAAAAAGGAATGGAAATGTTTCGAAGATTACATGTTAAAATATTGTTCTAAGAAAGATGTGCTGATATGCCTAGAATAAAAAATGTGAAGTATATGTATGAATCAGAAAAGAAAAGAGATAAAAGATGTACAAAGAATGATATATTTGGAAAATGCAAAGATAAATGTGGAGATAGAGATTTAAAGAAGTCGAATTGTGGCAGAGGGAAGCTGCGGGTGGGTGGGGGAAGTACTAGATAATAAGTATGTAATGTTTGTTTTCAAGGGTTTTGGGATTGTATCTTTTCCATTTTCTTCTTCTTCTAATTCCTCAACCCCAACCTTTCAGATTCAAATGTTGTAGGGTTGAAGGTGGCATGAGAAACAGGCGGCATTTTTGGTACCCTGTTCACCAGGAACGGGGAATTTTCTTGGCACAGTGGGCCAGATCCTGATCTTCCACTGCCACCATCACCGCTGACCAACTTTGACAGGTGAATGGAGCCACCCACCTATCAATCATCTGACATCATGATGCCAGCAGGTGACTGATAGGTGGGCGGTCCCACCCACCTGTCAAAAGTCACCTTGCATCCTTTGGAGGGAGGCTTCTGTTTAGCTAGCGCATTTCCCTCAGGGAATGTGCTGGCAAAGAAACACCTGGCAGGATTCAATGTTTTGCTCATCAGCAGATGAGGGGAGAGTTCAGTCCTGCTCCCTTGCAGGGGCCTGAGTAGGATTTAACCTCCACTCATCAGCCAATGAGTGGAGGATTAAAGTCTTCTGCTTTCCCTGTGTGTGTCAGTTCCCTATAGGGAGCTGGCAGGCGCAGCCAATGCAGGACTGAGTCCCATCCATCAGCTGACATCACACAATGACAGGTAGGTGTGGTTTTAGAGAAAGAGCCTCACAGGCCACATTGGACCCTTCAGCAGGCCAAGACCAAAGATTCCTCACCACTGCCATAAGTCATCTCTCATAAACAGGTTTGCAGAGGGTTTCAGATACCTGCCAAAACTGTTTAACCCCTGAGACCAAAAGGACCATGCCTCTCTCTCATTCCACCTTCAGCTCTTAAAACTGCTGTCCATTTCCAACCTAGAGTAATCATTATGCAAAGTAAGGCCATGTTTCTGGACAATCAGTTACAGAAGAAGAATTTCCTGCATGGTTCAGCTTTCATTAATATGGAAATTTAAGAGGGAAATTTCACTAGGTTCATGTGGAAGTGAAAGAAACCTGAACATGCTCTATTCCAGATAAGGAGGTGACTTACAGTAATTGCCAAGCTGGACCGTACATGAAGTGTATGTCTGCATTTTATATCCTGTTTGCTGTTTATTTAAGTAGCAACCATGGCGGGGGGAATTGAATTGTGATAGGGACTGGACCAAAGGGCAGTTTTGCCCTCTCTCTCCAGCTCCTCTCCTGATGAATATTGTAAAACACACACAGCCAGCTACTATAAACTCTCAGAGTGATGCCAAATAATCAGATTGGGGTGCAAAATATATGCTCTACCAGTGAGCCATGCAGCTTGTTAGAAATGCTAAGGGTGAAGCAGTATATAAACGGCTTAATAAATAAATACGAGTCCTGTCGTTCTTTGCACTTGTTATCCAAAGTCTCTTCAAAGGAGGGTTGTATGAGATGCTAGGAGTAGTGCCTCTGGTGGAGACAGGTTCTGCTCCTTCTGTGGAGCAATATGCAAATATACGTACAGTGGTACCTCAGGTTACAAACACCTCGGGTTACAAACACTTCAGGTTACAGACTCTGCTAACCCAGAAATAGTACCTCAGGTTACAAACTTTGCCCCAGGATGAGAACGGAAATCACACGCCGGCGGCAGCGGGAGGCCCCATTAGCTAAAGTGGTACCTCAGGTTAAGAACGGTTTCAGGTTAATAACAGACCGCCAGAACGAATTAAGTTTGTAACCAGAGGTACCACTGTACAGTTATTTAAGGTGGAGCTTGATGCATTGAGCAAAAGCCAGGCATTTTAATGAACAAAATGCCCTTCAGAATTCCTTCCCTTTACTTAACTAGAGCATGAGACACTTAATCTCGGGGTCATGGGTTAGAGCTCCTCCTTGGGCAAAAAATTCCTGCATTGCAGGGGGTTGGACTAGATGACCCCTGTGGTCCCTTCCAACTCTAGGATTCCATGATTCCATAGACATACAAACAAACTACTTATGCTGCAGTTTCTGTAAACATTTTGGGAGTAGACTATTGACTGCTGGTGATAAGCTGCGGATGACGTGGGCTTGAAACTTGGCCTCCTTCCCATTTTGTCTGTCCATCTGCGGGCAGCTGATAAGACGGAGACAGATGGGGAACCTTAGAAGAGTAACGTAACAGCCATCAGACAAGGCGATTTGGGGCTGGGTTCCTTACAAATAGAGGTCCCCCTCTCTTTCTCCATCTCACATTAGCTTGGCTTGAGGACCATTGAACGTGGAGATGACTGACAGATGCCAGCTGACTGATAAGAACGTTTGGAACCTCTTTCATCTTTTCACTGATTGCTCAAATCCAGCTGTGATATTGTAAGGAAAAAAAGGGCCTTCTAACTTAGGGGAGATTCGAGAGGAAAAGAATCACTCAGAATTCTTTGGTTTTCAGGAGATGGAAGCTGAAGGCGACCTGGGATATCAGTGACAAATATTCTTCACATGTAAGGTAAAAGAAAGTGCTATAGCATGATTTTGCAGCCGGTCAGCTTTAAAGCAACAAAAGAGCACTTCAGACAAATTTGCTATGGATCACAAAATATGTAGCTAATCCCTGAAACAATATATGTACTGCAGTGACTAACAAGAGTTATTTAAAAGTTTTGAAGTGAAATGTTTCGGTTTCTGCCTTCTTGGCTGCTTTGATGTGAACCCTTTTTACACCAGAGCAGCTAAAGAAAGAGGAGAACTGAAATGTTTTGTTTTAAACCTTTAATATATCTGTTTTGTTAGACCCTTTAATGACATGATTAGATGGATGGATGGATGGATGGATGGATGGATAGATAGATAGGTAGATAGATGATAGATAAAGATAGATAGATACAGTAGATGAGAGATATGTAAATATTTTATTTCTGTAGTACTTCAATTATTGATGGGAGAGCTTTGTATAAAAGTAATACTGTACAGTAGATAGTAAACATCCTAAGTTAAACACTGACAGCACCACTACAGACAGATATGTGTTCAAAGTCCTATCGAATTCAGCACAGGAGCAAGGCTAGCTCTGTGGTTAAAGGATTTCAACTTTAAAAGGGCTTTTGACTTTGGATGGCTTGAAAACACATCTTTAAAAATAAACAATGGCTTGATGGTAGATAGAAGGGAAAGTAAGAGCTCATTTGGTTAGAGTGTGGTGCCAAGGTTGCATCCTGTGGAGTAACAGTGATTCATTCCAAAGGACTGGGAGGATGACAAATGCCTTTAGGAATAACAGTAGCCAACACATTTTTCTTGTGGTTTTACCAACTATGGGCACTTCCAGAATGTGACAATTTTGTGGGTGGGATTTAATCACATTCTGGCAAGTTCAGATTGTGCAGGTGAAGTGGATTGGGTACTCTTGTAATAATAATAAAAGATAATATTGTTTGTGCCAGAACAACATACTGGTAACAATTGTACTGAAGTTATCACCCTGAGCCAGCAGGGGGATACTGTAGATAGTTTTCACTCAGGTCCACATATGCAAATAAGGGATTGAAAGTGACATTCAGTGATTGGATAGCTGCAGAAAGTGGTTACTGTTGTGTTGTAGTGGAGCTCTATATAAGCAGGCTGACTTGAACCCTTAAGTTTAGTTCTGTTCTGGCCTGTGAATAAACAAGAGCTGTTTGAAGATGGTTTGTCTGATATGTTCACCCACAACTTAACAAATTGCTTGACGTGATGTCATAAAAACAAATCAGGGCAAATGCTGACGTTAACAGATTGACTGGAAGTGGCATCCATGACAGGCAGCTGGTTCCAACTGCCCCCATATAGGAACATAATAAGTTTCTTTTTACTTTTTACTGAATCAGACCCAAGACTGGTCCATTCTAGGCCAGTCGTGCCTATGGTTACTAGTGGAGGCTCTCCTCTCGGACAGGGTACCTCTTCTCAGCTCTACCTGGAGATACTGGGAATTGAACCTGTGACGCCCTGCATGACAAGGCAGATGCTCTACCACTGAGCCACTACAGCCCATTCCTTCATTACCTCTCCATGCAGGGGAAACTTGCATGCATAATTTCTGCATGTCAGTTAAAGGCGCAGAGCTTCATTCTGGAGATGGGCCATCGTTCTCCCCTCCTGCCTCCTCCTCCTCCAAGAAAAGAAAAAAGAAAAGACTTAAAGGTGGTAAGAAGTTTGAAAGAGATGTGACTGTTCCTACTGTGTACATTCATCCCCAATTTGCCTCTGGCAAACAGAGGCTGTGTGTGCACGCTACCAGTTTTCTTAATCTGGATCAAACCTGGTTAATGCATCAAAACACAGTATTTCCCAAGAAACGACAGGATAGATGAGGACTGTGGCAAATGTTGTGCTTTATGTCGCTTCTCAGACCAGTGCCTTGGATGCGGAGCAGGGGTGCAATATTCCTAAAAGTGACAATCAGGACAAAGTTGTTCAGCTTTTTGGGGGAGATGTTGACTGTTTTGGGACTTTTATTTGATTTTTAAAGCATTTTTATTTTTATTTTTAAAAAACCTTTCTTGCTATACATCTGGGTTTTCAGCCTTTTTGCTGCCTGAATCCCGGATGTATGGCAGCCCTAATGACACAACCAAATGTCTTTCTTATCTCAAAATCCTGTTTGACTGCAGGTGTTGGTGAGGCAAAGCAAATGGGAAGAGAGTCCTCTTGCAATAATAATAATAATAATAATAATAATAATTTATTAATTATATCCCGCACATCTGGCTGGGTTTCCCCAGCCACTCTGGGCGACTTCCAGCAGAACGCTAAAATACAATAACCTATTAAACATTAAAAGCTTCCCTAAACAGGGCTGCCTTCAGATGTCTTCTAAAAGTCTGGTAGTTGTTTTTCTCTTTGACATCTGGTGGGAGGGCGTTCCACAGGGCATGTGCCACTACCGAGAAGGCCCTCTGTCTGGTTCCCTGTAACTTGGCTTCTCGTAGCGAGGGAACCGCCAGAAGGCCCTCAGCACTGGACCTCAGTGTCTGGGCTGAATGATGGAGGTGGAGACGCTCCTTCAAGTATACTGGACTGCAAACCATCACAAAAGCCTATTGCAGCAGTCGCCGACCTGGTGCCCCCTGGGTTCTTTGGACTGCGACTGCCATCAGCCCCAGCATGTGAGCTGGATGGGACTGATGGCAGTAGGTGCTCAAAACATCTGGAGGGAACCAAATTAGCAAAGGCTGATCTATTGGAAGAGCACCAAGGGCCAGATAGAGAGGCATGGAGGGCCATATTCAGCTCCTGGGGGACCTGAGGCTCCCCATCCTTGAGCTAATCTCAAAGTAACATCTTCCCAGCATCTTCTTGTGGTCATCATGGACCATTCCGCAGGCATGCACCTTAAGTTACAAAACTTTATGAAAACAGAGAGAGAAAGAGTATTGGGTATCATAATCAGTTTGTAAATCTCTCTCCCTCTCTCTCTCTCCAGGGTTTGCTTTATCCCCCGGAGGCCAGAAAAGAAAGAAAATGGAGGCGCCCATCTTCTCTTGCGACCCAGAAATGCGTTCCTTTCTGTTCATTCTCACCATTTTCTTTGTTATTCCACCTATAAATAATGTGGACCCTGGTAAGACTCTCATTAGTACCTCTCATAGAAATGTTATTGTTTGTGGCTAAAGTGTATAATTTTTATCTGAAGGGAGCAAATAATAACAACAACAACAATAAATCTACCAGAAGCCTAGATACTGGCTTCTCATACATACCAAAAGTACCATGAAATTGTAAGTTGTTGTGGCATACTTAGGTCCATCTAGCTCAGGAACCAGCTGTGGTCAAACCCAGGTCTCAGGGAAGATTATTAACATCACAACCATGCCATACATTTAGAGCAGTCTGATAGCTTTTTATTTATTTCATAAACTATACCGATTGATTATAAGAAAAGAAAACCTCAAAGTGGTTTAAAGAAACAGTTGTTATTGCTGGGTTTTTTATGCTTCTTTTGAATAGATTCCAGGAAGACTTTGAATTATCCCACTATTTCTGTTCGTTCTCAATTCAGCAACAGGCCTTGCTCCCCTTATTTCCATCGAAGGCTATGAGGACAGGGGGATCCGAATAGTTTGCCGATCCAGTGGTTGGTACCCAAAGCCTGAGATCCTATGGAGAGGTCCCAATGGGAGGCACTTCCCTTCACTGGGACAAAAAATTTCCATGGAGGGCAATGGGTTGTTTGAGGCGCAGAACGACATCATCCTAACAGGAATTTCAAATCATAGCCTAACCTGTGTGGTCCGGAACAGCTTCCTCAACCAGGAAAAGGAATCAACCATTCATATAGCAGGTAAGCTGTCCAGAATTCTTGATAACGGTTCTGTATTTTGGGGCTGTGGCTCTGTACAAACAATGCCTTCAAAACATATTCTTTCCTTCAAAGAATTCTGGGAAATGTAGTTGGGGTTAAACTACAGTGCCCAGAATCCTTTGAGGGAAAGGATGTACTTTGAATGTGCTTTGAAGGTATAAAGGTAAAGGTAAAGGGACCCCTGACCATTAGGTCCAGTCGTGGCTGACTCTGGGGTTGCGACACTCATCTCGCTTTATTGGCCGAGGGAGCTGGCGTACAGCTTCCGGGTCATGTGGCCAGCATGACTAAGCCACTTTTGGCAAACCAGAGCAGCGCACGGAAACGCCGTTTACCTTCCCACTGGAGTGGTACCTATTTATCTACTTGCACTTTGACGTGCTTTCAAACTGCTAGGTTGGCAGGAGCAGGGACCAAGCAACGGGAGCTCACCCTGTCGCGGGGATTTGAACCGCCGACCTTCTGATTGGCAAGCCCTAGGCTCTGTGGTTTAACCCACAGCGTTTTAAATTCTCAAGTGATGTGCAGTGAACGAGTGAGGGGAGAAGCCTGAAGTCAACCAACGTTGACACCAACGTATTCTAAAGAGAAGGCACTCGAGAAGAGAACCAGTGAGAACTTCTAGCAGGCTCACTTCCCAACTAGGTCACTAGAGACAGTGGCAGATTAAATCCGCTGTTGAAATGTGCACCAAGATGATTTCATAGGACTGTAGAATTGTAGAGTTGGAAGGGACCTTGATGGTCATCTAGTCCAGGGTTAGGCAATCTAAGGGGCCGGATGCAGCCCAATTGCCTTCTCAGTCCGGCCCACAGACGGTCCAGGAATCAGCGTGTTTTTACATGAGTAGAATGTGTCCTTTTATTTAAAATGCATCTCTGGGTTATTTGTGGGGCATAGGAATTCGTTCAGTTTCCCCCAAAAAATATAGTCTGGCCCACCACATGGTCTGAAGGACAGTGGACTGGCCCGCGGCTGAAAAAGGTTGCTGACCCCTGATCTAGTTCCCCATCCAGGTTGAAACCATACTGGAACCTGCTGAGCGTTGCAAATGTGCTAGCAATTTTATTGCTGCACCCCTTTCTCAGCTCCATGTTACATTTTCATCAGCAGGGAGAGAGAGCGAGAGCGAGAGCGAGAGAGAGAGAGAGATATGGGGAAGACACAGGGACCCTATTTTATTTATTGCCTTTCAGTCGGGTGATTCTCAAAGTGGCTTTCATAATAAACTACCCCTTCCCCTGCAAACTCACAGCAGTCCTTAAACCCCTGGCTGACGAAAGTTCTGGGACATATTGCTATTCAGTTCCAGACAGCATCACCCTTGCATATATATATGTACTGGGATGCCATGCTGGATGAAGCAAGTGTTATGTCCGAGTATATTTCAGCAAGGATAGGAAGAAGTGCTATATTATAATATGTTAGATTAAAATCACTTTCGATTCAGGATCTGGGCAATGGTGAGCTCCTACTGCGGCAGCAGGGACTCGTTTGAAGCTCCTCTCAGGATCAGGAATTTCCTGCAGAACAGGAGGCTTATTAAAAGTTCAGTGCTTGGAGGATAGGGAGGGCAAAATTCAGGGCCTCAAGTGTGCAGCTCAGAAGGCTATAAAAACCCCTGCAACGTGATCAGAAGGGGGAGAACGCAATAGCGGGGGGGGGGGGGAGGGAGAGGCACTGCCAAATCTTTGGCATCTGTTTTTCTTTTATTTGATTCAGAAACCAGGTTTATAACATCGTTGGTAATTTGCTTTGTTTTCAGATCACTTCTTCCCAAAGATCTCTCAATGGATAGCTGGTTTGTGTGTCTCCCTCTTGGCTCTTCTCGGTTTCATTCTCCTCCTCCTTTACCTGTTTAATAAAAACAGTGAGTACCTAGGAAGCTGCGTCATAAAGGTAAAGGGACCCCTGACCTTTAGGTCCAGTCGTGACCAACTCTGGGGTTGTGGCGCTCATCTCGCTTTATTGGCCGAGGGAGCCGGCATACAGCTTCCGGGTCATGTGGCCAGCATGGCTAAGGCGCTTCTGGCGAACCAGAGCAGCGCACAGAAACACCGTTTACCTTCCCGCCGGAGCAGTACCTATTTATCTACTTGTACTTTGCCGTGCTTTCGAACTGCTAGGTTGGCAAGATCAGGGACCGAACAACTGGAGCTCACCCCGTCACGGGGTTTCGAACCGCCGACCTTCTGATCGGCAAGTCCTAGGCTCTGTGGTTTACCCCACAGTGCAACCAGTGTGTAAATGGTGTCATTATGTGCTTTTGATACCAGGTGGCACTGTGTAGCATCTTCTAGCTCAGTCTGTAGATCAGCAGACTCTTAACCTCAGGGTTGTGGGTGCAGGGGTTTGGACTATATCAGTGTTTCCCACATTTGGGTCTCCAGCTGTTTTTGGACTACAACTCCCATCATCCCTAGCTAGCAGGACCAGTGGTCAGGGATGATGGGAATTGTAGTTCAAAAACAGCTGGAGACCCAAATGTGGGAAACACTGGACTAGATGATCCTTTTGATACTTTTCTACTCTGCAATTCTGTGATTCTAAATACATGGGAGGAAGTCAGAAGTTACAGTTCTGTTCTTATTAGAGAGAAGCTTACAAAATTCTTTTCTAGTCTCCGGACAGGTGTGTATTCACAGGTCTCCTGGAGAGCCAGTGTGGTGTAGTGGTTAAGAGCGATAGACTCGTAATCTGGGGAACCAGGTTTGCGTCTCCGCTCCTCCACATGCAGCTGCAGGGTGACCTTGGGCCAGTCACACTTCTTTGAAGTCTCTCAGCCCCACTCACCTCACAGAGTGTTTGTTGTGGGGGAGGAAGGGAAAGGAGAATGTTAGCCGCTTTGAGACTCCTTAGGGTAGTGATCAAGAGGGATATCAAATCCAAACTCTTCTTCATCTTCTCTTCTTCCTCCAGACAACCTGTTTATTCAGCATTCGTCCTGATTTGTTTGCACAGAGGTTATGCTGAGGTTAGATTTGGAAGAAGCGGCTATCCTTTTCATTATTCATTCATTCATTCATTCAGAAGAGTTTGGATTTGATATCCCGCCTTTCACTCCCTTTCACTCACTGTGATTTGTGCTCACAATGCTATTGGGGCAGTTACCTGAGACCCCACTTCAGGACAATTGGCATCTGCAACTGTTTCAGAGCAGACATTCTGCTTTGTTTACAGTCGGGGCATCTAGACAAGGGATGGGGAAACGTCTGACCCACAGGCCAGATTTGCCCCACCAGGCCTCCCCGTTTGTCTTCCAAACAATGCCCACGGCCCCACAACTGTCATCATATGTGATGTGAAGTGTGAGACAGGTAGAGAGATGTGGCTGGATTGAACTCCCTGTCAGTTATCTGATGATAACTGCTTGCACAAGAGTTCTATTGGTGTTTCGCAACTTTAACCTGTTGCAGGACCTTAGCCAGACCCAGTTGAATATAGCAGAGCATACGCAGACTTCCAGAAGCAATCAGTTGCATGCAGGTAGGATGAAGCAGGAACAAGACACTGCTGCTAGTAACTTGGTTACTTATAGGTGTTTATTATTTGCAGCAGACTCACAAGTTACTATAGACAAGATACAGATACGGATCTTAAACTCTCACTCTTAACAAACTCCAAACGAATCTCCAAGGTCCCATATCTCTAGGCAGAATAACTCCCTCTGCTCAGTCTTCTTGGCCTTCGGCCAACTCTTAATTGCCTTGTGTGAAGCTGCACGTAGGCAAAATCCCAACAAGTTCCCCACTGGGAACTCCCTCGCTGACCCAAACCCAGTAGATAGCAGGAGTCAATGGGGCATTCAGTCCTACTTACTCTTTCTCCCCCCCCCCCACATCCCCACAGACCAACTTTTACAGGTGGGTGGCAGTGGTGGGAGATAAAGATCAGGCCTGCTGGGCCAAGAATACTTCCCACCTCTGATCTAGGCTAGGATTGTATTCTTTGACTGAAGGTGGTCTCAGGGCCAGCCTACATAGCTCTGGCCCTAAGTGCTGGGTTTGTTTGTTGAAAAGCAGCCCGTACAGGGTCCCCAGAATGAGAAGCTGTGGCTTTAATTCTTGGCCCCCACAGTGGGCCTAATCCAGATTGTGCATCCAGACTTACAATTTGTATTGCCAAAAAGAAGAGGTCCCACCTGCTTCAGTCTTGCTCTTAATTAATCATGATACTACAGGAAAATCAGCACACCTTATTCAGACCAGAAACAACGGGTGGCTAGATTGTACACTCAAATGTTTACAGCAGTTATAATTATTTCTTCTTTCCTTTCTCTTCTAGGAAAGCTTTCTGCAGAACTGAGTAAGTCATTCTGCCTCTTTTGAGAAGAAAAACACATTTAGGTCACAGTCCTGTGAAGAGACAGGCAGTCTTAAGTCCATTAATTTAAATAAACTTAACCATGCCTGAGAGTACAATTCTTGTTGTTTACTCAGATGCATATCCCACTGGTTTCACTTGGCTTTACTCCCCAGTAATTGTGCATAGAATTGCACTGACTCTGTATTGGACTGTGGCCTTAAAAAAAAAAAGGGGGGGGGAGACTATTTTAGTAAAATTAGGTTGTTGTTTTTAAGTAGATGCGAAAGTTTGGTTCAGTTCAAGCCAATAGCAAAAACTGATGGCTGAAACAACACATGCAGCTTGAGTGGGTAAAAATAATTGATTCAGAATTTCCACTGTAAAAGGTATTTCAAAAACCTTTCCCCAGTTTAGAATAAGGCTTGTTAGGTAGCAAAACTGCCAACTCTACACTAACAGCGGCGCCCACCCTGTGGAACGCCCTCCCACCAGATGTCAAAGAGAACAACAACTATCAAACTTTTAGAAGACATCTGAAGGCAGCCCTGTTTAGGGAAGCTTTTAATGTTTGATGTATTACTGTATTTTAATACAGTATTTGGTTGGAAGCTGCCCAGAGTGGCTGGGGAAGCCCAGCCAGATGGGCGGGGTATAAATAATAAATTATTATTATACCATTATTATTATTATTATTATTATTATTATTATTATTACAGGACACTGGGTGTTTTCTCTCCATGTTTCCAAGAACAGGTGAAATTCATCAAACTGAGGCATTCAGCCTCGGTTCCTTTTTTAAAAAAAAGTTTGAATTATAGGAGGGGCTTTCCCCACGCACATATTCAACATTGTTTTCCCTATAGAATCCTTGGATCTGTGGTTTGTTTAATGGTACTGGGAATTGAAGCTCTTGAGGGAACTACAGTTCCCAGAACTGCCACAAAGCACAGACACTCTCTGTACAATGTCCAATGGCCTACTCTGAGGCAAAATAACCCAGGATAGTCTAGAAGGGCCCATATCATTTAATGGCACCAAAAACTATTCAGAACAGGCCTCAGAGGAGGTCAGCACACCAGAAGAGAAGGCAGTCAGCACATCTCCTTCAGCTGGCACCTTGTCTTGTGCCAGGCCTACATAGCTGTCAGCACTGAAATAGTATTGGTGTTTTTTATGCGTAAAGCACTCGAGATCAAGATTTTCCATACCAATGCTAATTTGTCATTGTGTGGTTGTTTTTAGGTTGGAGGAACTTGGTGATGCCAATCAAAAAAGGTAAACGGCTCTCCTGTTTTCGTATGCGTGTCACAATGCATTATTTCAGGCATGAAATCTGTCGCCACTCCCTGATGCTGAATTTTTGACATTAATTGAGGATGCAATAAAACTACCATGGTGCGGTTGAGTGGGGTGGGGAAGGAGAACCTGTGAGGTGAATATCTTTCGCCTGGTGAGATTTAGGACTCACCATGTGATGGGAATCTGGTGTTATCCATTCGGGTCACGTTTTTTAATAGTGACTTCAGAAGATTCTCAACAGTTACGGGAATCTTTGTTTGTTTGTTTGTTTATCAAGATTTATATACCACTTGATTTGTTTGTTTTTAAAGAACAAGAAAACCTCTAAGCATTTTACAAACCTTGATATCCTCCATTAATTGTTACTGGTGCCACAGAATACCTGTTCTACATCTGAAATAGATATTTTAGTGTGGTGGCACCTGTTGACATCCCTGTACTCTTTTCGGCACCTGCCAAAAACATTTTTGCTTAGACAAGCCTACTCAGGTATTGGAATGCTGGTGTGTTTTTAGTTTGCTGCTGGTTTCAATTTTTTGAATGCTCAGATAAGTTTTGACTAAAGATTTTATTGTTTCCTTCTTTTCATTAACCCCTGAGGGATTTTTATTTTTATTTTTTTACAATCAAGCAGTGTATCAACCATATGAAATGAATGAACCAATTTAAGGAAACACTGCTGCTGTGGAGAAATTTCAAATCTCTAGGGGGGAAAGGCGATTCTTCCACTTGACTGCCAGATAGTATTACCGGTGCATAAAGTTGACGCGTGAGCATCTACTCTTGGGTGTATTCTTTTAATTCAGTCTTGCAGCAGAGTTTCTTCTTACAGAAAATCTTTATTATTTACACAAATTTACACTGGTCAAATAAAACAACATAATTCCTTCTCCTCTATCCATCCGACTCTGAGATTCAATTGCTCGTTTTCAACTTTGTTCATTTACACACTGACTCTGACCTTTAATGACCACATGCCCTTAATAGAGGCTCCTGTTATGAGATTTTTCTGTTGCCTAGCAACCTGTTCAAGACCAATTCTTTCTAGAATATTCCAATAAGTCAAGAAGGCAGCAGGCAGATAGCACGTGCCAGTGCAACTGGTTACGCTGGCCCTCAGCCGCAACACTGTCTGGTTAACACTGATATTGCCCTCCTTCCTTCCGTGACCTCTTTCCTTCTCATCTTCTCCACCCTGCAGCAAATGTAACCCTGGATCCGGACACAGCGAACAACGAGCTCATCCTGTCTGCGGACCGGAAGACCGTCATACAAGGCTTCACGTGGCACAGCCTGCCTGACAGCCCCCTGAGATTCACCCTCGAGCGCTGCGTTTTGGGAAGCGAGGGCTTTTCCTCAGGAAGGCATTACTGGGAAGTCGAGGTGGGCGAGGAGGGGTACTGGGCCGTGGGGCTGGCAAGGGGTTCCGTGAGGAGGAAGGAGTGCCTCAGCCTTGACCCCAGCGAAGGGATCTGGGCCGTGGAGAAGTGCCGGGTCCAGTACCAAGCTCTCACCGTCCCCGAGACTCCCCTGTCTTTGCGGAAGAGACCCAGGAAACTTGGGATTTACTTGGACTATGAGACGGGGCAAGTGGCGTTTCATGACGTCAACCACAAGACACCCATCTTCACTTTCCCCTCCGCTGCTTTCAACGGGGAGGTGGTCTTCCCTTTCCTGCAGGTCGGGGTGGGATGCTGGCTTCGACTGTGCCCCTGAGACCTTCCTTGTGTGAGGCTTAACGGGCAAGCAAGGCATGACACAGCGGACTTGGAAGGCACCTCAAAAGTCATCTCTGCTTATGCACTGGGGATGGGGTGTGTGCATCTATCATTTTATGTTTTACTGTGCTTTTAAGTATTTTGTGGGGAGCCACCTAGAGCAGGGGTAGGCAACCTCAGGCCCGGGGGCTGATGCGGCCCAATCGCCTTCTAAATCCGGCCCACGGTCGGTCTGGGAATCAGCGTGTTTTTACATGAGTAGAATGTCCTTTTATTTAAAATGCATCTCTGGGTTGTTTGTGGGGACTGCCTGGTGTTTTTACATGAGTAGAATGTGTGCTTTTATTTAAAATGCATCTTTGGGTTATTTGTGGGGCATAGGAATTCGTTCATTATTATTTTTTTCAAAATATAGTCCGGCCTGCCACATGGTCTGAGGGAAGCTGAAAAAGCTTGCTGACCCCTGGGCCTAGAGTGTCTGGGACAACCCAGCCAGGTGGGAGTCATATAAGTTAAATCACCGCCATCATCAAATTTCAGCAGGAAAAGCATGGGCAGCTGGCGAACTGCTGTCCCTTCGCAGAGGAGCAAATGGACAGGATGAAGGTTGCAAGGCGTCCTTGAGCATGAATAAAACAGGCAATCAAAACCAGAGGATGACCCTCGCTCTGTGATGCCACCATCAGCAGCTAGTTTGACAGCTAACAGCGGCAATATCAGAGGAAGCGTTAACCATGGAAGTGTTGCTCTGATTCTATGCCACTGCCTTCAAATGCGATAGCTAAGGAAGAATATTTGTGGGTCGGCCTCCCCCTGGATTGCATGCAGGTAAAAGCATTCAAGAGCACCTTTGGTGTTTACCAATTCAAATCTCCTCCACTGACTGGATTCACTATGTTTGGGTAGTTTTCATTTTTAAGCAATTTGTCCAACCGTCCCCCAAACACAAGACGTACTGAGAGTCACACGAGGACCGGAGTAATGAGACGGCGGACAGTGATACTGTAGCATTCTTGATTTGCCTAAAGTGATTATGTCCAAGATTTTAGTGAAAGATGTGTCGTTAATCTTGAATATTTGTTTAAATGAACATAAATAAAAGCCTCTTCAGTGCTAAGGTGAGATCTACTCGGTATACATGGTTCCGCGTTCCATTAATTATGGTGCTGTGGGTTAAACCACAGAGCCTAGGACTTGCCAATCAAAAGGTTGGCGGTTCGAATCCCCACGACGGGGTGAGCCTCCCGTTGCTCGGTCCCTGCTCCTGCCAACCTAGTAGTTCGAAAGCACATCAAAGTGCAAGTAGATAAATAGGTACCGCTCTGGCGGGAAGGTAAACGGCGTTTCCGTGCGCTGCTCTGGTTCGCCAGAAGTGGCTTAGTCATGGTGGCCACATGACCCGGAAGCTGTATGCTGGCTCCCTCGGCCAATAAAGCGAGATGAGCGCCGCAACCCCAGAGTCGGTCACGACTGGACCTAATGGTCAGGGGTCCCTTTACCTTTACGCCTACATTGGAAGACTCTAACCATGGGCACACCCACACTGCTGCTTTCCCCTGGGAAAACCCGCTGTTTGCCACCAAATTGCAGCAAACATTCATCAAGTTTCCTCTGGATTGGCATTTGCGAGTTATAGACTGAACCACTCAAGGAAAGAGAAAACAGCAAGTGTTTTAAATGGGGCAAGAACTGAAACAGCCTCCAGATGAAAAGGAGCCGATTGTAGAAGGTTGCAGAATGGCTATTTAAGTTGACCAATATTGTATTTATGGAGTAAAGGACGGCAACATATTTAAGGAGATGTCAGCATTTATTAAGTTTTGGCAAAGAGGTACAGGGCAGAGCAAATAATTCTGACAACCCAGTACCTAAACGTTTCCTGTCACCTGTGCTTTTTCATTCCAGCATTCTATATAAAAAAGTAAAAGTAAAAAAGAATTCTTAAAATACTTACGCAAATTTGGATAAACTTTTACTCTACTTTTTTTTAAAAGTCTGCAATTTAAAAAAAAATATTTTCCCAGAATGTAAAAATTTGCAAGGTACGTTAACAAGGCATCCTAAACAGATCTCAATTGAAAACCAAGGTGATCTCCTGTATCCCTGTATTTACCATGTTAAAATTACAAAGCACCACTTTTCTTATCAATTTTCACCGTCTTTCTTGGTTTCAGCTTAGCTTGGATAAATTGACTGCACTCAACCCTTAACTACTGGCTTTATCTTGCAATAACTGCTTTCATTTGGGTACAAATATCCAAATGCAAAATACCTGTACACACACCTCATATCGATTTTGTACCTACACACATACACACTTTTAATTCCCATTTTTCACAGCAATATGTCCACAAGCTGGATCTCCATTCTTGTCTGATCACCATTCCGTGTATTTCTGAGAGGCTGCAGTTTAAAAGAGATGTACCACTCGCAGTTCATATGAGGGGTACAAATGTTGTACTTTGGAATCTGTATCCAAATGAGAGGGAATATAGCCGGGAGAGACAAAGATGTTGCTAAAACATACTACAAGTTATATCTACGAAGTAGTTTTAAATGGTGTATGCATTTGGGTCTCTCACATTCTGTAAGCCTAGGCTCCAGTCTCCATTCAGAATATATAGTAACCTGATAAGGGAATTAAGGCAAGTCAAAAGCAGCTGTTGTATTAACCGCGTTGAAGCTCAGTATTGTGTGTTACAGCCAGAGAGAGTTATGTTGACTTCACTGTTGGAAGGGCCAAAGACCCAAGTCCAACAGAAGAACAGATATAATTTAACAGAGGCGGAGCACAGTGTTCATGTCCCCAACTCGGAAGAAAGGAAATATTTTTGACACAAATTTGACACTAAAGAGAACAAGGCGCTTGTTTTCTTCCGCATCAAAAAATCCCACCGTTCCTCCTTCATAGTCCAAACGGATCTGAATCTTTTTAGGGTGTTTACTTGGGTTCAGAATGGTTGGGGGCGACGTTAAGGTTTTGTACTGACCGTTGTTAAAACCCACAGCCATGATTCCCTCCTCAGGGACGATATTCAGCTGTCCTTTCCTCTTCACAGATTCTTTGGCTACACCCACAGCCCAGAAAGTTCCCTTGCTCACATCCACTGTCCAATGATGCTTCCCTGAGGTGAATCCTTGACAGCCAAGCACGCAGCGGGTGGGGTCAAATCGTTGGGTGCTGTAGGGAAGCTCCTGGCGGACAGAGCCCCATGCGACAGCTTTCTGACCATCAAACACAACAAATCGAGGGTGAGCCGTCATGGGGTCCAGTGTCACGTTCTCTGTAATAAATAATAATAATAATAATAATAATAATAATAATAATAATTTATTATTTATACCACACCCATCTGGCTGGGCTTCCCCAGCCACTCTGGGTGGCTTCCAAAAAAATATTTAAATACTGTAATACATCAAACATTAAAAGCTTCTCTAAACAGGGCTGCCTTCAGATGTCTTCTAAAAGTCTGGTAGTTGTTGTTCTCTTTGACATCTGATGGGAGGGCGTTCCACAGGGCAGGCACCACTACCGAGAAGGCCCTCTGCCTGGTTCCCTGTAAATTGGCTTCTCGCAGTGAGGGAACCGCCTGAAGGCCCTCGGTGCTGGACCTCAGGTCCGGGTAGAACGATGTGGGTGGAGACGCTCCTTCAGATGCAAGAGATCAAATGCAACTGTCAGGCATGGGGCCAAGCTCCATGAACCTTTCCCAAAGACCACTGTATAAAACAAGTAACTGTTCATCTGCTGCAGATGGTTGTTTCTGAAGGCGGCCTATTTATTGAGCATTCCTCCTGATCTGAGACTCGCATCAGTCTCAGCCAGCATGGCTGAGAAAGAGGAGAGTTGTGGTCCAACAATATATAGAAAACCACAGGTTGCCTCTTTTCTTTTTTTAAATACAAAAAGGCATGAATCCATCTTTACGGTGAGATATCCAGAATCTGTGGGGACTTACCATTTATCCACTTTTGTTCATCCAAAGTCTCTAGAGGAAGAAAAGGAGGATAAGCATATGCAAACTTCTGTGATTCGTTAATGTGTTATATTTAGCAACAAATGAACTTCGTATATTAATACACCATTAATTCACATGCACCATTCTAAAGCCTTAGGAGTATTATCACTTTGGAAATCTACAGCTACCCAACTGCACTTCTAATTTCTCTCTCCTTTGTAGGCATCAAGCCTTGAAGCACACATTTACAGCAATGATAGTATTATTATTATTATTATTATTATTATTATTATTATTAGCAGATAGCAAGTAAACTAGCAAGCTCACAATATTGTAGCCCTATGGATCCAGGCCATCATGCATTAAGATCCTTGAAATCAAAGGGACAAGTTAGTCATCACAATCTAATCCCAAAAATTTCAACCACTAAAGAATGACTATGTTATTCTGAATCCAGCGCCCGTATTTTAATGGTGGGTATTGTACAAAGGCGAAATGTGATTGGGACAAATGTTCACTGATCGCCTGGAAAAAGAGCTAAATAAGAACAACAGTAAAATTTCCACCTCAACAATCAGCTTCAGAAACCCATTTAGTACCTCTGAATTTCCTCAGTTTGCCCTGCAGTGAAGCACTCTCTTTGGAGAATTCCTGAAGCACTGTACTGAGCTCCGAAGAATCAGGTGGAGTAGGAAACTGAAATTTGCCCCTCTTGCACCTAGAGGTTTGACAAACAGGAAACCGCATGAAAAGAAATCTTTATTCACTTGCAGCTTCTCAGAACATCAGGCGCAGAATGCATCTACATAGTGTAAACAGCTGGCCAAGCTGACGGAAGGTGAACTACAACCTTGGCCAATGGCTTTGCAACTTTGGGGTTGGGGTTAGGGGTGTGCTAGGGGCACATGCTAGTGAAAATTCTACTCTAGGTAGAACGGGAAGGATGCAAGAAGCATCCCGGTGGATCAGACCAACGGCCTATGTAGTCCAAGCCCAAAGATGGAAAGTGAGCGAGATCCCTAGTTAGGAAGGTTGGCAAATTAAGATGATAGAATTTGTGGAAGCAGCAGGTTTAACTTATAGAATAAGAGAGCAAGAAGAATCTTTATTCAAAGAGGAGTGGAATCCCCCTACCCGAATATTTAGAAAATAACTGTACAATTGAAAACACTGGTAGTATCTAGATAAATTCAACAGCACGGTAAATATTTGGAGGATGCAAAATGGAGAAATGATTAGATTGGTTACAGTGAAATATGCAGGAACGATAGGTAAGTAAAATGAACCATGAAAAGCGAAGGAGGTTAAGCCCATTGTTTCATGGCATGATGTAAAATGTTTATTTTGAGATGTACAAACTGGAAAAAATAAATAAAAAATGTTGTATATATAAAAAAGGCAGCATTCCCTCCTAAGCAGATGATTTGGAGAAGGCTGCCACCAGGACCATGAGCACAATCACACTCTCCTACTGAGACATACTGCTTTTGATCCTGGCATGCATGCAGAACATTACTAGAATTGCCATCTGTGAAGGGTGGAGAAATGGCAACAGGAAGAACGGCCTCATACCTGTTGAAGATACTTCCAATATCCTAGCGAGAAAAAAGAGGAGACAAGACAGAGAGGTTAGGTCATCCAGTCCAACACCCGTCACATTTGGAATTAATTTCTACAGGGGTTCATCTTATATCCTGCCTTCCTTACATCCTAAAACTCAAAACGGCATTTGTAGGTTTCCCTGGTGGCCCCTAATCCAGGCACTGACCAGGCCCAGACATGCCCAGCCACCAAAAGGTTGCTGCATCAAGTACCTAGCATCTTCCCAGCTCATTTTGCTTTCAACCCTCAAAGCATTCGTTTCAGTTTGGCGGCATTAGCAAACCAATTCATTCAGTCTCTTTGTGGAGGCATAGCACAATACCTACTGCCTTGCGGGATATCTTTGGGAGAAGAGAAACCCAAGGAGTAAACCAGGGGTCAGAAAGGTTTACCTCGCCTGGGCTGGTTCACTCCAGCGGAGATCCCTCCCTTGGCCAGATTGCACTCGCACGTAAGCCCGCGATTTCTCCGCAGACGCAATTTCCGGCACCGTGGAAGTGAGTCCCTGTGCTGTGCCAGTTTAGCGCAGGGCGCAGGGACTCGCCGAGCGGGTGGCTCGGTTCGGGGGTGGCTCATGGGCCGGTTAAACAACCCCCATAGGCCGCTTGTGGCCCATGGGCCTTAGGTTGCCTACCCCTGGAGTAAAACCTACACAAATTGGAGTGGAGTCCCTAAGGCACCTTGTACGCCTCCTTCTGGCAACTCCTGCAGCCAAGCAGGTGCCAAACGTATTGCTCTGCTTTCCTTTCAACCACATCAGTGAGGCCGAGACTGGGGGAATCTTGTCGTCTGGGCAGCCCAGGACCTTCATACACACTGCCAGGTTTGACTTCACCCCCAGAGCCAGTGTGGTGTAGTGGTTAAGAGCAGTGGACTCGTAATCTGGTGAACCGGGTTCGATTCCCTGCTCCTCCACATGCAGCTGCTGGATGACCTTGGGCTAGTCACACTTCTCTGAAGTCTCTCAGCCCCACTCACCTCACAGAGTGTTTGTTGTGAGGGAGGAAGGGAAAGGAGATTGTTAGCCGCTTTGAGACTCCTTCGGGTAGTGACAAAGCGGGATATCAAGTCCAAACTCCTCCTCCTCCTCAGAGACGCACTCCGTTGTCTCTTGAGACAGATGGATGCCAACAAACAACACAGCACTGGCTAAGATCTTGCTCTGCTGAGGGGGAAGAAGGCCCTGCTTTGGACACACACCACCAGCAGAAACTCAGGTCGTCTTTTCCCCCAGGTTCAAAATACTGGGCTTCCAGAGATCGGGAAAGGTGTTAACCCTGCAGCAATGCACCACTGCAGGAATGTGGTGAGAGGGGTGAGAAGGCCAAATGAGGAGGAGGATGCAACCAAATGGGAAATAACTAGGAACAAGAGAGCCAGTGTGGTGTAGTGGTTAAGAGTGGTAGACTCGTAATCTGGGGAACTGGGTTCGCGTCTTCGCTCCTCCACATGCAGCTGCTGGGTGATCTTGGGCCAGTCACACTTCTCTGAAGTCTCTCAGCCCCACTCACCTCACAGAGTGTTTGTTGTGGGGGAGGAAGGGAAAGGAGAATGTTAGCCGCTTTGAGACTCCTCCGGGTAGTGATAAAGCGGGATATCAAGTCCAAACTCTTCTTCCAAACAAAGGAAAGCTGCCCTGTGCCTATCAGGCCATTGGTCCATCTAGCTCAATATGGTCTACTCTGACTGGCAGCAACTCTCCAAGATTTCAGGCAAAGCCTCCCCTCCAGCACAGTCCTACCTGGAGATGACGGGGGCTGAAGCCAAGACTTTCTTCTGCGTGTGTGATCACTGTGCTATGGCTCTTATATAATGGCATTTAGTAATAATAATAATAAATTTCATTTATACCTCGCCCTCCCCATTCAAGGCTGGGCGCAGGGCGGCTAACAACCAATAATAAAAACAAGTTGAATGAATACAACTTAAAAACAAGATTAAAATACAACATTCAAACATTAAAATGCAGCCTCATCACAGGAGGAAAAAAGAAAGAGGCGGAGGGAATCAAACTGACTCCAAGCCAAAGGCCAGGCAGAACAACTCTGTCTTACAGGCCCTGCGGAAAGAAATCAGATCCCGCAGGGCCCTGGTCTCATGAGACAGAGCGTTCCACCAGGCCGGAGCCAGTGTTGAAAAGGCCCTGGCTCTGGTTGAAGATAATCTGACTTCCTTAGGGCCCGGGGCCTCTAGGGTGTTGCTATTTATGGACCTTAAGTCCTCCGTGGGGCATACTGGGAGAGGCGGTCCCGTAGGTACGAGGGTCCTAGGCCGTGAAGGGCTTTAAAGGTCAAAACCAGCACCTTAAATCTGACCATGTACTCCACCGGGAGCCAGTACAGCTGGAAAAGCACTGAGTGAATATGCTCCCATGGCAGAGACCCTGTGAGGAGCCTCGCTGCAGCATTCTGCACCCGCTGGAGTTTCTGGGACAGCTTCAAGGGCAGCCCTGCGTAGAGCGAATTACAGTAGTTTATTATTTGCGTTACCTGCATCAGCCCACCTGGTGGCTCCTGACCCTTCTGCTCCAGCTCGCCAATTAGGGTGTTGATATGGGAAATCTCCTCAGAAAATTTAGCTGCATGCTCTTCCTTCTTCTTCTCAATCTCTATCTCCAGCTTCTGCAGCCGGGTTAAGAGGAGCTGCTCTTCTTTCTCTAGAAACTGGCGGAGCTGCTGACATTCCAACACAAGCTTCTCCCTCTCGGCTTCAGTTTCTGCCTGATTGGGACAGGTGCAAACAGTGGGAGGAGGGGGAACACTGGTTTATTTATTTGTAATATTTTTTACCCACCCATAGGAAAGCACATTGACACATGAAACACCATTTCGTGTGTTCCAATGGTAAAGGTAAAGGGACCCCTGACCATTAGGTCCAGTCGTGTCCGACTCTGGGGTTGTGGCGCTCATCTCACTTTATTGGCCGAGGGAGCCAGCGTACAGCTTCCGGGTCATGTGGCCAGCATGACTAAGCCGCTTCTGGCGAACCAGAGCAGCGCACGGCAACGCCGTTTACCTTCCCGCCGGAGTGGTACCTATTTATCTACTTGCACTTTGACGTGCTTTCGAACTGCTAGGCTGGCAGGAGCAGGGACCAAACAATGGGAGCTCACCACGTTGCGGGGATTCAAACCACCGACCTTCTGATCGGCAAGTCCTAGGCTCTGTGGTTTAACCCACAGCAAATGTCTCTGCGAGAGGCACGGGTGTCCTTTGACCCACCAGAAGTTGCTGAACTACAACTCCCAACATCCCTGGCCACTGGTTGATGGAAAGTGTAGCTCAGCAACATCTACAGGGCTAAAAGGTCCTTGCGCCTGCTTTGTAATGTCAAAATCTAGCTATTCCCCAGGCTGCTTCCATTGCATATAATGCAAAATGGTGTTGCACCGAGTTGTTGTAGATGTGTGTTGCCATGTCTTCTTCTGCAGAAAGAGAAGCTGACCTTGGACTGGTGTTGTGAAACACCAGCTGAAATTGAAACTCAGCAACAGATTATAATTAGATGCTCTTGTAAAGTTGCTACTTTCAGAATCCAGCTGCCAAGGGCTAGTTCACAGGTGCATGAAGCAAGGTCATAACACTTTGGGGGACAATAGGTATCAACTTAATGCACCAGGTGGAAAGGTTTGTTTTTATAAAACATAGAACCACTTTGGAACATGGTCGCTTCAGCGACCCCAAGTAATGGAGCGTGTTACTTCCGGGTTTCACCGCGCGCACATGCACAGACGCTGAAAATGACGTCACGCACATGCGCAGAAGCGGTGAATCGTGACCCGCAGACGCGGGTTGCGTTCGCTTCAGATTCCATTCGCATCCAGAGGTACCACTGGATTCTTAAGAATCTAGATTCTTAAGAATCTAGACTTTGTAACAAGAAAAGTTTTAAGTACTATTATTGCTCACCTTAGGTTATCTATATGTCTTGTGAGAGTATATATATATGCATGTATTATTAAAAGGAGCATTAATCATAGTAATAATAATAATAATGGTATTATTTGTACCCCACCCATCTGGCTGGGTTTCCTCAGCCACTCTGGGCGGCTTCCAGCACATACAAAAACGTAAAATGTCAAACATTAAAACATTAATAAAAATAGATACTCAAAAGATTTGCTCCTGTATACAAATTGATTCATTGCTGTTATATAAAATCTGAACTGAACCCACATCAGTTCCAGGTGTACACTTTACTGAAACAGATCAAACAGAAGCCCAGGACTATCAGTTTATCACCTGTAGCTAAAAATTGGCACTCTACATGGATAACACATGCAGAGCTGACATTCCCAACACAGAAATGTAGAAACGCCATATACAAATTAAAAACCAAGTGAAGATGTAATGGTGTTGCTAATGGTGAAGATGTAATCTGCTTGCACTTACCAGCAGATCCTGGCTTGGCTTCTCTGCATCTAATTTAAACGATAAAATCTTGTCTCGCTCTTCTTTCAGAGTTTGCAAGCAGTGATTTATTTTCTCCTAAGACAGACACGAATAACACAGTTTTTGAGCCATTCACCGTATTCTCCTCAAATAAGCAGCTACACATGCAAGAGAGAATTATTTAAGCGCAGCGCTGTAACAACATCTAAATCCCATCAGATTGCAAATTTGCATCTGTGCTGGATAACTAATCTAAAACTGCTCCTCTGGCATATTTCACACACAATCTTCAAATAAGACCGATTTCTTCCAGCCTCCACCCACTCGCTTAGATACTCAGATGCTGTTTGGTTTTCTGTATTTGTAGTGTTCAAGCACCAGACAGGTTTTAAAGTTTCTTAAACCCTTTCTTTTCCTAATGCATTGATTGTGCTTGTTGCTTTGGTGGCAATATTTTGGGAGACACACCCTGGGATAAGCATCAAGGAATTATGGGGGTTTGCTACTGGACAATTTTTTTATATGTTGAAATAAAGTTTGGCCTATTCGAGTCTAGCCTATACAGTGGACGCTCGGGTTGCGAACGTGATCCGTGTGGGAGGCACGTTCGCAGCCCGCAGCGCCACATCTGCGCATGTGCGGGTTGTGATTTGGCGCTTCTGCGCATGCGCAAAGCACAATTTAGCTCTTCTGCGCATGCCCGACCGCCAAAACCCGGAAGTAATCCGTTCCGGTACTTCCGGGTTTTGGTGTGTCCATAACTCGAAAAAACGCAACCTGAAGCGTCTGTAACCCACGGTATGACTCTATCAGGAATGGGAAATTCTGTGGACTGCCAGAATAATAGAATTGTAGAGTTGGAAGAGACCCCGAGGATCATCTAGTCAAATCTCCTGCAATGCAGGAATACGCAGCTGTCCCATATTAGCAGGCATAGGCAAACTCCGGCCCTCCAGATGTTTGGGACTACCATTCCCATCATCCCTAGCTAACAGCGATGATGGGAATTGTTGTCCCAAACATCTGGAGGGCCGGAGTTTGCCTATGCCTGCATATGGGGATCAAACCTGAGACCTTAGTGTAATCAGCACTGTGCTCTAACCAACTGTAGCTCCCTTAGAATCATAGAATTGGACGGGACCTCAAGGGTCATCCAGTCCAACCCCTTGCAATGCAGGAATCTCAGCTAAGGCACCCATGACAGATGGCCATCCAACCTCTGCTTGAAAACCACCTTCATCCCTGGTCACTGGATGTGCCCGCTGCAGATGATGGGAGTTGCAGTTCAAGCACACCTGGAAAGTCACAGGGTCCTGTCCCCCCAATCCCAGGCCTATAGGTCTTTAATGACAGCCTCTCTGTGAAATTAGGCAAAAATTAAGAAGCTGCAGCAAGAAAGTGACAATTTGGGAGGGGCTTGTTCAGGGAGTTGCAAAGCTTGATCCCCTTGATTTAATACAGGCATGGCCAAAGTTGGCCCTCCAGCTGTTTTGGGACTACAACTCCCATCATCCCTAGCTAACAGGACCAGTGGTCAGGGACGATGGGAATTGTAATCCCAAAACAGCTGGAGGGCCAAGTTTGGCCACGCCTAATTTAACACAACTTTGGGTCCCCAGCCGTTGCTGGACTACAATTTCCATCACCCCCAGCTAACAGGACCAATGGTCAAGGATGATGGGAGTTGTAGTCCAACAACGGTTGGGGACCCGAGTTTGACTGTTTAACATTAGCCGTTTGCAGGAGCGCTATCTTATTGAAGTACGTCGCACCTTCCAAAGAGACAGGCAGCAGGTGACCCCAAATTTCCCAAAGATCTTATAGCTTAAAATAGACAGCGAGGAAACAACAGACCAGGATTGATGGAGAAGGGTAAGAAGGCCTCTGTTCTCTGGAGACAGAGGATCCAGACAGCAGGTTAAGGGGGAAGATCCCTGCAGAGACCCTGGAGAGCTACTGTCAGATGGGGCAGGTAATATAGGGCTAGACAGACTAACCTGGCAATAAGTTGTTTCATATGTACCAATACATGAATCCTGGTTGCTTTCCAGTTCTTCTAAGATGTCCCCACCCCCAAGAACCCCCACTGATTTGGAGTTTGTTCCGGACGAAAGAAGAATGGAGGATTAAGTTGATGGACTATGCAGAATTAGATAAATTAACAGGAAGGATTCGAAACCTGCGGGATCAGAGATTCTTAGAGGACGGGAGTAAATATATGAACTATTTGAAAAGTAATTCTGATGAACACATTACGCTAGTAGGACTGCAAGAAGTTTTTTAAGGTGGATTATTTGAAATATTACAAGAAGGACTACGAAGAGAAATATTAGTTAAGGACAATTAAATGCAATATAGCAATTAAGAAAAGCAGAATAAGTGATAAAGAACGGAAAATCATCAGAGGTGTTGACAAAAGTCTAAAATATTGTATAAGATGAGAAGATCTGTTGTATGACTGTTGGAACTGATAGTTAAAAAATCAATAAAAATGTATTAAAAATAAGATTTGGAGTTTGTTCCATTGTTTCTTTTTTAAAAAAATAAGATTTTATTAAAGCCGTTTCCTAATACAATAAGGTAAAACAAACTACTGTACAGCAAAACAGAAACTGAAAGTAGAATCCTCTTCCTGTTTGGTAGTGGAACAGACTCCCATGAGAAGTGGTGGACTCTCCTTCCTTGGAGGTTTTTAAGCAGAGGTTGGGTGGCCATCTGTCATGAATGCTTCAGCTGAGATCCCTGCGTTGCAGAGGGTTGGACTAGATGACCCTTGGAGTCCCTTCCAACTTCAAAATTGCATGATGCTATGAAAAGCAGCTCTTTCCCCTTGTCTCACACAGAAAGTGCCGGACCCCCCAGCTCTCACCTGGAGAGGTCTTCCCTTCCCTGCCCCTTCCTGTGTGTGCAATCCTTAGACCCCCAATAACGGCTTCCCTTCCCTTCCTGTGCTCTCATTTCAACAAGCTCGGCTGTTAACTGACCCTCCCCTTGAGAATCAAACATCATTGTTTTTAGCAATTACAAAAAAACGTGATTGAAAATCTCTCCCCCCCCCCCAAAAAAATACGAGCCCCTCTCAGCCACTCACGTTACCTGGCAAACCTGAGCGGCCTCCTCTATAGGAATCACGCTGTGATATTTATGCAGCTTGGACCGGTCACAAACCACGCAGATGGACGTTTGATCGTATTCGCAGAAGAGCTTCAGCGGCTCCTGGTGTTTCTTGCAGAGTGTCTGCTCTCCTGACTCCTTGGCTCGCCGCTTGCTGAACTGCATGGCCAGCTCAACGATATTCCACAGGTGCCTGTTTGGCCGCAGGTTCTGCCAAGGGAAGGGTTTTCTGCATTGCGGACAGGAGAACACGTTGGCAATGGAGCCTTCACAGCACTGGGCAATGCAGTCCCGGCAGAAGTTGTGGCCGCAGTCGATGACCATCATAGGGTTCTGGTAATAATCCAGGCAGATGGAACAGGTGGCTTCATCCTGGAGGCTTTTCTCTGGGTTCGGCGCAGCCATTGGCGTCTACTAGCTGCAACGCAGAGGAACAAAGTTTAGTTTTGCTTACAGAGAGGGGTGTGTCTCCTTTTTGCAATCAGGAAGTGGTTGCCTCACGGGGAACTAGATTGCAAGGGAGGGAGTGATGGAGTGTTTGAAGGTGGTTTTAACTATTAGAGGGACAAACGTATGTTCTGAATAGTTTCCCCGAAACAATATTTGTTTGGGGAAGGCCTATCCTGACATGCAGAATGTTGACATGTGCTTTAATCTGGTTTTTTACTTACTGTTGATTTAATTTTTTAAAAAATGCTTTAAATAATTGCTTTCACATATTTTTACTGCTTATTTCATTACGTTATTCTTTTCATAAGCTGCTTTCAAGTTTTATTACAGTAAATAATTGTAAAATAAATGCAGAATCTCACTGCATTCAACAGGTTGGCTATACTGATGAAGGACACACTATTAAAGATTTATTCAAGCAACCTGATCCTATTAAGTGTGTACAGGGTTGCAGCCCAATGTCCCCTATCATACTGTATGCTGTTTAAGGATGAAGGACGGGTGTTTATGCAAAGGGGGGGGGTGTTTCTACAGAGTTCATACAACATCGGCATAAAAACATACAACAAATTGTTATGCAACATCAGCATAGAAATGTTGAACCACCTCCCTTTAACCCAAATTTAACTTTTATGGAGGAAATCTGATGTTGCTTAAAACATTGCTGCCAATAACCCAGGTGCAATATCTGAATATTCTCATTTGCAATGCAAAGTTGCCATACGAAAGTACCTGAAGTCATTAGTACTAAAGCCATCTACACATGGTTAAAGGCAGATTATAAATGTGTCAGAACTGCCTCTAAGGCCTCCTCCACACTGAGCAGTTTTCCTCTTGCCCTGCTCCTTTCCCAGGGAACTGCCCACCAGCAAGCTCGAATTACCATTTGAGCACTAAAGAATGATTTTCCTGGGCATATTTTTTTTGGGGGGGGGGGGGGGTAGAAGAGGATGGATGACTCCTAAATCTCCTGGCAGGGATGCTTTCATAAAGTGGGATAAAGTTGGTTCCTTTTCCTCATTTGTTCCAAACTACTGGGCTGATGAAGTTATTGCCAAGGGCTGAGCCTGCCTTAATTACTTTGACTCTGTCTTGCAAAAGCAGCATTTACACGAAGCAAAAACTTAAAAAATGCCAAAAGCCTCTGATATACCAATCAGATAACATTATTATTCATTCGGTTTATTTGTGGTCCAATACAATAAGTTTCTAGGTGTACACCCCATGCATTTAAAGCACACATAGTGCCTATTTATTTCCCTCAAAAAAATGGTGGGAAATGTAGTTAAAGAAATTGTAGCTCTGTGAGGGGTAAACTACAGTTCCCATGATTCTATTTTTTTTGGGGGGGGATATACTTTAAATGCATGGTGCATTTGCAGTCTATAGTTTTTCTACAGAGATATTGCTTCACTGGAGTAAAAAACCACACAATGTGTATCCCTAAGGAAAGCCTCTCTCTCCCTGCACCACAGTTAACTGTTTTATTAATTTTTAGTACTTTTGGACCCCACCTTCCTCCAAGGGGCACAAGGTGACAAAACATGCTTCCTCCCTCCCTCCATTTTAACCTCACAACAGTCCTGCGAGGTAAGTGAGGCTGAAAGACTGTGATGGCTCCAAACCGTGACCAGCCAGGTGCCTGTGCCTCGAAAGCTGGACCTGAATCTTCAAACACGGTTTCTCTGGACGCCCACGATTTCTAGAGCTGTGCGAGAGGGAGAAAAACTTTTCTCCATGGCATTAACCATTTTAAATGCCCATTCTTTCATGTCACCTTTTCTCTGCACTAAAAAACCCCGAACGTTGCAGCGTTTCCTTGTTAGGGGAGTCGCTCCTCCATCCCCTTGATCTTTTCCGAACCTTTCCCCAGCGCTCTAACCACTAGGCCACACTGCCACCGCGCTGTTTAAATTGGAAAAGCAAAACCTCCTAAGCAGACCACGCTTCGGACCTCCCGGGGTTTCTCCCATGGCTTTTCAGCTGCCCCATCTCCACCCACGTCGCCTGCAGCTCTCTCACCACCCGCCCACCTACCTTGCTCTGCTCCCCTCTAGCTCTCGCCTGCTAAAATGCAGCGTCCGACCCCCGGGAATCATCAGCCAACCTGCAAGGCAAAAGCCCGGCCCGGCCTAAGGAGAGAGCCCAGCAGCGGCCTAACTCCGCCCCGCACAGCGCTCCCAATGGGAGATCTCTGCCGGCTGCGTCCGCTCTCCTATAAGGCACCCATCTGGAGTATAACAAACCAACAGAAAAAGGGAGCGCGGCCTTTAAAAAACTGGAAATAAGGAAATGAGTTGGGTTTGCTGCCACTAGGCAGCTCCCAGAGGTTGTCTCTTCCAACTACCCCCAGGTGGTTTCCTTAAGGGAGAAGAAAGCAAACAGCTGTTTTCTGATTATTATTATTTTTAAATCGGTGTTGCTTGCAGCAATTTTATGCCCACTGCTTTTGCAGGTTCTCCTGAAATAATTTAAATAAATAAATGTGTGTAAGAGGCATGGAGGGGGATGTTCAGGTGCATTTTACCCCACCCTGGATATACAATGCTGGCAAATATTGGACTATTCTTTTCCTGCCTGCTAGGAAACACTTAAAGGCGCAGGAGCTTGGGAAGGGTGCGGAATGAATTGCAGTGCTGTGGGGGCTCTGGGTATTTAGCAAAAAAAGAAAAAGACCATGCCAGAGTTCAGAAGGGGGAGCTTCACAATTGCAGCGGGTCTGGTTTCCCGCAGGTCCTAGTGCGACACTAACCACTATACCACACTGCTTCTCAATCTTCTTCTCAAGGAAATGGAGGCATCCTCTTGATTTTGTTAAAGCCAAACAACCACTGCATTTCGGATTTGCACCGCAATCCCAAAACACAGTTGCAGAGAGAAGACTCGCACGAACCGGATGCTTAGAAACAGCTTGCAGGTCTGTACTCTGCAGAAACTTGCACACCCATTCAACATGCTGGCTCCAGAGTGCATCTAGAAACCCTTTTCAAGGTTAGCACACGTGCTTGTTTCTAAAATTTATTTAAGTGTGTATATATATATGGATTATGGCGATTATAAAATTGTAAAACTCAGTAAAACTTTAAAAAAATAAAAGTGTTTACCATCATGAAAGAATGGCCAGGCTGCCCAGGTAATGCAATCAGTGACCATTATCAGGTATCCTGGGAGACAGGATTTCTGCTGTAGATGGCCTCCTTCTGTAATGTATATATGATGTTTTGGGGTGGTGATCTTGGGCTACAGGGTGGACAATTTCAGAAGTTATTGTTCAGGGTTCTCCCTGTTGGGAGGGACCCTGTTGCAACAGTTCCTTGAATAAAGATCAGGTTTACTAGCCGCTTTGCTTCTCAAAATACTCTTGTTATTTTTCTCCTGCCAATAGGAAACCCTCTATATGGGCTCCTGAAATACCCCAGAAAGGAAAGAGCAGTTTTTCTTATAACAATAGTAGCAAACACAAAGTTTGAAAGGCCTGGGAGAGGGGGAATGTGTTTGCCTTAAAGATGCACAACGAAGCTGCTAGGCAACCCTTGCATTTTCTTTCCTTCACCACCACCACAATGGGGGCTAGATGTTTAAAACAGAAAGTGTTTGGGCTGCATCTTGCAAGAGAGGAGTATTAAATGAAGCCTGGCCAGCAGCTGTGACCCAATAAAGCGATTTCATACTTTTGAGTTAATTAGTAATCTGCTAACTAGGGTCAAAAGTAGCAAGAGGCTATCCACCATTTCCCGCGTCACTGCCTCAACATAGAGGTACTCCTTCCTCTTCTCCCAGGCTTTCTGCCTGGGAAGAAACGAAACTCCCGATTGCAGGAACACGAAAACGAAACTGAGCTTGCCTATTCTCCTCCAGCTCTCGGAAAACACCTGCTCCTGCTTCTTGGGCGATCATGGCTACCGCAGATCCAGCAAAACACCTTCAGGACGAAGTCACTTGTTCCATTTGTCTGGATTACTTCAAGGATCCAGTTATGATCACGGAGTGCCAGCACGACTTTTGCCGAGCCTGCATCACAAAGTATTGGAAAAGATCAGGAGCTTCCATTTGCTGCCCGGATTGCAGAAGAGCAGCTTCCTTGCAATGCCTGAAACCCAACCGGCGCCTGGCGAACATGGTGGAAGCGGCTAAGCAGCTCCGTCTGCAGCTGGAGCAAAGTCCAGGAAGGGAGAAAATGTGCAGGGAGCACAAGAAGCCTCTGAGTCTGTTCTGCACAACAGAAAATACCCTTATTTGCATGTTCTGCGAGAGATCCAAGGCTCACAGAAACCACCGTGTTATTTCCCCAGAAAGAGCTGCTGCAGATTACAAGGTAATGACGGTGCATTTTAGCAAAGACTGCAATTGCAGGTGTAAGCCCGGTGCAGTTGTGATATCTCTAATCTAACCACGATATAGAACAGGGACAGGGAACTTGTGGTCCTCCAGGTGTTTTGAGCCCAGCTCCCATTAAACCCAGGCAAGGGTGATGGGAGTTGTAGCGTAGCAGCACCTTGAGGGTCGCAGGTGAGGAGCCTCCCCAGATATAGAAGGTGAACACCTCACTTGGTATATTTCTCCTCCCCTTTTCAGAGCTGGTGTTTTAAATCTACAATCAGGGTTAGTTTCAAACCACACTGTGCCAATTCTGTTTGAAGCGTGATAGTGGTTCACAGAGCTCTCTGCAAAGGTTGATATTTGATACTTCCAGAGACCCACCCTTCGCCCTCAATAATGGGCAGCCTCACCACACCATTTTGTGGGCCAGCCTCTTTCAAGTGTGGCAGCCATTTTGTGACGGGTTTACAGGAATTTCCCCTCAAAATTCCAAGGTGTCCATTGGCCCCCAAAGGTTGGCAATTCCTGTCTTAAGCAGCCACAGCTGTTTCTGTCTCGGGGTCTTCCTTGCACATAACATTTATAGTGAAATGGTTGCCTTTTTGTTTTTTGGATTTTTTTCACAGGTTGCCACATGAAGTGCTATTTTTTTTTAATAATGCAAAAAAAAAATTTTTTTTTAAATCCAGATTCTGTAAAAGAGCCTGGGTGGATCCTGTGATAGGAATTTTATGGTCTTAGAGATATGGCAATGTTCATAAGTGTACCAACCAAGCACATACATAGATCAGCACAGGAAGACCGACCTGGAACCATTTTGATTCCCAAACTGTCCCAAGCTGACCAAATGTTTTCTCTGCAAGGTCAAAGGAAAATGGAAAAGCCTCCCCATTGTCTTTTCCTTCACAAATCCTGTCTTAAGGGTATGTCTGTGTTTGAATAGGGTGTGAGCCTGTGACTTGGTCCAGGAACTAAGTATTTATCATTACAAAAGACGAGCCAGGCTCTCCAGGAAATCCAATCAAGTAACCTGCCAGACATGAGATAAACGACAGGAGAAATACAACATTCAAAATTTCTGTTTTAGACTGCCTTTTCTGTGATGTAGGTGTGATGTATCTGAGGGGTGGTCTTAGGTTACACCCCTTCTGTGATGTAGGTATGATGTTTCTGGGGGTGGTCTTGATCTACAGGGTGGGAATTTCAAAAGTCTTTATAAGGCCTTGGCGCGCCATTTTTCTGGGTTCCTCCTCCTCTCCTGCGGGTGAGGGGAGCACCCTGTTGCAACAGATCAATAAAGATCAGGCTTACTAGCTGCTTTGCTTCTCAATATTCTCCGGTTGGCCTCTGTTATTCTCTCCTACCAATAGGGAACCTATGTAAGGACTCTATACGGGCTCTTGGATACCCCATAAGGGAAAAGGGCAATTTTTGTTTACAACAGTGGGCGTGTTTTGTTTTGGCCACTTTCCTGGGACCTGTGCCACTGTAGCAGCTGATGGAAGTTGAGAGCCCAACAACTTCTGGTCAGCTGCAGGCTCCCCCTATCCCGTCCTATAAACATTTTCAAGTCTGCTGCTTGTTGTAAGTAAAACATTCTCAGTCTGCAGAAACTTTAAATCTACCATATCACCCATTGTCTGTCCTTAGGGTGTGCTACTTGGACATCTAAAGGAACTGAAAAAAGAAAGAAGCAAGATTCTGTCGGTTAAATCAAATGGTGAGAAGCCGTGCCAGGACCTATTGGTAAGAACTGGCATAACTCGGGGGTCAGCAAACTTTTTCAGCCGTGGGCTGGTCCAGCGTCTCTCAGACCATGTGGTGGGCTGGACTATATATTTTTTTGGGGGGTGGAATGAACGAATTCCTATGCCCCACAAATAACCCAGAGATGCATTTGAAATAAAAGCACACATTCTACTCGTAAAAACACCAGGCAGGCCCCACAAATAACCCAGAGATGCATTTTAAATAAAAGGACACATTCTACTCATGTAAAAACACGCTGATTCCCGGACCGTCCATGGGCTGGATTTAGAAGGCGATTGGGGTGGATCCGGCCCCCGGGCCTTAGTTTGCCTACCCATGTGCATAACTCCTCCTCTTAAGGCCTGTCTACAGTGAGCTGATCACCACTGGCAACGTTATCATTTGAGAGCAAGGATCTGTGTACATTGGGAGTGTGATTTGATAAGGATCCACATTCTCCTGGCCTATGTTATATTTTACATTACTGTAGTATCTAGGAAGGGGAAAGGACTAGATAAGTGCCTTGATATTGTTGTGATCATGAAGTTGGAATATGTTTGAGGCTGCTTTCAAGTCAAGATTTATGGGTGAAACAGATTTTCTGGATCCATTTCATTTTAGGCCTGGGTTTGGCACTGAAACCAACTTTCCCAAATTCCCCCTCATTCTGAAGCATGGAGGGCGACAGAGAAAGGGCTTTTTTGCTGGTGGCCCCCAATTTGTGGAATAGGTTTGCATGGTGCCTGTGTTAATACCTTTTTGTACCATGTGATGATAACGACTTTTTTTTTTTTTTACTCTTCACCAGCAGGCCCCAGGTTGGTTTAAAACAATTTAAAATTCATGATTGAAAACAGTTTAAAAAATACAGTCACAGGAGTTGAAATATTTTAATGTTATCCTGTATCCTGTATCCCATTTTAGTTTCTGTTCAGTGAATGGCTGGTGTGTTCATTTAATACCCTCATATGTTTTCTTAACATTTGATGTGAACACCTGAAAGAGACGTTAATCAATTTAATTCCAATTACGTGCAGTGCTTTTTTCCAGGGGCTACGCAGTACCGGCACATCTTTTTGTTGTTGTTAAAAAGTGTGACACTTGCTATAACAATTTCACGGTGAGTACCAGCACCTATTTTTCTAGGAAAAGCCCCCACTGAGTATGTGATATATATTCCAATGTGATATTATTAGGATCTGGATTGGGCAATCTATTAGAACATCCCATTGTCATTTGTATCTCTCCATTGTAGAAAGAGGCAGAAGCCAAGAGGGGGGAGATTGTGTCTGAATTCCAACAACAGCGGCAGTTTTTAGAGGAACAAGAGCAACGCCAGCTGGCCAGGTTGGAAGACATAAAAAGGGAGATTGAGAAGAGAAGAAACGATTATGCAAACAGATTTGAGGATGAAATATCCTACATCAACGATCTGATTGGTGATATAGAAAAGAAGGGCACTCAATCACCAGATGAATTCTTGGAGGTAGGTCTAGTATTCTGAACCAGAATGTATTCATGACAGAAATATCCTGCATCGGTGACTTGATTGGTGAGATGGCAGATAAGGGTGGCCAATCGGCAAAAGATTTTTTGGAGCTGGTATTCTAATCCAATATTGATTCATAGCCAGCACAAATTGGTTGGCAGAGGCAGCTGGCCAGCAGCTCACTGCATGTGTGATAAGCAATGGTTTAATAAGAAAAATGGCCACCGATGGTTGATTTTTTTGCAAATAAGTTGTTCTCATTGAGTATGCATCCCTCATCATTCTCAGAATGAGTTGGAGTTGCAACCACTTTCAAAGTCCCAAGTCTCTTGAAAAACGGCAAAGGGTAGAACGACTATAGCGTTGGATTGAATCCCATGTTTTTTGAAGCCAAAGAAGCTAGTGGACATGTGACTGTCAAGTTATTTTGTAATTGATTATCACTTTATTCCTACCCTTTATATACAAACATAGAATGCAAATCCAGGTATGTAAAGCAGACTGAAATGAATGAGGTAATTGATGGAACGCTGAACCATGTAAATTCAGCAGTTCTAATCTTTCCCATCAAAGAATCCATACAGAGTCTCACTTCACATGAAAGAACTCATAGTAGGGAGGAATAATAATAATAATAATAATAATAATAATAAATTTTATTTATATCCCGCCCTCCCCAGCCGAAGCCGGGCTCAGGGCGGCTAACAACAATAAAACAGTACAAAAACCATTTTAAATCCTTAGAATGTGGAAAGAGCTTCACTTCCAAGATGAGTCTCACTTTCCATCAAAAAAATTAGTACAGGGGAGAAACCGTATCACTAGTTGGAATGTAGAAAAAGCTTCATTCTGAGCCCCGATCTCACTTCCAATCTAAGAATAATCCATGGGAGAAGCCACAACAGTGCTGAGAATGTGGGAAGAAGTTCGGTGAGAGAGCCAATCTCACAGTCCATCAAAGAAGTCATACAGGGGATAAGTATATGTTGGAAGAAAGATGGTATTAGAAAACAATCAAACCTAAAGAAATTCTCATGCACATGTGAGAAAAATGAATATTCTCTGTTAGTAGAGTTAAATAATTTTTCATATTATATAGATTTTGCTTTAGTTGTTTCATGCATTTATGAGAGAACTCATAGTAGCCTGCATATCGGGCAATACGCAGACTCTGAATCCCGGTGGAGTGTTAGTTTGGAGAACCAGCCACCCCTCTCCCTTTCTGTGGTCACATCCATACAATGCATTTGAAAGTGCATGACTCTATCTAAATAGTCCTAGGAACTGTAGCAGAGTTACAGTCTCAAGCACCATAAACTAGCTTACAACAACAACAAATCTTTATTACGGTCGTAGGCCAGCATAAGGAGGGCGGGATACAATTGTTCAAAACCTTTAAAAAACCCCAAAACTAAAATGAGTTAAAGCAGAAAATATATTTAAAAAGTCTATAAGAATCCAAAAGAAGCTAAGAAAATCTAAAAGAAGGGTTAGGAACATTAGACAAGAGTGAAAGAGTGTGAGACTATACCTATCAGTCTACAGAGCACTCTTAATAAGAGTGCCCATTATATCTAGTTTGTGGCACAGGTCATCCAACAAATTTTGAGCGCTGCCGTGCAGAATCTGGCAACGTATGTTGTAGCAGGGTTGGTACCTGAAAGTAGGGAGGTATAGAATTGTCCTGTGTGCCCTGGGTACTTATGCAGCGTTGGTAAGATGAGGCTAGTATGAATGTCTATAATAAAGACACTGGAGAAGCACATGCTCTGTTGTTTCTGTTTGTCCACAGTCACAGGGCACTGCCTCTCCAGATAAGCAATCTTCCTGTATCCGCCTTCAAGGACAGCTGAGGGGAGGCCATGACATCAGCCAAAGGCCCTCCGGTGCTTAGGGACTTTTAAGTTTAGCTAGATATGCCATAGGGGAGAAACTAGCTTACAGTTTCTAGGATTCTTTGGTTGAAGCCTTGTGCTTTAATGTATAGTGTGCTTGTGACCACAGTTCTCCATTGTGAAGTTACGTAGGGTAAGTTTACAATTGGAGAGCCAAGTACGCTGGTGAAATTGACCCAGCTTTCTCTTGACACTAGGAAAGGGAGGTGGGCAGAGACAATTAAGGAAATGGCCTTGCAGTGGATCCTTCCTCGCAGTTGTGCAAAATTAGCAGGAAGCAGGCAAGGAAGCCTCACCCTTTCGTGAGTGGCCAAAGAGACACTTCTGTGCAAGGGGAAGAGACTAGGTAGGATGTGAAAGATGCCATTGTCAAATGTATAGACCCATAAGAAACAAAAGGATATCTGGAGGGCTAAAACAGCTTCATGGAAGACATCTGTTAGAAGGTGACGAGAGAACCATAACAGGAGTAGGATGAAGTACAATTGTAAATCCACCTTCCTGCACGACAATCACAGGGTTTAAGAAATCTGATAACAAGAACATTTTTGTCTTTCACACAGGCACAGTGGGAAAGAGGCTCAAAACCGGTTCGTTCATCCATTTTTTTGTAACTACATACTACCCAGTTAACTACAGTGGACGCTCGGGTAGCGAATGTGATCTGTGCGGGAGGCACATTTGCAACCCGCCGCGCCACGTCTGCGCACAGGTGGGTCACGATTTGGTCTTCTGCGCATGCGCAAAGCTCCAAAACCCGGAAGTAACCCGTTCCGGTACTACCGGGTTTGGTGCGGTGTGCAACCCGAAAACACACAACCTGAAGTGTCTGTAACCTGAGGTATGACTCTACATTCTACACAGTTCACAACTTAAAATCAATTAAAAACAAATATAATCGGATAAAACAATTGAGGCAGTAGCAGCCTAGCACAGAAGTTAATACAAAGCCGCACAAAGCAGTATAAAATCAATAAAAGGGCATTGAAACATAGCAAAGAGAGAAACAATTGTTCTAATATATATATATAGAGAGAGAGAGATGATGATGATGATGATGATGATGATGATGATGATAACTTGTTGGCGTCCAGCAAAGTCATACTCTGAGCAGACCCATTGAAACCAATGGCTTTGAGTATTATTAACATTGGATGTCACCCATTAAATTGAAATTACACCGTGTGCCAAATGTAGCTAAATTGTCTTTGCTCTTTTCACTTCTAGGGTATTGGAAGCATACTGGACAGGTACCTACCTTCTGCTTTTGCTTTATAACAATGCTTGACTGACTTGGGGCCCCCTCTCCCCTCCCCAACTACCCTTTTAATCGCCTCTTAGCTACTGTTTTAAGGCTGCAGGGAACCATCATTGGGCTAAAATGGGTGAATCAGTGGGGCAGGGCTTTGGGGTTTCATTAAGGGCCTTCCTGCCCTCAGTCCCACTCCCCTATAATTTTGAATATACCACTCTTATTTTATTGTGATAGGTCTTAAATTGGGTTTGACAAGGGAGTCCTGATTAGTAAAACTAAATGCATAGAGCCTAGCCTAGAGAGAGGATCCAGACTTTGATCTCTTTTGCAATGACACTGAGTCGTTCATCCCCATCTCCCAGCAAACCTGAGTGCTGTTTTCAACTGCTACATGCAATGGCAGGGCAGAAGTTTGTCTGATTTAGGGGATCCCCAGGCTTGGGGAACCTAATGTCACTCTTGAGACCTCTGTCTCATCATATCAGGATAGACAGCCCTTGGCATGCAACTCAGGATTCCTTTTTAGGCGGAGCACAGAAGTAAAAAAGAAAAGTGGTGCCTTTGTGTTAGCAAAAACGGGGATTAAAATTTTGGATGTTGAACTAAGTAAAGACGCCATGATGGAATCCACACACACATTTTAATTTTTTTTTATTATTATTTGAAAAAATACATTGAATTTGCCATAGCTCACTGTCACCATCTAGTGTCACATTTGTATATTGCACTTTACAACACACTTAAAATGTTTTATATGCAGCTGTATAGCTGAGTCCATCACTATTTCATCCCAGAATCCTAGGTATGTAACCTCATCCCTTTGGCACAAAGTAGAGACCTTATTCAGCCTGCAGTCTCCACCTTGGTGCAACAGATAGCAGGTACAGCTACACCTAGGATTCTGGGATAAATAATCAGTTGTCTACCTAGTTCACTATCTAAGCTGACCTCAGTCGACATGACTACAAGATCCAGCACAATTTTTGTGCTTTGTTTTTCCTTGCCTACTCCCCTTTCTCCCGGTGCCCAATCTGTCACTTAGCATAACCTCTTGCTTGATTAAAGATGCTTCCAGACTGATGCTACTGTAGGGTGGGATTCAGTCACATACCAGCAATTTGATTGGAAGGTTTTGTACAATGTAGCTACCTCCTTGAAAGATCAGACTTTCTTTTGAGATAAGGACAGGTAGATGTACTGCAAAGTATGGGGTGATGCTTGCTTTGACTTCACTTCCCTGTAAACAAATCAGGATGAATGCTCATTAAATAGCCAATGTCATCCAATCTCCTTTGAAGCAAATCGGCATGTATGTAAGCAGGTAATCTAGAAATGACCAAAGATTTCTGGAGAACTCAAAAGCTTGCTGAAGGGGCCACGGCTATAAGGCTCCTACACTTCAGCATTCACCGTTATGCCATTAACTATGAGGCCGAAATTAAACTTTTTACCATCATAGCACCCATATGCTATCAAGCGGTGGATGAAGCTGCAAGCGAGCCTTTGTGAAGCAAAAAAGGTGGCAGTTAAAATAAGGGACTGTACAACTAGATTGAGGGTGGTCCTCTGAATATCTCGCTTTCTCCCACTAGATGCGAGACAGAGAAATTTCAGTTTCCAGCTACTCCTGCTTCTGCAGACATGAAGGAAAGGCTGAGGAAATTCTCTCAAGAAAGTGCATCTTTGACGAGTTCTCTGAGGAGAGTCAGAGGTTTGTAAAAGAGAACCCTAAATCGGATTGCAGGGATGAAACATGAGGTGCCACACTCCTTATGGTCAGCAGCATTCTACCTTTAAGAGAAGCGTAGCAGGGTGATGCCAGCAGCCATAGATTCTCCCCCATGGTGCTCGTTATTAGAAAAAGAGAGTGACTTTGTGCTAGTGTGGTTTGATGGCTTAGATAAAAGGTCTGGCTAAGACCAGGGACGACTAGTGTCGAGGCTCCATTCAGGCATAAGACCCACTAAGCGACCTTGGACCACTCTGATTATAGATAGAACTAATAGAATTGTAGAGTTGGAAGGGACCATAAGGGTCATCTTGTCCAATCTCCTGCGCCAGGCCTCCACATCTGGACTGCAAGCCAAGTTGGCTATGTCCTGCACATCTGCCCTGCACCCGCCATCAGGAGCAGGGCAGATAATGACCAGGCTCAGTCAAAAGGGGCTTTGTAAGCTAATCAGCAGTGCCTGAGAAGCCCTGTGCAAAGAACTCTAGGGGAAAAAACCTATCAGCTGATAGTTTGGTCTTGCAGAGCTTTGCTGAGCATCTTGCAAGGTCTGGCGATTAGCTGAGAGTCTGGCCTAGTGAAGCCCCTTGCAAAGCTCTCTGTTAGACCCATGAAGTGGGGGGAGGGGGAAAGGGTCACCTGACTTCATTATGACATCAGGGGATTGTCAAATCTGGCTTGTGATTGGGTGGAGGAGAGAACAATCTGGCCAGTTCCCCATTCTTGTCTATTGCTATCGTGTCCCCATTATGGGGAAAGGGCGTTCGCTCTTTGCTACCCAAAGTGTGTGGCATGTGCCCCGTCTCCTCTTCCTGGCTACCCAGAATTCACTTAATCATCCTGTTTATCATTCTTACCACTACAGCTGACCTTGCTTTTAACAGAATCATTCATCATATCAGAGATGTTGTTCATCTGTCAGTTAGCCTTAGGAACATGAGTCATGCATTAGTCGCTAATTATTGTGAATGATTATTGTAATTAACAACAATGCTTCATTGGTGCGTGGTTAAACAGGCTGCAAGGTCCCTTCTGTTAGCCTTATGATGGACATTTTACCTTGCTCTCTTTTCTCCTCCTAGACTGTTCTGAGCCCAACTGTTCTCAGTCCAACACGGTCAAATCAAAATGGATAAGAGGTAAGCTGCTAGTTCCGGAGAGCAAAAACAGGCCAGATGTTGGAGAGTTCCAGCATTTGATGTCCTGACGTTTATGTCTTCAGATATAAGCTGCTGTAGGGGGAGATCAAACTGGACTGAGGCCCTGGCAGCAGTGCTGGGGGGGCGCGCAAAGCGAGCTAGTCCCTGTTCTGTTCCTCCAGCCTAAACCAACCCCCCAACCCCCAGCAAGTAAATAGCTTAAGGGGGACTTAGATTGGGGGAAATGGTGTTGTGGAAAGGGTTACATTAACCATTTTCCAGCTCAAGGGCCACATTCTCTTCAAGACAGCCTTCCTAAAAAAAAATAAAAATCAATCTTTATTGGTTTATAAACTGCACACACATACAAAAAACCCAAGAAAGCAAAACACACAGCACATAACTCACAAATAACAAAAATAAAACAAAACGGTACAATGCGGAAACACAAAAGATTTCAGCCATTGACTTCCGACCTCCTTGATGTGGGTTCTTTGTTTCCTTGTTTACTTTCCTTTATTTTTCCATAAACATAGCCTGTATTATATCCCTTACGAGTTCTGAGAGTTATTCAAAGCATTCTAAAGTTTTAATATGGGGACAATGTTCTTTTAAATCTTGTCTATAAATCTCCCATTCCTTTTTAAACTTTTGGGTTGGTCGATCCCTGATCTTTTCCGTCGTTTTCGCTGGTTCCATTTATTCAAGCAGTTTTGTTTGCCACTCCTCTTTTGATGGAATTTTATCTCCTTTCCACCCCTTACCAATCAGCATCCTTGCTGCCGCTGTTGTCGCATACAAAAACAATCCAGCCTTGAGAGAAGGCTGTCTCTCAAGATAGCCTTCCAAGGACCACAGGCCATGCTGGGTGGTGCCAGAAACAGAGCCATAGCTACAGGGGGGCTAGCCAGGGGTTTTGCCTGTTATGAAGCCTTCAGAGGGGCACCACTGAGACTCCCACCTCCCAGGCAAACTGAGCCTTTGACCCGGGTGAAATAAATCCTAGTTTTGCCCCTGCCAGTGGCAGAAGTGGGTGAAGCAGTGAACGTAAATTTCATCTTTGTTTCTGCACACGCAGCCTCCAGCTTTCAACTCTCACCCTTCATGTGCCCCTGTATTCTCGCCATGCAAATTTGGTTGTATGAATTGGCCTAATTGGTTCTGCATTTCTCCCCTTCTAAAGAATGCATGCAACTTGGAAGCTTGGTACACTACCTTACGGATTCTGTTAAGTGTTTGTCTTGCCCTGCTTCCTGTTCTCTTTCAGAAAATGTGGTGTTGGATCCGGAAACAGCCCATCCCCGGTATATCGTGTCTTCAGATGGAAAATCAGTACGGTGGGGAGATGTCCGCCAGGACTACCCCTACAACCCAAAGAGGTTTGAATACGCCCGCTGTGTGCTTGGAACGCAGGGATTCAGCTCTGGGAAACATTATTGGACAGTGGATGTCGAGGATGTTGACCATTGGGCTGTGGGCGTAGCCAGTGAGTCTGTGGAGAGGGATAGAGAAATTGATTTTGAACCTGACGAAGGGATCTGGGCGATGGGCTTTAGTTATGATCAGTACAAAGCTCTGACTTCACCTCCTACCGTTTTGGAGCCAGAAGAGGATCCAGTAGAGATCCAAGTTTCTTTGAACTATGAAGCAGGAACTGTGGCTTTTTATGATGCTGAAGATAAGACCCGCCTCTTTATTTTCCAGTCAATTGATTTTGAAGGGGAGGAAGTTTTCCCCTTTTTCCGGATTGTCGATTCATCAGCTCCCCTCCAGCTGTGCTCTTAAAACACATGGTTCTTGGCCTGTGCTTTGCTTTGCTTTGCCTTGCCTTGCCTTGCTTTGCCTGGGTACTCAGATGAGTCGAGGTGTTAGTCCCAAAGAGCAGCGGATATCATTTCTGTGCACATTGTCTTTGGAAGTCTGTTTCCATCCCAAGCTGCTGTCCCACATTCCCCTTCAACAAAGGACCAAGGTGTTTTGGTTTGACTGTGCAGATAATAGCTTTATAATTCAGTACAGCAAAGAAGCACTATAATATTCCAAATACTGTTTCTTTAATTTTGCACCCTCTTAGTGGTGCCGATGGGGAATTTCCTCCCAATGTAAGTAGCAGCTTCAGAGGGATTATCCTCGGGACCAAAGCAAAGGTGGAAAGGGTTAAATCCTCCACCGCATTTTGTGATTCTCATAATCATCAGCTTCTTCCCTCACTCAGCATTTTGCAGTTTTAAAAACTTGCATGCTAAATGCAAGGCCCTATTTTGTCTGGTTTTGATTCTTAGTTTATATTAACCACACTATTTATCAGCATGTAACTCCTCAGGTTTTTTTTCTTTAGCTTTTTATGTTTAATGAACCTGTGATTTGATATCTCCATTGTCACCATTGCAGTCTTTCACTCATTTCATTAATTCGTCAATAAAATTATAAAAAAATCCTTTTAACCTTTGTTTTGACTCAACTAACTTTTTATGCTGCAGTTATGTTATGATACGTTTAGTTTATTAAATTGCTTTTCTTAGAAGATTAAAGGCATCCTAAAAACTTTTTTTAAGTACCATACTGAACAAAAATGATACAGATAATGTTCATAGCTTAATAATTATTCTTTTAAAAAAACACCATCCCATAAAAATAACAAAAATATGCTAACCAATTGACCAGACCTATGTTTCAAACCATCCCATCCTAACCTTTTTTCTTTTTTAAAAAAGAACCATACTGAACATTCATATTCATAGCACAAAAATTAACTAAGAAACCCACCATCCCAGAAAAATAACAAAACCAAGCTAGCCAATTAACCAGGCCTATCATCACCTCACATCCCATGAAATGTCTGCAACTATAGGAACATGTTAGCATTGTGCCAGAAAAATGACAATGTTGGTACCAATATTTTGTTTTAAGATACATGTTTTCAAGATGGAGTATTGTATTTTGTGTGAGGCTAACACGCTCTGGCGTTTGTTCCCAGACTTGGGTTTGTGTGTCAGAGTGTGTCCAGGACGTAAGATAAAGCACAGACGTGTCTTCTCTCTGGTACAGTGAAGGCCATAGTTGCCGTCACAACTGATAAAGAAGAGGGCTCTGAGCACTTGTCTATACAGCCGGGCTTTTGTTTATGCATTGAGCTCAGAGCTAAAGTTAATGGATTTTAGTTAAGGAAAAATAGGGGTTTTGGTGCAGTTTCAAACTGCCTGCACAGTCAGTTTTGGGTTTTGGAAACCCATTCCTTCACTATGAGGGTCTGGCTTCCCCCTTAATGGAAGCAGTGGATTCATAGGACATCAAAAAAAGCCACCCTCTGTCTCTTGGTTCCAGTCTGTCATCCCCAGTTCACATGGTGTTGTCTGCAGGGATCATTCAAAGTTGAACCTGGCTTTGTCTATACCCACTAGCCCCTATCATGGAAGAGGGCCCACTCCCCTTTGCCTGGCACTCTTGTCCTCTGATGGTTTCCTTGATGGGCCATCACTGGTCTTTGTCCCCTGCTAATGGCCCATCCAGCCAGCTCTGCAGATGTGGCTTGGCTCATTAGAATAATTAAATCCAGGAGATTTCAGTATTTGGCAAAGTTTAATCAAACCTTGCTTTGAATTATGGTGCTGGAGGAGACTCTTGAGAGTCCCATGGACTGCAAGAAGATCAAACCTCTCCATTCTGAAGGAAATCAGCCCTGAGTGCTCACTGGAAGGACAGATCCTGAAGCTGAGGCTCCAATACTTTGGCCACCTCTTGAGAAGAGAAGACTCCTGGAAAAGACCCTGATGTTGGGAAAGATGGAGGGCACAAGGAGAAGGGGACGACAGAGGACGAGATGGTTGGATGGTGTTCTCGAAGCTACCAGCATGAGTTTGACCAAACTGCGGGAGGCAGTGGAAGACAGGAGTGCCTAGCGTGCTCTGGTCCATGGGGTCACGAAGAGCTGGACATGACTGACGACTAAACAACAACAATCAAACCTTGAATGAATGAATTTATTAATACGGTCACAGACCAGCGTCAACACACACAATATCACAGATCATAAAAAAAAAATATCAGAAATACAGAGGACAATATGAGTATAACAAGGATTTAAATATAAAAAATTAAAATTAATTATTAGCGTGCCCCCTGTAATTAACATTTGGGGGTTTGGTCATTATGGGATACCACTTGCTTCCTGCGATTAATTGCAGACGCACAGAATTTGGCTACATTTGATGTAGTCTTGGGATTCTTGTCCTCTAGCAGTAGTTTTAAACTATGGTGTTCCGATTCTTTCCTGGACTTTTGCAAAACAGGTGTAATAAAAGTCAAACGTATATCCTCATAAAGACGACAACGTAATAGTACATGTGAAGCAGTTTCAACTTCCAACGAGCCACAGGGGCAAACCCGTGCTGTGTATGGTTTACCCTCAAATCTGCCCTGAAGTAAGGCAGAAGGGAGAACGTTGAATCTGGCGAGGGTAAAAGACCGTCTGTATTTGGGTACCTGAAGACCTGACAGATAGTTAGCTGGAGAGAAACCTCTCCCATGGTCCCTTATTGCTGGATGTTTGATCATTTCGCTCATGTGGCATTGTAATTCTACGTCCCAGATACGCTGGCGAATTGTAGTCCTAGCTTTCTCGAAGCCTGTCGCTATCAGGGTCTGCTGTGGGATCCCCAAGCCTTTAAGCTTTTCCAGCAGTGTAGCTTTCCATTTGGATTGGTAGGTATCTAATAAGGTTAAAGGTGCCAGCCCAACCGGGAAGAAAATAAGCTTTAGCCAATAATGGATCTTCAGTATCCATATCCGAGTACTGATAGGAATTTGCCCAACCTCCAAACGGACCGCTATGTTGGATACGCAAGAGGGATCCCCAGCAGGCAGCGGAAAAACTTAGTTTGAAATGCCTCTAAGAGAGTAAGGTTTTTAAAGCTGTAGATCTGGGATCCATATAGCAATTGTGGTAGTATTTTGGCAGCAAAGACCTGGGAGGCTGCCGGTATGTATTGGCCCCCTTTCCCATAGAAGAATCTTATTAACGCTTTGGTAGATCTTTCTGCATTTGCAATAGTATTATTAATCTGAAAGCGCCAGGAGCCCCTTTCCTGGAAGGTTACACCCAGGTATTTAAAGGTTGCTACCTGTTCTATTAAGCAATTGTCTATTCTCCATTTGTGCCTCCTCCTTTTTTTAGAGAACACCATGACTTTGGATTTGTTGTAGTTAATTGTTAATTGTTCGATGCTGCAGTATTTGGTGAAAGATCTCAAAAGTTTTCTTAATCCAACACAAGAAAAGGAAATTAAAACTGTGTCATCCGCATATAAAAGGACCGGGAGGGGCGTACCAGCCAATTTGGGGGGATGGGCATTTTCTTTCTCCATATTTCCTACTAGCGAGTTGATATAGAAGTTAAATAAAGTAGGCACAAGGACACACCCTTGCCTGACCCCCTGATGGATTTGGATTTCCTTGGATAGGTGGCCCTGTCGGTCACACCTTACCCGGATCCGTGTATTTTCATATAGACTGTGGATGAGATACAGTAGGTGTTTGTTTATATTTGCGGCGCTTAGCTTTCCCCAAAGCCTGTCCCTCGGTATTAAATCAAAAGCAGATTTGAAATCTATAAAGGCCATGTATAGGGAACCTCCTTTTCTTGATGTATATTTCTCCGCAAGATGTTGGAGAACAAGGCCCTGGTCTAAGGTTGACCGATTTGCCCTAAAACCAGCCTGTGCTTCTGAAAGAATGTGGTCTTGTTCCAACCAGTCCACTAATTTGCCGCGTAGGTGGGCAGCGTACAATTTGCTAATGATACTTAGGAGGCTGATTGGCCTGTAATTAGCCGGATCTGATCGGCTCCCTTTCTTGAATAAAGGGATGATGATTGCTAATCCCCAGTCCTCAGGGATAGTGGCCGATTGGTCTATGCTGGTAAATAGGGCAGCTAGCACAGGGGCCCACCATTCAACATTAGCCTTAAGGAGTTCCGGTGTAATGTTGTCTACGCCGGGTGCTTTTCCAGGTTTAAGGGATTGGATGAGCCTATAGATCTCTTCAGTTGCTACTGGGGCCATTCGGCGCCAATATCACTCGGAGCTGGGGGCAGGGCCTGCAGATGTTGATTTGATGTATATAAAGATAGAAAGTAAGCCTCCCAAATCCCAACTGGTATAGTATAATCAATTTCAATCGGGGGGTCTTGCCAACTTTTCGCGACTATTTTCCAAAAGGTGGCTGAGTCTTCGAGAGGCCTCTAATAAACGTTGCCACTCCCCCCTTTGGGCCTGAAGCTTTTTCTTTTTAATCAGATCTTTATATTTACGTTTGGCTTCGAACCATTCCGTGGGAAGCAAGGGTAAGTTCGCTGATTTGTAATTCCTGTACTTATCCAGCAAAGAACGCTTTGTAGCAATACATTCCTGATCAAACCAGGGTTTGGATTTGTTGGGGAATATAGGTTGGTGCGATGTCTTTTTTTGAATCAGGTGGGGTTGCAAAAGTGAGATCAGATCCTGGAACAAGATTATTCTAGATTCAGAACATGGTGGGTTTAAGAGATTATCTCTTCTCATGAGGAATATGTCCGAGTATAGCCTTTCAGAGGTTGCGGCATTCAGCTTTTGGACCATCTAATACGTGAGTATCTCAACTCCATGTTGGAGGACCTGGGGGCTTCAAGTTTATCGTTGCAAAATAAGTCTTTTCTTGCATCCAGGAGGAGGCAGAGCGGTAAATGATCACTATCAACCCTCTCCTCCACTTTGCACCCAAGGGCTCTATTTAGGAGATTAAATGATACCATAACATAGTCGATAGTGGAAGCTCCTGCATTTGATATAAAAGTAAATTCCCACAGGTCTCCCCATTCTTGCGCCCATTTAGTATGACCAGGTCCAGCTTGTTAGAAAGACGCAATAGGCACAGACCTGCATAATTACATCCCTTGTCTTTTGAGAGTCTGGTGGGTATAAGGTGGTTTTCTTCCACGGTGGGTGGCGAGTCGTGGAAGTGTGCATATAGTGCTTCGTCAGACTGGCCAATTCTGGCATTAAGATCACCAGCCACTAGCACTGAAGCTGCAGGGGTTTGAGTCATCAAACCATCAATGTATGTTTCCAGCCCATGCCAGGTGTTTTTAATCTGCTGCTTGCCTCTTTGGGGGGGAAGATATACATTAATCAGTAGCAGGGTGAAGAATCTACTTTTCACTAGTAAGGCCATAGCCAGATGTTTCAGTGTCTCTAGCTTTACTAAGGACGCCCTCAGCCTTGTAGATATTAAAATGCCTAGGCCACCCTTGACTCTCCCCCCTTTAGTGCTTGGGGATCCTGTGAGGGACATTGAGGAAAAGCCGTTAACTTCTAGGTCTCCTGTGAGCCATGTCTCCTGTAAAAATACTATATCGTAGCCTTGGATAAATTTAACAAAGGATGGGTCAGCTGCCTTTTTTTGCCATCCTGCGATATTCCATGATAAAAAGCTAAGGTTGGCTTTACCAAAATAAATTATCAAAACCTTGATAATTTAAACTTTTCCTAAATCCAGGAATTATAAGGAGTCTGCTCCCCCCCCCAATTCAAAGCAGTATTTCTTTTTTATTGACATGTTTTAATGTTGTTCACTACTTTGGGAGTTTGGGGTCTAAAAAGCGGTATATAAATAAAACATATCCTAACAAGACCCCAGACACCCACCAGTCCTGCTCCTCTAGCCAACTGGATCCTAAACTGATTAAGAAAGAGGAAGCAGAGAGCAGGAAAAAGGCAAACTCGGGTACCACTTCTTAAAATTTGGACTAGGGTGGGTTCCCATCCCCACGTGGCAGAGTGTTGCCACGGCTGCTCAGCCTAACCTACCCAACGGTTGTTGTGAGGGTTAAGGGGGGAAGCTGCTCTGCCTTTTGGCAAAGATCAAATGTACCGGTTTAATATCTTACGAGTTTAATATCTGGCATGGCCTCTGTTCAGTGCCAGATTTACGTATAAGCTAAACAAGGTATAGTTTAGGGCCCCACTCTCTTGGGGGCCCCAAAAAAATTAAAGGAAAAAGAACTGGATGTACATTTCCAAAATATAAGATAAAAAACAAATAAAATAAAACCTACATACAGCACCAGTGGCAAATGGCTTTAGATACCTATTAGGTCCATAAATTACCATATAGTATATATTCAACACAAAAAAACCAGGGACAATTTGTTGTTGACAAAGAACAGCTGGACATTTAAAGGGCCCCATTACCTTCAGTAGCTTCTGGCCTCATCAAACCTAAATCCGGCCCTGCCCCTGTTAAACAATAAATACAATCTTTGACCTTTTAAACTTTGGGTTGGCGGGTCATTGCTTACTATGCTATGTATATATTTTCGTGGTATTATATTGTAAAATCTTTGGAGGAAAGGCGGAGCAGAAATTTAATACATGCCGCCCTGCGCTCCTTAAGGGATGCAAATGTAAGAAAGACAAGTGGTGCAATCAAAGCGCATTTAAGCACCACCATCAGGCATATCTTCATGGGTGTGAGCCATTTCCTGAAAAGTCCAAGTTTTCTGTCCCCTCGCGGCACTTTCCCCCTTCGCTTCAGCGCCACGCCCCCTTCAGACTATTTGGCGTCTCGCTCGTCTCCGCCTTGTGCTGCGTCTTCGCTTTCGCTTTCGCCCGTCTCCTCCTTTCCGTTCCTCCTCGGTTTGCAAGGATCCAGGCTGCGGCGACAGAAGGGATCCTCCGTCTTTGGACCCCAACTTGACCTCTACCGCGGCGAGGCGGAACTCTCTTTCTTCCGCGCTGCCCAGACCGCGCATTTTGCGCGCAAGGAGGCGCACCCATGGCCGCCGCCGCCGCCGCCGGGGACCCCTCCAAAACTCTCCAGGACGAAGCGACCTGCTCCATCTGCTTGGATTACTTCTGCGACCCGGTGATGATCATCGCTTGCGGGCACAGCTTTTGCCGAGCCTGCATCGCCCAGTGCCCGGAGGGGCCGAGCAGCGACCTCTCCTCTTGCCCCCAGTGCAGGATCGCTTTCCCCCGGGGCCACCTCCGGCGCAACAGGCACTTGGCGAATATGGCCGAAGCGATCCAGCGCCTCCGCCTGCAGAGCCTCCGCCTGGCCGAAGGGGAGCCCAAGGAGAAAGTGCCGAAGTTGTGCGGGAAGCACTACGAAGCCCTCCGGCTCTTCTGCCTAGAGGACCGCGCCTTCATCTGCTTGGTCTGCAGGGAATCCCGGGCGCACAAAGCGCACGTCGCCCTCCCCATCGACGAGGCTGCCCAGGATGCTAAGGTAAGCGAAATCGACCCCTCGTTTTGGGAGAATTTGGAGCAGGAAGAGGATGGGAAAAGGGTGACTCAGGAATAGGCAAATTCGGCCCTCCAGATGTTTTGGGACTACAACTCCCATCATCCTTAGCTAACTGGACCAGTGGTCAGGGATGATGTGAATTGTAGTCCCAAAACATCTGGAGGGCCGAGGTTGTCTATGCCTGCTCCAGATCTTCAAATGCCACCATCCCCAGGATTTTATTTGCAGTTTTACTTGTATACTACTCTGAGAGCTCTTTAGTGAAAAAGCGGCTTCTAAATCTTTTAATTAATAGTATATGCGCTGAATGCCTTTTTTTTTCCTTTTAGGATAACCTCCAAAGCTGCCTAACAACCTTGAAGAAGGAGAGAGATGAATTTTTGAAGGGGAAATGGTGCAGTGAGACAGAAATTCAGGAAATGAAGGTAGGCAGGCTCCCAGTTTGCCATCCACTGAACGCAGCTGCCTCCTTTTTCTGGACTGCAGCTCCTCTCAGGCCCATTAGAGGAGAAGTTGTTGTTGGGGCATTCCATGTCAGTTCTGTTAGTTTCTGTTTCTCACTGAGCAGCTGCTTGCAGTCACAGGACTATGTTTTCATTCCACAGTCCAGATACTGTTGGAGTCTCACGGGAAAGGGAGACGGGATGTTACTGGTTTCCTGTTTCCTTTGTTCTTTGATTCCTTTGTTCTGTTGCTCTCTGCTTCTCATAGAGAGAACATGTATATTTCTTTGCTCTCTGCATAGCTTAGTAATAAAGTATAGCAATGTAGCCCATACCGATCTCATCCTTCCGCTGTGGAGTTGTTTTAATGCTCTGCTAGGCTCAAAGGAAGATGAGCCTTATCAGCTCAGACGACCGGAGCTGAAATTCCAATAAGTTCAACGTTGTCATGTCACCCACCGCCTCGGATTTTGTTGAAACTTGGTGTACACCCTTCCCTTATGGTTGAAAAAACAACAACCCTTAATTTCCCCCCTCTATCTCAAATGGTTTTAATTTTATAGCACTTGAAAGTTTCATGAAATCTGTGTTTCTGTCCCTCTTGAGATCCTCTGTATTATGTGCATTTTATTTTTTTCCTCCATAACCAATGATCAGATCTCTTTGAAATTTTACACAGAGATCAATAACATGATGAGGATTTCAGGAAAAAATACACCAGCACTCAAACGATTCTATAAATGCCTAAAAAAATGTATAAATGTAGCTTTTGGGTGGAAAAACTAGGTTTAGAAAACCTAAATTTTTAGCGTTAGGGCACAATGCAATCAGAAGTTTTTGATGGTGAAAATTATTGCAAAGACATGCTCTTTCTCAACAAAGAATAAAATATATGGGTCTCTTATGTCTTGTAACAAAATTTTATGTTTTTTGGACATCGTGGGGGGGGGGAAATCAACTGGGTACAACTTTCCTACAATACATAGCTGTAAAAGAAAAAAATAATGAAACAAAGTTCATCTTAGAATCTAAAATAATATTGGTTATTACAGGGTTGTTGTTTTTTCAAAAGTGCAGGCTTGTTTTTCAGTTTGGGGGGTATTTAAAACTATGAAAATTGGCTATATCGTGAAATCAATCTAAAAACAACAAAACACAGCTAAATGCAGATAGGTCCATACAACATAAGCTGAAGTGTATCAAGGCATCTACAAAATGCTTTCGTAACATTTAAGATATAGAGATGGATGAACACAGGATTTCAGAAGTGAATATGGTTACATTATAGATTTCTGGAGTGAAATGTGTAGCTAAAGACCTTTCGAATAAAATATTGGAGGTGGGGACAGGTAAGCCCCGCCCCACATAACTGATCACATGATGCAGTGCACACACAACCATTTGAATGGCAGGGCCCATCAACTTTTTTGAAAACCCTTAGGAGTTGGCACCTCCTATGTATTGTGTTTTTAATATTTGATTGGGAGCCAATCAAACAATAATAAACTATTGTTGTTGTTATTATTATTATTATTACTAGTACAATGGTACCTTGGGTTACATACGCTTCAGGTTACAGACTCCGCTAACCCAGAAATAGTACCTCGGGTTAAGAACTTTGCTTCAGGATGAGAACAGAAATTGTGCTCCGGCAGTGCGGCGGCAGTGGGAGGCCCCATTAGCTAAAGTGGTACCTCAGGTTAAGAACAGTTTCAGGTTAAGAACGGACCTCCGGAACGAATTAAGTACTTAAGTCAAGGTACCACTGTATAGCTTAGCTGAAGGTATCAGATCAGATAGTGGGACAAGGTTGGAAATACTTGGATTGCAAAACAGGAGGAAGTAATGTTCTTGTCCAGGTCAGTAATAGCAAAGAAGTGGGTGAAAAGGTTATTGCCAGGAGAATGGTGATGGGTTTGGGAATGAATCAGAAAGAGATGACCCCAAGCTGGCTGCTGGGAGTGTGCATTCTATTCTCACAGTGACCAAACAGATGCCTTTGGGAAGCCCCCCCCCCCAAAAGCACTGGAGGAAAATGTCCACCCTACTGACCTTTGCATTAGGTTACACCTCCTGCTTGTTATGGTGGAATGAATAAGCCCTGATGAAACTAAGCACAACTTGCTCTTTCCCCCTGTTTGAGCCTGTTTCCCTGGGGATGGAATCACAACAGCACACTGAATTCGGTCTCTCTTGTCCTCTGCTCTTTGCAGAAACGCGTGGAAAGCATCAGGAATCAAGCTGCGGGAAAGTGGGAACTGCTCAATGAGTGTGAAGAGATCATGAAGTCAATCGACAAAATAGCCGGCGAATTCTCAGAGCGCAGTTCTCATCTCACCAAGCTGATTAAAGAGGCAGAGGAGATGTGTCTGAAGTCTGCCTTTGAACTCCTGCAGGTGAGATTGTACAAGAAGATGTGAAAGCCCAGGGAAATTTGGGCTGGGTGGACATTCCTCTCTCCTTTTTTTGTTGTTGTTCCCCTCCCCAACAAAAAAAAGGGAAAATTAAAAAAATGTTGGTCTATGACGTGAAAAGGCTACAGCAGATTTGTTTCAGTCCAGACAAACCTTCTTTTTTTTAGAAGTCGTCATAAATTTGGTGGCAAATATGAAGCAGAAACTGATAGCAATAACACAGAAAAATGAGACTTTTGTGTTCTCGCACACACACCCCTTTTTGACACTGGAGGAGCTGTAGAGTGGTAGTCAGTGCTAATCCTACTCAAAGTAGACCCACTGGGATTAATGAACATGGTCAACCTCGGTTCATTAATTTCAATGGGTCTACTCTCGGTAGACGCTATTTGAATACAAGCCATAATAATGGTCTTCTTTTTTACTGTAGTGTTGATGGTCTGTCCTGTTTTCATTGTTCTGTCTTGAAAGGAAGGTGGGCTGTAAATGTGCAAAATGCATTAAGAGTTAGTACTGATGAACTGTAATAAACTTTGAAAAGTGGGGCTGATCAATTTATCTTCTTTCTCCCCCAGGCTATGGATCCCTTGCTGAGCAGGTAAGCCCCTGTTTACAGAATCATAGAATTGGAAAGGATCATCTTAGTCCCACCCCCTTCAATGCAGGAATATGCAGCTGTCCCATATGGGGATTGAACCTGCAACCTTGGGGTTATATCAGCACCCTGCTCTGACCAACTAAGCTATTTTTCAAGATTGGGACAGCCCTGCCATTAGGCAGATTAAGGCCGCCATCTCAGGCAGCTGATTATGCCATGAAAGCGAAGCAATTGCTAGTTTATTTAAACAGGAAAGGAATCGGGGAGCAATACAGGGCAGTGCTTTATTTTAAATCATATGTTCTTCCAGGTGCAACACAGAAATATATGGGAAACCCAAAGCTGATCTGAATAAGAAAGTTGAGTGGCTTAATGAAAAACTACAGCTGGTGCAGACCAAGTTGTGTGAGCTTTCAGGTAACAGATTATGTTTTAACTAGGATAATAACAATCACATGAGTCAGTCAGGCTCACCCCCAAAAGAGACAGAAGTTGCCACTGCAGAGTTTTATATATATGGGAGTCCTTCCTCATCTCACATAGTGCATATCAATACAGTGGTACCTCACGTTACAAACACTTCAGGTTACAGACTCTGCTAACCCGGAAGTAGTACCTCGGGTTAAGAACTTTACCTCAGGATGAGAACAGAAATTGTGCACCAGCGGCATAGCGGCAGTCCATTAGCTAAAGTGGTACCTCAGGTTAAGAACAGACCTCCGGAACGAATTAAGTACGTAACCAGAGGTACCACTGTATTGGCAGTTCACAAAGCCAGGTCTTGATCTGCGTCTGTGGTTAATCCTGAAGTAATTAGAGCAGATCCTTATAAAAAGTCTGTACAATGGTACCTCGGGTTACATATGCTTCAGGTTACATACGTTTCAGGTTACACACTCCGCTAACCCAGAAATAGTGCTTCAGGTTAAGAACTTTGCTTCAGGATGAGAACAGAAATCGTGCTCTGGCGGCACGGCAGCAGCAGAAGGCTTAAGTGGTGCTTCAGGTTAAGAACAGTTTCAGGTTAAGTACGGACCTCCAGAACGAATTAAGTACTTAACCCGTGGTACCACTGTAGAATTATTCGGAGTACTGGGTCGCAGTAGCAAGACAGCTTAACTAAAGCTACTACTCAGTATTAGGAGACTCAAACTTTCTTTCTGAGACTGCTTTCCCTCATAGGGAACGAGGCAGTAAATATTAAACAAATATCCCCTTAACTCCCAGCATGACCAGCTAAAATCTTACCTGCACGATTGGGACCACAGTTAAATATTGCAGCCTTTCTGGTTTCTCCCTTCAAAAATGAAGAGCATTCACACACACACACACACACACACACACACACACACGTACGTATATAGAGTACACATCCAGTGTGAACTGTACATGGTATCTGAAACTTTGTCTGAGTTTCCCTTCCACCTTTCTCTCCCCAGCACCTCCAAAACTGGCCAGTCCAAGAGCAGGTGAGTTTGCATCCATGCCGGAATGGGAAAGAAGCATTTGGTCTAGAACCTTCCATGGGATATGAAAGCCGGGCCCCAATGGCTGGCATGGTTGGGCACTGTTGCTGAGCAGCAGGTGCCTGCTTTCAGGCGGACGGAAATTGGGAGGTGCAGCCTCGCAGCCCTTTTGTTTGGCTTCATGTGCATGTTCAGACATTCGTGTTAGACTGAAATTAACTGATCAGAGAGGAATGGGGTGACTGTTGTGTTTTTGAATCCAGGAGGCGTGCCACAGCAACTCAGTCAGCACAGATGTACTTCTGTTTTTGTCTATCCAGCACCTCCCGCAGGTAAAAAATGTAAAAAATGGCCTCATGTGCATGTTCAGACATTCGTGTTAGACTGAAATTAACTGATCAGAGAGGAATGGGGTGACGCTTGTATTTTTGAATTTAAATATTTGGGTGGCCAGTGGCTGATGGGAATCTAGCAACATCCGGAAGGTTTGCCATCCCTAAGTTCCATGCTATTCAGCAAAATGAGACGATCCCCTCGCTTGGCCCATCCTATGACAAACTGCCTGCTGTACTACTACCTTTGGGCAGTTAACCCAATGACCTACATATGAGTAATGTACATTCTTGCCCTGAGCATAACTCTTGTCCTCATTTATGTCTCCTCTTTTTCTTTCGCCAGAACCTTGGGGTCATTCCCTTACAGTTGACGGTAGGTTTTGACGATAAGTTTGCAGGTCTAACAACACTGGGTCATCACATGTGGTGAAATAAACGAATGCATGCCATGCCTCTCCTGCCCCCTGGAAGAAAGGCAAAGACACAGCAGTTGTTCATCTGACAGTTAGCCTTAAGAACACAATTCATGCATTAGTCAATAATTATTGTGAATGATTCTTGTAGTTTAATTAGCAACAAAATTTCATTGGTGCATGATTAAACAGGCTGTAAGATCTCTTTGGGACACGGGTGGCGCTGTGGGTTAAACCACAGAGCCTAGGACTTGCTGATCAGAAGGTCAGCAGTTCGAATCCCCACAACTGGGTGAGCTCCTGTTGCTCGGTCCCTGCTCCTGCCAACCTAGCAGTTCGAAAGCACGTCAAAGTGCAAGTAGATAAATAGGTACCGCTCCAGCAGGAAGGTAAACGGCGTTTCCGTGCGCTGCTCTGGTTCGCCAGAAGCGGCTTAGTCATGCTGGCCACATGACCCAGAAGCTGTACGCCGGCTCCCTCGTCCAATAAAGCGAGATGAGCGCCGCAACCCCAGAGTCGGTCACGACTAGACCTAATGGTCAGGGGTCCCTTTACCTTTACCTTTAAGATCTCTTCTGTTAGCCTTACAGCAGACATTTTACCCTGTTGTCTTTTCTCCTCCTAGACTATTATATTCCCAAGAAGGGGAAATCAAAATGGATAAGAGGTAAGCTGCTTTCACCATTTGATGTCCTGACCTTTCTCTCTTGAGATAAAAGTTGCTGCAGGGGGAGATCAAACTGGACTGAGGCCCTGGCAGCAGTGCTGAGGGGTAGAGGAAGCGAGTTAGTCCCTGCCCTGTCATTCCAGTCTAAACCAACCCCCCCAGCAAGTAAATAGCTTAAGGGGGACTTAGATTGGGGAAAATGGTGTTGTGGAAAGGGCTACATTAACCATTTTCCAGCTCAAGGGCCACAGTCTCTTCTAAAGAGCAATTAGTGCCAGCACCGTCCGTTAAGAGTTTGGGTGGCACAGATTGCAGCTATAACAAAGGCGGCATTTTTCCATCTCCGCCAAGCTAAGCAGTTGGCTCCTTACCTCTCTCGCCCTGATCTAGTCACTGTGATCCACGCGACGGTCACCTGCAGACTGGATTATTGTAACTCGCTCTACGTGGGGCTGCCCTTGAGACTGACCCAGAAACTCCAGCGGGTGGAGAATGCTGCTGCAAGACTCCTTACGGGGTCTTCGCTGCGAGATCACATGCACCCGGTGCTATACCAGCTGCACTGGCTCCCGGTGGAGTACAGGATCAGGTTTAAGGTGCTGGTTTTAACCTTTAAAGCCTTATACGGCCTAGGACCCTCGTACCTACGGGACCACCTCTCCTGGTACGTCCCACAGAGAAACTTACGGTCTTCAAATAAAAACATCTTGAAGGTCCCAGGCCACAGAGAGGTTAGGCTGGCCTCAACTAGAGCCAGGGCTTTTTCGGCTGTGGCTCCGATCTGGTGGAACACTCTGTCACAAGAGACTAGGGCCCTGCGGGACTTGACATCCTTCCGCAGGGCTTGCAAGACAGAGCTGTTCCACCAGGCCTTTGGCCAGGGCACAGCCTGACTCCCTCCTTTGGCAATCTTCGTGGAGCTCTGGCCCAATGGTTGCCAGTGGTTTAATTTGAATTAATTTTATAAGGAATGATTTTAGAGTGTTGTGTTGTGTTGTGTTGTGTTGTACTGTTGTACTGTTGTACTGTTTTATTGTTGTTAGCCGCCCTGAGCCCGGCTTCGGCTGGGGAGGGCGGGATATAAATAAAAATTTTTATTATTATTATTATAAACAGACTTCTGAGGGTCACATGCCATGTTGTGGGGGGCCAAAGGCAAAAGTGGGTGAAGCAGCGAGTGTAAATTTCATCTTCGTTTCTGCACACACAGCCTCCAGCTTGCAACTCTCACCCTCCATGTGCCCCTGTATTCTCACCATGCAAATTTGGTTGTATGAATTGGCCTACTTTGGTTCTGCATTCCTTTCCTCCTACAGAATACATGCAATTTGCGAGCACTACCTTACGGAAGTAACGGATTCTGTTAAGTGTTCGTCTTGTTTGCTTTGTTTTACCACCCGTCTTCCTGTTGTGTTTCAGAAAACGTGGTGTTTGATCCGGAAACAGCCCATCCCCGCTATATTGTGTCTCCAGATGGAAAAGCATTATGGTGGGGAAATGTCCGTCAGAACTACCCCTACAGTTCAATTCGGTTTGAATATGCCCGCTGTGCACTTGGAATGTGGGGATTCAGCTCAGGGAAACATTATTGGACGGTGGATGTCTGTAATGTCAACCATTGGGCTGTGGGCGTAGCCAGAGAGTCTGTGGAGAGGGATAGGGAAATTAATTTTGAACCCTATGAAGGGATCTGGGCAGTGGGCTTTAGCCGCCATGATCAGTTCAAAGCTCTGACTTCACCTCCTATCTATTTGGACCCAGAAGAGGGCCCAGCACAAATCCAAGTTTCTTTGAACTATGACGCAGGGAAAGTGTCTTTTTATGATGCTGAAGATAACACCTGCCTCTTTATTTTTGACTCAATTGATTTTGATGGGGAGGAAGTTTTTCCCTTTTTCCGGATTGTCGATTCATCAGCTTGCCTCCAGCTGTGCTATTAAAGCACATGGTCCTTGGCCTGTGCTTTGCCTTTCCTGGGTTCTCTGACGAGTCCAGGTGTTAGTTCCAAAGAGCAGCAGATATCCCTTTGGAAGTCTGTACAGGCTGCAATTTCCATCCCAGGCTGCTGTCCCACATTCCCCTTCAACAAAGGACCATGGTGTTTTGGCTTGACTGTGCAGATGATTGCTTTATAATCCAGTACAGAAAAGGAGCACCACAGTATTGCAAATAATGTTACTTTAATTTTGCACCCTCTCGGTGGTGCCAATGGGGGATTTCCTCCCAGTGCAGATAGCAGCTTCAGAGGAGGGATTATACTTGGGACCAAAGCAAAGGGTTAAATCCCCCACCACTTTTTTGGGATTCAAATAATCATTAGCTTCTCTCTGTATTTTGCAGCTTTGCAAACCTGCATTTTAATGCTAAATAAACCAAATATTGTCTATTTTTGACCCTTAATCTTCCCATATATTAACTCTGCTATTTGTTAGCATAGAACTGTAGCTTTTTACTTTTAATGAACTTATGATTTGCTGTCGCCGTTGCAGTCTTTAATCATTTCATTAATCTTTCAATAAAGTTTTTTTTAAAAAAATCCTTTTAACCTTTGTTTTGACTCAACCAAAAGTTATGCTCCACTTCTGTTATGATAATTTTAGTTTATTCTATTGCTTTTCTTAAAAGATTCAAGGCATCCTAAAAACGTTTTTTTTAAAGTGCCATACTGAACAAAAATGATACAGATAATGTTCATAGTGTAATAATTATTTAAAAAAACCCACCATCCCAGCAAAATAACACAACTAGGCTCACCAATTAACCAGGCCTATGTTTAAAACCATCCCATCCTATCCCCTGAAATGCCTGTGAGTAAAGGAACATTTTAACATTCCGCAATGTTGGTTCCAATATTTCATTTTAAGATACATGTGTTTGAGGTGGAGTATTGTTTGGGGTTAGACCAGGCCCACAGGCATAGGCAAACTCAGCCTGTCAGATGTTTTGGGACTACAATTCCCATCATCCCTGACCACTGGCTCTGCTAGCTAGGGATGATGGGAGTTGTAGTCCCAAAACATGTGGGGGGCCGAGTTTGCCTATGCCTTGCCCAGGGTCCTGACCCCCAGGTATTTTGTATGAGGCCCCAATCTCCTGTCCCTCCCTCCCGCTTCAAAAAAAAAAAAGTTTTATTATTTTGAATATTGGGCAGTTGAGCATGCTGCAAAATGCAATCCCGGTTAGATCCATGCTGGAAATGGAAGAGTGCTGCGAAACATCTAGTGGAATATTTATATCTTTTAGGCTACTCAAAAATCCTGTCACTATTTTGTATTCTTTTAATATCTTACGTATATTATTTTCAGTGTATTGTTACACATCACCTGAATCTGCGTGAGCGGTGCATAATTCATGGGGTTGCAGGCACGCTAACCAGGGTCTGCTCAGGGATGGACTTTGGTAATATGGCACCCTGAGCAAGAATAAAATTTGATGCCACCCACTAAGTATTACTTATTTTCACAATAATTCCTTATTATTTTTTGCAACCCCTTGGCTTGGTGTCCTGTGTGGGGGAACCACCCACACCTCCCTAAATCCTGTGTTCCCTTTTGTGGCAATCAGGCACATGATGTATAAAGATCATTCATTCGCAGAAACAACAGTTTGTTTACATTAATCTGTGTGAGATTTCCAGAAACTGCGAGAAGCTAGGTTGTTTACAGTAGAGAAGGGGCCGATTCATATGGGCCCAGCGAGGGGATCTGAGCCATCTCCTTTAATAGTGGCAATTACTGGGTGCACAATTCCAGTAAGACTTTTTTGCCAATGAGCTTTGACCCTAGAGCAGTGGTGTCCAAACTTTTTTCAAAGAGGGCCAAAATTGATGAAGTGAAGGGCCATGAGGACTGACCAAAGGGCCAACCAAAGTTGTTGACCTTTTCCTAGCATTGAAGTTGTTGAGGTTTTTTAGGATATTACCCCAGGAAATAAACTGCCACAAGAGCCGGATTAAACGGACTAGCGGGCCAGATTAGGCCCCTGAAATGGGAGCGCAGTGGGTCACTTCTTCATGGGGGAAAAACGTCCGCACTTTCTTCAAGGTCAGAAGCTCATCAACCCATCTCAGATTTCGCAGCCTAGCTTTGCGATGGCTAGAAGAATGTTTATGGGCCTGTTGCAGGGCACTCTGTTTTCTTAGCTTGCTTGTCCTCAATAGCTTTTGAGAAACCTTCATTGTTCAAGCCATGGCCAGTGGGACTTTTCTGCAAACTTGCAAGAGGAGATATTAGCAGCAGTTCAGAGTAACGCTGAGCAAAAGAGCTAATCATCTCATCTAGTGGATTTTGGGCTCTCTCTAAAGATTCTGGCAACAGAACCATCTTCTAACTTATGACATACACCCTTCCACACAAGCCCAGGTGCCCACACATTCTGAATGACTCCAGTAGCCAGCCTTTAGTTTCTCAGCCACATGCAAAAGATCTGATGGTAGGCAGAAGGCTCAGCCTTCTGCTGGATGGCCATCTGTCATGGATGCTTTAGCTGAGATTCCTGCATTGCAGGGGGTTGGACTAGATGACCCGTGGGGTCCCCTCCAATTCTAAGATTCTATGGTTCTGCTTCACACCATGCTTTGAAGGCGCTCGGAAGCAAGGAGAGGGATTATTATTATTATTATTAATTTATTATTTGTACTCCGCCCATCTGGCTGGGTTTCCCCAGCCACTCTGGGTGGCTTCCAACAAAGATTAAAAATACATTAAAATGCCACACATTAAAAGCTTCCCTAAACAGGGCTGCCTTCAGATTTCTTCTAATTGTCAGGTAGTTGTTTATCTCTCTGACATATGATGGGAGGGCTTCCACAGGGTTGGTGCCACTACCGAGAAGGCCCTCTGCCTGGTTACCTGTAGCCTCACTTCTCGCAATGAAGGAACCACCAGAAGGCCCTCAGCTCTGGACCTCTGTCCGGACAAAACGATGGGGGTGGAGACGCTCCTTCATTATTATTTATGCAGCAGATTATTGCTGCTTTCAAGTACTGGCACAGCCCAGCATTGAAAGAGGCAGACTCCTTCCCTCCCCTATTCCCTCCAGCTTCAGGAAAGCGGCCTCTCAACTCAGCACACTGCTTTGCTGCTCTCCTAATTTTTTTATTTTTTATTTTAACTTTTGTACAGCATTTACAGTATTTCTGCTCTCCTGGTACGGAGAGTATTCACGTCTCTGCAATCCTCTCAACCCGTTGAAGCGCTTGGCTGCCATTTTCCACAACTGAACAGAGGCGTCAAGCCCCGCCCCGCTCTGCTTTCTCCACAGCCGCCTGCAGTGGCGTAGCGTGGGTTGTCAGCACCCGGGGCAAGGCAAGTAATTTGCGCCCCCTAACCCGTGGATTTGCGCCCCCTAACCCTAACCCCCAGATGTTGCGCCCGGTGCAGCCGGCCCCCCCTGCACCCCCCAAGCTACGCCACTGGCCGCCTGGGCCTGTTAAGTCCTAAAGTCAGAGGGGCGCTTTTACGAAGTATTGCAGGGAATTGCCTAAAGTAAACTGCGTGACAGATTTTTAGGCAGACCGTTGTAGCTTTCACGCGCTGGAAATGTATGAGCAAAGGAATCGGCTAGGAACTGTATATACAGGGGAAACTTGCAAAATATCCCCAGCTCTCACCAAACATCGTATGGGTAAAAAAGCAACAAGCCACGAGCATCAATATTTCCTTTAGAAAAAAACTGGGAAGGGTCCGATGAACAGAAAGCAGAGACATATTTGCCCTTTTTTCTACAATAAATATATTCTAAATTAATCTCATCCCCTCTCCCTGGACCCCACCCGCGCGCACTCGTTTCCCATTGGTTTAGAAATAGAATCCTTTTTGCTATTGGCCTGTTCATCTTCGACCAATCACAGCCAGCTCAAGAAACGAATAAAAGGCGCCCACTCCAGGCACCTGCATTCCTTGCGTTCTTTCGTCGAGAAAGAAGTTGGGAGTTTCTGAAGATGTCAGGTCGCGGCAAGACAGGCGGGAAGGCACGAGCCAAGGCCAAGTCCCGCTCTTCCAGAGCCGGGCTTCAGTTTCCCGTGGGCAGAGTCCACCGGCTGCTGCGCAAGGGAAACTACGCCGAGCGCATCGGCGGCGGAGCGCCCGTTTATTTGGCCGCGGTGCTCGAGTACCTCAGCGCCGAGATCCTGGAGCTGGCCGGCAACGCAGCCAGGGACAACAAGAAGAGCCGCATCATCCCGCGCCACTTGCAGCTGGCGGTGCGCAACGATGAGGAGCTGAACAAGCTGCTGGGCGGAGTGACCATCGCGCAGGGCGGAGTCCTGCCCAACATCCACGCCGTCTTGCTGCCCAAGAAGACCGAAGCTCTGCACAGCGCGGCCGCCGCCAAGGCCGCGCCCAAGCCCGGCACCAAGGCCGCCAAAGGCACCAAGGCGCCCCTCAAGCCCAGCACCGCGCCCGTCGCGGTCCAGTGAGGCCAAAAGGCCAAACAGCCCGGACTACGGCCGGCGACAAAATAACCAGACCCAAAGGCTCTTTTCAGAGCCACCCACAACGCTAAGAGAAGAACGGAAACACTGACGCCCAAAATAATAAACCCCTGCGCTCGCTCGCACATTTCCCCCGTTGCTTCGAAAACGCCTCCCTATCATTTACGCCTTTCTTAAAAACACATTGAGGCTGCTGGTGGTCACAACCGGGGAGTCTACAATCATCCCTGCTTGCTTTACAAATTTCAGTCCCGTGGGAATGGAAATCCACCTTTTTGTGCCCATGATAGCTATTTCCTCGCACCCACGGCAGCACATCTATATAAGCACCGTGGCCAACAAGGACTCGATCCCCTGCCTGGTGAAGCAGAGATACAACCTGCAGCCAATAATTCTAGCACCTATTCGCCTTTTTCTCTTGTAAACCAATTTATACCAAAAGACACTGATTCTGCACTGTTCTCCACCTGCTACATAATGCTAGGACACTTGGGGATTTGCAAAAAGTTCTGAATCGTATTTTTAAAAAGAAGTACCACCAGCAGCAATGCCAAAGCATTCAACACACCCAGCCCCTTTCCTAGGATGCTGAAACAGTGACGGCTTGGAGTGAACCGGGGGCGGGGTATGGGGTGTAATGATTTTGAAAAACAATAAAATAATTGGCAAAAAGAGGGGATTGTGGGGAAATACAATATCAGTTCTGGTACAAAAAACAGGTTGCGCAGGTGCAATATATTGCCCTGTTTCCCCCTCTCCAGTGTTTCGAATCAGCATCCTATGAGAATCCAAAGATTCACCAAAGCAGAATGGACAAACTTATCTCTATCTAAGACGGGACCCATGTGTCATATACATGTCAGTGGTTTCATCTCTTCCTCACTCCTGTTGTTAAAGCTTTATCCTTCCTCTGCAATATGGCTGGGTGACATACAGCTAGCCTAGCTAGTCTCTCTAGCAAGCCGTACTACAGAGGAATGGTAAAGTTTTCAAGTCCAATTCAGAGCCTTCAAGTATATCTGGGCTCCATATCTCAGCAGTATGAAGAATGAAAAGATCATGGGTAGGCAAACTAAGACCCAGGGGCCGAATCCGGCCCAATCGCCTTCTCAATCCGGCCCGCGGAAGGTCCGGGAATCAGCGTGTTTTTACATGAGTAGAATGTATGTTTTTATTTAAAATGCATCTCTGGGTTATTTGTGAGGCCTGCCTGGTCTTTTTACATGAGTAGAATGTATGATTTTATTTAAAATGCATCTCTGGGTTATTTGTGAGGCCTGCCTGGTCTTTTTACACGAGTAGAATGTGTGCTTTTTTTTAAAATGCATCTCTGGGTTATTTGTGGGGCATAGGAATTCGTTCATTCCCCCCCCCCAATATAATCCGGTCCCCCACAAGGTCTAAGGGACAGTGGACCCGCCCCCCTGCTGAATAAGTTTGCTGACCCCTGGGAAAGATTATCTCCCCAGCAAAAGCAACTGCCATGAAAGTGGTAATCAAACTACTGGAACTGGCATCAAAATGCCATTCTCCCTCCCTCGTAGTCCTGATAAACACGGATTCTGCTGAACTATGTCCCCAAGGGCAGAAAATTGAGATCTTATTTCAGAGCCCAGATCCCCTATCAAGACCCACTGCAATTTCACCTATCATTTTGACAGATTCACAGCAACGCCCACCGCCCAGCGCCCACCCCGCGGTATTTTTGCTACCTCCCAGTAATGCCTCTCTGAGGCAAACCCCTCGCAGCACAGTGCACAGACAACCGAATCAAAATACATTTAGGTAGGTAGAGATCCATGCTTCATGCACCTTCAATTTTATAACAGCACTAGGTGCGGATGCACGCTAGTTGGATCCTTCGTCAGATTTGCTTGAGTAATACGGAGCCCAGAGCAAATAAAAAAATAGGCTTCCTAAATATTTGGTGCCCTCCTCCCATCACTTTCCGTTATGTGTATGCTCTCAAGTGCACTACATAATAGTTGTGGCAACTCCATATCCTTTCTGATTGGGGCCTAACTTTAAGTAGATACTTGTATAAATATAGGGATTTATATAGTAATCTGTATTAATGCTAGTTCCACATCTCCCAGATGTAGCATTCTATAGCAGGTGGAAAACAGAGCAGAGCACTGGAGCCAGCGTCTTTTTGTGCAAGTTGGAATACAAAATAAAAAGTTGGAAAGCTACTAAGTATTCCTGGCTACAGGCTGCAACTGCAAATTTAGGGGATTAGGTTGTTGCTTAGTGCCCGGTTGGGGTTACGCAGTGCTTTTCACAGTACATGGGGTCCTAGTGCTCATACTGTGTTGTGGATGCCAGCAGAAAATACGTAGCTGTTATTGGCTCAACAAGCTGTAATAATCATGTGTAAGTGGGCAGCCAGATGAAAAGGTCGATTTCCATGGGACTGAAGTTTGTAAAGCAAGCAGGGATGTGTATGTAAACTTCCCATTTGCGACCTGCAGCAGCCTCAAGGTTTTTAAGGCGTAAAATGATAGGGAGGCGTTTTCGCAGCAATGGGGGAAGTGTGCGAGCGAGCGCAGGGGTTTATTATTTAGGGCGTCAGTGTTTCCGTTCTTCTCTGAGCGTTGTGGGTGGCTCTGAAAAGAGCCTTTGGGTCTGGATTATTTTGTCGCCGGCCGTAGTCCGGGCTGTTTGGCCTTTTGGCTTCACTGGACCGCGACGGGCGCGGTGCTGGGCTTGAGGGGCGCCTTGGTGCCTTTGGCGGCCTTGGTGCCGGGCTTGGGCGCGGCCTTGGCGGCGGCCGCGCTGTGCAGAGCTTCGGTCTTCTTGGGCAGCAAGACGGCGTGGATGTTGGGCAGGACTCCGCCCTGCGCGATGGTCACGCCGCCCAGCAGCTTGTTCAACTCCTCATCGTTGCGCACCGCCAGCTGCAAGTGGCGCGGGATGATGCGGCTCTTCTTGTTGTCCCTGGCTGCGTTGCCGGCCAGCTCCAGGATCTCGGCGCTGAGGTACTCGAGCACCGCGGCCAAGTAAACGGGCGCTCCGCCGCCGATGCGCTCGGCGTAGTTCCCCTTGCGCAGCAGCCGGTGGACTCTGCCCACGGGAAACTGCAGCCCGGCCCTGGAAGAGCGGGACTTGGCCTTGGCTCGTGCCTTCCCGCCTGTCTTGCCGCGACCTGACATCTTCAAAGGTCCCCGACTTCTTTCTCGACGAAATAACGAAAAGACTGCAGGTGTTTTGGAGTGGGCGCCTTTTATACCTTTCTTGAGCTGGCTGTGATTGGTCGAAGATGAACAGGCCAATAGCAAAAAGGATTCTATTTCTAAACCAATGGGAAACGAGTGCGCGCGGGTGGGGTCCTGGGAGAGGGGAACAGATTAATTTAGAATATATTTATATTGTAGGAGGGCAAATAGTGTCTCTCTCTGCTTTCTGTTCATCCGACCCTTCCCGAATGTTTTTCAAATGGAAATATTGATGCTCGCGGGTTGTTGCTTTTTTACCGATACGATGTTTGTTGAGAGCTGGGGATATTTTGCAAGTCTCCCCTGTGTATACAGCTTCTAGCCGATTCCTTTGCTTATACTGTACATTTCCGGCGCGGGAAAGCTACATATCATTGGGAACATATTAATTTAGAATATATTTAATGTAGACTGCCTCATTGGCTGTTTTCACGCAGCACCCCAAACCAATCCTTTGACGTTTGTGTTCCTTCCTGTTGGCTTCCACGCACTCGAGGTGGTTTGCAGTGATTAATAATCTCAGATAGGAGTTTATTATCTTTACTCCGATCAATCTCGTGTCCCTCGCGCTGTATGAAGGGCAAATATACTTGCGTACCGAAGTGGAATTAGAAATGGAAAGGAAAAATAAAATAAAACCCGGAGGCAATTTATAAGGCGACTACCAATGCAAAGACGACTGAGCAAAAACAAAAAAGGTTTCCCTAGCGAGATCATACCACCTATGAGTGGTATCGACTCGGGGATCGTGGATTCTTTGATACTGATTTAGCTTTGCCATAACTCTGCACGTTTCAGTGCATGATTCCACAATACATTTATTAGGAGAAACCAAAATGTCACAAAACAACGAACAGGTTGTCGTGTTCACAAAGCTCTTCGTTATGTAAGAACAGCAAAGGCGAAGGGAGAGGCGGGAAAGCTGCCTTGATGTCAGCCTTTTTATGCACATACGCAAACTCCGGTTTTGTTTACTAATCATCCTGATGATTAATACACGTTGGGTTCTTAAAAAGTAGGTTCTGATTGGTCTACAACTTAGGTTAGTAATTTAAGAATAAGTAACAAAGGTCAATGAATGCATATATTTAAGCCAGACTATTCGCACTGAGTAAAGGACGGGATAAGTACCAAAGGGGGGGGGGGGATCTGCCAACAAAACCTCACGCGTTAATTTGGACATCCAGGAACAGAAGGATTTTGTGTGGCGTCAAAAATGTTTACACAAAAATGGGATGATTGAAAGGTGAAAGGAAGCCAGGATATTCTGTGGTTCTATAGTATTGTGCGGATTTGACAATTGGTAAATGAAAAAGACTTGATAGTAGATAGCAATATGAATACGATAATAGCTAGAGACTGTTTATGGCGATGGCAAATATGTTGGAATTGTCTGGAAAATACAGTGGCGCTTGGATCACATCTCAGTCCGGTCCTGATGTGAAGTGAATGCAGAAATTCCTAAAATTGTTTTGCTGCAACTGTAAAACCTTTGACTGCTACAGAAATTAACAAAAGTCATGCTCAATCTGCCTCTCTGACATTCGTTGGCAATAACCGCCCTGAGATCTTATGATGAAGGGCAGTATATAAATCGAATGAATGAATGAATGAATGAAATAACGTAGATTTGAAATCTTCCTCCAGGTTTCAGACTCTGAGTGAATTAACCAGGAACAATTTAAGTCTGCGCTTGTGAGAGAATCAAATCAGACGCACTATGTACATACAGAATTATCCTATTATTATTTCAATTTATTGGCCGCCTAA